GAACAAACGAAACGCGAAAAGGCAACCAAATGACCCCCGTGGGACCCAACGAGAGCTCATCGAGGCAAAAAGAAAAGAGCTCGGATGACTTCCACGATAGGCGAGACCCCCCGTGTGCAGGTCAAGGCCAAGTCCCGATGACGGGCCCCCGAGTATCACAACCGTGGCGGTCGCGGTCGCGGTCAGCCTGCATGCACCAATAGTCGAGTGTAGAACTCAGCTGTGGCCAGTGATCATCGGTGGAATGACTATCCCACACAACCTACCGTTGTTGGAAGGAAACTACTGTAGGCGAGAGCGGACCTCAAATCAACTGTAGGTTGTGATGTAGGGATCTTTAATCCATGATGCGTCCTTTCTAAGTGGTCCTTGTGACTGCACGGTCTGCAGGTCGTGCCGGACACGGATCTGACCAGCAGGATCAATGAATCGATTGCGACGCGGCATCACTTCTATGTGTGGAGCATAATATACTTCTTGGTCTTTGTGGGCAAAAGAGCAAAAAAAAAAGAAAAAAAAAGGTTTGAGAGTCTTCGACCTCTGTATGGAGTCCACGGAGTACGGAGAGAGACAAAAAAACGATTGTATTTTGCTCCGCATTAACCGCAACCGGGATGGCCAGTCATGGCCAGTGGCGACGTGGGCTAGGATCCATTTTAGAACAGATTTGGTCCTTGGTGATGTTGCCCATTGAGACTTTTTTTCTTCCCCACCGAGTGGACGTGCGAACGGTCCACGTTGAGCCGCTAGAAAACTGGTGAGATACGATAACGACTGGTGGGTTATTACTATGGTCACCGGTAAATTAATCTATGAGGCATACAAGATATACCACAGTATCCATACTTCAGAATTTTTATTATTTTTAATCTTTATTTTTTCTAAACACTTTTGAATCTATTCTGACTCAGTACATATATCCATAGTTTTTATAAAACCGGACTTGTTGTAGATCTCAAGGCAACTGCAAAGGTCAAGGGTCAAAGGGGGGGGGGGGGAGAGCAAAAAAAAAAAAAACAATCCATGCAACCAGTGCTGATACTGGGAAATGTATGACTGTGACGAGTCTCTTTTTTAAACTCGGACAGATTAAATTATGGAGCAGTAAATTTCATGTTGGACAAAGATCATCATCCCAGTAGATCGGCTAGAAGCAACCATGACATGTCCTGTGTTCGTGCAGTTAATTGCACTCCACTTTTTCTCACCATCCCTCCATCTGGGGTTCTGGAAACACCGAAACGAGGGCAAAGAAGGAAAGGAATCAAACCCACATCCGTGGCGGTGGCTTAGAAACCAATGTCAAAAGAGGGAAGAAAAGGACGAAGGAAAATGAAAGTGGAGTTACAAGTGAACCAAAGTCGGGGATTCGTTTCTCATTTGGTCTCGTGCGTGGGCGCGTTTCTTGACCTTCAGCTCCCCCTAACGACATGAAAACGTGATTTCGGCCTTTCCACGCCAAGGTGCCCCGGGGTTGGATCATCGCCCGTTACGGAATGAAAGCTGGCAAGTTTCACCTGAAGCCAGTTGACCCAGTGGCGTGATAACCGAGATTTCACTTTTCTCAGCTTTTGGGCAAGGGTTTTGCAGGTCTTTGCAGGTTTTGCCCCCCGCTAACTAAATTGACTGGTGATAACTATAGTCACCGGCACAGACGTCTCGCATCTATGCGGACCAAAGTGGTTAGTGACACGGTACTGGGATTAGGCTATCACTGAGGCGCATCGAAGGGGAAAAAAAGTATACATATATGGTTGTATACACATTAGATGTAGATGTTTCCCGATTAGGAATGATCTGGCCTTGCACCGAAATCAAATACAAAATGTGCAACTTAGATCCATGGCCTTTTGTTTTTGGCTCTTTCTTGCTGGGTCGAACAGTGATTCGAGGTCACAAACGACCCCCATCCACTAGACAAAAAAAGGAGGGGGGGCCAATATGCGGACAAAGATTCGTTTCCGGTTTTACGAGGCGCTTGGGAACAACCCTTTCAACAGGTTCCATGATCGGACGAATGAGCGTCCGTTCAGACAGATGGTCATGGCTTTCGATGCTTTGGAACTATCAAACCCCCCTGAAATTATCAATCTACTATATCAGAAAAATTGAATATCTGATATACAATCGACCCCGTATAGAAAAAGAAAAAATAACGCGCTAATGGTTAGCCAGAACATATGGAAAGAAAAAAAGAAAAAAAAATACTAGTTCAATCTACACAAAGTCGAAAGATTGAGATTTGAAGGTTCACGGGGACCGAGAGCCCCAGTCAGACTTCATAGTCTCATACCAGATCGTCCCTATGGCCATTTGGCGACGATCAAAGAGACCGCGTCGGAGGGAACAGACCCGGAAAATAGTTCGGGAGGCGAAAAAAAGGGAGAAAATGAAATAATAATAATAAAAAAAAAGGAAAAAATAGGAAAAGAAAAAAAAAGATGAAGGAAAGTGCCCAAATCCGCCCGAAAGAGACAAGCAGTCCAGCCAATCAACAGACAGGATGCAGCGGCTAACAGCCTCGGGGAGTACGCGATTAGTCACCTGTAGGGTAACGGTGTCATGATTGCGGCATTCATTTGGAGGCCAAGGTCCCATGGAATCATGATTCGGCCGTCGTACTCTCGCACGGGAATTCAGCCACCCAGAAGGCGGGTGGTTCGGATTATAGTGAGACTGCTGGTGGATCCTCGCATCCTGGAATTCCGCCCAAAGGACAGGATCCGAGCCAGTCAGTGTTGTCGGTCCAAGTGAGCGATGATTGGTTCATCTGGGTAACCAAATCAAGTCTCCACTTTTCTTTGACTTTTGTTCTTTGATTATTCTTGGGAACACACTTGGGAACAGGAAAAACCACAATGCTGAAAAGTGCCTGACTAAGTTTTTCCTCGTGTCCGCCCGTAACCCGATTAGGCAATTCTGCCCATTACCTCAGCAGAGAATGTTCTGATGGAGATTCCTTACATACCCCATACACCATTCTTACGCCGATCCAAGCCCAGAAAAAAAAAAGCTCCCTTGTCTAGTTACCTGGTTTCCCATCCCTGGAAGGCTGGACCCTTTCACTTGAGTTCATTGATTACCATTACCATTTATTACCGTCACATCGGGTTTCCGGCTATCCTCAACCCGGTAACTGATCATCCTATTCCGTCCCCAGCCTCTCTGCATTGCTCTTTTTCTTTCCTTTTTTTACATTATTTTTCTAATTTTTAATTTTTTAATTTTTGTTTTATAATAGTGATTTTTTCCAATTTTACGTGGTTTTGGGGGGGGGGGGGTGTTTGGGGTTGTTGGCTTTGTTTCCCCCCATTCCTTTTCTTTCCGCCTGGTGACGACTCCCGACTAGTGATCAGCCACCGTGCTTTCAAACCCTGGGCCCTTCTCTCTATCCGCTGCTTCTGCTCAAACTGACCCCCTTTAACCCTGTGCAGGAAGATGGCCCCGGAGGCGTACATGCTTGCGCACCCTCACTGTCCAGCAACGCCGTAACTTGTAGCAATCATACCTGGGTAATTTTTACCCACAGATTGAACAGAGGCCAGGCATTGGGCCGACGGTTGCAACCACGCTAAACCTCGCCTGATTATTGGATCTGATATGGGTCCTACAGACCATTCCCTTTCCTATCCAGCAGGTCTTGGATCTGTCCTCCGATGTTCTGTGTTCCAAAATAATTCAAAAAATAATGAATGGGTTTTATCTTATTTTAATTTTCTTTTTAAAATTTTTTTCCCAATTTCTAATTTCTAATTTCCATTTTCTTCCATTTTTTTTTTTTGGTTTAGCTGGACTGACCCATATTTTTCCTTTCCCCCTTCCCACTTCCAACTTTGCCGCTACGCCCAAGGGCCTCCGCCCTGCTCCGCCCTATGGGAGGCCTCCGTAAACATTACTCTGCGACCTACCCTTTCTAGGCTTGCATCCACCTGTGACCCGGGCTCTGACATCAACCGGTATTCTGCATTTAGACCTGGGGGAGTATAATATCTCAGTATGAAAGTGTTACTATAAACAAAAGTACTAATTTGGTGAAGAAAGGAGAGCATATACAGAAAGACCACTACTATCAAAGAGTATCATATATTGCTATGTATAGAATCGAACTCTACACCAAAAATGCTACTGGAATTGCATATTTTTATTTTATTTTATTTTATTCGATTTGATTTTCTAGACCTCAAGATGACCAAAACCGAAGCCAAACGAGGAGAGGATCAACCTGGACCTGCGTTCGGGTCAAACTCTGACCCGTAATGACTGCTTTCTCCGGATGGGTCAACCTACCCTGGTTCTCCCTTTTTACTGGACTTTGGAATTTCTGCCGTGAAAAAAATTATGGAGATGATGCCTTTACTTCATAACTTTTTATTTTATTTCCTCATTCAATTTATTTTATTTTATTTTCTTTTTTCCCATTTTATTTCCCGGCCCGTGAACGTTCCCTTTGCGAAGTTTACCTAGTTTACCTTGGGTTAACTATAAGATTCTCTTCTGCGTTTTTTTCGTTATTTTTCTTTTTAAATTACTCTGACTGGCTGCTTTTCTTTGGGTGGTTCCCTAACCTTCAAACCTGGTTTAGTTCGTTTATATCCTTATATGGGACTGGCTTGGCTGTTTCCATAGACCTCATTCTTCCGTTGGAGAAAACTATCCTTACTTCTTTCATTCTCTATTTGATTACCTTGATCAGCCTCTTTCTGTCTTGGTCTTCCTTTATTTTATCTTTCATTGACCCTGGTCCTTCACCTCCAATTGGACAACCTCCACCCCCTCCATACAACGCAGGGGCATCACTAAAGCTACCGCTTTACTGCACTTCCCTTTCTTTGGTCTCGAAAACGCACCTTCGATATATATCCCCTCAATAAGGAAGGAATCATGCTCAACTGAACACTTTTGCTCGGTTTGCATTTCCTATTCATCAAAGCCACCAAACCCCGACCATCCCACATGTGTCGACCTCTTGCCCTGCCATACTTCACATCCCGTCCATCCCTATGTCTTCGTCAACGCTGCCCTCTCAATCCTCGATCTTGGGCCCCATAACTCCAAACATCGATTTGACCCACCGTCCTTATCATACCAAACCGGCCTTCACGGGATCCTGGACTACTCCCTTCCGGGACGGTCTGCCCACCCCTCCCACCGACATGACCGGCATCGCCTACAACGCAATCCCCCCGGTGGGCCATGGAGGAAGAGTTCACGGAATGCCCTCAACTCATTACAACTACGCCCGCCCATTTGACGCCATCTCCTCCTCGATGGTAGCTGCCATGAAGCCCACTCATTCGGCCCCCGCCAAAGAGGCCCCCGCACCCGAACAGCCCCAGAAGAAATCATCAAATGGAACTGCAAATGGCGCCAATCTTCAGATCCCTTCGTCAATCAACAACAGCAAAACAAGCTTGGCCGAGTTCGCAAGCCAGGTAAGGCGCATACCAAGATAATCTACATCTTATATCTATTTGGTTCAACAAGCTAACAACAAGTGATCTGACAGATGACTTGCTTATTCTGGTTTGAAAAGACCTCGAAACTCCAAGCCATCGAAGACCGACAGTATCCAGTGCCAAGCCTCGTCGCCGAAGCCATGCCCACCCCCGCCTTCCAAAAGTGGGTTGCGACAATTCTTTCAACAACCCAGGTTAGCCAGAATGTGATTCTGCTTGCACTGTTGTTTATCTACCGATTGAAGAAGTTCAATGCTGGTGTGAAAGGCAAGAAGGGCAGTGAATTCCGCCTCATGACTGTTGCTTTGATGCTCGGCAATAAATGTGAGTAGTTTCTTATCGCCTCACCGCCTTTGTTTACCTTTTTCTTGATTGGTCTTTTTGCTGACTCATCTCCAGTCCTGGACGATAACACTTACACCAATAAGACATGGGCCGAGGTATCAGGAATCGCGGTCCAAGAGATTCATGTCATGGAGGTCGAGTTCCTCAGCAACATCCGCTATGACCTTTTTGCCTCAGAGGCAGAATGGGCTCGCTGGCACACCAAGTTGGGTCTCTTCGGTAATTACTTCGATGCCGCATCCCTACAGCCTGTCGAGTCAGAGATCTCCACTTTGCAGGTCTCGCCGCCCCGATTGAAGCCCCAATCGCCCTTGTCCAAGTTGCCATCGCCCCCATCGGACTTCCGCCCGCAATCCCAGCCCAACTGGTATATGCCCGTTCCTGGACTGCCTTACCCTGCCCCACAATTGGGTGAAATTGCTCCTGGTGGATCTCGCAAGCGCAGCCGTGATGATGAGCACGAACTACAACCCATGAAACGAATCGTTCGCCCGGCGACCAACCCTGCTCCACAGCCAGCACCATTGAGCATTCCCGCGAGTGCTATGAATACGCTTCCCCCCGTTCTCACCCCAACCTCTGCTCCAATTTCGCAGGGCCCAGGACGTCTCCCACCACCAAACCTCAACTTGACCCCAACATCAAACCCCATGTCTCAGCAACTTCCTTCGACTCCAGTTTCGCAGCTCCCAATGCCGGCTCGTATGCCTCCCACTTACAACCGGTCTGCCAACTGGATGCCGTCTCACCAGCTGCCCTCTGCGCAATTGCCGCCGGTGTCTTCGGGTGCCTACAATGCACCACCCCTTCCTGATCTGGCTCGTCACCACCAGAGCAGTCCCTTCGGTGTCTCATCGTCGGTCGTATCTCCGGCTGTCTCCGCTTACTCCGTTAACACCCCCCAAAATCACCTCTCTCCATCATTCTTCCTGGCAAACCGCAATTCTCCCTACCGCCCTGTCCGCTCAGTTCACACCCTCTTGATCCCTCCCCCTTCGACCTCGGTGCAGCAGCAGCGCAGTGTTCCATTTGACCACATGCACTACCAACCATTGAGCAAGGGCTCCACCGATCGTAAGACCGGTCTTCTACCCTTCATTCCATCAGACCCATGGTACCAGGGCCAAAGCCAAATCTCTCAACAGCCCTACTACACTCCTTCTCAAGCTTACTCTGCTTGAAATTTCCATTGATTACTTGACGATGTGACTGCGTTTACGACTCCTCTCACGATTCTCGAAAACCCCCCTTTTACCATTCGCTGTATATCTTCTACTCTTCTTCTCTTGCTTGTCCCTTTACCATCATGTTTTACCTTTGTACAGGATACTTTTATCACCACCTGTTTTTATTAGCATATTTTTTTGGCGTTTCAACTTACTAGAAGGGTCATGTGGTGTTCGTCTCCCCCGCCGCCCAATGTGACGGGGACGGCCTATGAGCCGTTTTACATGTTTGCTTCTTTTCTTTCCTGTTGGCTTATGACAACATGAATATTGCTGCAGTGGCATTTGCATCACATTGGCGTTTACTTTGCAGACAATAGTCTTGCAATCATCATGAGAAACTACTTAGATTTCTACCACTACACTTGATCCTAGTAAAACAGTAAAACAATCTCCTAGAATAGCGACTATTATAGGGAATAGTTAGTTTGCAGTAACATGACTAAAGAAGACGCCATAATAGTCTGACTTGATTGCAAGCTAGCTCTGTAGACCTTGAGGATACTAGTAGAAACTTGAATTTAATTTTACAAAAAACTAGAAACTCGTGTAATGGTATCCCATATGGTGCCTGCTCTACTGTGGTTCTGTAGACCAAACAAAAATCACAGTTCACGCGGAAATATCCGGCCCGACTAATTTTCCGCCCGCTCAAATATCTCAACCATCCGCAACAAGCCAACACCAGCGACCAAAAACCAAACCAAAAAAACCCGCAGTTATGCCTCCACGACTAATGGGGCTGCCAATGCAGCTTCAGCAATTCATCGCCAAGCCCTTGCAGCAATCTTCACCACTGGTTTTCCTGGCACCACAATTCCAGCAGACACGCAATGCCTCCATTCTCTCCTCGCTCTCCGACAATCCCTCCGCCTACAACAAGCGCATCCGACGTGGTCGTGGTCCTGCCTCTGGCAAGGGTAAGACCGCTGGACGTGGTACCAAGGGTCAAAAGGCGCACGGAAAGGTCCCATTCGGTTTCAATGGTGGTCAAACAGCCGATATCGTGGTCAGCGGCACACGGGGTGAAGAAACCAACATGTATGCATTCCACCACTGGATCCCCATCCATATTCTTTCCCCTGGTCTCAGACCTGCTTTCTCAAAGCAAATGACATTAAATAATCCACGCTAACACCCCCCACCAGCCTCGCCCTCGAAATGGCCCCTGTAAACCTCTCCCGCATCCAAGAATGGATCGACCAAGGCCGCATCGACCCAGCCCGCCCCATCACCATCCGCGAACTCACCCAATCCCGCTGCATCCACCGACACAAGGACGGCGTCAAGGTCCTGGGTGACGGTGCCGCAGCCCTCAAACAGCCCATCCACCTCGTCGTCTCACGCGCCAGCGGCTCCGCGATCGCGGCCGTCGAGGCCGCCGGCGGATCCGTCGCAACTCGCTTCTACACCCGCAGCTCGATCAAGCACATCATGGCGAACGAGACGCACCCCTTTATCAGCTTGGCTTGGAGCGCTGAGAGCGGATCCAAGGAGCTGCTTGCGGCGGAGTTTGCCAAGTTGAGCGTTGAGGGCGGCGCGAGCGTGGACATCGAGGAGAAGAGTGTTATGGAGGCTAAGGGTCTTCGGTACAGATTGCCTGACCCCACGAGACGTCGTGATATTGAGTATTATCGTGATCCGGCGCATCGCGGGTACTTGAGTCATTTGCTTAAGCCTTCTGAGGGTCCCAGTTTGTTCTTCCGTTCTCCTGAGGAGCGTAAGTCGGCGGCTGGTACTAAGAAGGAGAAGGTTCTGCCTGTGAACAGACTTTGGTAGATGTGGTTCAACTCTTTGGGGATGAGAGGTGTGTTCACTAGTAGAATGTGGGTTTTATGTCTTTCGTTGAGCATCTGTACTTGTATAAATATTGCTACCCCTTTGGATATGCTTGGTTATCTTATAAAACTGAGATTGGTTTTCTTGTTTATTTTGCCCAGGCTTTTCCGACCTAAAATAGTGCCTACATGGTAGGAAGTGCTCTAGTATCATCGAGAATTTCGCGTACCTCCAGACATATTATCCATACATAAGTTGCCGTTTCTTGGAAGGCGAGTATAACCTTCAATTGTTGGACGTTTTAATAAAAATTGAGTGCGACCCTGGACAGAAATTTGAAGATCCCCTCCAGCCAGTCTGAACCTCGGATGCATTTCATACCATGTACTAGGAATCCACCTGCCACCCCTACAAGTGACACTACAAGTGACAAAGAAGAGGGACGAGAAAAAGAGAGGAAACCATAAAAATATCCTTAAAATGCCATCAGTAGATGTAGAATACAGACAAAAAGCAAAGAAAGCAAAGGAAAAATACGTGCCCAACAAAACGCCATGCTTCTCATCCCGAGCCGCAATCCGTTCCCTCATATCTGCCCTCCACCATATATGCATATTGAATAAAAGCCAGAAGATATCAAGATATAGCATGCTGTTTCACGAATCAACAAGCGAATGGGTATAAACCAAAAACCAATAGGGGGGAAACGGAAATATCAGCGCTGCCCAAAAACCAAACAAAAAAACAAACCAAACCAAACACATAGGAATCATTTCATCATTTTCAAGATCAGGTTGCGGTATTTTGTCCAGCAAAATACAGGACGTCCTGAATCAAGGTATAATTGAGAGCAATTAAAGGCCCCACATAGCTTCCGGAGAGCTATCATTTGAACTTGCGATTTCACGTAGCCAAGCACTGTCAAGAACGTCACGGATTGTGTATCGCTTGTTGGCGTCCATTTCAAGGCAGCCTTGGACTAGGGCAAGAGCGTCTTTGCGGTCACGAAGAGAAAGCTTGTTGGTGAGATCACCAAGGACGGCTTCTCGGTTCCATTTACCACCAATGATATTGGCTTGAACTCGAGGCATGAATGAGTCCTGGAAAGGTCGCGAACCAACGACAATTGTATAGACGATAACACCAAAAGCCCAAATATCCACTGAAGGGTGAATCACACCGGCCGATGATTGAATCAATTCAGGGGATGCATATTCGAGGCTACCAGCAACGCTGGTACTCGAACCAGCCGGCCCCATTCGGTTGGGTGGGGGGCGATCTGCGACTTCATCGTAAGGATCCGGACCATCGCCTCCATTATCGGTGGCCATCCATTCAGCCATTCCAAAGTCACACAGAACTAGGTTGGAAGAGGCAGAGTCATCGGAAGTGTGGACCGGGTCCAGGAGACAGTTCTCCAGTTTGATATCACGGTGTACAACTCGAGCGTCTTGGTGTAGGTAGCGAATCGCAGATGCAAGTTGATACGCATACTTCTTGGCCAGCGTCGAATCGAGACCTTGTCGATTTTGGCGGACCAAGTCAAACAGTGTCCCACCGATCGCAAGTTTAGTGAAGCAAAAGGTGGCATAATCGGTTTCGTACACTGAATCAAGAGTCAAGATATGGGGGTTACTGAGGTACCTCCAAACTCGCACTTCGTGGTCGAATTCTGCCTGAACATCTTCATTTTCCCTCTCGGTGCGGCCTGCTACCTGCTTTTTGACAATTTTGACGGCGAGCCGTCTGGTGTTGCCTTGTCCCTCAACCTTGAACGCTTCTTTGACCGTACTGAAACCTCCAAATCCAATCTGCTTTCCAAGAACATAGTCAGTCCCAACTAGTTGGCCTTCTTCGTCAGGCGTTGAGGGTGCCTCGTCGGGCTGACTTTGACTTGACCACATGGATAGGAACATGCTTGCGGGAGACTTGCCGCTCGAGTTCGTGGAGCGTCGAGAGCTATGACGAGTATTCCGCAGGCTGCTACTACGATCTAGAGTGGAACTGCGGGACTTGCTTCCAAACGAAGCCATCATACCTCCAGACCACGGACTGCGATCCTCTGGAGATGAGTAATTTTGAGTCGGCGACGTGATACAAAGGGGTGATAGAAGGTCATCTTTAGCACTTCCGGGAGGGGTCCGCAGTTCTTCTTGGGCGGTGGATGCAGTGGACAGTGATGTGAGTGAAGTTGGATGATCTAGATCAGTGCCGGTGATTGACTCATCCTCTGGGGCTAAGACCGGTTGGGCTCGGGAACGTCCCGCTGAATCGACATGTTGTTCGGGAGATTTATTTGAGTCCCATCTCCATGACTGAGGAGTTTGGTGTGAATGACCATCGTAGTGATCGTCGTCCTGAGAAAGGGCGTTTCGGAGTCTTGAGGTCCGAGATTCAAATTTTTGCGGGGGCCGATCCTTTACTTCATCTTTTGCGAGAGGTTCATTCAGCGGTTCTTCACGGCCAGAATCAACAGAAACCTTGGGGTTAAATGAAATAGAAGGACGACGAGAATGAAAGTAGTTATCCAACGGTGAAGCCTGTATGTCGTCTGGCTTGTGAGGGAATTCGTCATCACTTGCTGGACGCCCATCGGTTCGAGGAACTGAGATTGGAGGCGTGGCTGAATGCAAATCACTTAACACACTGCGGTCATCATCAGTATCGCGGCGACGCGCGTTATAATCATGAGATGTTTTGGTGCGGTCGCTCTCGATACCATCGCCATCTGTCGTCGACCTCCTCCTCCTCCCATCATCTTTTGCCCATCCTGGCCTCTGACCAAACGCGGTCTCAATCCGTAGACCCACTAGCCCGTTCCTCTCCGTGTACGCCATGCCTTTGTCGACAGCACCGTATTGGAAGACGTTGTGCGTTGCGGGCCTATAGTAGGCTTGCAGTCGGGTTCGCTTGAACCCTCTGCTTTCCCCAGATGATAGAGAATTTTGGGGGTATCGAGGATAAAAAAAAAGCGGGGGCGATAAGGCTTTCGAGCGGGGTCACCACACTTATTCAATCAGGAACATCAAGTGTGGAGAAATATGATTGAGTTTTAGGGGGTAAGTTAAGCAGCAAGATAGAATGATGGAGTATTTATGAGAATGGAGAAAAAAAAGATGTACCTTCCCCGGTGAGGTCAGTGAGGAATGTACGACGAAGGATTGGTCGCCAAGGATGAGAATGGAGAAAGTCGGGAAATGACGGAAGGACCTTACTTCCTTTACTTCCTTTACTGCACTTTCATTAGTCAGTTTCCAGTCACTTTTCCCGTTCATTATTCGCTGCTCCTGATTGGGACTAGCCGGCGATCATATGATGGAGGCGGTATATCGATGACATAGCAGAGGCGTTTTTCTAAGCTATGTCGACCAATCATTCTAAGCAACAATATTTAATCCATAACATTAATAAAAGGTGGTGATGTAGAGACTTACGCCTTCGTATGATGAGTTTGTCTGATACCTAGGTATCTCTTGAATGTTATGACTACATTTGTTTCTAAAAGATTCAAACTTCATAATTGCAATTTACATGTCATCTATAAATATCCACTACAATACATGATGGCTGAAAAAGCCAGATCACGAAAATTAAAGAAGATCATTTTTTATTCGTCCGATGTGACCTGTCTGAAGAGAACATTCCAATATTGAATAAAAAAAACTATTACTGGATCAACAAAGAATCGGGCATCAACTCCGCTTGCACATCCACGTCTATACATCGTTTCAATACCCTAAGCCCTAGCTATCCGAAAGGGGCAAGTAGAGTTTCAGGGGGGAAAAGCAAAGTCACCTGACTCAGCAACGTGCATGTGCATGGACCTGAGGCCATGATTAGGCGCGCGCAAGGGGCGCTTGTTTGGCAACACCTCCTTATTGGTTTCGTCCTGTGGTCTCCGGGGATTTGACCCTGAACTCGATACAATCCTTCCCTTCGTCGCTCTGGCAGTACATTGTTTTCCTTTTTCCTATTTCAATTCTCCGTGCCCTGCCCCAAGTGCAGCGCCCGCTAGCCCACCGCTTTCCCCTCTCCACCTTTGTTCGTCAAGGCGCAGTCTTTCTTTTAGGGGTGACCGACACCAAACCTTGGAATCTCGTGGGAATTGGCAATTGTTCTCGTCGCAAGGTTCTGGGAATTGACCGCACGTTGGCAATTTTTTATTTATTTACTCCCTTACCTTGCTTTACTTGGTAAAGCTGTCCATGGTTTCCGTTTGCAAACAATCGCGCTTCTTATCCCCGAACACCCCTGTGTGACCTTCCCTCACCGCCGATCCCACGTTCCTTTGATAGAATTCCAACATGACGAGACCGCAGATTGTTCGAGCCGGTATGGAAAATATATTTCCTTTTACAATTGCCAAAATCGGGGAGTTGAATACTGATGGCTGGCTCACTTAGATACTTTGGATCTTCAAGACCATGATGCGCCGTCGGCCTCGGACCACTCCAAGCAGCCTGAACAACCAGCTCCACTGGGGGTCGGCCGGCCTGCCCCCCACCAAGAGCTTTCCATTCGCCATGCCGAAAAAGATCTGAAATCCGAGATTTCGAGTGGTCCTGAAAATGGTCACGAATATCGAGACGGCGTGGGAGTATACGGGGACGACGAAACCGAAGAAGATTTGGATCGAGACTACGAGCATGAAGATGGAGATTTGGCAGATGGGGAAAGCGATGATATGATGGATGATGATATGTTGGACAAGATATCTAGCTCTCCCTCGATTGACGATGGTACGTGAACTATACTGTGACCTCTCTGCACGCCTAGGGCTAACACTCATGATCCGCAGAGGACATTGATTTTGAATTCGTCTATGCGCTCCACAATTTCGTCGCAACTGTTGATGGACAAGCAAACGCTGCTAAGGGGGATACAATGGTGCTGCTTGATGACAGCAACAGCTACTGGTGGCTAGTACGTGTAGTCAAGGATGGAAGTATTGGTATGTTTTCTGTCTCCATTTTGAGTATCATTTCATTCCGCTGACGATGAGAAGGATACTTGCCAGCTGAACATATCGAGACGCCCACTGAACGACTTGCTCGATTAAACAAGCACCGGAATGTTGATGTTTGTGCTTCTTCCCTAATGTTGCCCGATCAAAAATCATACTAACCTGACCCCAGCTCTCTGCTACAATGCTAGGCGACAACAACGAAAAATCCAAAAACCCTCTGAAGAAAGCCATGCGTCGACGGAACGCGAAAACCGTAAACTTCGCTCCACCAACATACATCGAGGCCTCCGACGTCGAGTACTCTTCGGATGAAGACTCCGAACATGGCGACTTCTTCAATGACGACGAAACAGAAACGGTTGAATCGGAAGAGGGTGATAGCCAGGACCAAAGTGAAGATATCACGGTGGAGCCCCTTCGGCCAAAGGGTCAAAAAGAGAAGCCGACAGAACAGGCGGAGGTCAAAAGGTCCGAGGACTCTGAACGAACAAGCTATGAGCCTCGACCATCAAGTGAGGAATTCTTTGACCCAGAGGAGCCAATAGTCAGTCGGTCCAGAAACGGCACTGTACGTAATACAGACTCTTTCTTCAAGGACGACACCGCAGAACCAAAGAAGATTTCTCTCACACCAAACCTGCTGCGCGACGAATCCAACAACACCGGCAGTAATGGTAACAGCAACAGTCTGCTTCAGGAGTGGAAAGAGGGACGTGGAAGCTTCGAAACAATTGACAAGGTGTCTAGTCCTCAGGATAAGGCCAAAGAGGAAAAGAAGCGCAAGGAGAAGAAACCTGGAATGCTTAGTGGATTGTTCAAACGGAAAGACAAGAAGACCAAATCCCCTGAAGATGACTTTGAAGAGGCTCTTACATCCCCAACCGAGTCCACATTCAGTCAATCGAAGACATCCATGGAATCATTCGACTCGAAGTCATCCAAATCTCAGAGACAGACGGGCAATAAGTTACAGAAATCACACACAGCTGCCATGTCTCCAACATCAATTGAATCAGGCACTGACGCCGGTCAGTCCATTCGACGGGTAGTGTCACGGGATGCCACCAGCTTTGAGGAACCTCGAAGTATCTTGACCTCTTCTAACAGCCACCGGAGTCCTTCCAAGGAAAGCTTTGTTACTCCAATGGAGGCTCAGGATCCTTTTGCATCCCCAGTGGAGCGGCCATCTAGTGAAGCCCAGTGGAGAAGCGCATACGAATCCCCCAACCAGAGAGCGGCTTCCCAACCATCTGTGGCATCTCCGCCTCAGCGATTTGTGCCAACATTGGTAACAGCCCGACCGGAACCAGAACCAGAACCCGAATCCCCCATCAGCATCTCCCCGATGGAAGGACACATCCCGATCCTTGCCCCAGGGATCACCCCAGACGCTGTCCTACGGGCACATTCCATTTCACCTCTTTCCCCACCATCATCACCCGAAGCCGACACTCACGACCTCAAAAGTAGCGAAGCTACCCCTGGCTCAATGGACACACTTTCAGTGGACACTCCAACTTGGAGTGATGCCAGTCTACGATCATACCTGGACGAAGAAAACGACATTCGCGACCTTTTCATTATTGTCCATGACAAAACCAACATCCCCCCAGCTGGTGTTGACCACCCTGTCACCGGACGCCTCTTCAAAGAAGAGAGCAAGAGATTGAAAGAGATGAACAATCAACTCGATGATATGCTCGTACAGTGGATGGCTCAGCGCAATCGACGATCTAGTTCCGCACGAAATATGCAGAGCTCAAGTGCATAGTCAATCTTGGTTGTACATGTTCATCTTTTACCGCGTCTCTGTTGATACATGCATAGGCCTGCCGATTCACCCATAGAAATCGGCTTCACGAGTTATGTTTGTGCTGGGCACATCACTTTTGGCCTTTTCCATTCTTTTTTTTATTTCTCATATCCGTCGCACTTATGTCCACCCTCACCCGACCTTTGACCTTCTGTTTGATCCTATCTGTTTTTGTCAAGGAAAGCGACCTTTGATTTTGATCTGATCAGCAGCTCACCTGTTTTCTCTTATTCTTGATTGCTTTCTTGTTCGCCGGAATACCCCGAGTCATCCGTCTCTATTTTTGTGGTTTTCGTTCTTTTTTTTTTTTTTTTTTTTTTTGGTCATAGTTGATCATCTTCGATAGATGACGTACTGTAGTAATATCATGTCTTCGGCCATGTGCTATGATCATAATAACGTTCAAATGTTCCAGCAAGTAATCATGCCAAGAGCGACCCCGCTCTTTGTCTTCGAACCCGCAGACCCTGGAGTATTATAGAGTAAGCGCATTCCAGAATTTTCGTAAGGTTGAGGCCCGAGGGTCGTGCGAGCAGGTCAGCCGCCCTGACCGTAATGCATACTATAACATCTGACTTTCACTTGACTTAGCGCGCCCCTAGGCCCCCAGTATATAAGCCGTAGTCAGTAGCCAGGGGTTTTTGTTAGCCGTGGAAAGTAATTTTTCTGGCTCAACCTCCAATCCTTCTCACCATCACTCAATATCATCATGGCTGACCCTTACAACCCTTACTCTACGTACCCCACACCTGCCCCTGGTGGTGTCGGTTACTACCCCCCAGAGGAGCATGTCCAACAACCTGCATATCCGTATCAGCAACCGTACGACAACTACAGCAACACAGAGCTGCAGCCACCCCCAAACTACAACTACAACGCTCAGTCAAACCCCCAGCACCTCGGTCCAAACACCTATCAAAATGGCGCACAGGAGAGGAGCTATACCCCATCAGGACAGCCAGACCATCTCGGCCCAGTGACGACAGGAATCCCACCTCAGCAAGGAGGCAAAACAGCTGAAAATATGGGATACTAGTAAGTGATGAAACAATAAAAACCAAACAATGTACTCTAGCCCATCACATTTATGTATTAACTCATCTTGCAGCGGCGGCCATCCAGAGCAACAACCTCGATATACATCATCTCCAGGTCCCAACCCACCAGCAGTGCATGTATCCGAGGCTTCTCAATACGACGAAGAAGGTCGCCCACTAGAGGCTGGTGATGGGGAAACTGATCGTGGATTAGGAAGCTCTCTTGCGGGTGGTGCGGCGGGATACTACTTTGGCCATAAGAAGGAACATGGATTGATCGGCGCGATTGGTGGAGCTCTTGTTGCCAATTTCCTAGAGGATAAGGTCAAGAATCATCATGAAAGTTCTTCTGGAAAACATGAGCAGGGGCATGGAAGTGAGCATGAACATGGCCATGGTCATCATGGTCACCATCATCACCACCATCATAGTCGGAGCCGGAGTCATTCGCGAAATCGTGGAGATGATGATGATTATTGAGAGGTCGCGTTGATGGAGGGCATGCGGGTTGAATTTGACGCGTTATGAGAATTACGATGGCTATTATTCTGATTATGCTAGGATTCAAACATTAAATATTTGTTAATTCGATGTATTTCAGATGTTATCTGGATTATTGGAAGGGCGCGTGTTCATGGCATGTGCTTAGTAGGGTCTGACCGTCTATGATATTACGCAATCGGGACTCTGTTTTGTCCAACTTGATGACGTGCTTTTGAGTATGATATTGCTTTCATTTGACACAACGTTGGGTCTTGTTTTCATTTCCCCCTTTCGTTGCCGATTTCTTATTCTTCATCACTCATTCATTCTGTCCCCGGTCTCGTGTCCCTCGGGCTTGCTTTAATCATTATAGAGCAAAGAACAGACCCTCAAAGCGCAAGCTGATTTTATTCAGTTTATTCAATCACTGAAATACTGAAAAGGCGATACTGTTGTTAAAGAGTGCCTGAAGTTAGGCACAGTACCCCTAATCAACCTCACTTCCCACATGTATATGCCTATATCCAAAATCTCCACTCGGATCCGCATACATAAGGTTGTCGATCAGGGTCCCGACACCTTGCCTGAAACAGCCAAACGCCCGGACATAAGATCCACTGTAAAGCATATCTCTTGGGAGTACTATACTCATATACCATAATGATGATGCTCGTCCTGATGCCTGAAAGAAAGGCACGGGGCAAGGATCAAAATACCCGACTACATGGACTATTCAGCGACTTATCTGGATAGACCGAGAAGCGATACGCCATGAATTTGAAAGGTTCCGACAACACCAATACGCCCGGGAACGCAAATCCTTTTGGCATGTTTGATGTCACCCCTTCACTCAGCATGCTGACTTGTTCGCTTCAAAGAACGTGCCTTGGACATATATTAGGCCGGACCTTCGGCTAGTGCTATGCATGGCTACTCGTACGACCTCCACAATATCCCCCGACTCGTTTGTGCCCATGATACACTTCTGCATCATGATTCTTGTATGATCATTGCCAGTTCGACCAGGGTGCATTGACATGTAATGCTGTACATAGCGTCACATTGTCACGTGGAGCTGCAAGACCCCTAATCTGGAGACTGCTTGCTTTTTTCTTTCTTTTTTCGCGATCTTTGATTTCAAGTTTTCTTTTCATGTCATTCATATCATTCAATCTTATCTTTTTTTGTTTCAAAACGAAGTGGAGACCAGTGACTAAGAAATTTGGTGTTAGATTCCCACCTATTCTGTTAATCATGGGGTGAATAATGACAAGGTCTTTCCCCGGAGTCGGCGGATCAAATCGGCTGAACGGTGATTGGCCACGACTTTTAGCTTATCTCGTGAGTCACGATAAGCCCCGATTTGGAGATGATCGCTTTCCCTCAGCTCGTGAGCTGAACCGCTGACTTGTCCTGCTTCCTTCAAGTTTGGAACTGACACTTCCCCTCTCTCTCTTCTGCTACACCTTACTGCTATATACATCCTCAGTACACCATCATTCTTGTGGTTGCTGGCTCTACATCTATCGCTGCCGTATACCTTATCAGCTTCGGATCGGCCCTCTCCGCCAGCGTCACTGACGTTAACTACCAAGCTTCCCCTCACCCCCGCCTCGAGACTTGCTCTTTGAGCTGAGAGGAAACATCACACACCATGTTTCCCCCGTTGTTACGAAATTTTCCAACTGGGTCCCTTCCTGATCACTGCGAACCCACGTCGTCTTTCTTGACCGCTATCTCCTCACATCTCCACATCTGTCTCCCCACACCTCTCGCGCTAATTTCCATTATCCTCGGAAACCTGAGTTTCGTGTCATGGCTATTCGCCCAATTACCACAGATCTTTAAGAATTATCAGTTACAGTCCACATCAGGACTATCCATCTTTTTTCTTGTCATTTGGTGTGCAGGAGATATCAGCAATCTCATCGGTGCACTATTCACTAGACAGGCGGGATGGCAGGTCATGGTCGCCTGTTACTACGTCTGCGTTGACGTGACTCTGGTGATCCAGTTTTTCTGGTACACACACTACAAATCACGACGTTACGAGGAATACGATGATCTGCAACCCCCGCATCATCACCATCACCACTACCAAGAGTCCGACGCACGGGGTGAATCCCTACAAGGCAACAATGCGACCCACCAGCCCCGGGGCCCGGTCGACATGACACCCAAGACATCGGATGTCCACGACATGGGTGTACAGACCGGCTCAACCTTCAACTCCACAGTCGCCCGGAGCGCCTCTTATACAAATGAGAAACAGTCCTCACGCCGACCCGTGCGCCTGGGTAGCAGCGCCACCAGCCCACCCTTTGCACTCCCCCGCACAATGCTGATTGCATCCCTGCTCTGTGCCGTCCTGGCAAACGCCGCTCCAACCGATGTTCACCCATCCCCTCACCCCCCAATCACCCACGCACCAAGCGAAACCATTATCGAGATCGTAGGCCGGATCTTTTCCTGGGCATCGACCCTTCTTTACCTTGGCTCGCGTCCACCACAACTGTACAAGAACTACCGCCGCAAAAGCACAGAAGGTCTCTCGCCATTGATGTTCCTCGCAGCTTTCTGTGGAAACTTCTTCTACTCAACCTCGTTGCTGACGAACCCCAACGCTTGGTCTGATTTCGCGCCATATGGTGGCGGTGGCTGGGCCGATAGCCATGGCAACGATCGCTGGGAATGGATTGGACGGGCGCTGCCGTTCTTCCTGGGTGCGTTTGGGGTCCTTGGGCTGGATGGGTTCATGGGAGTGCAGTTCCTTATGTACGGATCGCCCGATGAGGATGACGAGAGCTTCATCAGTTCAGATGATGCGGATGGAAAGCGTGGTCGGAGTCGGTGGAGACGTGTGCGCGGATGGATGCGTGGCTGGATTCCTTCGACTTCGCCACCTCCCGGTGAGCGAGAGCGCTCGCGTTCTGCGAGACCGCAGGAAGGACAAGCCCTTCTCGGTGCAGAGCAGGGGCGGTATGGTACTGTTTGATTGGGCTACACTTAGACCCTATATACACCGGAGATTTGTTTTCTCTTCTTTTCCCCACTTGTTCTCTTTATAGAACGCGAGACGGGGGTATGATACATTACGATTTGATGACTGTTGACTGTTTGCTGGACATGGACAGACTTTGATTTTCCAGAGCATTGGGCATAATTTGTTTTACTTGTTTTTTTTTGGCTTTTTTGTTAAACGACTGCATTTTGGTTGCCTCGGCACCATTTCAACATGTTTGGGGTTTCTTGAATCATACATGTACATTGGAGTTTTTTGTTTTGCTGGAGGGCAGGACTGGTAGATGGGGTGGGGGTGTCCATTGACCCTTGCATCCTTGTCAAGGTTGTTCTTCAGGCTGTGTACGGACTGGCATTTGGGAAGTGGGTGTACTTAAGTAGTACTTGCATACTATCATTATCAACGTGAAGCTTTTCAAATTTTCAATTTCAAAGCATAATCAGATCAAAGACCATGGGGATTTGAAAAGAAGAATAAAAAAATATCATACTACCTAATTTGGTCTATAGCCTGGCACCAATTCACTCCAACGTCCGCACCCCAAGGCACACTCACCTGTAAATCAAATTCCTCCACAATTTTTACAAGCAAATTAGACAAAAACAGTGCCAGAAGACCATTCAACCCAAGAGCCCAAGGCCCACCCCTTAATCCAACCATCTGAACCGCCCCTTCAAGATGATGCTTAAACATTACAGTATCCCGGATAAACAACTACCCACATGCATCGTTAGCCCCAGCAACCCAGTTGAAAGAAATACTAGGTACTCAATCTCTCACCTCATCAAAAGCTAGCATTATAGCCTGCGCCACCGTCGAGTCGCTAAAAACCGGTGCCTCGGCCGAAATCGCACACCGCAGCGACTGTAAACACTGCAATTTATACTGGAAGCCAAGCTGCGTAAAATATGACTCTCTCCATTGTTCCTTCGGATAATTCTTCGCCAAATGCCGACAAGATAAGAGAAACAAGATGCTCAGCAGACTAGCTTCGCTCAGTGCATGGGGCACCCATGTACATGTCATGCGCTGGAAGAACGAGGGAGGTGGCTCGTTACAGCGCATGAGTGGTATGACGCCTGTAACATCTGCGGACAAGATCACCATGTTAGCTTAGGGCTCGTTTGGCTTGGCTCGGCCGTGAAGCACAGATCGTGTGGCGGGATCGACGAAAGGTGTTGGCTAGCTCAGTGCGACGTACAGTGATCAAATAACATCTCTTCGAGTGGTTGCAGCTTCCTCGCATGGCTCGTGAATGGATCCCTTCTACTAGCTGACAGAATTGTGACGAGGCTCATGGGTGCAGGAGGTACATTGATACGAAGAAGTGCCTGTTGCGGCTCGGTATATGAAGTATTGGTATCGGGCTTTGCTTCACACTGGGCTCTTTCTTCGCGCTTTTTCTGGGCTTGGTATTGGATTGTTCGTTGGCGCCTTTCCTTGGCGTGTGCTGCTCGAGCAGCATGTGAGCGGGCGAGCTTTTGTTGAGCTGGGGTGGATTCTGGGTCAGTAGAATGGATGGAGGTTATTATGTACTGAAACTTCTGCGGTGCCATTTAGGATCAAGGCTTGATTGTATCTTGGCCTTTGGGCAGTTAATTTCAAAGACGTGGTCAAGTAGGAATCGAGGAGTCAGGATCAATAATGTCTATGTAACGTAAAGGAGAAGATTGGAATTTGCCAGCGTGTTATGGAAGCTCAGCTTGGGCAATAATGATCAGGAATTCTGGATATCATCGAAGTTCTAACCGAAACTGGTTAGTCTGTGGCTGCTTATTTTGAGTTTGCCAAGGCTTGGGCCTTCCTGAATAGGCAAGGTTCTATATATCTGATGCTGAGAATTGGCCCATGGGATTCCACCTTCATCCCCATCTTTAAAGGGAGCTTCTCAGAGTCTGCTGGCAATCTCACGTATTGTTAAAGTCAATCGTGGTGTAGACTATTCAGAACAATCAGACGCGTCAGCTTATGAAACCATTAATACGTTATCTCCGGATGCCAAACATCATAGTCTATAGGACTGGCCAGGGATATAAGGTAAAAACACAAATGTTCAACTTAATCAATAGAGTGACCGTGTCTGGGCTGGCTCTAAGACTCTTCAAAACTCGTATACATCCCGGAACGCGTACCGGTTCGTGGAAGCTATCGTAGGTAGCTCGGTCTTAAGAGGCCGAGATCAAGGCTGCTTATATCCGTCTCGTTGTTAATTTGTAAAGTCCAGTATGAACTAATTCGGGGTTTGGAATTCTACTTAAGTCCGCGCCAGCACTGCTTGAACAGGCCAATAGCTAAACATTGAAGGGAATACCCGTGCCAATACGTGTGCATCTACTTGTAGACAGCAAGGCTGCAAATTGATTTCAAAGCATATAAGCAAAGTATCCATTGAAGATCTTGGAAATGAAGCCTCATTGATCCACATATGCGCATGTAAATGAATGTATGGCCCCCAACATTTGGGACTACTACAGGCAGCTTCAGTAGGTATGTGTCGGGCTTTTCAATATAAAAAGGCCTTGGAAACCTTCCCATGTTTTTCACTCACCAAACCTTCGAATCTCAAAGCATTGATTACCTTAGTATCAAAAACCAACTTTGGAACAACTTCCCGACTTTTTCTTTCTCAAAATATCACAATGACGATTCAAGATGGAATTGAATCTCCTCGCCTTCCTAATATGCCAGATCATGCATTAATCGGCGAGGCTGCCAAAATCCCCATCAAAGCCCCGACACCTGTCATCTCCGTCAGCCCTATCATACTGCCAGCTCCAGATCGTATCATTGATTTACACATCCGGGTCTCTGCACCAACAGTTGGCGAAAATCTGCCAATTGTCCTTCTGTCGCACGGCCAGGGTAGATCGAACAACTTATCTTCTCTGAACGGCTACGGTCCACTCGTCAACTTCTGGGCTGCGCGCGGCATCGTCGTCATCCAACCCAGCCATCTTAGCTCCAAGACACTGAATCTCGGAGCCAGCACCGCTCCCGATGCACCACTTTTCTACCGCTCCCGTGTCCTGGACATGAAGCTGATCCTCGATAACCTCGATAAGATCGAGGCTGCATTCCCTCAGCTGCAGGGTCGTTTAGACCACAGTCGCATTGCTGTGGCAGGACACTCGATGGGTGGTAACACTGCAAGTCTGCTACTTGGTGCACGCTGCATTGACCCCATCGACGGCTCCGAGATCAATTTGCATGATCGGCGCATCAAGGCCGGTGTGCTACTCGCGGCACCCGGCGACGGCCGTAACGGCGATGGGCTTACCGAGCTTGTTAAGGAGAAGTTTGGATTCATGAAGACGCAGATCCATGCGGAGATGGAGACTCCTACTCTTGTCGTGACCGGCGAAGAAGACGGGGCTTCTTTCTTGACGACCCGTGGTGCAGAGTTCCACGCAGATGCGTACCATTTTAGCAAAGGCCCAAAGTCGCTGTTGACTATTGCTGGTGGGAAACATGGCTTGGGGGGTATCTCTGGCTATGATACCGCCGAGGCTGCGAATGATGAGAGTCCTGAACGTGTTGGTGTGACTCAACGGCTTACCTGGGCCTATCTGTATAGTCAGTTCTATCCAGAAGATTCCGCTTGGGTCACTGCTGTCGATGCTTTGGGTAAGTTGCCTAGCTTAGGCAAAGTCGAAAGTAAGTGACATTGAGTCGTGCTATAGTTTGTGGTATATGGGTTGTTGAGGAGACTGCCAAGATGTACTAGTGAAGACGATAATTTGATTTTTGAATATGACTTTGGGAACATACAAATCACTCAACTCAAACTTTCCTATTATTATTCCATAGCTCCAGGGGTCAATTGCAACAATGTAAATGCCACTGGCATATTTCAAAGTCGCCTGAATTCCAGATTTGTAAGATGCTAGATATCAATCCCGATGCCGGCCAAGAAATGGGGGAACTCGGGCCGAACAGTTCAACTTCCCCGCACACAACAATTCCCCCCATTCCAATTTCTTTTCTCCGCATTGATCCATGCATACCGACTCAATCCATTTATACCCTCTGCATTATCATACAGATATGACACAGAAGTCTCGAGTCTTGTTAGTCGGCTGTGGAGGAGTTGGCACCATCGCTGCTGTGAATCTTCAGCATGGGAACAAGGCGGATGTTTCCTGTGTCTTGAGATCCAATTTTGCGATTGTGAACAAAGAGGGGTTCGCGATTCGGTCGTGTGAGCATGGCGATCTTACAGCGTGGCGTCCAAGTCAAAGTCTGATGGCCCCGCTCTCAAATTGACATTTTCGCAGCTTTGCTAATCGATAAACAATAGTTCTGGATAATGTTCCTGACATATCAAAGTCAGACGACCCGCCATTCGACTATATCGTGTGCTGCACCAAAAACACTCCAGACATCAGTCCCATCGGCCAAATCATTGCCCCTGCAGTCTCGGCTGGCCACACCGTCATCGTTCTGATACAAAATGGGCTTAATATTGAAAAGCCCCTCATGGCCCAGTTCCCACAAAACATAATTCTCTCGGGCGTTAGTCGCATTGATGCGCACGAGATAAGCAAAGGTGTGATTGAGCAGAAGCAACGGGATCTGCTCTATATTGGACCTTTTCCATCACAGCCCCATGACGATGAATCCCTTCGCCGGTCTGCCCTGCATTTCATCGATATCTATGGAGCTGCGGAGAAAACTACGTGTCTATATAAGCCTGACGTCGGGCATGACCGCTGGGCCAAATTGGTCTACAACGCGACGCTCAATCCAGTTTCCGCTCTGGTCGACCTCAACACAGGGGAGCTTCAAATGACTTCTGTCATTGACTCTTTAGTTATTCCAGCCATGAAGGAAGTTATGCAGGTTGCAGAAGCTGCGGGTCACAAGCTCTCGGATGGAATAATCGAGGAAACGATTCGAAGTAATCCTATTGAGAAGATGATTACACCTAGTATGCAGGTGGATACTCAAATGGTGAGTTATGCTGTTTTTTTATTACTATTGTTATTGATCTTGCCTCTGACGATACATAAGGGATCATTTATTGAGCATGAAAACTTGCTGGGAGAGGTCTGCCGCGAGGCTCAGAGACTCGGCGTGAATGTTCCGATCATCTCTACATTATATTCTCTATGTGTTGCAGTTCAGTGGCGGACTAAGAAGAGCAAAGGTCTTGTAAATTTGAAACTCTCTTGAGTTGTCTCCACCAAATAGTTTCTTCTAATAGACAATATCCTCAGTACATACACTTCAAGGTTAGATATATGCAGGGCTATTCAAATGTGAGGACATAGAGATACTTATCAATATACCCGTGGACCATTCTGCCAGCCAAATTGAAGTAATGAATTGAAGAGGGGCCACGCAGCTAACAGTCCACCGTAGTACATGTATTAGCTTACATACCTTATCTCCGGATAAAACCGAACAGCTAGAATCTTTAACCACTTTCCATAATTTCCCATAATTTCCCAAACAGATGATCAACTGTTTTATGAATATCAGAAACATTTGGAAGAAGTAGCAGGATACATTCCGTCATTACTAGTACAGTATCAGTTGATTGCTAATATTGTCAGAGACTCAGAGCTCGGAAGGGAAAGACGCCAAGGCTTGCGCCTTCCAACTTGGGGAAAGCTGTTGAGGAACCTGTGATAGCCTGATAGGTGACAAATCTAACTCAATAAGATACAACTGGAGTCAATATTCATACAAATCAATATAATAGTATGTAGCTTATTTCTTATAAATACTCCTCTTGATCTCGTCAATCTTTATTTCAAACCTACATCACATCACTATCTCCCAAAGCAGTGCCCACCACTCTTGGAAATTTCCAACATGAATGGAACAGTTCTCATTACCGGAGCCAACGGCTCCCTGGCTCTTGGCTTCGTTCAATCTCTCCTGTCCCTCTACCCAGACCATACTCTTATCGCAGCAGTCAGAAACCCATCACCAGAAAAAGACCCCAACACAGCCAAGCTCATGGATCTGATTTCTCAATACCCGAATGCAAGTGCAAACGTCCACGTCGAAGCATTGGACTTGAGCAGCTTGGTCAAAGTCCGCTCTTTCGCAAACAAGCTCTCATCTCGCATCACTGATGGAAAGCTTCCGCGTCTGAAATCTGTGGTCTGCAACGCAGCCTCGATATCGCTGGGCGGAGGCCAGAAATTTACCTCCGATGGTTACGAGACTACTTTTCAAGTCAGCCACCTATCGCACTTTCTATTGGTCCTGAAGCTCCTCGAGAGCATGGATGTTGACTCGGGGCGGATTGTTATGCTTGGATCTATCACGCATTATCCCGAGAAACCGAATCCTTTGTACTCGTTAAGGACAATTGTTCCTACTGATATGGAAGATATGGAAGAGCTTGTCAAACCGGGTCCAGATCCGGCATCTCTGGTTTATGATCGAGGGTTTCAGAGATATGGAATCGCCAAGCTTGCGAATGTGACGTTTGCGAATGATCTGAATGACCGACTGAAAAAGGTGAAGAGCGAAATGGGAGAGAGAATTCAAACCTTGTCTTTCCATTTTGCACTGACCATGAGCTAATTGATTTCTTTATTTGACAGGATCCAAAACTATCGAACATCACCGCGCTTTCCATGGACCCTGGTGGACTTCCCTCGTCAAGAGGCCAAGCAGAGCAAAAGCCATTCGTTAGATTCATTTTCGCCGTTATTAACTTCCTCTTGCCGGTGCTCAAGCACTTGACGAATACCTTTCGAACGACAGAAGACTCCGGTCGAGATCTTGTTGCCGTTAGTGTTGATACTGCATTCCATGGAAAGAGCGGTTACTTGGTTGGACAGGTGCAGGGAAGTGCTGCGGTTGCTAGTGAGGACGTGGAATTTCAGAAGAGACTTTGGGATGCTTGTTGGAGATGGGCTGGTATGAGTGAGCGGGAAACGATACTTCAGAGCTATTCCTAGGCTCCGACTTTGGAAGGATCTGAACTTTCGAATGTTCCAAAAAATGTTGAACATAGCCACCGGCCCACGCTGTGCTGTCATTAGTATGCACTATATGCTTGGCCCTTGACCGCGTTAGTAACATTTGGAGTATATTTTGGGACTCAGAAATGCAATTGTCCTCAAGTATTAATGTTTGCTTTGCATAAGGATTTCTCATTTACCGGATATTCTCTAGTAACTGTTGGGATTATGATGAATTTGGCAGCCTGCTTTGGGCTGACGCTGTAAAATGAACGAACGGGCCAATCATGTCAGCAGGAGCAAGCTTGAAAGCCCGTGGGGGCGGGTCCAGCGGGTCTGGCCCGATCCTTTAAGCTCCGGTGCTTACTCAACCCGTACCCTCCAGACTTAGTGGTACTTTATTCATGATGGCGCAGTACTCTCTAGCTTAAGGTAAATATGGGACCAGAAATAGATCTGACCGATGAACTCAGGCAGCAGTTTCTGTACAGATCTTGCTTTAGAACTATCAATCGTTCGAGCTATGGAGTATAAAATGGGGACGCCCACCTGCAGTGTGGTGGCATTCTCCAGCTTTCCCCCAAAGAACATCATTAACTCGAAGATCGACACAAATTTTGTATAGCTAACTCTCATAATGGTTTGGCCAAGTCACTGCAGTAGGTTCATATTCACATCCATCTTTATATGTGATACTCCAGGACCCGTCTAACGCTAACATTGGAATAGATCTCTCTGACGAGAACGCCCAATATAGTTACTGTGCCAATGGCCCTGCCGCCATCCTATTCTCTGTCCTTTTTGGACTGACATGGATCGCTCACCTCGTGCAAGCGGTGGTCTACCGCAAACGATTCTGCTGGGTTATTGTCGTCGGTACCGTATGGGAATGCCTTGGTTTGATCATGCGCACCTACTCGACCATCAACCAGACCAAGTCAACAACAGCATCAGCTGCACAGATACTAGTACTTCTGGCCCCGCTATGGGTAAATGCCTTTGTCTACATGATCTTCGGTCGCATGGTATATTTCTTCCTACCAGAGAAGAAAGTGATTGGTATTCGGGCCGAGAAGCTAGCCAAGATATTCATCTGGCTGGACGTGAGGTGAGTGAGAAGTTTAAAACTGGACACACCCCAGAATTACAATTGGATCTAGCTCTGACTCGTCACCTACTACATACAGCTCCTTCTTCATCCAAGCGACCGGCGGCATCATGGACTCGGGCTTCAGCAACCAGGCGGACCGCATCGGACTGCATATCTACACGGCTGGTATTGCCGTGCAGGAGTTTTTTATTCTATGCTTCTGCGGACTACTGGTCGTCTTCCATCGGCGCATGCTGCAGGGGCTTGGTGACCAATCCAAGGGCCACCACTGGAAGACATTGGTGATTGCCATGTACGCTACTTTGGGATGCATCACGGTATGCCACTCTGTTTACTTTACAGGAATAAAGATTGCAGGATGCTAATAGTATTGTAGATCCGGATTATCTACCGGCTGGCTGAATTTGCTGACATCAACACGGCCGGCACCAGCCCGTTGACCGTCAACGAGACGCCATTCTACGTTCTTGAATGCCTTCCTATGTTTACCGCGATGATCATCTGGAATATCTGGCACCCGGGCCGTTATTTTCAAGGCGACGAGAGTGAATTTCCCAAGAAGGTGAAGATATCACGCAAGGAGAAGGCTCGCATGAAGCGGGAGGCCAAGGAGCGTAAGCTTCACGACCGCAACAACTCGTCTACCTGTGAAAGTACACACATTTCTGAGTATCAGCATACGCAACTGATGGAGAGAGGAGATATGGAAGAGGGCATGACGGGGAGATATTATGTAAATACAAGAAGCAATGATTTCGCACTATAGAGATGTCGAATTTTTCTAGCAATAGATGTGGCGCTGAGAGAGCTATCTAATACCCGTTCCAATTCAGCACAAGAAAGAAAACGTTCAATAATGATATCGGTATCAATGTTCACAGAGATTGAAACTGTACTTCTCAAACGTATTATTTTGGTCCTGAGAATCCACAGCCCTCTCCGCCATAAGTTCCAATCGGAACTTCTTCGCCTCTTCCATAGTCATCAACGGTTGCAACAAACCTTCATCGCAAACCATATTTCCCAACTCAGCAGGAAGTCTCTTGGAAAGTAACTCTTGCGTCAGATCTTCCTTTTCTTTCCCCCAATCCTCTTGCTGCGGAGGTACGTTTGCAGTGGAAATAATCTTGATATGGGGATCAACGAGGAACAAAGCAAGGATTTTCCGGTGACCAGGCCTTGAGCGATCATCTAGCGAGAATGGCGCAACACGGTGCTGCACGACATTGGGGAAGGTGAGAAGTCGGCCTTGGCGACAAATGACGCCTCCTAATTCCTGTGTTATCTGGGCTTCGATAGATGTGCCGGTCACATCCGCGTCAAGTCCGTAAATTACTTGGAGGAATTCGTGTCGATCTTGGGGATAGTGAACACGCCGCTCAAGTGCACCCCCATTGGTACGTTGGCGAAAAGCAAGAGTGCTTTCTGTGATGTTTTCGCTGTCGTAGTAGTAGATAGCGGTTGCACAGATGTGTTCATTCTGTAACATAGTAAGCAATGAGATTGAAAAAAAGACAGATTGACCAATGATAGAAACGTATTAAACTGGGGGTTTTTCCTCACCAATTGACCTTCAATATGCCACGATCCTCCGTCATATTCGGGCTTCTCAGGAGATAGCTCAATATTGGCCAATTTTACTATAACCTGTAGTCCGGTCTTGCCAAAGTTCATTAAACTTGGAGATTCCCGGGCAGTTTTATGTTCCTTGAACTCTTCCGGTTCCGGCATTATGATCTTCGAAGATAATTCCCAGGCCGAGTAGCGTTCATCGAAATCGTCTTCTGGTTCATTGGGCTCTTGCTCCGGCGGCGGACCGAGCGATTCCTCGTCGTATTCAACAACGTCATACAAGATCCGGTTCTTGGATCCCTCGCCTGCCAGACTTCTATTCCACAAAGGAATAGCACATGAAATGATCTTCTCAATGACACCGTACAAAGTACGATGCTGAGCAGGATGAAGATTGTTGATGTAGGAGACAATGCGGCATTCAGGCTCCGCTGAATCAGTGGCACTCAATTCAACGTTGCAAGGGAGCCACTGGAATTTGCAACTGTAGAATTCTTTTTCAACTCCGGTCATCCATCTGTCGTCTGAACTTTCCGAGAAGGCAGGGAGTAATTCTCCCTGTCCCGTGGTACCGATGCAGTTTTCAAGAGTAACCGACTCGTTGCGCAATATACGAGTGCGTCCGTATATCAGCGGAAAGAGCGACGGATGTACCAGATCAATGACTTTTTCGTCGGATCCTGGATGATAATCTTTCTGGTCGTCTGGTACATCTTCAAGAGGAGCCACTGCATCTGCAAGGGCTTTTCGCAGTTCTTCTGAAATTGCGGTATCTGATTTAACCACGCCCTTATCAAATGCAGTAATGAATCCATCGGTTTCGATGAGCTTGGATTTCCATTGAAGTTCCTTGACGATGTAGTCCATCATTTTGGGAGAGATATCTTGGCCACTGTTGAAAATCTCCTCGCGCCATTTCGAGACAATCTCCTCATGGAAGATCTGCGTTCGCCATCAATTAGTGCACTGAGGGGACCATCGTTGGTGAATAAATCCGAATCACCTTTTTGTTCCACTCTTCCTTTTCAGTAATGGCGTTCATCACACGCATCATTAAGATCTCTCGATGAACTTTTGTGGATCTACAAAAAGATCAGATCGCTGCATGTTCTGAACTCCTTTTTCAAACTCCTTACTCTTCTGTTTCTTGGAGTGCATGGGGATAAAGAAGACGAGGGCGGAACACGTTCAACCAGCCCTGTGGTGTAGGTATCAGCATTTTCCATCAATGATCCATAGGACCATAGGTCAGGGGTCAGGCCTTACGGGAGGTACATAGTTCAGAGGCAGGTTAAATCCGGGCAGACCAGACTGTTGTTCAACAGGGTTAGCAGGCATTTCTGCTGCAAGACTGGTCTTTTTGATGGTCGAAGCCCTCAAGTGCAGGAGCGTTTGATTGAGGCCCGGGGGGAAGACAGGAAATTTAGAATTTATATAGTCTCGCGAGCCGAGCCAAGACCGGACCGCGCTAAATCTTGGCGCCCAAGGCTACCAGGGTCCAGGGCGACTGCCTAGAGGATGCCAGGCAAGTCGATCCACGAAGAAGGAGTCCATTTGACAAGATAACTAAGAATGGGAAACGAGAGAGAAGGAAGAAGACCAAAAGTTGAAAACAACATTGAAATGAAGCAGGCACATATACACGTGACGCAGCCATGTAACATGTTGACCCAGTGCCCCGGCCTCACTCAGGAGTCAAGCTTCATTCAGTACATGACAGAACATCAATATTGCACACTTTTGAATAGCTGAATGGCATCCACGCACGTAATACCTATCCTATCCTAAGGATCGAATAGAGATAATCTGGAGTAAATGCAGAAAAAAAAAATAGATAAAAAAAAAAAGGTTGCCCCGGCGCGGCTTTGATCCACGAACCTTCCGTGCTCATATTATTAGAGACATTTGCATGCCAATTCCTGTGAGGGATGGTGACATAAGACGGATGCGCTTCCAAATTGCGCCACCGGGGCCTAGTAACCGATCTACCCCCGAAACACCATAATGTCCCCTCAACATTCCGGCACATTGGGTATTTGAGACCTGCGTTTATCTTTCTTCTCAATTTAAGATACAAAGTAAATCCGAAAGATAAAACAGCACTCATTTGTCATTTCAAGCCTCCTTGAAGATATTTGAAGCTTCAATCTTTCCACTTCAGTATTATATAGGCCAGCAAGTCACGTGCTCTCGCGCCCCTCCACGCGGTCCCGCGCGACAGTAAGAAAAAGTTGGAGGTAGTATCTCTCCATTGTCTTGCTTGATTTAGTCACGAAAATAGCTCTTTGTCTCTGACATGAATTATATTAAATCTCCCGTTGCTGCTTGATTGTCTTTCCAACTTGTTCTTCCGCCCACCATGCCCCGAAAATCCCAAAAGAAGCAAACGCGACTCTCATTTGCTGCCATACCCTCAGCACCATCCGGAGAAGGCAGCGAAGAAGATAGTGAGCGCTTCCGAACACTCTCATATGGACACCCAAGTCTAGCCTCTGTGCGCCCGAAAAAATTGCGCAAGGCCCAAGCAGCATCACCGGAGAAGAGCTCTTTCAAGAAAGAAACGGGCCCAAAGTTGAAGGAAGAGTCTGAGAATGAAGTCCCAAAGAGGCTTAAAAAAGCGAGCAGTAAGCAATCAAATCAAAATTTGGCCATGCGCGCCATTTTTCAAAGAATTCAAGCTCGAATTTGAGGCTAAAAATTATTAGCGCAATCGTCGCAAAGCACAGAGTCCTCCGACAACCAAATACTCGTTTCCAGCGGTTCGAAGAGAAGAAGACGTGTTCCGGCCAACTTCGAGATAGAAACCGCCGTGAGTGCCTCCAAGGCCGACAACCCCAAGAATGAGAAGAAGTCGCGGCGCCGTGCGCCCTCGCCTGTCCAACCCGCAGAACCGGAGGAAACGCCTCGTCCACGTCGCAAGTTGAAGCGGAAGGCAGAAAGCTCCCCAGTTATAAACCTCGACTCGAGTGACTCGGAACAACCGGTGATAACCCCATCTGCCCAACCTGTTGATGAAGAGGAAACGCCTCGCCAACGTCGCAGGTTGAAACGAAAGGCAGAAAGCTCTCCAGTAATAAATCTCGACTCGGACGATTCGGAGGAGCCCGTCATGTCTTCGCCTGTGAAACGGAAGAGGTTGATAGCGGGTCCGAGGACGCCTGAGACGCCTCGTGGCAGTGGTAACCAAGACGACATGGACATTGAGGAGGATGTGAAAGATCTCGAGGACTCAGGTATACACCTAGTCTGGATATGAACACTCTGTGATATGTTGGCTGACAGTTCTTTTCCACAGTGGTTAAAAAGACACGAACGCGAGGCCACCTTCATGGATCGGCACGAGACAAGAGATTCAAAACTTTGGAAGCTATCCGCCGCAAGCGCTTAGGGCTGAAACCAGAAAGCGACGACGAACTTTCAATTGGTTCCGAAGAAGAAGAAAACCAAGATACCCCAGATGAGCAAGAAGCTGAAGGCGACGAGGAGGAAGACAACAACAGCGACGCTGAATCGGCGCACCCAAGTAACGAAGATCTCGATGCCTACGAAGACGACTTTGTTCTCGATGACGACAGCGTGCTACTGGGTGTCCCCACCGAAGAAATTCCCCTTGAATTCACACGGCATGCGTACAAGAAACCCAAAGACTACTTCCGCGACGTAGTTGGCTGGATGGTATTGAATCGGCTGGACCCCGCATTCCCGCGCTCCGACGCAATGTACGAGATGGCCTTCATGAAGCTAGAGGACGAAGTCAAGGGCCGAGCAGGCTCCCAATTAATTTCGTCAGTCTGGAACGCCGACTTCCGATATTCGCTGCTGGCACGTCCGCAAATTGAGATAACGAGCTATCCCACATTCGACGATCACCCGTGTGATGCTTGCAATCGATCCGGTCACCCCGCATCAGTCGACATGAAGTTATACGGCAAGCCCTATTCTCTACAGACGCTTGAGGCGCTCCACGACAGCGACGCAGACACCTCCAGTCAAAGCCAGGCCAACGATTCAGACTCAGACGAAGAGGGGAGCAAAGCGCGTGGTGTGGACAAGGATCGACAGGGACACAAATTGCCGGATGAAAATTCGCGGTTCCTTTTAGGCCGGTGAGTTTTATGCTGTTGGTAGTGTGTTTGCAACGTGAAACTAATCCAAGCAGACAATGCGCGGCCAAATCAAGACTAGCACATACCCTCACCCATTGGCGGTATCATCTCAATGAATGGGTTGTTGATTATCTTGATCGGATGGGCCATATGGCTGATGCTGAGGTCTTGCGCCGTAATGCTCTGAGCCAAAAGCGGAAGACTAGAAATGGGATTGCGGTCCTCGAAGGGATGGTTGAAGCTGGTGAGGTCGAGAAGCTTTGGCGGGACTTCCACAAGAATTTGAAGTCTGCCCGAGACACAATGGTATGTTATATGCTCTCTGGGTCGACATTGGAGAATGTAAATCTAACATGGCGTTCTAGTAATGTATCTTGGTATGGACCTGAATCTTGGAGTGAGCGTGATTTTATAATTGCGTTGCATTTCTTTCCAGATGTCCGATTATGATTCCTTTTTTTGTTTGCGTTACGACAATACCCTTTCGTCTTCAATGTTCTTCGAGTCGTGCGAGTTGCACCCTGTATATATTAGCTTGACACCATAGACCACAACATATGAAAATGCCACCTACTACATATAATACCAGGCGTAATACAATTAACACAGCAATTTTTTTGCGCAATAGTTCATTCAATGTTAGCAGTCATGTCGTCGGTGAGTTATTCGAGCGCTACAATGCAAGTACATTCTCAAGTGCTGGCAGCTATTAATAGGCACACTGGTATAAAACATTGAAAGTCTCCAAAAGCTTACGTCCTACACGACAAAAGCACATCGCATGCTTATTTGCAACATCCATTTTCATCACCTAGACATACAATCTCGAAGAACAATGACATAACAAGAAAACAAGGGCAGAATAGTATATGGGGGACATGGAGAGGAAAAGAAAATGGTGATTGTTGTACAAATACATGCATGCATGAGCTGCCAGAGCCAAGATTCTGGGACAAGACATCAAGGAGGCAAGGGAAAAAAAAGAACAAAGCCAGCAGGGCTGGCCAAGGTACTGAGCGATTCGAAAGACCGGAACCAGCATCTCAAAAGCACTTGTTTTATGATTAAGGCTTTGTATTGATCGAGATAGCGGTTGTAGACCCAATAAATAGACTGGGGATGGGTAGATTCTGACCCCTTTTCTTTCACCAATTGAATCACGTCATTGTGGTATTGTGTTCCTTGATGGCGATGCGGTCGGAATTCGATTCACTCGGGTCCAGCTTCAACCCGCGCTGGTTTTTGAAGCGATATTAATTTACAGAATTTGTTGAGACTCCTGCTTCTCGGGCTCAGAGCCAGGGGTGAGCATCTATGAGATTGAGCTGTCAGCGACCGGAGCAACATAAATCATCTGTGGATGGGGATGTATGACATGGTACTTGCTCCTTCGCAATGCCACCTTACACAGACTTCCAGCCTCATGAAATAAGATATTAAACCATGACGACCGACGGTAGGCAATGTATAAGGAACGGTGCAGAGGGTTCCGGAGAACAGTAATCCAAGTCCAGATAAAAGGGAAAAAAAGATAAAAACGACGTATAACATACCTCATTGGCACCCTTAATCATACCCTGCTCCCGCTCCATCTGAACGTACTGCTCCTCCTCGGCGTAGGCGAGCGCCCAGGGGACACCAATCAGGAAGGCGCTGGTGCTGATAATCCAGAGAGCCTTTCCGCTGAATGCCAAGCTGGCCTTGCCGAAAGATGTGATAGAAGAGATGGAGCTAGTGACAGTGCGGCGAGCGGAGGGGGGAACGATGTCCTTCAAGGCAGCGAGACGGTCGGCGAGGGTCTCCTCCTCGACCTCATCATCTGAAGCATCCGAGATTTCCGAGTCTGTTTAAATCAAAAAGGCGATGTCAGATGTTGTTCTGATGAATTGATGGGTGTTTTCATTTCTTGAGTCTCGGGGGATTTATGGGACTCGCGCCCCGGAGTTGCGATGTGTCAATTGTGACTTGAGCCCAATTCGGGTAGGAACACATTTCCATTGACGAATTTCGAGAACAGTGTAGATATATGATGACCGCGCGATGCGACTCGCGTGACTATCGGGCGGAGGGAAGTGTCGAGTACTTACCGGTGTCGGAGTAGTCATCCTCGTCATCGGAGACCAACAAAGCATCGTGCTTGCTGGGGGTGGGCTTATCGGTGAAAGCCTCGTCTTCGACCTCGGTGAGCTTGACCATTTTGGCGGTGGTGGTGGGTTGGGATGGGGAGAGTTTAATGAATGTAGTTAGAGGGTGATGGATGATGAAGGAAGCGCGAGTTGGGACGCTCCGACTTTTTTGCCGGGCAAAAGCGGCGAGCGAGCTCTGGGACTTGGGACTCGGGGACCCGCTCGGAACAACGAACAATACAATGACGACAGAGAAAGAATTACACTGATTGAAAAGATTATTGATAATTGAATAATTGAATAATTTACAGAGTTGGGTAATTCAGAATGTCTATCTAGCATACACACATTTTATCCCAGTGGTATTTCCTTGACCTCTGTAGATGTCAATGGCGAGTCTGGACTCATCACGGATACACCTGACATTTTACAGACTGGTCGCTCTATGGCACGATATTGAGATCTATATTTACCGCCGACCAAGCTTCCATCGAGCAATGCGCTCTTGGATCTCTTCCCAGGGGAAATTCCGCTGCTTGTATCCCTCTACCTCGCCCTCCTGCAACACGACAGTAGGCTTGCCAGTTCCCTTGCCCTTGTTCTGCACGTGACCGCCAAAGACCTGGCTCGCCACGCGGCGGAGATCTTGAACAGTCAAAGCCTCAATCTGGTTGCACATCTCCTTGACGCTGACCTTACGGCCGTGCACCTGGACCTGGCGTCCAAGATCCTCGAGCTCAACCATGCGAGACTCGAGATTCATGAGAAGGGATGATCGAAGCTGGTTCTTCGCACGGTTCACCTCCTGGGTTTGCAGAGCAGAGTATCCATTGTCCAGGGTAAGCGCCTGCAGTTCGCGGCACATAACCTCAAGCATCTCTGTTGTGCGGGTAGGGCTGCAGGAGGCAGAAATACCGAAGACACCGCTGTCCGTGTAGCTGTGGTTAAAAGCAATGCAGCTCTCGACCCATCCGTGCTGGTTAAGAACGTTGGTGTAGAGTCTAGAGTACATGCCCTTGCCGGGACCACCGGCAGAGAAAGAGCCACCACCACCCAAGAGGGTCTGAAGAGTAGCAAGGGCGTAAATATCAGGAGAATCGATAGGGAGGGCCTCGAAAGCAAGGTGAATGTAGCTCAACCGAGGCAGCATAGGGTTTGCCGGCGGCGGAATGATAGGAAGGGCGATAAAACCACCAGTGTAGTGAGCGGGGCGACGGAGATCCAATGCAGATGGTTCAATCAACGAGGGGTGGAGTGGCTCAACCGAGTTGTGCTTTTGTGATCCAGAGAAATTCTTGAGGAAGGGAAGCTTCGAGAGGAGGGAGGAATGAGTGTTTTGCGAGGCGGCTGGTGTGCTGACGGTCGACGAAGCTGTGAACTGGGGGACAGTTGGGATCTGACCCTCTCTGGCGACAGTAGGGGAATCGGAGAGTGTGGTATCAATTCCGGAACCAGAAAGAACGGGTCCCTTGCCGTGAGCAACGTCGCGGCTCTTCATGTCTCCAAAGTATTGCTGTGTGAGCTGGACGGCCTCGGCGTGGGGCACGCCGGCAAAAGCGACAACCATGCGGTCCGGGTTGAAGAAGACCTCCCGGTAGCGCTCCACAACTGCTTTGTTGATTTCACCTAGCCTCTCCTCTGGACACAGCAGAGGGTTACCGAGTGTGTTATCCTTGTAAGCTGTCATGTGGACAAGCTCCGGCAGGATGAGTTCCGGCTTCGCCCAAATCTCGCCAATCTCATACTCTGCTGTGGCAAGTTGTTCGAGAACCTCTTGCTCGGTGATGAGAGGATCCCGGATGGTTTCTGCGAGAATACCGAGAGTTTGAGGAACCGTTGAGTTGAAACTCGCGGACTGGTACATCAATGACTCTCGCGAAGACACGCATTGAAGACTACCACCCAGGGTCTCCATGACCTCTAGCATCTCATCACTTGAGCGCGACTTTGTAGACTTGAAGGCTAACCGGTCCATGATATGACTGACACCACGCAGGCTTGCATCTTCGTAACGAGAACCGGCATCGACGTAGACTCCAACACCAGCAAAGGGACCCGATAATGATTCTGTGGCGACGCGAACTCCATTCGGGAGTGTGGTTACTTGATCGAGCTCGGAGGGGTCCTGTGTGAGAAGAAAGCCGGCGGGTCAGAGTTGTTCTTGCAGCAAAGAAGATCAAGGCTAGATACCTTAGCGGAGTTGCGCTGAGTAGCAAAGCTTCTCGCCGAATGAGGAGCTCTGGTCAGAGGCTTTGCGGATTCGACCGCCCGCAATGCAGTGCGACGCATATTTCCTTTCATTGGGATACGCGTAACAGGTTAATTATTCAGGTGTGTTCTGCACGCCTTTCTTGGAGGGAATCCGGGGGAATCGGGAAACATGTGTCCGCGAAGAATCGATTCCGGAGCGCAGCACCGGCACGATTACCTAATCGGTCGCATGATCTCGTTCCTCGTCGATGAAATGATATTAATGGGGTCTATTCACTAATTAAAATGTGGAATGATTAATCATAACCAATTCGGCTGGTCTTTTTTTCCCAATTATTTTGTGATTGGATAGTTAGTACATTGTAGCGTGGTTTGCTTACCAAGGGCTTGCAGTCTAGAATTCTTCAATGTTGATGATGGCTATGACGACATGTTTGTGAACCAACCGAATCGATCTTATACATAATTTTATTCATATTACTTTACTTCATTCTGTTTTGATCTACCAATCTATACTATTTATAGGTGTTCCGAAGCCCATTCACGGTACCAATCAAGACAAGTAGCATTGGCAACACTGGCACCGATCTTAATGTTGAGCCCGCACAAGATCTGCTTGACCGCGTTCTCGACCTTCTTGCCATTGGAAGTCACTGGGATCTCAGGACAAGCATCAATGATACCTGGAACATGGCGGGGACTTAGCTCTTTGCGAATGATAGCTTGGATACGGGCCGCCAGATCAGGCACACTGGAAGGACTACCAGGAGCCAACTTCATGAAGAGGACCACCGTTTCATCAGTGTCGATGCCCTCGCGTCTTCGCCCAACGCACAAAGAGTCTTCGATTTCATCAGCGAAATGCTTGAGAAGAACATTGTAGATCTCCGCGCTCCCGAAACGAACGCCAGAAGGCTTCAGGACACCATCGCTGCGTCCGAGCATGACCACACCACCAGTTTGTGGGTTCACGCGTACAAAATCTCCATGGTGCCAAATTGAAGGGCCGAAGACTTCAAAGTAACTCTTGCGGTACTTTTCCTGGCCTTTAGGACCGGGTGGCCAGAACATGACCGGTTGAGCTGGGAAAGGTACTGTGCAAACAAGGTCACCAGGTTCTCCCGAGGCACTAATGTCATTCCCGGCGTAGTCAAACACGGAGACTGCCATACCAAGAGAGCGGCACTGGATTTCCCCCTTATAGACGGGGAGAATTGGGCAGCCAGAGCAGAATAAGGAGAGAATGTCCGTGCCACCCGTAATGGAGCCCAGCATAATGTCCGGGTGGATAGAAGAGTAAATGTACTCGAATGTGGATGGGGCCAAGGGAGATCCAGTGCTGAAGATCGCCCTGAGAGTGTTGAGAGGGACTGGTCGGTGAGCATGTTTACGGGGATTCAACGCCGCTTGCTCTAGCATTGAGAGATACTTGGCCGAAGTGCCGAAGTGAGTGATCTGGAGCTCACCGATGAGACGTGGCATGGCCATTTCTCCACTGCCTCCCTCAATATCAAAAGGCCGGAATGGGGATCCATCGTAAAGGACAATAGTCGCACCACTTGCCAACCCAGAGACTAACCAATGCCACATCATCCAAGTTGTTGTTGTGAAGTAGAACAGCCGGTCACCTGGCCGAATATCGCAATGCAGAAGGTGCTCCTTTTTGTGCTGCAACAATGTGCCCAGTGAACCATGCACAATGGGTTTAGGTGCACCAGTAGTTCCCGAAGAGTACAGGATATACACCGGGTGATCTGGCCGCAAACTAGCGAATTGTAAGGGGGCTGATTGATCTTGAACGGCAGCTTCGAAATGATCATAAGTCATGGCCTTGCCGTTCTGTGGACGGAGTTCATCGAAACTGAATTCCAGAGACTTGGAGGTCTCAAATACTACCAAGATCTCCAAATCCGGCAATTCGGAAACTAGTTCGCGCACCTTAGCATGAGACCCATGCACCTTGCCGTTGTACAGTGATGAATTGTCAGCAAACAGGATCTTAGGCTCAATCTGTTTAAGGCGCTCGAGAACTGCATGAACTCCAGTATCTGGAGAGACGCCTGTCCAGAAAGCACCAATAGACGCAGCAGCCAGCATTGCCACAACAGTGTTGGCATGGTTGCCGACAAAGCCAGCCACACGGTCACCGGTCTGCAAGCCTGATTCTTTAAGGGCATTGGCGCACTTTCGAACTCGTTCGCGAAGTTCCTTCCATGAAATGAATTCGCGATCAGCTTCGGTGGCACCGATCACGGCGATAGAATTCTCATCCGGCATGCTGACCGGGTAGAGGAGATTCTCAGCAAAATTCAAGGTGCTCCCCTCGAAGAACGCCGGTCGAGGGAAAAGCGCTTGATCGGATTGGAGAACCTGAAATGGAGATTAAGTATGTTGACTGGGGAACCGAGGGTCACGGAACTGACCTGGCGATATTGTTCATGGGCTTTAATTCCTGTATAGTGCCAGATTTCTTCCCAAAACTTGGCCGGTTCTGAGATGCTCCATTGCCAGAGATCATTGTAATCGGACAATGATAGTCCATGCCTGTTGCTCACTTTGGTCATGAAATCGTAGATTTGTGTTTTCTCAGGAGATGAAGGTCGCCAGAGCTCCTTAGCATCCAGGCTAATATCCTCGTCGATGTGCGGCATTATGGCGTCAGTGGTAATCAATCTCAAGGTTGAATATTGTATATAGAGACAGCAGTGATATACCAAAAAAGAATTGAGGTCTGACAGGAGTTGGTGCTGGGCGAGAGAAAAAAAAGTTCTCTGCTATAGAAGACTTGGTGAGAAAGGTCTCAGGGTCATTGGCTACCTGGGCTGCTCGCTGGGATGTTACTGGCGCACTTTCTTATAAGCGCACTAAAAAAAGACCTTGGAATCGAACTTGCAGGGGCTCGACTCAACCTGTGGATGGAAAAGGTAAGTCTCACCAAGCAATTGCCCCAACAAGGGATCGTGGGGCGGCTTCAAGCGGGTATTAAGTTGCCGCGGCTGCGGATATAAAGACGGAGGTCAGAGGCTACACGGTAGTTTCTGGAACAACCACGATTGGATATTTGAATGAAGGATGTTTTGGAGATTTAGAAAGGCGAAATTTCTCTGGAATTTACAGGCCATTTACGGGTTTACATAGTTTTATCAAAGTATCATCGGACAAGCCTTTAGAATAATACCCTGGTCCCTGCGGGATCAAATGCGGAATGCGGGCAGCGGGAGTGACAGTGGATGCCTCAGGCCAAGATATACAATTCCCACGGTCTCGACCGTTTTCATGCGATTTTCGATGGACCGTTCCCTAGGTAGTATCTGGCCTAGTGGAAAGATCCATCATATACCCTGGATGGAGTAATCGGGAACTAAAATGAACACTGTCCGTGCTCCTTGTATGTTAATCCAACGCAGCTTGCATTCCTTATACAACAATCTCTCAGAGGACCATGGCATGTATGTACGAGAGCACCACGTTTCACTTGCAGTAGCCAGTAGCCTAGGGCATAAGGTACTTTCCTAGATTGCTTAAAAGAGAGGAATCAAGATCGGAGAAGCGCAAAATGAAGAGCTATTGGCGGTAAATTTACAACACAACCGGACTATAGGGGGGAATCCACTGTAGGTTTGTGGTCAGAGACACGTTCTACAACACTGAACGTATCCACCAAGGATGATTGTGATATGAACACGGAGTATGGAGTACAATGCCACAAGACTTGAGTTTCCAAGTTGAATGATTGCTAGACTCCCTTGGCCGACAAACCAGAAAAATGATGATGTAGTATTAGAGCAGAAGGCTGATCCATCCAAGATCTGGATTCCAGGGATCAAGGTTGTAACCATGGGTAAGGAGTAGGTTCACCACTTAATGCTACTCTATGGTCCAGAGTAAGGTGTTCTGCTGTAGAGCTCAAAATCCAAGAGAATTCGAAGAAATTAATGCATCAATAGTCTTGTCGTGGGTGGAAATTCAATTTGGGGGATGAAGGTAGGGTTTTCCAGGGGCAATGGATCCACTGTGCTCCATACACACACAGTCACTAGCTCAGCTCTGCGTAAGGCCCCCCTGTTGTTATTTCGCGCATGCAGGTCCGGCCTTTCAAGTTGTTTATAGTACTCTGCAGAACTGTCATGGGTGATTCCTTGGGATAAAGAGGATAAAGTATATGTGACCTTGAGGAGTCAATTGCCTAGAGCCCAATAGAAAGTAACTGGTACCTGATTTTGTCTGGACTCGGGACCACTTTTGGTTGCCGGCACTAGACGGATGAAGAAAAAAAGAAAAGAAAAAAGAAAAAAAAGAAAGAAAAGAAAAGAAGAAATTAAAACGGTAAGAAAAAGCCCCATCGGTAATGGGGCTGTAAGTTACATGTATTGGTGGCTACCATCCAATCAAATGATAAGAGGCCTCGTAATAGCCACGTCTTCAATTCAATACCAGGAGGCCATAATCCTGCTTTGCATGAGAGGTTTATGAGACGCAGCAGGTACACAACGGGTCTACCAGTTCCACCTCCAATCTTCCTCCTTTCCTCCTTTTCCATAGCCTAATTCTCCCTTTACAGTGTATTTGTGGGAAGACCCTTATCAGTTTCAATTTCTCGAAGCTGTGGGCAGCCCCTTTGTTCTTGTGTTCTTTACCGTTCCACGTGTGAAGCCACAATTCTACCAAGCCTTGCCCCGGAGGTTGTCGGATCTGCCTCCCGCGACCAAAATCAGTCCAGTGTACGTACGAATCATTGGAAACCGAGCTCAGAGTGACTTCACCCTTATCGCCATTCGATTCCTCTGTTTGCCAACGCGCACACTTCTATCTTCATCTCGATGCTCGTTTGACCCACACGCTCCTTGAGACCGATCGACTAACCGGACGCCACTTCTTCCCCCCTCCTCAGAACATCACTCTGGTTGTTATCGGACCTTGTCGAAAACACCCACACAATACGGACGCATACGGAACAAGAAAAGAGTCTCTCGTGAAGCTTCGCTTCCTCAGACTTTTTCGGGTAGTCCCTGCCTCAAATCGTTGACGTGGACGCGTGAAAGAACCCACGCGCCCCCTATAATTTGCCCCGACGGTAAAATCTTACTGTCAGCCTGTCAACTCCCGAGTCGCTACTTCCCTCTGCGATGCCTCGTCGGTTCAGCAACAACTCTTCCATCGACACCCCTTCCTACTCTCCCTCCCTTTCACCTTCCACGGGAAAGGGCAGCAACGTCACCAAGGCGCCCTCGGTCAAGTCCCATCGCCTGTCCCAATTCTTCTCGGTCTCGCCCAAATCCAAGGCCGACTCTCAACCTACTCAGTCGACCCCTCTGTCGGCCAGTGGGAATCCTAATACCTCCCCGCCGATCAGTTCGGCATCACTGTCCCTACCGACAATCTCTCTCTCCACCGCTACCGCCGATAACCCGAATATGGAAGAATCCCCGACCACACTCTTCCAGCCGCCAACTCCCGAGGAGGCCCGCCGGCTGGCCAAGCAACATGCCCAATTCGGTCCCATCGGTCACGCGAGTCACCGATACTCCAGTCGACACCCCGGTGGTGTCTTCCCGGAGCCGGTGATGGATGAGCCGCCGTATTATTATCTGCTTACGACGTACATCAGTTACCTAATCTTAATTGCTTTTGGTCACGTCCGTGATTTCTTTGGAAAGCGCTTCCGCGAGGAAAATTACCGTCACCTCAAGGCTCGCAATGGCTACGGCGCCCTGAACAGTGATTTCGACAACTTCTATGTGCGCCGTCTCAAGTTGCGTATCAATGACTGCTTTGAGCGCCCCGTTACCGGTGTCCCCGGCCGCACCATCACCCTGATTGACCGGGCCACCGACGACTACAACCACCACTTCTACCTAACCGGCACCACCACTGATACATTGAACCTGAGCTCTTACAACTATCTGGGATTCGCCCAGTCGGAAGGACCCTGTGCGGATATCTCGGAAGACTCTGTCCGCAAGTACGGTATCAGCACGCCTAGTACTCGTGCAGAGGCTGGCACTCAAGATCTCCACGTCGAGGTGGAGGATCTAATTGCGAAGTTTGTGGGCAAGGAGGCGTCCATGGTGTACTCTATGGGATTCGGCACCAACGCCAGCATCTTCCCCGCTCTCGTTTCCAAGGGCTGTCTTCTTATTTCTGATGAATTGAACCATGCCTCTATCCGTTTTGGTGCTCGTCTTTCTGGTGCTTCAATTGCCATGTTCAAGCACAATGACATGAGAGACCTTGAAATCAAGCTCCGCGAGGCCATCTCTCAAGGTCAACCCCGTACCCATCGTCCCTGGAAGAAGATCTTGGTTGTTGTCGAGGGTCTTTACTCCATGGAAGGATCCATGTGTAACCTCCCTGGTCTTGTTGAGTTGAAGCACCGTTACAAGTTCCACCTGTTCGTTGACGAGGCTCATTCTATTGGTGCCATCGGTCCTCTGGGCAAGGGTGTGTGTGACTTCTTCAGTATTCCCACTTCTGAAGTGGACGTCTTGATGGGAACCCTTACCAAATCATTCGGTGCCAACGGTGGATACATTGCAGCCGATAAGGCGATGATTGACAAGCTCCGTGCCACCAGCTCCGGTATCTTCTACGGAGAGGCTCCCGCGCCGGCTGTGCTCACCCAAATTTCCTCCGCACTTCGTATCATTAAGGGCGATCTTGTTCCTGGCCAAGGTGAGGAGCGATTGCAGCGATTGGCTTTCAACTCACGATACCTTCGCCTGGGCCTCAAGCGTCTTGGCTTTATAGTGTACGGTCACGACGATTCGCCCATCATTCCTGTTTTGCTCTTCAACCCTGCCAAGATGCCCGCATTTTCCCATGAGATGCTTAAACGCAAGATCTCCGTTGTGGTTGTTGGTTACCCTGCTACTCCTTTGGTTTCATCCCGTGCTCGTTTCTGTGTATCGGCTGCTCACACCAAGGACGATCTCGACCGAGTTCTGAGGGCCTGTGATGAGATTGGCAATGTCCTACAACTGAAGTTCTCTACCGGTATTGCCGGTGGTGGGCTCCCACCTGCCGAAGATATCGCTCCCCCACCTGAGATGGAGAAGGATTGGCAACTTAAGCGCACACCCAACCTGTCTCCTCCCCGATGGCGGGTTGAGGATGTTGTCCGACGTGGAGTTCAGGATGTCAAGTCACCCTTGTATTAGTTTGACCTTTCCCTGTTCTGCGATGCTGCCTTGGAACATGATGCATTCTTAAGCTTCTGCCTTTCTGCCCGAGTCCCCCCGGAGCCCGGTTGGTGCTGGTCACGCCGTGTAACGGTCCATTAATCCCGCGTGTCCCCCTTGTTCCTTTGTCCATTTTTTTTGGGTTCAGTCTTCTTTGCTCTTGACGTTGGTTCGACTTTGGTCAAGTTTCGTATCACGACTAAAGCAGAATCTGTCATTGGCACCGGGAATGAAAGCGAGAAGGGGTTCTAAGGAAACCAAAAGCCAAGAACAAAAACATCTTCCGGTCATGAATTATTCGAACAAGCAACGAATGAATATGCCCCTGTTTCTCATATAATACTTCTCTGGTTCTGATGGAGATGTTCCCCCCTTTATTTTCCCTTGCATACTTTTTAATCCAATTCTTATGTATTTTCTTTCTCTTCTCTGTGACCTTTATCTTGTTTAGAACATTGCCTAATAATGCCCTGTTGATTGTTATTCTTCTTTGGAGAACAGGCTGGCTTTCCTTGATGGTGATACGCTGTATTGTATTATGTTGTTGCTCTTGCTTGCAGTTTTTGCCATGGGGCGATTTCCACATCTGCGCCTTCTCGCATGTGTACTTGGGAAGTTTGATTTGTCCTAGTACTTTCCTAGGTCTCGATACTGCCTAAGATTACTTACCCTACTACCTTATAATTAGATGATTTTGAATCCTCCAACAGTTTCCATATATAATTGACCGACTGAATGAATCAATCTTTGAATGTGTGGGTCCATGCAGCTCTGTATCCACTGAAATTAAATATTGAAGGATGAAACCCCTCCTGACCTTCCAGATGTCGATGATTTTTACCTGGGAAAAAAGCGACGAGATCGAAGAGTCCTGGGTAGAACTTCTCCTTGACGGAGAGGTTTACAAAGAGATTGGACATGAAGCTAAAAGTTCTCTATAGAGAGCTAGGCATTTTTATCTTCTCCTTATCTACACTATCTGTGAACCGGATTGGGTCCCTTAAACAGAATGACAAACCGGAGTGGAAAGTGGCATAGATAGTTATCGATCACATCAAATGTTGAATATATCCATTTCAATGAAATCCAGCGATTATCTAGTCTGATGCGAAATAGCTGGGAGAGTGGACACTTTTGGATTATGTATGCTGCAAGGAACAATTTTGCCTTTGACGCCATTTATTGGAACAAGATCGATCAGCGGTTTTTCCGACCCAATCAACATGACGACAGTATATGCGATGTTTGGAATAAAAGGCTTCGTCCCCTGGAACCTGAAGAAAAAGAGATTATGGAAAAATAGGTGACTTTGAAGCTACTGACTTTGAAGCTACAAGAAAGAGAGACAAGAATCCCTTGGGACCCAGATAAGTATACTTTAAAACAGAAGTTAGGCTGAAAACCCCATTAATTCTAGATGAAAAGATGCACCTGACTTAATAAGGCTGATTTGCAGTGGATACTAGTATCCAGATTGACACTTCCTCCAACCTGGGGTCGCTTCCCCAGATTCCAAAAGCTTAAGAATTCGGAAGTTTGGGACATCGCTTCGCTTTGCCGAAATATTTTGTCTCCACGCCACTTGCCACGCCACTGGTCCGGGGTCTCAATACCGATTCTAATTTCGCCATTGGTGGAGTCAACTTTCTCCCAGACTCCGTCCCACGCGGCCTCTGATTCGTGGAACTCAAAACTATACGACTCCGGGGAACAAAATATCCTCGAACCCCAGATCATCATTACCCCAGGTCCGTCCAATGCGCTCTACAGAGCTCAAAACCAATAAGCAGCCAACATGGCGCATGATGCTTTGATCCACGTGTGGTTGACTTGCGAATACCCCACCACTCAGCGAGCTGGTCTCACAAGGTTTCTGTTATCAACAATCCGAGTAGTGCTTAGCGTCGTCTGGGGGCGCCGTTCTGGGGCATGGGTTGATTGGATCCGTGACCTTTTCTGCTTACCGTGCCAAGGGAGCTGCCGTGCCAAGGGAACTTGTCGTCTGCCCCAGGATTTTATTATATATCTGGGGAACTCCGCATGATTCTCTCCATTCCCCGGAAAATCTCTAGGGTTGTTGGCTCAAGTGCTCTTTCCTTGACTTCTATTGACAGGGTTGCTGTGACTGTGAGGCTGAACCGAGCCCCCAAAAACAAACCTTCCAAGGTTCGACGACTGCATCAAGAGTTCTTGGCAGTTGCTTAATCTTGTTTCTTCCAATCAACCACTTTCCAACGAATCAATCCAAGTCACTGTCGCCAAAATGGGTGGTCTTATGAGCTCCAAGCGGGCCTACAACTGGTATGATGGCTTGCCGAGATATGATCCACAAGGGCAATATACTAAATCCGAATCTCTAGGTTCGTCTCGTTTGTCGCTGCATCTTGCATGGTGTTGTACGGTTACGATGCGTCTGTCTTCAATTCTGTTCAAGGAAATGCCAATTGGGTAGCCTGGTTCAACAATCCAGGTGCGAACCAGCTTGGTTCTATCAATACTGCCTACACAGTTGGCGCCATCTTCGGTGGTTTCTTCCTTGGAGGACCCACGGCGGATTACTTTGGCCGCAAGGTTGGCATGGGCTTCGGATGTGTCTTTGTCATCGTTGCTACTTTCCTGCAGACCTTTGCTCCTCGTGGTAACCTTGCGTGCTTCATTGGTGGACGTGTCCTCATCGGTATTGGCCAGGGTGTTGCTTTGAGTAAGTCACAACCCGACACTTCACTCTGTTCATAGACACTGACAAGATGTTCCTATAGCCGCCGGCCCTATCTATATCGGAGAGTTGGCACCAGCAGAGATCAGAGGAAAGATCATGACCTTCTGGCAGATGTTCTACTCTGTTGGTTCGTTCATCTGCTTCTGGATCGCCTATGCCTGCACCAGAGCTCCTCAACTCGGAGAGTGGGACTGGAAATTGATTGTCATTTTCCAACTCCTCTTCCCCATCCTGATTCTTATCCTTCTTCCTGTCATCCCTGGAAGTCCTCGTTGGTAAGTTATCTACTACACGTGAAACCTTTGGAACCATTGAGACAGAAGTCTAACCAGCTGCAGGTACATCAAACGCCACAACGAAATCGAGAAAGCACGAGCTGCCCTCCGCCGCGTCCGAGACACAGAGGAAGAGGTTGAAGATGAGATCTTGATGATCCGTGAGGCCCTCGAGTACGAGAAAGAGGCCATCTCCAGCGGCTACAGCGCTTTGTGGAAGGACAAGTCTCTCCGCAAGCGCATGTACCTTGCTTTGGTTATCAACGCCGGTCAGCAACTCACCGGACAAGGCTCTTTGAACTCCTACTCCACCAAGATCTACGAGAAGGTCTTCACACACGAAAGCCAGATTTCTCTGATCAACGCCCTCAACGCCACCTTCGGTATTCTCTTCACCCTGAACACTATCTGGTTCATTGATCGATTTGGTCGCAAGGCTCTTCTGATCGGTGGTTCCATCGGTATGGGTCTTTGCATGATTATCGTCTCTGCCGTTGAAACGGAAACCCCAAATATGGCAAACGGAGCCAAGTCTGAATCCGTTGGCATATCGATCGTCTTCCTCTTTTTCCTCTTTATTCTATTCTGTAAGTTTCACCACAACCCTACCCAACCAAATTTCAACGGCCAGTGACTAACAATCTCACAGACAAGCCTTCTTGGGGCGCAACCGTGTGGATCTGGACAGCCGAGGTCTTCTCCATGAATGTTCGCGCACAGGCCGTGGGCATGGCCTCGCAGACCCAGAACGTTGCCAACACCATCTGCCAGCAATTCTTCCCTATCTTCCTCGAGAACGATGGCTTCTACGCATTCTATCTCTTCGCCGGAATTAACTTCCTGCTGGGTCTCTTTGTTTGGTTCTTTGTTCCAGAGACCAAGAAGATCACCCTCGAAGAGATTGATACCTTGTTCGGTGGTGCCAACCACGTTACTTCGGGAGAGGAGGTCCTCGCACAACAGAAAATTGACAGTGTTGCTCACGGAACTCACGAGAAGTCCGGGGATGTCAATGTTGAGCACGTGGACTCTCTTTGATTGAAATTTCTGGTATATTGCTGTCTTAATAAGTCGGGGCGCTAGACTGAGTCTAGTTCAATATAGTATGGATTTATCCCATGCATGTTTTTAGTTTAATATAGGCAAAGCAGCCGATTTCTTGAGATCGATTGATTTCAAGCTTTTTGGAACACCGTTCATTTCAACCCAGCACCTGGGCAGTAAAAAGTCAATTTTGTATCAAAACCCCTCAGTTAAAACTTAACACGAATGTAGTGCTAGGTGCACTTACTTTGTACGCGTGTTCCTGCCCTCTGGCATGTATGTTAAAATTGCTCCACATTAAATGCTAGCTGATTCTAATCTAGCGTAGAGTAGACTTCCAGCGCAGTTCCTAGCCCCTTTGTTTTCATTTTGAGGAATCAGGATAATGCTCAATGTTTTATCTTGTAATCTATTACCGGGCCGATCCGGAACGGAGAACTTTTCTTTACAAATGCGGTTAGCGCTCTCAGATTTAAGTCGTTAAACATGTTTAATTGGTCACAATAACGTATCCACTAATCACGCTAGCCAGTTTAGTCCTTAGCTGCTGTATTGAAATTTACTGGTGAAACGAGAATGGGGGCGTACCAATGTGTAGGCTATTTTCTGTCTCGCCTACGTAGACAAAAAGGTAGTGCGTGCTCCATAAAGTGGGACTTCAAGAACTTTGGAATATGATTGCCTGGATTTTGTTTTCTTTTCTTTTTTTTGGCTAGAAAAAATGATGGATCTAAACGTGGGCGCTTTCTCTCGATCTAGTTTAATCATTGCTAATTGCACATACTGCCACTAGCAGCTATGACTAGTACCGATGTGAAATGAGTCGTCTAGAGAGCTGCTGTGCTTCCTTTTATCTTAGATACTCTCTTTATTCTAGGTTCCTCTTCACCTCGTCGTGTACATCATAGGCATGATTTTTCTCGGCATCCTGCCTTCATTCACCTAGAATATTCCAATCTATTCCCTATTTGACTTTCGCATTACCAAGTCCCGTCTCCAAATATTTCGACGCTATACCTATACATCTTCTCAAAATTTTGGTCCACTCTTTGAATCTTCGCCATGCATCCTTCAAAAACATCACATCCTCTTGCCGACAACGGTACAGACCTAGCCGAAATCCCAACCGAGGCGAACTCTCCCAAAACCCACAAGCTTGATGGTAAACATGAATTAGGACCACGGTACGTACGTACTACGTAGGTATACACCTATATCCAAGCACTCGTTTCGCACTACTAATAATATTGTAGAGGCGTGATTCTGGTTCTCGTTTTCTTTTTTTCATTTGTACCAGCCTGTCGTCAGTTTTGCGATGAGGACATATGCCGCGGATACCGCAAGTCTTTGTCTGATTATGCTTATTATATTGCTTTCTTTTCGATTGGTGTGGCGCAGTTGTGCAAAATTTGGTACAAATTGAGATTACGAAATCGCTCAGTGGAAGACCAGGTATAAGTCTCCCAAATGATCATAGAGCATCCCGCGGCGGGCCTCCAAGTTGGTCTTATATTGAGACCCATGAGTGTTGTTAGTGATAGAGATGCCTTCGAGCCGAGACAAGCAATTCGAATAATAGAAAATCGGACATGAGAGAGTACGTGAGCAATTGATCTATCTGGACAAAGATTCCTCCGTGAACCATTCGAAATCTGCCGGCAATTTAGTAGTCCATAGAGACTCATCTGAAATATATACAACAATTGATATATGTATGTAACAAACTCAAACACGAAAGGAGAGATGATTATGTATCCCCAGCATCAAGCTTCTTCACCCATCCATTGTCGTCAAGACAAACTAAAAGAAATCCTGCTTCTATTGGGGGATATGAGATATGAGTTATGAAATCAAGATGTTCTGTTATTAAATTATTCTGCATCGAGATCGATCACCTGATAGCGGGGTAAGCTGTGTTCTGGAAGCGATCCGAGTCACAACTTGAAAACCATCCCAAAACTATCGAACGACAATAATGACGACCACCGTTTCCCACGACGGTCTTAATCGTGGTTTTCAAGCAGGAGTGATAAATGGCAATATTGGGAGCATAACGATCGGTAGGTGAACTTGTTGTGTCCACATGTGTAAGCACGAGAACGTAACTCAACTAGGAAGCGGCCTAGGTCAAACGGTGTCATTAGACCAAGAATGTTTACAGGCTCTACGAACGACTGATCCTTATCACGACAAAGAGCGTATCAAGGATACCAAGGGTGGGCTACTAGAAGACTGTTATCGATGGATCTTTGATCATCAGGAATTCAAACAATGGCAAAATACAACTAGCCACAACAATCGTCTCCTCTGGATCAGGGGTGATCCTGGTAAAGGCAAGACGATGCTCCTATGCGGCGTCATCGAAGAATTGACAAGACTATATGGGGATGATGTATGCGTGAGCATCTCGTTCTTTTTCTGTCAGGCTACCGATCCGCGGATCAACAGCGCCACATCTGTGCTAAGGGGCTTGATATATTTACTTATCAAGAAGAATCCTTCTCTCCTCCACTATATACGTGCTCAGTACGACCATGCTGGGAAGACTCTCTTTGAGGATGTTAATGCATGGAATGCACTCTCAACCATCTTCCGGGACATTCTAAAAGGCATGCGCGCGAACTTCCAAATGACCTATTTGGTAATCGATGCTCTAGATGAGTGTGTTAATGGGCTTCATTCCCTTCTAGACTTGATTGTCCAGGAGTCATCGGCTCATATGCATATAAAGTGGGTTATTTCTAGCCGTAACTGGCCTGAAATCACCGAGAAACTTGGAATTGCTACCCAGCTAGCCCCTATCTCATTAGAGCAGAATGAGGTTTATGTGTCTGAAGCAGTGGACAAATTTGTCCATCATAAAGTCCAAAAATTAGCGAAAGCTAAAAGGTACAGCAATAAGACTCGTGATGCTGTTGAACACTCTCTCTTATCAAACTCACAAGGTACCTTCCTCTGGGTAGCCTTAGTTTATCAGAGTCTGACAAATGCATATACACGAACAAATGTGCTGAAAAAGCTAGAGTTCTTTCCTCCTGGGTTAGATGCTCTATATGGACGAATGATTGAGCAAGTTCGCGATTCAGCAGATGTTGAGATCTGTAAGGAGATACTGGCAGTTATGTTAACAGTCTTTCGGCCTATCACTCTCAGTGAACTTGCTTCACTTATCAAACTTCCTAATGATGATGACGATGATGACGACGATGATGACGATGATGATGAAGATGATGATGATAATATACTACTTAAGGATATCATCACAGTCTGTGGATCGTTCTTGACGATGCAAAAAGATACTATCACTTTCATCCATCAGTCTGCGAAGGACTTCCTCCTTCAAAACATTGAAGCTCGAAATGAGATACTTCCTAGTGGTGTAGGAGCTCAACACCATATGAATTTCTCACGATGCCTTGAAGTGATGTTTAAGACACTTCGACGTGATATCTTCAATATCAAATTACCTGGACCCGTGAAGGATATCTGCAAACCTAGCCCAGATCCACTAGCAGCAGCAGAATACGCATGTGTCTACTGGGTAGACCATCTTCAATATAGCGAGCGGACCAAGTTCTATGACCTTAGCATTGATAAGGGGGGCTATGTGGACCTTTTTCTACAACAGAAATTCCTTTTCTGGCTTGAGGCCCTTAGTATTCTAGGGAGTGTCTCGAAAGGTGTGCAAGCTATGCAAATGCTTAAGTTATTACTTCAGGTATGTAGTAAATTATATCAAAACATAACTTCATCTATAAACTAGGGCTAACTAAATTAGGAACAGAGAAAACTCATAAGTGGTATCTCTTCGGACTTAGAAAGCCTCTTTGAACGAGCTCAAGACGCCTCCAGATTCATTCAGTACTACAGAACAGGGATCGAGAGCAGTCCTTTACAGGTGTACTACTCACCTCTTATATTCAGCCCGTCAAAGAGCCTTACCCGAAGGTCTTTCCAGAAGGAGAGAGCAGATTGGGTATTAAATAGTCCAATGGTAGATGAAGATTGGAGCCCCTGTCTTTATACCCTTGAGGGGCATAATGGCTCCGTCAATTTAATTGCCTGGTCGCCAAACGGAAGCCGACTTGCATCAGGGTCTTACGATAACACAATTCAGGTCTGGGATCCAGCCACCGGACAGAGTCTTTCCACTCTTCAAGGGCATTCCAAATCAGTTAGCTCAATTATGTGGTCACCAGATGGAAGCCAACTTGCGTCAGGGTCCTATGATAAAAGCGTCCACATCTGGGATCCAACTACCGGCCAGATTGTGTCTACTCTTAAGGGTCATAGCGACTGGATAAATATAATCGCTTGGTCACCAGAAGGAAGCCGACTTGCATCAGGATCCGATGATAAAACAATCAAGATATGGGATCCAGCCACTGGCCAGAGTATATCCACTCTGAAGGGGTACTATGGTTCAGTCTTCTTGATTGAATGGTCGAAAGATGGAAATCGACTTGCATCAGTATCCTCTGATGATAATACAATCCAGATCTGGGATATAGCCACAAGCCAGAGTGTTTCTACTCTTCAAGGGCATTCCAATTCAGTTAGCTCAATTACGTGGTCACCAGATGGAAGCCAACTTGCGTCAGGGTCCTATGATGAAAGCGTCCAGATCTGGGATCCAACCACCGGCCAGATCGTGTCTACTCTTAAGGGCCATAGCGACCAGGTAAATGTAATCGCTTGGTCACCAGAGGGAAGACGACTTGCATCGGGATCCTCTGATTACACAATCCAGATATGGGATCTAGCCATTGGCCAAAGTATATCCACTCTAAAGGGGTACTATGGTTCAGTCTATTTGATTGAATGGTCGAAAGATGGAAATCGACTTGCATCAGCATCCTCCGATAACAAGACAATCCAGATCTGGGATATAACCATAAGCCAAGTGGTGTCTATCCTTGTGGGGCATAGATATTCGGTTACATCAATCATCTGGTCACCAGATGGAAGCCAACTTGCATCAGCTTCCGAAGATCGAACGGTTAGGATCTGGGATCCTATCACCAACCAGAGTGTATCTACTCCTGAGGGGCATGTTATTAATGCCAACTCAATCGCTTGGTCTCCAGATGGAAGTAGACTTACATTAAGGTCTTGGGATGATGGTATAGTCCAGATCTGGGATCCAGCCACAAGCCAGATCATATCTACTCTTGAGGGATATTTTGGCCCAACCTGTATCATAACATGGTCGCCAGATGGAAGCCGAATTGCATCAGGATCGGCTAGTGGTATAGTCCAGATCTGGGATCCAGCCACTGGTCAAACTGTATCTACTCTTCAGGGGTATGATGATCTAGTCGACTTGATTAACTGGTCACCAGATGGAAGCCGAATTGCATCAGGATCAACTAGTGGTATAGTCCAGATCTGGGATCCAGCCACTGGCCAAATTATATCTACTCTTGAGGGGTATAGTGGCCCAACCCACTTGATTATCTGGTCTCCAGATGCAGGCCGCCTTGCATCAGGATCCGATGATGAAACAATCAAGATATGGGATCCAGCCACCGGCCAGAGCATCTCCACTCTCAAGGGGCAATGCGGTTTGGACTGTTCGGTCTACTTGATTGCCTGGTCGAAAGGTGGAAATCGACTTGCATCAGCGTCCTTTAATGATGTAATCCAGATCTGGGATACAGCCACAAGCCAAGTGGTGTCTACTTTCTCTGCAGGCTTTACAAGCTTCCTGGCATTTGATGACGCTGATTCGAATTGCCTCCATACTGATACTGGTATATTTGATACAAGTTCAATGGCTCCTATGACCCCTTCGCCCGCTAGCCTCATCCAACACCCCCAGCGACGTGAATACGGAATAAGTGATGACCTTTGTTGGATAACCTATAATGGACTCAAGCTCTTATGGTTGCCCTTGGAATACCGCCCTCTTGATATCTCTGATCATCTTGCTATCCATGGAACTACAATGGCAATTGTCGGTTCAGAAAATCGCGTCATATTTCTCACGCTTTCAAAAGAATGTCCTGTTGATATATAGCTTTGAATGACGCGGTCCATGGAATTTTCGGAAGATGCATGTCAACTGGTGTCCTACTGGTCCATTCAAAGTCGACGCTAGTCCGAGCTCCCGTATGCCTCTTCCTTAAAGTTCTCTAAAAAGACGGATTCTTTCCAATGTTGAGGTTTATTTGGTGGGAGAATTGTAAGTTGGCGGCTCCCTGACATTCATTGTTCTGTCACTTCTGTGTTCAAAGACACGATTTACTAAGAAAATACAAATCAATATAGATCATATCCCAGCTCCCCTTGCCAAGCGAGCACGGAAATCGGCCATGTAGTAATTCCTCGAAAAATGCCGAACAAACTGTGGCATCCACGGATACACAGCCCTATCAACAGACGATTTGAGCCAATACATGATGCGAGTATAGGATGTAGACGGGAACCCAAGCTTGTTCCTGATTCTCTCCGGCAGATACTCAACAGTAGCAACACGCTGCATAGGCCCTAGCAGCTTGGCAAGTATCCAAACACCCCAAGTCAAGTTCTGACCGGGATACATAACATCCTTAGCCACAGCCCTAGCCTCATCCGTGACCTCAAGTTCATCGATAGTCCGATCCCAATACTCCTTGAACTCCTTACGGTCCCTGGGCCACTTATCAGGCGGGACACGCAGACCAGTAGCCATAACTGAGAACTCCTTGTAGACCTGGTCGGCGAAATCCTCGCCAAGAGGACCGTATACCTCCTCGTACCCATGGACCATGGACCAGTAGATCGTAGCAGCAACCCAGAGTTGGAGGTCCACGTCGTCGGCGTCATAGTCTGCTCCCTTAACGCGCATGTGCGCGCGGTGCGTCGCGTCCGTGATTCGTCTGCGTTCGGCGGTCGTGCCGAAGCTCATACAGTATATGTAAACGAGACTCCGGCGGGCGCGTTCGATGGGCCGTTTGGTGAAGCTGCTATGGTCTGATACGCCCTTGCCCACGCCCTTTGCGGCGATCTGGAGAAGAACGGCAGCCTTTGCGGGATTCATGGCGCATTGTTCAGTGACTATAACGCGCATTGCATCGGCCTCCATCACGGGGCTGTAGTATTGGCCATACCTGCCCCTCTCGATCGGGGTGCTATTGGCTGTCGTCCGGCTTTGGATCGCTGTTGAAGACATTTTCGTGACTGATAATGTCGTTCATTTCGAACAAAAAGAAAGCCAACAGGTTTGATGGGAGAGTTGGGCATAAAAGTTCTCAGCCCATCATGAATGTCATCGGCAGCCCATCATGTTCTCTGCCTGGAGCGGACCGAGGCACGGAATGCCGATAGCCTTCCAGATTTCCCCTCGAACCATGGTAATTTCAGAGTCGATCTATTCAACCACGTGAAATATAACATTATAATGTCAACATTCGATGAATAAGGAGCACTATTCCCGAAATTCATGGGGGTGATGGTTCACATCGCCTGTATGATGCATCGGATCACCCCGCCCTCACGAGTCACGCAAATGACCAAAGGGAATTCTGGGTGGCAAAAGAAATCCACTTCGTTTATATTCTACTGAAAACACTGAAAATTTTATCTTTATGAGGTCCCATCTGTAAAAGCAGACTAGATCAAGTCCAAGTTCAAACATTTGAGTCCAGATGTTCTGTATTAAGAAAATTAGAACATGACACCAGAGGAGAATCTCTACTCTAACTTCCTAATTTTGTATCTGGAAACCTGAGACCCATCACTCAGGCCAACAGCCACCTTCTCGAGCCTGTAACCAAAGATCCATGGCAAGATGACCCATCGACCATAGTAGTAAATAACTCCCAGCGCCAGAATAGCTAGTGACACCACAGGAGACAGGTAGTAAGGCAAACTGCTAACACTACCACTTGTAGGTGGGATAAAGGGCATCACCAGCAAGAACTGACAAATTAGTAACATTATCCGAAAGAACAGAGTGGGGAAACTCACAATATTTGCTGCAAGGTAAAAAACTAAAGCAGGCCACGGTACAGTAAATGGAGAGTGGAAATCCTCCGTCTTCGAGAATCGCAGCTTCAGCAACCCAATGGTTATAAGAGTCAAAAGGAATACTGATGGGTAAGTTCCAAGGCCGACAACGAAGCTAAATGCATCACCTGCCGGCGGCGCACAGACAAAGAGAATGGTGACCCCTAAATGGATGGCGAGCGCAAAAATGGGGGTCTTGAACGGGCGGTTTTGCATGAGAAGATCTGGGAATGGTGTGGTGCCATCTTTAGCCAGCTCTTGGATTAAACGTGCTATGAGTTTGTTAACTAACGGTCCTTCAACAAAGATCTGGGGTAGATGGAAGCGAATGAGAACTTACAGACAGAAAAGGCCACGCTGAGCAAGTGACCGATTGCTGAAAGAGCCACCAAAGTTGGGAGAGCCTTCACTGCAGCTGATTCTCCGTAGACATTTCGGAATAGAGTGGCCGCAATGGTGATATCCGAGCTCATGAAATCTTCTTTGGAAACACCAGCAAACTGTCATATGTGCATGCTTTAGCTTACGATCACTAGTGACTTTGAAGATTGGTGTTACTCACGTATGCAATATTTGCCAGAATATAGAGCACCGTTACTGAGCCCATAGCGGTGGGCAAAGCGATTCGGAGTGTGCGCTGGGGATTTTTGACTTCGGAAAGTACCTTGAACGCCGTTAGCAAGGCTTGTATCTGAAAATAGTGTATGGAATAAAAGCATACCGCATTCAGATTATCATAACCTTGGTATGAAAAGATCGCATCTAACAGTGCCGTGCCGATATCGTAACCACTGCTCGATGTGCCCTTGAAAGATGTAGACACATTGAGATTGTTGGGTTTGGGCACTTTCAGATGACCTCCAAGCGCCGCAAATCCCGTGCAGACGATGAAAAATAGTACGAACAGCTTCACTGCGCCAAGTATGTCCTGTAGCCCTCTTCCCACGCGGGGTGCGACGGTATGGCATATAACCGCAAATGAAACAGAGGCAATGGCTAGGCCTCGCTCTTTCCACGTGGTTGAAGCCACTCCAGCGGCTTCAAGAAGATATTCCGAAGCCGTGATTGCATTGCTAGCCGAGGTTTCTGTACGATCAAAACATGATTAGCAGTTGATCGCAAGAAAGAGAAAGCAAGGGCCAAGAGAGGAAGAAACCCACGCAAGAAAACACAGTAGAACAGGTATATACAAGTCATCAACAATTTGGGTGAGAATGACCGTTCCATATAAACCTTGATACCACCGGAGACCGGTAAACTGCTGCCAAATTCCAGCATCACCAGCGATCCGCAATACGATATGACACCTGCAACACCCCAAAGCACAAGCGCAAGCCCCGGGCTCCCAGCCAGCTTAAAGATTGTTGATGGAGTAGAAAAAATTCTGGAATGCACATGTGAGTTTGTGGCGCATTATTGCAAATGGGAGAAAGAACCTACCCAGCGCCGATGATTTTATTGATAATGAGCGAGATAGCGCCCCAAAGTCCAATCCTGCGATCTTGCAAGATATGGGTTTCTCGGACCTCATAATCGGAAGTTGAAGCATTTTCAGAACTGGAAGCGCTATCAACTTGCAGTGACTGTTCTATAGGCACCGGTTTAGCTAGGCTAGCGGGATTTCGAGATATCGCAAGTATCTGAGATGTCTTACTGTAGTTGATTTGCTGTGCCTCCGAGTCTGCCATTGTGAAAATTTCCGATATCTGTCATTTTGACAGCTACCCAAGCAAGGTACTTAAATATAGAAAATTTTGATGTTGCAAGTTCGCAACATGTGGCGGGCGATGGCAACTATGTAGCATAGATGTCGTGATCGCGTTTAGCCCCTGGAATGTACGACATGCAACAACCCTCCAAGACTTGAGAGGCTTTATCGGCCCCACTCCGCTGTACGTCGGCTATATGAGAGAGTGTTCTTGTTGGCAATTTGTCATTTTGGTCATTTCTTGATGGTAATAACTCGAACTGTTCTGTCATAGCTAAGACTCAACAACATGTCAGATTTTACCCCTCATAGTGTGATCATTCACCACTTGGTTTTTTATGTTCCACAATAGAATATTCTGTTTCTCGATGAGATAGTGGTTGCAAAGCTGAAGAGTTTTCGTTAATTTGTGTATTGCAATTTGAACAAGATCGAATGTTGTTCGCATTGGGTTTGTTTTGACGCTATACAAAAGAGCTTACTCATCCCGTCTAGTTCAACGATAACATGATGGCTCGTGGTCATCTTAAATGATAAATCTATAGCTGAAGGCTTTTATTTTCTTCTTCTTTTGGACCCGAGAAAAGCCAATATCTGTCCATTCGGTCGCACTAATTACTATATTAATTTGTGTTTTCTTAGTAAGTCTTGTCAACACAGAACAATGAATATCAGGGAGCCGCCAAGTTACAATTCTCCCACCAAAGGAAAACCTCAATATCGGAAAGAATCCGTCTTTTTAGAGAAGTTTAAGGAAGAGGCGTACGGGAGCTCGGACTAGAGTCAACCTTAAATAGACCAGTAGGACATCTTCCGAAAACTCCATGGACCGCGTCATCCATCACGAATGTTACGTGACGAGCTACAGAAACCCCGCTTTTACAAAACGATGGCAGAGATTCCCATATATCTAATAGTCGCGGATTCCACGCGGCGATAGGTCTCTATCTGCTTGTTGATAATTTGTCGCCTCCCCTTCCTTCACCATGTCTGCAACTGAAACTATCACGCGTCCCATCCAGCCCGATATTCAATATCACCCCGACTGGGAGAAGTATCAAGCACGCTCCCGCTATCGCAAGGAGACCGAATCACTTGCGACCAGCCTGCCAGCGGGATTTCCTGAAGAATTAATCTCGCCACTTGTCTGGGAAGGAAAAGATGTTGAAAAGCGCAGTGACTGGATTTACAATCTGACCGATGCGCAGCTTGATGAGATTGATACTGCCTTGAAGAGCTTCAAAGGTAAGAGATGAAATTACTTCCAGAAATTTGAAAACGTTTCTGACAATTTTAGCTCTCGAAAAGCCACTGGGACATATAAGCGAGTCCACCTTTCCTCTTCCCAATCTTCGACCGGTCTTGAGAGACCTTTCAAGTGAGCTCCACAAGGGTCGGGGATTTTTCGTTCTCCGGGGTCTACGCATTGATAGTTACTCTCGAGAAGATAATATTATTATCTACACCGGTGTTTCCTCGCACGTTGGCAGCATTCGTGGACGCCAGCAAGATACAAGATTGCAAAATGGGACGTCACCCATGATTTCGCACATCAAGGACATCACTAGCATCACCGAGAAAGGAAAGATCGGGGCTCCCTCCAATACAGCAGATAAGCAGGTCTTTCACACCGATGCTGGAGATATCATCTCCCTTTTGTGTTTGAGTCCTGCCGCAGAGGCCGGTGAAAGCTATCTGTCGAGCAGTGGGAATGTATACAACATCCTAGCAAAGGAACGCCCTGATCTGATCCACACACTTTCACAAGACTGGCCGGTTGATGGGTAAGAGCCTCCAAGACCAAAAGTCAAGTTCCACCGACAATACTGACCGGCTCTAGATTCAATAACCCTGAAAGACCATACACACTTCGCCCTCTCCTGTATCATCAACCAGCAACAGATACTGCTCCCGAGCGTGTCCTGATTCAATATGCCCGGCGATACTTTACCGGGTTCCTCTCCCAGCCAAGATCGGCGGATATTCCTCCTATCACCGAGGCTCAAGCGGAAGCATTGGATGCATTACATTTCTTGGCGGAAAAGCATAGGGCAGCTTTGGATTTTCAGAAGGGAGATGTTCAATATGTCAATAACCTGAGCATTTTCCATGCACGGAATGGCTTTAAGGACGGCCCAGGGAAAGAGTATGTATCCCTGCACTAAAAAATCACAGCTCAAGTTCTTGACTAATTATATTAGACGACATCTTCTACGACTCTGGTTGCGCGACCCCGAGAATGCATGGGAGACGCCTGAACCGCTCCAACATCGCTGGGATACCTTGTTTAAAGACGTCACCGAGGAAGAGCAGGCATTTCCTCTTGCTGCTGGTGCTGTGAGAAAGACAGTGGGGTCTTGGCACTCCCTGCACGAGATGTATTTCCTTTTTCAGTGGCAACATTTCACTCCGCCTCCCATGCCACGTCTTTGATGCGATTCAGAAGCAAACAATATATAAGCCATCATCTAATTAGTTGAAACACCCTAGTTTCCCCTGCGGAGGTCTAAGCCAGCTAAGATATGATGCGTATTGTGGGGAACCCTGCATGGATGATCTTCATTGCCTATCTATTGCGGTGAGCGGGTGTGGCTGCATAATGATCGGTCTGTGAAATTGGTGGGATTTTGGCAAATATTGATTGAGTGAATTGAGCTTCCTATATTTGCCCTTTTATGAACAATTCACGATTTATTCTATCAATATTGGGTTTTGTGCTACTTTCAAATGTTACCTGAACAGACAAAGGGCTAATTTAGACAACGCTCGGATCATCGGGTTGAGACTTGAGACTTGTCCAAATGAAGCAATTAAAGGGCTAAGGAAGACAATAACTTCAATTTGGACCTAAATTAGCCAGGGCACCCAAATTCCACTAAGTGGCGATTTAGAGGCATTCGAGATAATTTATTGGTTATTGTATAGTTGCATCCCAACTTCTAACAAATCAAGTTTCTACCCTATACTAGGTCTTCCGCATCAAAACTTTCTTTGCTGCCCGACCTCAACCGGTGAAGGTTCAAAGCTAAGACCAACATTAAAGTGGAAAAGGTATCCTACGGCAGCTTTTTCCCAACGATCAGCAAGTGCAGTTAAATCAGCCTAATAAATTGTGATAATCGAATCACGATCGGCAACTCCCTGCCGAGATGACGTAACTGGCTTGGACAAGAGCGTCCACGTTTAAACTCGATGATCAATTGACTTAGCGAATAAAGCAAGTCTTAGCCAAGAGCGAACAAAATCCCTTCCCAAGGTTCAATTACCCTCGCATGTCGCAACCCGGCAAAATTGCCCCGTGAGAGGTCCTACCATACCAAAGTACCAATAAAATGTGAACCCCCGCGCATCCCGCGGACTTAGAGGATCAGCGAGAGCCCCAATTCACTTTTTATTTAATACTTAACAATCCTTCCTCCCCGTTCAGAATACTGAAGGGTCCCGCTATACAATTTCCTTTTTGGCAATCTTGACCGGATCAAAAGACAATCTCGAGCTCTCCATTTCCATTTGAAAGAAGATAAGGAAGAAAGCGTTGAAACTAAAAATGTCCCGCCGTGCATCCCGCCATCAATCATCTCCTTCCATCACCTCCCAAGAGGCATGGAAGGTCGATACACCCTTCGGACCCCCCGAAGTCCATCGCTCATTCTCAAACGGAGGAATCCGACGCCTCAAAAACACATTATCAAGACTCTCCCCATCCGCCATGGCCGAAAAGGAAATCCTCCGCAAAAAGAATCAATATAAAAGCCCCCTGACACACAGGAATGTCGACACCTTCGTGACAGAACAAGAGTACAACGACATCACCCGGCCCAATCAACACTCGCCAAAAATCCAGGTGGTCGAATGGCTCGAACGTCTTGCTTGATCGGGCGACTTGCATGTTCTCCACCTTCCACGCTTGCGCGACAGACTTCCACTAGCGCTTTTCTCGAACTTTTCTCGATCAGCGGACCCCCGCACGCCTGCAATCAGCCAGTCTTCTCGGGGAATACATTCCGGTGCTTTTTGGATCCTGGTCGGTTCGTATTACGGCCAAGAGGAAGAGGGGGAGGGGAGGCGGGGGTCGCAAAAGGTACCATACAGGGTGGCAGGGATCTAGGATTATCTTGGCAAGGCTGGGTATTCTTATTATTTTGCTCTCTTTTCTTTGCTCGGTCCCTTGGCCTTGACGTCGTTTGCGCAAGGCACACTCGGTCGGTCAATTATGATCGTCATATGCCGACATGGGCTCGAGCACATCGTGGAACTTTATGTCTCGGCATAATTGCTATAACCCGTGCTACTATACTTATCAGGTGGGTTGAGATTTTCTGTCAGCTGCTTTTCTTTATCTTTGATGTTGGAAACTAATTCAGCAATAGCCGATTTTCCCGCCGTTTTATACTACAACCTACATCGCTGTGATCGGCGCACTAAGTGGGACCTTGTTCGCTTCTACCACCGTTTAATAATACATCACGGCCTATCGAAAACGCATGTGCTTGGTCGTTGATTAGAACTTTATTCAGATATTAATAGTTGTTTAGATGTGAGCATTTGTTTATTTGAGCTGGCAAATGATCGAATAATAATCATATATTAACTAACAATGTCCCCGGCGATTTAATTTGCAAAATCAGCCCTTGTTGACCTTAGTAGTACGCATGTACTAGTCAATAAATTCAATTAAGTCCAAAAAACTCCCTTCCGCAGCTCGAAAAAAATGTAGTACATAGCAAGAAAGAATTCACTGTTAGCATTTTGAAGGCGCTTACGCTACCCACTCGTCAGTATCTAAGTGTCAATGTTTACGTAGAAATCGGTAAATATAACCTTTAAGTGTTGGAAGACATGAAGTACTGGAACATGCCACTGCCGACTTCCACGTCTTTCGCCTTCCCTATAGCGAGAATACAATGGTCAGCATAATCAGTGGTATTTACCGCGTCTATCTACAGCTGAATTGCATTTCGGATCAATTTCATTGGGAGGTATCCTGGGCCCCGCAGGAAGGTCACAATATCAACCAGGCCCTATGTGAGGAGCTTCACTTTGACCTGTCGTGATCTCGCTGATGAAACGACTGCCTTATTTTCGGTTCTCGGGGATATCTGGTGACGTTGAGTCTATCCATCCTTATTCAAGAGCATTCGTCTATCTCGAGGACTATGAGATCCGGGGAGGTCGTGATCCGAATCAGTTTATGTTTTGGCCGTATGACTTACGAGAGGCCGAGTGGAAGGCTGTTTCGAAATTCCCTTGGCAGCGATTCATACGTGAAGATCCTACTTACGAAACTGGCAATGAGGACGAGCTTGAACCTGAAGTTTTGGAGGACGGAAAAGCTGATGAAAGTTTTTATCTTTGGCCTGGAAGATAACAATGGCAATACGTTTTCCGTTGATTTTGGGTGAATCAAGACTCGGGCACGATAATATCATTATACTTTGCCTACTCACAATTCGACTTCAATATCCTGCAATCTGGATCATTGATAATTAGTAACTCTCCAGGGCTGTCGAGCTGCATAAAAAGGCCAAAAAGGGCTATTCCCAGAAACAACTTATTGAACTACGTGTGCAGTAGATAGACCATGTCTTTAGAAGAATAGAAATGCCCACACCTTGCAAACTTTCTTCCATATCTCTAGAATGAAAGAGTTTTTGGGCCATGGCAGATATACGCCAATTTGAGAAGGGCCCGGCAGCAGCGGGGTTCCAAGCTTCCCCGCGGTGGGGTTAGAAGTTGGAACTTGATAAAAAAACAAATCAATAAATTCACCGTCTCCCTTCAAAGACAAGAAGCAAAGTGGCGGTGAATAAAAGTCAAAAATGCGATCTCAAAAGGTTGCCATTATCGGTCAGTAATTAATTGAGCAAGAATGCTAGAGCAGACCTTCACTCATACCAGTGCTAATTCCTGAATGCAGGAGCTGGACCTTCCGGTCTTGTCACTGCAAAGACACTTCTACACAACTTCCCGCCTGGCACCTTCTCACCAGTAATTTTCGATGGTCGCCATGAAGTTGGCGGTCTCTGGCCAAACAGCCCATCCAGTGCCGGGACCTTGGATCCTACCATGCGGACCAATCTCAGCAGGTTCACTGTGGCTTTCTCGGATCTCTCATGGGAAACAGCAATGGGCTCGTCTGATGTCCCGATGTTTCCACAGGCCAGGCAGGTGGGACAATACCTTGCTGCGTACACAGAAAAATATATCCCGCGCGATGTTCTGAGACTCGGACACCGGGTCTTACGGGCCGAACGGATAACTACCGATTCCGCACCCCAATGGAGGGTTCACTGGAGGAAAGAAAGGTCAGTCTGGACGCTTTCTTTGTATATCTGGAACAATAATAATCTGGAGAACCAGGTCCAGTGCAAATATTTTGCACGATGAGATCGACTCGGAAGAATTCGATTTCCTGGTCGTGGCATCCGGATACTTCGCTCGTCAACACATCCCCTCGATCCCAGGATTAGAAGAGCTCAAACTTGCTGGCCGAGTTGTTCATAGCTCTGATCTCCAAAAAGCCCAAGGGATTCTTCAACGCGATGGGAATATATTGGTTCAGGGAAATGTCGCTATTGTCGGCGGCAGTATGTCCGGTGCGGAAGCTGCTTCTGCCGTGGCGCTTCATCAATCGTCGTGGGCCCTTAGCAACACATCTCCGGACAAAAAAGGGCAAATGGTACATCACATCCATTCACGCCCTTTCTGGACTCTACCAACGCATCTACCCCACGAAAACCCAGAAGAATCGACTATCTCATTTTTACCATTGGACTTGTCAATGTACGATCTCGGTCGTCGGCCACCGGGTCCAATCGAGTATGCATTAGGCGTCATACCCGAAGAGAAAGCGGCAAAAACCAATGACCATTTCAGCTCACTCTTGGGAGCTGAATACGAAAGGTTCGGACGCATGCAAGGACCAAGTCCGGACCCGCGACCCCCATGGGTGGCGATCGGAAACAGCTATGCGGAGTTTGTTCGATCTGGGGCCATAGAAGCTACAATGGGCCGAGTAGTGTCTGTGAATTATAACCCCGACACAAAACTGGCTACAGTTGAAACAATATCTGCCAATGGACAGTCAAAACGGCTGGACAACATTGCAGCTGTCGTGATGGCTACGGGGTTTACGCCATTCGAGTCACTATCGATTTTACCTGCAGATGTCTTATCTGCTCTAGAATATAGCACCGAGGATCCATTTCTGCCACTTGTTTTGGACAAGGGTGGAACAACGCGGTCTGAAATTCCAGACCTTGGCTTTGTGGGATTTTACCGCGGTCCATATTGGGGAGTCATGGAGATGCAGGCTAGATTCCTCGGCGCGGAATGGATTAAGGAAAAGCAAATGCCCTTGAGAACAGATGCTCAGAGAGAAAGCCTCCGAGTCCTAAGAGATCCGCTTGCAAATTCCCAGCGTGGACAGTTTCCGATGGGAGACTATGTAGGGTTGATGGAGTCGTTTACCAAGGATCTGGGAATCAATCGTACAACGCTGTCCAAAAATGATGGTCGGTCTGGCCCGGCGATTCCTGCCCGGTATCCTTATAATCACCCATCTGTCACTCCACAAGAGACTATGGAGAAGGAAAATGACCGCACGCTGTGTGCATGGGAGGTTTTTTCTCATTCCTCTCATAATAGAAGTCTAGAGGCCGCCGCCTCATTGGCCATTTCCCGCGCTCTCCAGGGATCTTGGTGCCTGTCTCGTGAGCGAACCACAGGGGCGATGAAAGGGTCTGGAACCATCACATTTTCTCCGCAATACCCTTCAAACCCAGCATATGACCGAGAGTATGTATGCGACGAATACGTGGATTCAAGCCCCACAGACAAGACACCATCTTCACCTGGACATTCTCGAATCCGCTCAATTTGGAGATTATCTGAATCCGGACTTAGCAATGGGCAGATAGAAATTTGGCAAGGTGGAATTCCAGTCGATGAAACTGGTGGATATCCCGAGCGATTGGAGCTTACACCTTTTCATTACCGGCAAGATCTCGGGAAAAGTGTACCGGGAGAGTATGTGATCTATGCTGGGGGCTCTCCGGGTTCATTGACAGATGGTCCTCCCAAAAAGCACAAGTACGCATTTTATTTCAAGGGTGTCTCAATTGATTATTGGGAACGACTTGAACCGGACTCTGAAGATGAGAGAAGATCTGCACAAACACAAACTGTATTTAAGAGGTAGACATTGACCCAAGCCCTTGAAGTCAAGCGGTCTTGAATGAATGACGAGTTGTACAAAGTGGATATATGCTTGATTTGGAAGGTGTAGGGAGATTTTAGATCAATTAGTAACCTCTTACAAAATGCTGGTTCATCTGTTTTCCCCTTGGAGAAATATCGGGAAGTCGATCACAAGTAGAGCATTTCCTTCGGAATACCGACATTTGAAGTGTAGTATGTACATAATACACCCCATCTTTGTTATCGATAACATCTGCCCGGGTGGTCTAGTGGTATGATTCGCGCTTCGGGCTATTTCCCAGGTTATTGAATAATCTATTGTGCGAGGTCCCGGGTTCAAATCCCGGCTCGGGCCCATCTTTTTTTTCCGAATTTGACTTACTTCCTTTTTTCCTTTTGAAGATAGCTGAGCTGAAGTTACATTATTAATGAGTATCTTTTTTTTTTTCCTTTTATCACTCAACCTCGGAAGCTCCTTGCTTCCACATCCGAACTCTTTCCAGATGTCCCATTCTTATCCGGACTTTCCACCAATCGAGCCCTAACCCAGAGGCTGAAGACTATGGTTCTCTACTATGCCCGTCGGCTCCGAGCGGGTGGCGCACGAAGCACAACCACGGTTTCGACGACGATTCTCGATATCCCATGGCGAATCAAGTAGCAATGAAGAAGAATATCGGAAGGGGAAATTAGGGAAAAGGAAACTCAGATGCAGTTTCGACGCCACATTTGATAGTTTTCTTCCGTCTTGGCCAATCGGTACCACAGGGAAAAAAGAGCCTGGAGACTCTAGCCTCTTTCGTGTGGGGTAGATGGTAATCAGGGTCTAGTAGTCAATCAATCGGTGTGGACGTGTGCGCTCTTGAGCCTCAGATCTCTCTGGTTCGATCGAACTTCGGCCGAAAGTATCTGCTTCTTCTGCCCCTGGCTACTGTACCTTAACTAGTACATAGTACAGACGCTAGGTATATAAGAACAATCGTAGTACCTGATGATAAAAAAAAATCAACCTCAACCTCAACCCAAACCAAAGTAATTCGGAGCCAAGTCGAACATACCAACCAACCTTCTCCGTCCAGTCCAGCAAATATTGCATCGCACATACATCTCGAATACACCACAAACATCCCTCAGGTGCTCCCGGGGTCCTACTTCAATGTCAACTCTTCTTTACTCCACCAACACCCATCACCACAAAAACAAACCCCATCAGTTACACCTACTCGGCTCAAAAGCAATGGGAAGCACCACACCTACACCCCCACTCGCGCCCCTCGACCCCATCTCCGAATACCGCGCCTGGCAGGCCCTCGCGGTATACTTCACCGTCCTTCTAAACCGCCAAATCCGGCGCCGCTGGCACCTCGAGCACCAGTGCATGCAAGACAGACCCGTATCTCAATGGTTCCGACCAGTAATCTTCCTGGAGCCGATTCCCCCGCTACACAAACCAGATTTCGATCGCCAGGGCCCAGGCACGTCCAAGCTCGCGGCGCTAAAAACAAAAGTGCATCTTCTCCGTGCCCGGGTTGAAAAGGGCAAGGAACTCGCCTCGGAGATCGAGCGCAGGATGCAGCAGCAGGATCCAGTTATTGCGTTTCCGACGCATTTTTGTCATACGTGTGTGGTTGGGTGTGAGGATACGTGTAATGCCGAGACGGAAATTCTGCTGACCAAGTGTGGGCATCGGGTTTGTAGGACTTGTCTTTCGTTTGGGGTTGATGAGGAGGGCGGGTATGAGTGTAGTATATGTTTTGAGCCGGCTTCGTTTGTGGCGAGGTCGCCTTTGTCTCCTGGGTCTGGGCGGGCGAGGTCGGCGGAGGAGATGATTTGGGGTGGAGAGGGGAGGGAGAGGAAAGGGGGGAAGAGTGTTTCTTTTTCTTTTGGGGATGGGTCATTTGAATGATGGATGCATAGTGGGATTGGTACATACTTTGCAGGCCTTCGATGATGGGCTTGGGTGCAATTAACTTGATGGAGGGAGTTTTGATGTCTGGGTTTCTTTTTGGCGGGCATTTCATTTGCATGATACGATATCCAAAGCCTACTAGTTATAGGTATATTAGTACTCTTACTAATAATGTTAATTAATGTTTTATGATGTTGAATACTTGATTCATTTGTGATTGGTTTCAAACGGGGACCTAGAGCTATACAAGAACGTGCACTTGAGCGTGTCTCAAGGGAGAGTATATACCGACAAAATTTTCGGGTTTGCTGATATGTATCACCATCTAATCTGCGATGGCATGACTAGACTGATTCACAAAAAGAGAAAGGAGAGAAAAAAAAAACAAAGAGCAAAAGGGAGACATCAAATGTATCATGAGCCGCAACACGGCCTGTCCAATCAGACCATTCACCACATCAATAAACGCCTTTTGCCAAAACAGCAATAACAACAGGGAGAGTGAAAACAGTATATCGCTGAGGGGGAGCAAGACATTATACAGGAAGAATATGCAACCATACCAGCTGATCACCAGCTTTCGTATGCACTGGGCAAGATCGTAGATGTGAAAGCACAAAACCAAAAACGAAAACGAAAACGAGAAAACATGACAAGACGAACGGCTAAGGGTGGGTATAATGTAGGAAAGTAACAAGAAAGACAAACCCACGACATTCCAAAAGTCGAGCATTTGGGTGAATATCTACATGAGCCGACTGAGTCGGTCATTTCACCGATCCTCTGCATGTTCCCCGTCATCAATCACCATCTGCACGTCCTTGACAGGGTGTAGAAGCATAGGAGGCAGACACATGCGGCCTTCACCAGCCAATTCCTGTTGTTCGCCACCGTCATTATCAACACGCATGCCGAGCCAGCGGCGCCAGACGTTCGGAGAGAACCCGGCAGAGTAGAACCACGTTGTACCCTTAAAGTTGTGTTCCCGTTCTCCGAAGACCGAGGTACGGGCGCCACCTGAAGCGCCGTTACGGCCGGCGTTGAAGACCGTCTCAAGGTACTTTGTCGGCCAGCGACGGTCAATGTAGACAGCGTGCGGCACATAGACAGCCTTGAATCCGTGGTGGAGCGCGGTGGTGGCAGGCCACATCTCAGAGAACATGCTATGGTGGCGGAGACTGGTCTCCTTATGCATGGTTACGAGGAGCTTGCGAGACAAACGAGAGGCGGTGATGATGGCAGTCCGGCGTGGAGGGTTTCCACTTTCTTTGTTGTAGCCAGTCACGTCGTCTCGAAGCAGCCAAGTCGTGCCTTCTGGGTCGTAGAGCGGGTTGAACACAACCAGATCGGCATCCTCGCCCACACCCCATTTATATTGGTCTTTGTCAACGGTCGTGGGCGGGATGCCTTCGCCTTCCACCTCAAAGATGTCGCTCTCGTCAGGTCTTTGGGGGCCCCAGACAAACTTGTCGCCCTGCTGGTGCAATCCATTCGCATCCCGATCCTTTTCAGTTCCATCGGGCTTGACCACGCTCCACATATTGTTGATGCTGCCAGTGCCACTTTCGGTCTGTACGCGAACCATTTGGCGGAAGTCTTCCCACGAACCGTGGACTGACGGAACGTAGAAGCGAGAGTTGCGCTCCCAAAGTCCCTTTCTAGGCTGTGCTCGCGCCCAGTCGCCAACCTTGTCGAAAAGATGGTACCAGTGACCAGTATAGCGCGCATCCATCTCCCAGTTCCAGAAGAAGTCGTACTCTGGATGCTGGAAGGCAAAGTATTGCATGGGCATATAGGTACTGCGGTACACTCCGTGGATTGGTAATCCTCGAGCAAAAGTCTCCTCAAGACCAGGGTACAACAATGACATCTGCGCCTCTGACCAGAGGGTTCCCATTCCCCGGAATTCCTCTGGCAATGCATCGTGAAGCACACGCTGGTAGGTTTCATCATCCGCCCAGATCTGGAGGTCGTTGTTCTTGACATGGATTAGGAAATGAATAGTGTACTCGCCTCCAGACATCAACGAGAGCTCCGATATGATAGATCGCATGTACATGATGTCCTCGGAGGTGTAGTGGAAGTCGTGCCAGGTCCGGATGACTACGGCGGTCCTCGGTAGTCGATCTGAACCGATCTTGGGCTTCGATTTGTATGTGTCCTCAGGCTCCTGTACGGTCACTTCGGAAATTCCCACGGGCATGGAAACGAATCTGTTCAAGCGCGGCTCGGGTAATTCATTGAAGCGATGGCGGTTTGCTGTTCGACACTCTTGCTGCGCATCGGCCCAATCCACCTTGCGGAAATCCACTGGAGGGATGTCTTCCCAAATGCGCTCCGAACCGTCGCGATGGCCCTCCAGACCAGCACCAATACCTCCTTTCTTAGCTCCATACCCGAGTCCGTAGGGGCCTAAACGTCCAAATCTGTCAAAGCACATATCGTCGCGGATACCAAGCATGGAGTTTGAGCCCATCACTGGGTCCGGGAAGCCCTTGGGGACTCCAGGGAAACTCTGAAGCGCGGGAATTCGAACCGTGCGATCTTTATCCAAGAAACACTCGCGCTTCTCACCATACTTCTTGATATATTCCGACGAGTCGTAGTCTGGGTACGGGTTGAACACCGAGCTTATCATCGAGGGCTTCATGTCCCCCCGCTTCGCTATTTGCTTGGCGGCTTCGGTCTTGTCCTCTTCCACAGGGTCGGGCAATCCCTCCACCCCACTACCAGGATATTCGGGTACATTATCAGGGCGAGCGACCAGGTTTGTAATTCCACCATGATAGCGGTTGAGGAACGGGAACCCTTCCCAAGTGGGCGGTTTTGTGGAGACGACCTTGGGTAACTCGACAGCGACTTTGGAGACGGAGGACGAGATAGTAAATCGGAAGAGGGTGAGGATGAATATTATAAGCGACACAAACAGCGATAAGCAGAGCCATCGCATGATCCGTTGAGGGACGCGAAAGCCTACGTTTGAATGATTGTGAGTGTGTCGGAGACTTCCGCCGCTTGCAGGTGGGTAGGAAGCGGAGGAGTGACCAGGGCCAGCGTCAGTGTCGGACTCGGAGTCATCATCGCTGCGATTGTAATGATGATGTTGGGGGCGGGCATTCAGATGTTGTTTCTCAATATCGGTGTCGTGTGCTCTCGAAGAATAGGGCGATGGTTTGTTGTAGGCCGCGGAGTGCCTCCTCGCCTGGACGGTCATAGTGGCGGGCAAAGCATTAACCTATGACCAAAGAGAGAAAATGAAACAAATTAAATCTCGGCTCCGGAATTACCAAGATTGAAGAATTAATGTGGGAGTTTGGGTTGAAAAAGGGGGATTCTTTGGGCAACACGGGCGATGACGATGTTGGTTTGGTGTTTGGGGTAACCGTACGCAGATCGTCGGCCAGGCAATCGGTGCGGGTTTTCTGGCCAGACGGGCTGGACGGGCTGGACGGCTGGACAAGAGAAAAAAAAAAAAAAAAAAAAAAAAAAGAGTACTGTCAATTGTCAATCCTAAAGCCTAAGAATTGAGGAAATTTCACCGAGTTTTTAAAAAGAAGAGAAGATCCAAGGATAGAAAACAGAAACTTGGATCCAAATGCGAACAATCAACAGCGGGAATTGGCCACAAACGTAAGTCTCGTAAGTCTCGGCGTTTTGCCAAGACCGGACATTGAAGGAAATTGAACGATTACGAATTACTGAGGATTTCTACGTTATAGAATATCCAGCAGTGGACATGGTAGATCCATTGATAATTCATATATCATTCTGCATTTCATTCTGCTATGTCACTTTTCCCCTTTTCAATGTTTTTTTTTCTTCTCTTTTTTACTGATACTTCAATTCCCCTGGGAAGCATGAAATTGTTTACAATCAATAGCAGCAAAAAGACGTATAAAGGAACAGCAATTTTGACGTGGCGCCAGGAATAAAAAAAAATAACAAATGAGGCTAATAGCATAGCGAAGAGAAATAGAGTGGAGGGAACACACAACCGGTTTTGAATCATCCTCTCTTATATTGGAGGGTTCATTCAATTGTTCCCATGGCCTCGCGAAATAACTCCAGAGTCATTCATCCATCATTTGCAGATTTCCCGTGGTATTTCTCTTGCCCTGCTACATACACAACACACACATACTTTCTTCCCCTTTGGTATTATACCCGCTTAATCGCGGTTCGTTTTCCGGAGAGTGTCGGCGAGCCACTCCAGACCCTCGTACAGACCGTCACCGGTGGTAGCGCAGGTAGATTGGATGAACTAGAGAGAAAAGATTGATGGTCAGCAAAAATGAACCTCGGAGAAGCGCAGAAACATTCCGTATTGATATTCATATAAATATCCGGGGGATGGGGGGAAGGGGGACGAGGTGGGACACATACCCAAGCACGGCGGGTCAGACTCTGGAGACCAAGCTGCTGGGTGATCTCGGCGGGGCTCATGGCGTTCTAAACAATCGCAAATTAGTCAATCAGGTTCGAAAACATGGCGGATTCGGGAGATCCCTTACAGGCAAATCTTGCTTGTTGGCAAAGACCAAGAGGAGAGCGTCGCGGAGCTCATCCTCGTTCAACATGCGCTGCAACTCCTCGCGGGCCTCAACAATACGGTCGCGATCGTTGCTGTCCACCACGAAGATAATACCCTGGGTGTTCTGGAAGTAGTGGCGCCACAGAGGACGGATCTTATCCTGACCACCGACATCCCACACGGTGAACTGAATGTTCTTGTATTCGACGGTCTCAACGTTGAAGCCTGGAGCCTAAGAGTCAGCACCTCCCTGTTTTCACATTCATGCTTCCTGTGTCGGAAAGTGGATCGAGCTCATCGTGACGAGTCGGAAGGATGGACCGGGGCGAACTGACCGATGGTGGGGATGGTAGTAACGATTTCACCGAGCTTCAACTTGTAAAGGATGGTGGTCTTTCCTGCGGCGTCAAGACCGACCATCAGGATTCGCATCTCCTTGCGACCCCATAGTCTATCGAACAACCGGGAGAAAGTAAGACCCATTTTGACGACTCAACCGCGAAACCTGGTTAATTATTTAGTGGATGTTTGGTGGTCGGAGGGAAGTGGTGAAGGAGGGGGAAAGATGGGTGCGGATAGGGAAACGTGTTGTGGACGGATTGGGAATCTCAGGGGTGTGGGTTTTGGCGAATGCAATGCGGAAGGGATGATCGACAAGGCAGTGCTTACCGGTAGAAAGGTATTGATGGGGTTTTCGGTAGAGTGGATTTAAGGGGATAGAGAGAAAGGAAGATTAAAGTCCGGGAAAAGGGAAGGAGAGGAGAGAGGAAGAGAGGAGAGAAAGAGGTGGTTGTTTTTTTGTTTGGGATTACAGAAATACGCTGAACGGGCAGCGGTGGGCGTAGTTTCGGTCACTTTCAAGATCCAATTAATAAAGAAAAAAAGAAGAAGAACCAAAAAGTAATTAGAGATTTGGCTATTAAGTATACAAGGAAATGGGTTGAAGGGGAATTTCTATGATTCAGTGTTACCTACAGATCTAGTAGTGACAGTAATGTGGCTTGGAGATTCTATACACACAAGAGGACACCGTGTTTGCCCGTACATTAGGTATCTGAAATACCGGTTCGGAGGCGAAAGGGGACTTCTTCGCCCCCAGAGACAACCAAGGAGAAGAGGCAGAGAGGGTCTCCCATTCTCGACCCAGATCCAGAACAACCCCCATCCCTCACCGCTGATAGGTCAGTTGACGACTTATCGCGCCCCAGTCTCGTGCCTTGCACCGCTGCTTTTCTCTGCCAAAAAGACGCCATCAACTGGGGCACACATGGGACCCCCGAGTCCACCGCCGCGTCATGACATCGCGGCTCGTGTGCGTCTAATTTGCAATATCAATTCTACTCTATTTTTTTTTCTTTGCCCTTGTCCATAGTGGAACAAGTTTTATTTTTTTTTCCCCTTCACTTTTAATTGATCCTTGATTACTCTTACCACACAAATGACCCCGGTAATAGGACTTGACAAACCAGAGAAGAAAACACATCAAACCTGCCAAGGTCTCCACTGCGTCTCCGCTTCTAACCAGGCAGAGAAGGATAATGGATCTAATCTCGTTTCTCGTGGAGACCAACACCGGCAAAATGAATGGGGCCCGTGCAGTGAACTCCTTCTATAGAGAAACTATGCAGGTGACATGCATAGTCTACTAGTTGATTACTCTACATTCAGCGGCTATCGCGGTATACTTTACCAAAGTGATATGTATCGTGGGTTACGTATTCCAACTCCAAGCACGGTTAAAGCACTTGAGATACGTGGAGTTTTTAAGGCTCTCCTAGTACATATTGAGGAGTTAAATGTAAAAAAAAAATCCGGGGCTCACCTACCGAGGTGTCTCCGGAAGTTTCAGCATTATTCAATGTTAGGAGCCGCTTGTGATACCTCAGATAGAGATCTGATCTAGTCTTGAAATCGATATGGTGTACAGGCCCATGTTTCGACACTACCTAGTAGGTCCAGATGTTTTCCTAATTAACATTACCGTCCTGCTACCGTTCCACAGTACCTGTGGACATGAACTGTAACTGTATTATAACTCAAACACTTCCACGGTGGCCTTTTGAAGGTGTCTTCATATGATTGAGTCATCCAGGATGCCTTCGTGTGATCAAATCAAGATTTAAACATCTGTATTATCGTGTCTGCCTACCTAACTTATCCTATCTCCTTTGACCACGTATACCTCGCTTGGACTCAATCGGAACACACGGCCGAATCTTACTACTTGGCATATGTAGTATACATAGTGGCCTGATATATTATTAGTTGATACATGCGCAAAAGTCTCGTGACACACGTGCAAGGGTCATAATCGCGTCTCCGGAGCTGTCACATACTTTACTTGTGACCAATCAAACCTCGACATGCGCGCTTAGCCATATAGGGCAAAACGCGGGGTATCTGACGTTGTTTCTGCATGACTGGGGTTTATGTGTCTCCAGTACTTGGTAATAGTAAGTTCTATAGTATTTTGTACAGAACAAAATGTTGAGCTGTGACCTTCAGCACTTGAGAATAAAATTGGACAGTGGTAAGTAGCAGATGAGGTGGACACTGGAAAGTAGTAGCAAGTCGGAACAACATTATTTGCAGCGAACAAAATTCATATGTAAATCGGTACCTGGGCAGTCCTTTGGTTCCAGCTTCTTCTAGATATCTGGCAGGCCTCCAACCTTGAACCTTCCTACTTCAACTTTGCGAGGTTTATTCAAGGTTCAACATTTGAACGTTCAAATGTTTTGTCTCATCCTTCGCTGTTCGTCTTCGCCCTGATTTTACCCACAGTACATAAAGGTGACATTGGCAATGTTCAACGCTGCCCAGATGAACAAGTCGCGTGTCCAAAAATGACATCAGTCATGTCGCTCTCCACCCCACCTGGGAATTTGGCATCGACATAAATACTGTCAATACAATCTTCCTGGTTGACAAAGTCCCCTTCAAAAACACCGCCCACATTTCCATTATCACACTGATACCGGTCGTGGAATGCCTTGGTAGATTGCTTGCCTCTGACTGGTACTTTATAGCGCTTGGAGGATCCATTCGAGATATAAGTAACCATCGTACAATCCGTGTGGTGAGATTCAGCCCATTGGTAGGCTCCGCTAACGATGGCAACTGCCATGACCGACGATGCAAAGTACTTGCTCCCAATTACTGCCCAGTTTTGCCAGTAGGTCAGGCCGGTTTTCGGGCGTATTGATTGCCGTTCTTTCGGTATTTTATAGGTGCTCTGAGCATGAGCAAGAGGAGAGTGTGCGACTAGGCAGAGTAGCCCAACAAATATCTTCAGAAACAGCGATGGCATATTTGGAAGGGAGGCTGCCCGGTAACTTCCTTGAAAGGTTCCGAGGTCGGTTTAAATGTTATTCCGGCGTGGATGTTGAATGGTAAGCCTTTGATTTGATAATGAAGAGGGATTGTATCCAGAGTGCTGATCTTTATGGGAGCCCTGAAGCCCTCTGTGTGAATAATTTGAGAGATAGTAGCAGGATTCGGTGGAATCGTATATCAACGGGGAATGATGTCCATATATGATAGGTATTTGGAGTAGGCAGACTTTGACCTGCAAATCCCAGGAGAATCTTATGTGGGGCGAAGCAAAGGCTTAGCCTTAGCGTGCTTTAACCAGCATTTTTGAAGTCCAAACAAGGTGCCATTCCAAGGCTCGTCTGTAAATGCTCTTTAGCCGATATTGCATCACGTTAATACGTGAAACCTTTACTCCATATGAAACAAGATGGAACGGGTCATAATACACATTTGACGAAATCGAAGTAGCCAACGTCATTTCTTGCAGTGTGTTTCCGTAAGGCTGTGAAGGTCTAGTGTTTTTAGTCTTGGGCGGATTACGTGGCCCACATTTGTAGACCCCCCCCCCCCCCCGTTATGTCAACCGATTATTCGTGTTTCTTATTGGTCACTCAGGAGGTCCAGTCAGCCGTTTTTATGAACAGCCTTCAAGTTGGCTGCTGTGTGTAAATACTGCCAGGGTAGACTGCACGATGGATGATGCTAGCGTTGACGGGCTGACCTCGGGATGTTTACGGACTCGGAGTTACTGCATTAATCTAAGCATCTTATCTTTCAGCCACTGCGGCCGTGAGTCACACCTGGAAAGCTTCAAATGTTCAAAGTTTACTCATAAATACCTCTTCTAATACCTTCGAATCAAGCTCATAGCTCAGCTCAAAAGAAATCTGATTTCTACTTCCGCTTTCGCGCCAAGGAGATTAGTCCTGAGTGAGATTTACATACTGCTTCACTATGGCTGTTCCGAACCCCGCCGGAGAGGTCCTCCTCATCCCCACAACCTTCTCTTGTCAAAAAAGCCTAGACGAGATAGCAGCAAAATACAAGAAGCTTCGGCTTCACGGGCTCCAAGTCGACCCTAAATCTTTCAGCTCAACTTACGAAGATGAGTCTCAGTTTTCGCCTGCGACATGGCGATCTCGGCTTCTGAACCCGGCCGGCAAGACGTTCGTCTCGGTCACCAACCCTGATAATGAATATGATAATAAAAGCGGTGGCATTTCATCTGCAGAGTCCGGAAGCCCAAATACATCCTTTCAGCGACTAGTGAGCAGAGACTGGGTCGGAATTGTCACAATGTTAGGCCCAGTCCAAGTCTCAAAGCCGATTGCCGATAAAGAAACAACTCCTGTGAACCCATGGGATGTCTTTTTTAGAGACGGGAAATACAATGTTCCGCGGTCCGCTATAGAAGAAGATCTCAAAGATTCGGAAGTTGCCTACTTGGTTGTTGGCATGTTTGTTCTGCCCGAAGCCAGGCAAAAGGGGCATGCATCTCAATTGGTCAAGGGTTTAATTCAAGCCGCCCGGAAAGACGCCTGCGCTCGCGGAGTATCCAAGGCAACCATTTCGCTTGAGATCGAACCTGGGAATGCCACTGCGCAGCGATTGTATGAAAGATTGGGGTTTGTGGTGTGCGACAAGGCGCTTCCGATGGTAGACAAGCAGGGCAAGACAACATATGTGGTTGCGTTAATAAAGGAGATCGATTTGACCTAGCTTCCCAAGGTCAAAATCAGTCACCTCCATGTTCGTTTATCTTCAATTGCAGTAAATATTTATGTTCCAAAAACATCCTGCATATTTGACCTCTATGATTTGTATACAAAGGCAGAGCACGGGCAGTCCCCATTTTGATTGGTCGGATTTTTCAATACGGGTAGGTCATGTGATCCACAATGATTGAGCTGAGTCATCGGCCTCGTTAGAGGGCAAGGCTAGTCCTGATCAGGCATAGCGGCTTTTTGTTCCCACAAGCGGAGAAATTTACGGCAACCTTTTTCTTCTCCCTCAAGACACTTGCGCTGAGCCACACCTTAAGAATTCTTTTGGAAGACTGTCGCCATCATGTCCAAGATCACAGTCGGTATGTTCCACTCTTTTAATCATCTCTACATTGAAATCGAAGGTCTCTAACACCCTCACAGCCGGAGTGCGCGAGAATGTCCAGCAGCTGCTCGACTACTCGCTCAACGAGAAGAAGCGTAACTTCCTCGAGACCGTCGAGCTCCAAATCGGCCTGAAGAACTACGACCCCCAACGTGACAAGCGTTTCTCTGGTACCATCAAGCTGCCCGTTGTTCCCCGTCCCAACATGGCCATCTGGTGCGTTTTACTATCCATCACCCACACTGCATCGCATCTGCAACGACCCCGCTGCGCAAATCGATGATCATGCAAGAGGGTTTCAATTTTTCTGATGAACACGAGTACTGACGAGAGGAATTTACAGCATCATTGGTGACCAGCACGATCTTGACCGTGCCAAGCACCACGGTATCGATGCCATGTCCACCGACGACTTGAAGAAGCTCAACAAGAACAAGAAGCTCATCAAGAAGCTTGCTCGCAAGTACGATGCCTTCCTTGCTTCCGAGGCTCTGATCAAGCAGATTCCCCGTCTCCTTGGTCCCGGTCTGTCCAAGGCCGGAAAGTTCCCTACCCCCGTTTCCCACAACGAGGATATGGCCAACAAGGTCAACGACGTCAAGTCCACCATCAAGTTCCAGCTTAAGAAGGTTCTGTGTCTCGGTGTTGCCGTCGGTAACGTTGGCATGGGTACGGAGGAGCTCGTTGGCAACCTTATGTTGTCCATCAACTACCTTGTCTCCCTGCTCAAGAAGGGCTGGCAGAACGTTGGAAGTCTTGTCATCAAGGCTTCCATGTCTCCCCCCAAGCGCATCTACTAGAAACTTCATCACTTCATTGTGCTGATGTTTTCTGGAGATGTTCGAGAAGTGAGGGCGTCAATAGTTTACTAGTGGCCCTAAAAAATTAAAATGAATCTCACGACTCGGTCTCAAAACATTATCTCTTTACTAGTACAAATCATATATTATCAATGCATTGTAGATTTATAGTATTTTTTAAAGCCCAAACATGAATACGTGGGTAATGTTATACATGGCATTGTCCAGCATTGAATATAGTACAGGTATTGTATTGTGCTCTTTATTGCATGCCTTCCATCAACTCTGTTTTATCCAGAACCATGCCGCGCATGCCAATGAATTCGCGGAGACTCTCCCACTCTTCACCGACCTCCTCGCCACGCATATATGGGTCCTTGAATCCCCAAGCAACCGCCACCCTATCCATAGCCGCCCGTTCCTCTTCACGCAACCAGCGCTGGCGCAGGGGGATGCCAGACAACCAAACCACTCGCTCCATCTGGTCATTAGCCGTAGTGATAGCCATGATTCCAAGAGATGATGTACCACCAACGTAAGCCAGGGAGGCAGCAAAAGCAATACCAGTCGCAGTGCTAGGATCCATAGTGTTCTGGAATGTTGCTGCCCACGAGGCAAGGGCATAGCATGCGGCCGGGGCAGCAGCTAAGCCAACCAAGGGAACACTGGCCTTCTTAAAGATCTTGGCGCGGGGGAAAGCAGGCGCACAGAAGGTGTTGTCGATGATGGCCAGAACTAGCGAGAGGTTTTTCTGTGCGATAGCCACGTTCAGAGCCATATCGGCCAGTTCGGCGGGAACAGCGCTGTTGATGCTCTTTGGCTTCGCCTTGAGGAATTTGACTGGCGAGCTGCCTTCTTCTGGAACGGGCTTGTTGGCGTATAGGTGGAAAATCTCAGGGAGATGCTCTACTCGCTCCAAAAGAGTTTGAGTCTTGGTGTAGCTTTCCAAGGCTTCTGGAGTGATAAAAACTTTCTCGTCCTTTAGTAGATCGGTGGTGATACGGGCGATCGCGTCTGCTTGTCGGGGATCCAGGTTGATTGACTGGACTTGCTGTGCGGGCCTGGCGCTCTTCTCTTGCATGTCCAGCAACGACGAGGTCGCATTTCCATCCTCACTACTGGAGCCTTCGGAGGTTTCGTGCTCTTGCGATACTAAGGATTCGGTGAGATGCTGGCATCTCTCAAGGAGTTGTATCACGGCTTCGTTGGAAGGAACTTGGTCTGAATTATGCAAAGCCGATGCATCTTGTTCGATTTTTTGGATGGCTGATCCGGTATCTATGGACTCGGATGCGAAGGTACGCGAATTGATGAGCGGGTAGGATAATGGGGATCGAGTATAACTTGGCAGCTGCAGCGCAGACTTATTGTTCGAGAGTCGGCTTTGGGTCGTGGTGGGCAACCGGGCAAAGGGAAGGCGTCGCGGTGTCGCAGTTGAGAATTGGCAGAATTGGCAGACGGCTCCTTGCGACCTTGAGCCTCTTTGGGCTCTGAGGGCTATTCTGTTCATGGCGAATTGGGCGTTGAGTTGAGAAAGTGGGCAGCTGAGGGCCCGGCTCTGTGGTTTTTCTGATAGGGAGAGGCTCAAGGCGGAGACTTTTCGCCCCGGCGCTATTCACTTCCCCGTATCGTACTGACGTCTTTACTTCTGCCTTACACACCTCCTTCTGGTCAAGGAGCGCAACGTCCTTCTCTCCTCCTACTCAACGATTTAGAAGTCTTATGCTGTATCGTTCTCAACACTTCTATTGCATCTAAATTTCTTTTTTTGGACATGCCTCCTCCCCCTCCACCCCCTCCGCCGCCGCCCGGGGGACTAGGTGGCCCTCCCCCACCACCACCTCCTGCAGCTTTACCAGCGAGGCCGTCAAAAGGCGAAGTTAAAGATAGAGTATGTGCACTTGAACTGACAGAGCCGTGGCTTACGAAAACTCTGCCATATCAGTTGGGCCTCTATGGAAAAGCAGGTTACTAACTTGTGAATAGGGCGCTCTATTATCCGATATTCACAAAGGCGCTCGATTGAAGAAAGCCGTCACCAATGATCGATCAGCACCTATTGTTGGAAAATCTGGAGGCAGCTCAGCTGCACCGCCCATGGGAGCTGCACCACCAGTTCCAGGCATAAGACTACCTCCTACGGGACTTGCACCCCCGGTCCCAACTGGGCCCGCCGCCAATAGATTACGAAGCAACAGCGAAGGGGTATCCCACTCTGATGGGGCGGCCGGTGCCTCAGCACCACAACTGGGTGGCATTTTTGCGGGTGGCATGCCCAAGCTGCGCAGCCGTGGTGGTGTCAACACGGGTGCCAACCGACAAGACTCTCCATATTTATCGGACTCCGAGGCCTCCCGCCCGGCGCCTGGTGCACCACCTCCAAAGCCCCCAGGAGCTCCTCGACTACCTGGAGCACGACCGCCGCCACCTCCTCCATCCACAGAGTCACCGCCTGCGCTGCCTGTGAACTCGCTAGTTGCAAGTTTGAAGAAGGCCCCTCCGCTACCCGGTTCCAGGCCATCGTCTACTATTTCTACGGCAAGTACTAGGTCTGCTCCTGAGAGTCCTCCTCCGCGTGCTCCTCCACCACCTCCTGCAGTTTCCCGGGCTCCACCTCCCCCGGTATCTCGAAAATCATCTGCACCTCCTCCACCTCCCACCCCAGCAATTATCCCAGCGGCTCCACCCCCGCCACCACCAACAACATCAAGAGCTCCGCCTCCCCCTCCCGCCACATTGCGGTCACATGCTCCTCCTCCACCATCAATCGCCGCCCAGGCTGCCCGCAGTGCTCTTGGACACCCGCCATCAGCGCCAACAGCTTCAGCACCAGCAGCTCCTCCTCCGCCTCCGCCAGTCTCTCCTCCTAGCGCCCCTCCCCCACCCCCGAGTGAGCCATCGCCATTGGCATTCCGCCCATCCCCTGTTTCATCCCCCGCACCAATGAACCCTAGTGCTTATACTCTCTCCAATGGCGGCTCATCTCCTGCACCCGCCCAGATTCAATCTACAAATGGCCAGCATAACATTGTAGATCCCCGTTTCAAGTTTCCGGGCAATGCGATGCTTCCGGCTCCTCGGAGGTTTGCCAGAACCCTGCCTGTTAAATATCGTGCCGGGAAAGTCAGCAGTGTGCCGTACCATCTTAAATGAATTACGGATTGATTTGAGTGCATGGGACATTGCGGGCGATAGATATCGTGCACAGTTAGTAAATTGCTATACATTATATAAAACTTTCAAATTTGATCACTCAGGTGGTATCTTCGAAATCTCTACAATTATCAACCTATATCTGACTTGGAAGTTTTGAATCTACTAACTATATAGTACCTATTAGGCACCACTGCATGTGGGCACCCTTCGTATGGGTAGGGCTGAGCCGCTTATTTCCAGTCCTGGGAAGCACCAGCGCTGTCCATATTCATAGTATGGAGCTCTTGTTTGGAATATATTAGGTAGCGCTATTTTGTCCTATGTAAGCTTTAGGTACTTGCATGTGGCAATCTCGGGTCACGAGATCATTGCGCTAGGCACCGGCACTTGATGGACCTTATAGGTGGATGCCAATTATTGCCTTTTTGTTCCAATAAATAGGTCAAGTAGACATGTCGATCCACCACCTGGGCACCTGACCTGGGGTAACAACTACTAGTACCTACTACATAGTAGTAGGTAGGCAGAACCTAGATAGTGCTGGTTCATACCAGATATAGTTCTTTGTGTCATTTGAAGCCATATACGAGCAGCTCTATCGTCAAGATTTCAAAATTGTCTGATCTCCAAGGTTGACCTGCTCCCCAAATGCAAAATTGATATATACTACTAAGTACCTAAAGAAATGCTTGACATCTATGCCCATCTATGAATGTATTTTGAGGGCTAGCACCTGCCAAGTAGCTCTCAAGTGCTAGAGTTGGGAATAAGCTTGGGATTTCTGTGCACGCCTGGGCATGACGCCTGGGCTACATAATGGGGCCAAGAGTTGATGATGTATATTTTTTAGTATGTGTGATGTATACATACATCCGTGTTACATACAAAACGTCTGACCATAACAAAGAAAAATCTTCTAAAATTCAATGACCTGAAGATTTGGTCACTCTAGCCTGTGAGTTTTCCATTCGAAATACCCCCCATTAGAATATTGAATATATCTTGAACGGCGACTGAGAGATTCAGTTAAACATTTGGCGGAGACTGGTATGTAGTAGCTTAAAGCTCTGTCGCACGTGATCATATCTGCTAATCGCAAACACGCGCAAAACCCCCGAGATCAAATGATTCATTGTTCATCCTGCAACGATTGCTCATTTAATCCAAACCACTTCCGCTACTACTACCTCCAGTCTCGCCCTTGATTTAGCGCCAACGATTTTCAGCTTTTCTCCGCCCCTGCATCACGGAATTGGACCCACGATACCGAGTTGCACCATCGCCTCGAAACCTCTACCCCAAGCATAGCTTCACAAATACAATTCTGCAAAGAAAAGGTTCAATTACCACAACCAGTCAGGCGTGCCAAAAATAGAAGCGCCAAGCTACCGGCTTATTTCATCTCGTCACAAACCAAACCTCATCATGTCTCTCCAAACCTACATCAATAGTAAGCGACCCAGTCAACAAAGCGGCCCCCAAGCTGTACACAAACGCCTGAAACAACATACTGATCTACTATTTCTTTCTCAATAGAAAAAGTCCTGATTCTGACTGTGGACGGCCGAACACTACTTGGAAACCTCCTCTCCACTGATCAACTTACAAATCTTGTTCTCACGAATACCGTCGAACGTATCATCCGCACTCCCGAAGATGATGAGGCCTCAACAGAAATTGAGCATGGACTTTACTTGATTCGAGGTGATAATGTTGTTGTTTGTGGAGAGGTGGATGAGAAGATTGATGCCGATATCGACTGGACAAAGGTGAAAGGCGAGGTGATTCGGGATACGAAGAATGCATGAGCGGATCAGAATGATCATTGAATTTTTAACATATCCGGCGTTGGTGGCTATGGGAATACTTTGCATACAACCTTGAAATCATACTAGCATACTGGAGGGAGACAGGTGATTTGTGGAGACCTCGACATTTAAATGTTGGTGACACGAGATGCCTTGCCAGTTGAAATCCAACCGAGACCTGACTTGTACCATTTGAATATCCAACCTATCTGGGCTCACGCTTTCTTTTCCCTGCCTTCTTTTGCCACGGTTTTATCACGGACCTCCGGAGTTTGTGAAGGCACCAGCGATAATTTTTGCTATTTACATGATGTAATGACCCCAGGCATCTTGACGGCTTCACATGCTACACCTAGACATTTGCCACGATTTTTCTCTTTTCTTTTAGTTTTAAGCTCGGCTTAGTGGCAGTTAGGCCCATGTCTGTGGGGGTGGGATACTCAGCCCTGGAGTAGCTTATGAGCACATCGATTCCGACCCAAGGAATCTGGGCAGCACTTGGGAATCCAGTGAGATTATTCTTAGAGCCTTGGAGATTTCGGACTTGTACATGGTCCATACATGTTCTGATATCTTTTTTTTTTAAATTCTTTTTTTATTATTAATAACACCACGGAATATCCCTACGGTATTCGATCAAAAAGTGGGGACTGGAGACCAACACCAAACCAGACATGCATATTGGCTCGTTTTACATGATCACTAAGGGTTTGGGATACTTTATATCATCTATTCCGTACGGAATATTTAATATGATGGCACCATTCAACCCCCTTTTCTAATCCGTTTGCGGAACAGAGTCCGCCAGAATCCGTGCACTCCACAGCGGGAAGATGCCAAGACCAACCTGGGTTGAAGGAGATTGAGGAGTCTGAGGAAAGATACATGTATAGTATGTATTAATCCCTGTCAGCGAAGATCATGTTTCCTACTCCGGTACAAGGCTGTTGCCCGATCGCATGCATCATACATCAGAGGTGCAGTTACGCATCGTAGCTGACATTAGCGCAAAGGAAATTGAAAATGCGGTCAAACGAACAAAGGATGTTAGGAGTTTTTTTTTTTTTCTAATTTCTAATTTTTTTTTTCTGCTAACTAAGACATGTCAACCTTGGGAGATTCAAAGATTCAAAAATTCCAATACCAAGTAACATACTAGAAAAGAGGTCAAATGAAATAAAAGAAATGTCCCTGCGGAAAGAAAAAAACCAATCAACGTGGGGTTCTCTAATCATCAAAATCGTTAATTAATATAAGACAAAAGAACCGACGTTTAAATGTTGGGTAGAAGTACAGGTACATGCGTTACCATGGCCAACGCAGCGTTGGCCGAAGTACCGATGTGACACTGCCCCATCTTGACCCAAAGACCCGAAGCCCCCAAACCTCCCCTGATCCCCCCCATTTCCCGTTTCATCTTTCATCCCTTCTCTTGTTCCTCACGCCCTCATCGCTGGTCGTTGGGCTATTTCTCACCTTGAAATCCTATTTCTCTCTTTTACCCACTCTTTGCCGATCTTCGTCTTCCCCCTTTATCTCACCCCACAGCCCTTCATGTGGTCTCTATCATCTCTGAACACCATACCACTACCGGGTCAAATCCACCAATTCTCCCGGGCACAAAGCCCGTCGTGAACGTGTTCTTTGGGCTACGCCCTCGAGAATTAGATTACTTACTTGAAAAAGATATCAAGAAAAAAAATTGAAGCAATAGGGGAAGAACCCCCCTTCCCCGCGTCATGTGGCTCTACCGGGGCGCGCAGTCGGCCGTCTTCTACTATGCCACTTGCACCCCGTGTGCTATGAGCATTGACCGTCGCAAACGCAAGAAGGATGCTGCTCGAACACAACGCCTGAAGGAAAAATACGACCCCGAGATCGTTACCGACCAACCTCAGCCGTTCCCCCAGCCGACTCCATTCAGTACCAATGCAGGGTGGCGGGAGGAAATTGTCCTCGGCCCAGGCCCTCCAACTCGCCGCGGTGGCAATCGCAATCCTCAACGGACGAATAGTTGGAAATCAGACGACAGTTTGCAAGTGAAAGATAAGAGTGGGAGCTTGATGCACCCGATCGGCGAACGCTGGAATCGCCTACGAAACCAACGCGAAGATGAACCCCTCTGGGGTCAGGAATTGGAAGTACGCGGATCGTCCATTGGATTCTCAGGTCGTGGCCGTGCAGACCCTTATGAGCCCTCTAAGTATTACACTGCTCGTGTACCCCCCGTCAACGATCTTCACCCACCAATCGTGAGCGGCCCGATCAGCCGCGCCGAAACTCGATGGATGCTCCAACCACCACCTAGCGCGAGGGTCATGGCTGGCAAAGAAAGTTTCGCCAATTCGCCTCGCGACAGTGTAGGTGGTTTACCTGGCGACCGTTTATCTCGTGCCACCCAGCACGGCTCTCGTCGGAACGAGCTACTGGCCGCGGCGCGTGTCAGTAACGATGGAACCCCCGATAGCGATCCTACTCAGCAGACTCTACCACGACGGCCATCAGTAACCCGCTTGCGTGATCGCTCCAATAGTTTCTCACGTGAAGACTTTGAATATTCACGGCATTCTCGATCCGATTCCATGTTCTCGCTGGCCAACAGCGACGACCTCTCTCCCAGTTCTTCTTGGAAATATCCCGACACCCCTGAAACACGACGGGCGTCTAAATCAATTGACGATAGTGATAAAATCCCGCATCGTCCGCAAATATCTAAAACCCTCTCAACCTTGCAAAGACCTGATAATAAACACAAGGTCCATCTTCTTCACCTCGAGATTAACGATGACAATCCCGATGAGGTCGGCCTCGGTCAACTAGAACGCATTCGCCCGTGGCGCTGGAGCATGGATATTTAACGGCCTATCATCTTTCAACGAACCCCCTATTACATCCAATCATCCAGAATTCTCGACCAACCTCGACATCATCAAACCCTCCCCATTACTTTTCATCCTCACCTACTCGAATTTTCTTACCGTTCCATTTTTATCTTTATTTGGCTACCCGGCGTTCCGAGCAAAAAGAACAGCAAGCGTTTATTTTCCTCCATTTTCACCAATTCTGCAACGCCCCCTTCTTTCTCCTCGCGCATCTATCATCCCTGGCTTGAAACAAACTGCATGGCTGGTCCAGCACATGCCACAGAACGGAACCGCTGAAGACTCAAAGCCAACCAAACGACCTCAATTGGAGCCAGCACCGCACGATGACGCAGGGCGGCGATTTTTCGTTATGCACCCTCAACCTATCACATTCTTTCTCTCACCCCCTTCTGCTTTTTCCTGCTTTTCAGGTCCCGTTTCGAACCCTGTCGATCATTTCCTTTTTGGTGAATAAGGTTTCGCCTCTCTCATTTTCCTTTTCTATCTTTACTGTCCTATCCCTACACACATATCTTTTCTTCCCCCATTCTTGTATTATAATCACTCTGTCCGTTTGGATTACATACACGGCGTTTACATAGCATGATAGCTGATTCAATTGAATTCTATTTAAAAGCGTTCTTTTGTGACATGTACTTCTGTAGCGTTAATGTTATCTATCATCCGTATAATAGAATATCTGATCTATCAATCTTTGTCTACCTGTGGCTATCATGTTCTATCGCGCCAGGTATTAGAGAAATTACTTGTGTAGTAGATTGTACGACTAGACAACTTGCCCGGTCCAAATTCATAAGACAAACAAAAGACTCAGGCGAAAATGGGAAAGTAGGTATGAGTCTTGAACCTTGGAACATTTGAAGTAACAATGTTCACTCGTAAGGTTAGTCTTGGAACAACGACAGATAAGAATAACTAGATCATCTCCAGTCATATTATTACTATTGTATTTTGCTAGCACCCTCCACGCGTGTCCGCCGGTGGTTCCCTATAGAGCCCGCTGACTGATCATCTCATTATTTACGCGTGGCCCTAATATAACCAACACTAACTCAGCCATCTATGGATGTATTGGGAGCCACAAATATATCCTGACATTGCAACATGTCGCATCCCCTCACATCGATGATTGCGACCTTGGAGACAAAAATTACATGTAACTTATAAGGTAGTCTGTAGGGGAGGGGGGACTATAATACTTCCACATTGGGGCTTGTCTAAATGTTGTACTCGAGAAATTACAACAATACTGTAGATGATAAACTTCAACTCCAGTTTGAAAAGAGCAGACTCATGACTTCAATGCAACTTATCATTCGTTATAGATTTGATCAGGATGGATAACCTTGAGTACAATCGTCTCATGCCCATGATACATGACCGACTATTTTTTAGCTTGGAAGATGGCTGCAACCGAAAAATAGAAAAAAGGGATTAATCAGGAATGGGCCGAAGGTGGGAAAATTGAATCCCATAAGGCGTATGATGAGTGGGTCAAAATGAAAGCAGAAGAGACGCAAAGATGGGGTCGGAGAAGAAGGACCAAGATGACGGCTCTCGAGAATTCGAATGACAAAAAAGGTAGGTCGCTATGGATCATCCAAGGGTAAAACACCAAAGTTCAATACGGACTTATCCTGAGTGCATGGGCATTTGCTCTCTGATGAATGAGTGGTTGTTTCCCCTTGACGAGTTTCTTGAAAATCGAATGCGAGGACCGTAAGGCGGGTATATAAGAAAGAGGGTGTGTTTTTCTTTCTTCACTCCGCTCTAGTAGACCTTCTTCTTTTCGTCCATGCTGAACTGGCCTGGGCCAGTGTTGACCAGCAGTAAGAGACCACCACTAGATGAATGTCAGATATATTATATTGGCAAGATCAAGAATGAACTGGGGAAGGAACGTACACAATGGAAAGAATCTGGAAGAAGTCGTACTTCGCGAAGTCCTTGTGAGGGTGGTGGGGGTGGAGCTAGAGATTGAGAGTTAGTCATTAAAGCTAAAACATGCACGATAAAGTTTTTAGTACGTACCGTCCAGAAGTTGTTCACCAACACGTTGAACACACTGAGAAGGACGACAAGCACGATAGCGCTGAACTTGGCCTTGAAACCGACAATGACCATGACGCACGCGACCAAACCAAATCCGCTAACCAGAACGCGCCAGAAGCTCCACTGGCCAGAGAAAACAAATCCAACGAACAGGAAGATCAGCAAGACACGGCCAGCAAGCTGGACGTACATCTTGCGATCCTTCTCATCAAGCTGGGGCAGACCGGCGGGAATGAACTTCTTGCGCACCCAGGAATCCGAAAGCACCATAAGCAGGCCGCCAACGACACTCAGGTTACGGAAGAAGAAGTTCAAGTCGAAGATAAGACCGTATCCTAGACCTTGTGTGACGACAACAACCAGCAATCCTGCGACGGCGTATTCGGTATGCTTGCGGGCGATGACGAGGAATGAGCAGATGGACATGGCGATGACGTTGACAATCAAGAAAAGGTGTGTAATTCCCCAGGGAACTTTAAGTCAAAGAAAAAAGACCGAGTTAGAATCATTGTGCAGGAAGCTCCAAAAAAAAAAGAAGTGTGTTGTGATCTTGCCCTCGAGCACTCGAGCTGTGCCAATGCGGGCCGGGAAGCGGGAGGTGTGTTTCAAGGTGTCTTACTGTGACGGAAATCATTGAGGTAGACCAGCTGGTCGCTCCATTGTGTAAGAATGCGCAGCGAGTCTTCGATGAAGGTGACCACGATAAGAAAGCGGCCGATGGCTGGGAGATATCTGTTTAGGTCGAGTCAACACCGCTTCAGAGCAAGCTTTGGGACCCCTTGTTTGGGGATAATTGGCGTGTTTGTGTGGATGCGACCAGAGACTATCGGGAGCACTGGGAGAGCTTCTAAAGCATCGGGAGGATCACGTACGGCTTCACAGGATCAGACATGGTGTCTAGCCAGTCTTCGATCTTGCTAGTGTGCTCGCGGATGGCGTCGAGCGGGCTGGGATCGCTGGTAGCATCTGCGCTACCGGGCCCGCCGAATGGGTTCTGGTGGCCGAGGTTGTAGCCCGCTGTGCCACGGATTTGGGCCATGGCGGAATGATGTGAAAGAAGGTGGTGTAGAAAGAAAAGAAAAAAAGAGTTAGAGAGAAGTGAAGAGGTTGGAAGGTTAAAGTTGCAAGGAGGGTCGAAGGGGAGTAAATAACCTGGTGGAGCCGTACTATGTATACAAAGCAGGTGTGCACTTCAGGCCACGATGACCGGAACTCGGCGCTAAACCAGAACGGGTAATGTGACGACAACGGTACACATTCTTATTCTAATTAGGTATTCTTCTACACATAAATAGATCAAAACGAAGCATGATACGATTGGAAATACTTCAATTGTAATACAGGTGAGCTAGAAATGAAATGGAAAAAAAAAAGAGAAAAAAAAAAACATAGACCACACAGATCGCCCCACTGGTGCTTTTTCTGGAAATGCTGTTTCCATACCTCGAGATGTGAGGGTTTGCACCGGGATTTTGCGCTGTGAGCAACTTGCCCAAAATTTTGGTGGGAAAGTGCTGGTATTATAGGACAGTCCCGAAAAACGCCAAAGCCAAGTCAAAAGGGTAATAAGTACATGTCAAGGTGAAGATAGAGGGAGAAATTGTGCGTGAGAGAGGAACATGGATGAAAATGAACATGGCGTATGGGATGTAGGAATGAGGGGAATGAATTTAAGCAGCCCAGTCCGAGTCCAAGGGGTGACCCTTCTCAGTGGAGCGCAGGATATCCGGAAGGTAGGTGGGAGTCACTGTCACCTTAGGCTCAACTGGGAGGGGTGCCGCAGGAGCGGCCTGGCTCTCAGAGGCACTGGCATCGCTGACGCTCTCATCGGCCTTGGTGCCCTTCTTCTTGGGCTTCTTGGAGACGGTAGTCCACTCATCGACACCGTTGGCAGCACCGAGGATACGCACCTGCTCTTCCTCGGAAGGAAGTTCCTGGGCCCACTTCTTCTGGGTGGGGGCGGACTCAAAGGTATCAAGGAGCTGCACTGGGGCGGAAGTCGGGGCGGGGGCAGGAACAGCCTTGGTACCGTTGGCCTTGGGGGCTTCCTTGGTTTGCCAAGCGTTGGTGGCAGGGGCCTGAGACCGGGCAGCCTCACGGCGCTCAGATTCACGAGCGGTGTGCAATTGCTTCTCGAGCAACTGCCGGCGCTGCTCTTCCGCCTCCCGGACCTGTTCCTTGCGGGTCTCGTTCTTCAGGCGCTGTTGGCGCTGCTTCTTGTTCTCAACCTGCTTGAAGGACTGGACCTTCTCCTTCTTGGGCGCCGACTCGACATTTCCGGTGACGCGGAGAACAGAGGCAGCGGGGGCGGGGGCCTCAAGCATGTCGGACACGTAGCCGGCGGAACGCACAGCATTCACCTGCGGGGAGACGGCAGGGGAAAGATCATCATCAGCATCGGCGCCGGTGGTGGAAGAGGCGTGGGAGCCACTCTCCAGCTGATTGGCCTTCTTGGCCTTCTTCTTCTGGTTCTTGGTGGAGGGAGCTGTAGCGGGGGAGGTGCCGTTCTTGATCGCAGCGAGGCGACGAGCCATCTCCTTGCGGTCAACGTCGTCCTCCGCCTGCTCCTCCTCCTCGCTAGTAGGAGGTGAGATCACGGTCTTCACCTCAGACTTCTTGGCCGGCTGGGGGACGGGCTTCCGCTTTTGTTTCTTGGGCGCTACTGTGGCCTCGGCCTTCTCGACAACAGCCCGGACGGGGGTTTTGGTGGCTTTGGGGGCCGAGCCATTCGTGTAGTACCAGCCAAGGCTGCCTGCCACAACGAGCAGGAGTGCCCAGCTCAGGTAAGGGTTCATAGTCATAATGCTGCGGAATCAATTAGTCTCAATCAATCTGATCACTTTCAAATACTGCCGCTTCGTGTGCTCCACGTACCGGGTTGAATGAGGTTTTGGGGAAGGGATCAGGGATAGTGTAATATCACACTACGTTGGAGTTTGTGTCCAGGGAGGGTAGGACAATCACGTACGCGCACAATAAACTTGGCACGCGCAACCGTAGACCGAATTGAGCGCACACAGTATCGAAAAACGGGGTTGATGGGAGGGAGGTTTAGAGGACAAAGCCGCACATGAACGTCTTCGAAACCTAGGCGCAATGCGATTGACCGACTGAGGGTGTTGGTTGGTGTAAGCTCCAAGCGGCCTTGAGCTCAAGAGTCGAGTCTCGTGTCGTAGTCCAACCCAATTGGAGATGGTGGAAGCTGGACGTAGGTTGTTGAGACGAAAAGTCCGGGGGCGACGAGCGCTTCACGCTCAACTGCACTCGAACAAAGCTACAACAACACGACCAAACAAAGAAGAAAACAAACCAAAGCTCTCCAACGTAAGTAGTTGAAGAAGGGGGAGGTAGGAAGGGAAAGGACGTTGGTGAAGAAGAACAGGAGAAGGGGAGCCAGAAAAGGACACGCTGATCCGAGGGGGGCGTCCGACGGTACGGTAAACGGGGCGTATTACACGGCCTCTGGGCGAGACTACCCACAATGAAAACCGCGAGATATTGGTATGAGATTTTTCGGATTTCTTGGACTTTTATTGAATAAAATAACTCAAGAATTAAATAAGTGACATGGGTTGACTTCCCAAAATTAAGTCTTTCCAAAATTAACTCTATAAAGTCCCCTAGTGCGATAGATACATATTGGTAATACGCTAACCTTCACTTCCTCTTGGGATCTAAAAGCCACCAAACAACGTCCATGCACTTCTCCAAGTGGAGAGCAGTACAAATGGGGGTTCGCGAACAGGCCACGTCTCCAGTCTCCCCTCTCCGGGTGACACTGTCAATTACCCACCTGGCGTATGATTGGGCCTCCAAGGTCCCGGCTTTGTTTTAATTATCCTTTTCTGATATGTCCTTGTATGGCCGAGAAGAATCATGTCGATCCGGCAGGGGATCGGGCCATCCTCATCCCCTTACATGTAGGTACTTTTTACGCCCTCGCCCGCCACGAGGGGTCGGAAAGGGGATGCCGGTCACCGATAATGCATCTACGCGCGTTTTCTGCAAGTAAGACCCAACTGGTCAGGTACAGATCGTAAAGTAGGGGAAAGCAAAATCTAGCACCATCAATTGATGTTTCATGATCTATCGTATATTGCGTCTGATCTCTTTGTTTTTGATTTTGAGACGATCATCTCCCTTTTTGTCTTTTTTCGATGGTGCGGACAAGTGCGGATTCAGGTCACGTGTACCCCGTAGGTTATCTAAGTTTCTCTGCCTTAGGTGTCGATATGGGGGGGAAACAGTTGTAATCAGCGATAACTGTCAACTTTCTGATATCCCACCTCCCATATCCTACTCTCATCATTGATCATATTCACTCATAATGCCGGCTAAGAAGATTATCATTGATACTGACCCAGTAAGTGCTAATACAATCTGAGTCATTTTGTATAGTATACTGAAAGATATGTATCAGGGCATCGATGACATCCTTGCTCTACTGCTAGCTCTGTCCTCTAAGCCAGAGGACCTTGAGGTTCTACTGATCTCATTGACATTTGGAAACATCGAAGTCAAGAAGTGAGTTCTAATAACTGGCGAACACGGACTCGAGCTTATGCAGATACAGCTGTTTACGCAATGTGGTGTCCATGTTCCATATCCTCGAGCGGGAGATTCAATGGCGCCGTGATAATGGCAAGCCAGAGGGCTATGATACCCTCCGTGCTTTCCGTCCGGTAGTTGCAGTGGGTGCAGAGGATCCTTTGGAAGACCAGAAGATGCTAGCAGACTACTTCCGTAAGTGTTTCGTGGTTAGCATTGAACAATTTGAATTGATAAGATAACTGACATTAACCCCGCAGATGGAACCGATGGCCTTGGTGGCATCCATGCCACGGTAAGTACTACACGGGCACTCTCTGCACGCATAGTAGAAGAAGAACTGACCGATAATCTAGCACCCTCATCTCACACCCACGACCGCCTGGGAACATCTTTTTGATCCGGCAGTGGATCCCGAGGGTATCACACCAGTCCAGACAGGTGCCGTCCCTGGTGACCATTCATTCATCCCCTCAAGACTTCCTGCACACAAGGAAATCCTCCGGGTACTGCGTGCAAATGAGCCCGATACTGTGACCATTGTCGCTGTTGGCCCACTCACCAATTTGGCTTTGGCTGCAGCAGAAGACCCAGAGACCTTCCTCCGCGCGAAGGAGGTTGTTGTCATGGGTGGTGCAATCCATGAACCTGGCAATGTAAGAAAACTGTCAAATAAGCTGGGAGGTCAGCATTAACAAAGAGTTACACAGGTCACCCCGGTTGGCGAGTTCAACGCCTATGCAGATGCTGTCGCTGCCGCACGAGTGTTTGCGCTCACATCCCCAAACCCCAACTCCACCTTGCCACTTACAACAAGCCCCTTATTGGCACCCTACCCGGAAAAGCTCAGTAAGCAGTTGACCCTACGTCTTTTCCCACTGGACATCACTCTGCGCCACAATCTGTCCCGTGGTGAGCTTCGCGAAGCCGTCACTCCTCTTCTCGCCGCCGGTTCTCCTCTTGCTGAATGGGTCACTGCATTCATGGGACATACGTTCCGTACTTTGGAGCGTCTCCACCCAGGCCAAGTTGGGGATTCTGCGGAGTTAAGTATGCACGACCCGGTCTGTGTATGGTACGCCCTTACTTCCGAGGATCCTGAGTGGGCTCCTTCAGCCAACTCCCCCGAAGATATCCGTATCGAGACACAGGGGCAGTGGACTCGCGGTCAGTGTATAATTGATCGCAGAAGTCGCCACAAAATCGAAGGCGATGAAGAGAGCTCAAGCGACCATGGCCTGTGGTTGAGTTCTCGGGCTGGTAACCGTATCTTGCGGATGGATCAATCACCTGCTGAGAAGACGTTTGGCAAGATTATGGTTGATCGTCTGTTCAGTTAATTTCTTGTTTATAGAGGCGAGCATTTGAAAGTAGACCGATTCTGCGTTAATGTTGATACGGTTCTAGACGAATAGAGGTCACGTTTCCACTATGGTTTTTTTTTTTTGGATATGTCTATTAGTTTAGCTCGAACAAACCGAAAATAACCTGTCAATATCTGAAGGGAACCTTGGAAAGCACAACGCGGCCGGGCTTCAGTAAATATGTGGCAGCTAGGTATGAATAGCCCTGGAGTCCTGGAGCATCCGAGTTTAGAGACTGTCCAAGAATGAGACCCGTGCGGGCAACTTGAACCCAGCTTCCTGTCACGACAAGGAGTTCCACACCTCGTAGCGCGTCGGCAGATGCACAAAGCCAAATCATCCTTAATCTATCAATATCTACCGCCATTGGTTTACATTTATGCCAAAGCGGCCTGGAATGTATAAGCGTTGAAGCAGATTGGCCAGAATGACAACCAAGGCCCAACCAAACCACTTTCAGTAATGAAGCACACTGATTATTGAAGTTCCAAAGGCTATTGAGACTGCTTTAGGCAAATCTTGTGATTATCAATCCGCCGGGAGGTTGGGTATGAATGGTTTCCCCCGGCCCACGAGAGGAATGTGGAATGCCGTAACCCAGTGATCAGCTGTCATATTTGCCATACGCACCAATAGCAAAGACGGGTGCATGGATAGTACTATAGAGCAACCAGCCTCTCAGAATTTCCGAGATTGTCAGAAAGACGATCTATATAAACCGATTGCCCAGGGGTGGATCTTCAGCTTCATCATCATCTCCAATATATCCACTTTTCCGACTTTGACCTCAATCAATCACATTTCTACCTATCCTTGTGATATTAAGTTTCTACTACAATCTACGATTCACTATGCACATCCAAAGTCTTGTCAGTGTTTGCCTGGTTGCCCTAGCCGGCACCGCGGCCGCCCTGCCCCGACTCGCAGGCCCCTACGTCGGCCACCGCATCGCAGTCCCAGTCCCTACCAATGCTACAATCGCTCATAATGCGACCACAACCGGGACCCGAAACAAAGCACCTTTGACAACGGGACTGTCAATTCCGAAAAATAAGACTACCAACATCCACGCCTCGCATGGACTGAACTCGATTGATAAGCCCACTAAGGGAAGCAACCATTGCAATGAGTTGTGCTCCTTGGAAGCTCAGACTTGCACCATTGCTGTGCCTGAAGATGACCAGTACTGGTAAGTGAAACGGTTTATATAAGAATGGGTGAGAATTGTTGAGCTAATCGAGGTTGTTCTAGCTGGCAAACCTATACGCGATGCATGTCGAAATGTCGACCGGATAACTTCCAAAAGTAGGAAGAATTGGAATTGAAAGAATACTGTGATATACAAGGACATGCATGGATATGGATAGGGGTTGTTTGATTTACTAGCGAGAATTGGAAGTGTACTTTATATAGCATGGATTGATTGAATACCAAGGAATAATAATAATACCGCATTCTACACATCAATTACTACTATGTATAGATGTCCCCCTATTGAATGTTCTTTCTCCGATACTCCGATACTCCGGCAAGCCGCAGGTTTGCTTTTTCTCCGCGCCGGATTGTCGGCCAACCGGAATTGTCTTAATTAACCTTGATTCGAATTGCAACCGCCCTATTGGTAACACAATCTAATAAGCTAAGCTAATTATAATGTTGATATTTATGCAATAGGGAAAATTCTGGAAACAGTACAAAGAAATAATGTAGTATAAGTGGCAAAAAAAAAAAGAAAAGAAAATTTCCTGCAGGTCGATCACTGACGTTATGGACAGGTAGGATGAATGCGGGATGGGATCGATTTGCACATGTGCCTCACAAGAGACCACCCGGTTTTTTCCCTTCAACGTCTCCGATTGAATTTTGTTTTTTTTGATGAGAACTTAAAAAATGTCAAGGGCAAAGTCTCAACCAGAGAGATGTACAACCCCCGCACATATAAAATGGTTAATAAGGGAATGCACGGGGGCACGAGAGTCCAAGTACGAGTCCAGAGCACACGTGCTGGGCTACCACTCTGGACGAGGGACAATCATTGATGTATTTGCCTGGGAATTGCCTGGGAATTGAGGGTTATAGGACAGAATTGCAGTGATGATTGGTGTGTGGAGAAGGAGTAACCCTGTACCTGCTGATAAGCTCGCCCCCGCCCCACTTGTAGCCAGCAAATGCCCGTTGCTCCCTGGGGCACGAGCTCCAATCCACCACCAATCAGCTCCCTCGATTGCGGCTCGTGGGCGCTCCAAGCACGCGACACTGCCGTTCTATACAAATCCGTTTCGGTATATAATTCCCCAGTAACTGGGTGCCCCCTTCCTCCCCCTCACTTGCTTATACCATTTTCTCTCATTCCCCGGGGATCGGTGCTTCGAAACATTTGATTGTCGTCTACTTCTCACTTTCCACCATGTCTACACGTTTTCCCCCTACGCCCGCCATGTCTGGCGAATTCATCATCAAGGATCAGCCCGCCGATGCCACAGACGCCTTCGCTCTACCCCCAGCCGCCATGGGTTCCTCCAAAGTTGATGATTCCTATAGTCGACGGTCATCTCGTTCAGATCCTACATACGTCCCGGCTTCACCAACTTCCCCTGATCTCGTGGCTCGCAGATCATCAACACAACAGGCTCGGTCCGGCAACGCTACCAAGCGCTCGCTAGAAGACTTTGAGCTGCCACCACCTCCTACTCGAACACGCAAGATCATTCAGATGAAACCAAAGCCCCAAACAACCAAGTCTCCTTCAAAGTCCAAAGAGAGCGGGAAAGCAGCCCAGCCATCACCCGAACAGACCAAGGATACTACCACCTCCAAAAAGAAGCAACCCAGTGCTACAAGTGCCGCGGGACGTAAGATCGCCCGAAAGACAGCCCACAGTTTGATCGAGCGCCGTCGACGATCCAAGATGAACGAGGAGTTTGGTACTTTGAAGGATATGATTCCTGCCTGCACAGGGCAAGAGATGCACAAACTTGCAATTCTCCAGGTACATTTCTCCTCCAGGCTCAAGCCTTCTTGCGTTTGAACTCAGCCGTGGACCCTTCTTTTTCTAACATAATATCTGTTCTACTCTCTAGGCGAGCATTGACTATGTGAACTACTTGGAACGATGCATTCGAGACCTTAAAACAGCCGGCGCTACCCATACCACCTCCCCACCTTCACCCACATCCCCAGAGTTCCACATGGAAGGAGCAGAGTCCACTCAACATCCCCCTCAACGCCCGCCATCTTCAATGTATTCATACTCTGCTTCTGAATCACCGGAGATTATGCCTGGCAGCGCGATGATGTCTGATACATCTCCCTCCTTCTCTCCCCGTACCCGCATGCCCTCAATCCACACATTGCCCGATATTTCATCCGTTCTGCCTAGTCCAGCACTGGGTCCCATCAACCCAGCTATGGACAAGATGCACGAGCTTCAAGGAATCGATCATGAGGCTTCCGCTGCTTTGCTTATGCTCACGCAAGACAGAAGAGGTACAGCGGACTCTATCAACGAGCACTTTGCTAGCAGTACATCTCTCTCTGCTCCCTCTCAGCAAAGCAGGGGAGTCGATGTGCAACGGAGAAAGGGCATGAGCGTGCGCGACCTTCTCATTTCCTAATCTTCTTTTCATGATACATACTTTAATTCCTGGGCTGGTCTCCTGTTTTCATTCTTGGTTTCAGCCATTTGGAAGAATTAAAATCCGGCGGTGCCCTGTGTTTGGTTAGGTGTTGTCTTTTTTAGCGATTATCGGCGTTCTGTTCATGTGATTCTATATGATTTAATTTTGGAATTTTGGAATTTTGGAAGGTTTCACCCTTGTATATGATGTCTTGGGATAAACTTGTGTTTTATGGCACCTGAGGATTTGATATCCAGAAGAGTGAAAGAAGAAATAATTTTTAGAAAGAGAAACATTGAATGAGGTTCAAATGGAAGAGAGTCCATTGTACTCAGTTTTACCTTTACTTCAATTTGTAAATATAGAGATGGTGGGGTGCGATCTCCACCCAGTGGATAAACTGAGGTTATTCACAACCTACCTTCATGCTGTGGTCGCCACCCGTGGACTCGGAATGTTTGAAAAAAAGTTGATATAGCCCCGAACCACAGGAATACGGGCCTTGCCAAAGTAATTACAACCTTCCAACATCAAACTCGTCTCTCTCAGATCTGTTTGGAGGTAGTCTATACAGTAGCACCTACCCCAGTTTTATCATATAGACCCACTGACAAACCACCCAGGTGCCATTGGCCGGGTCTTGGCATCTTGGCATTCGGCCCTCCGGCCTCGGTCATTCAAAAATCCGAAATGCCGACATCATCATTTCTTGCGACAACCTCCATGGTATCTATACCATAGGCCCATGCACTTCGATCTATACCCGGTATCCACACCCGAGATATTTGAGACCCACTTTGTAGGTTGATAGAACAATGGACCGCCGATACAACGTAGAACGCTCTTGTCTACGCTGTCACGAGCGCAAAGTCCGCTGCGACAAAGGCACTCCATGCAACAAGTGCAGTCGCCTTAATGTCCCATGTGAATATCCCGGCCCAAAAAGAGTGAAGCGCCGAGCGCCGAAGACAACCTCTACCGATCTAGTGGAGCGCCTGGAGCAACTTGAGCGCTCCATTACTTCGATCGCGGGGCAGTCAGCCCAGCCAACGCCCCAGCACCCAACTGGCCATTTACTCTCGGATTACCACACCCACACCCACACCGCCAATCATGATGTTGTTCGAGCGTCTTCGAGTGAATCTAGTGCGGTGACTTCGGGTCGCCAGACGGCGAGGGCTGAGCCTGGTTTCTTGGCGAAAAATGGTAGTTATGTTGATGAGCCGTTCTTGTCGCGGGTGTTGGAGAAGGAGCATGAGCTACAGTCGGCCATGGGGTCACCCAATACAGAGAATGGTGCTGCTAGAAAACCGCCTCGGATAAAGGTTGATGGTATGATCACGAATCCGCAGCTCATCCCGTTGGATATCAAATCGTTGCATCCGAGCAGATGGCAGGCGACGGTGCTCTGGGAGACCTTTTTAAGTCGGGTGGATCCAGTTGTCAAGGTGATTCACGTGCCGACGACTAAACCTCGTATTTTCGCTGCGATTAATCGGCCAGATTCGGTTCAACCTGATGTTCATTGTTTGCTCTTTGCAATTTTCTTCGGTGCTGCCACTGCTATGTCTTCTGATAACCCCGAGAATGATGGCATACGTTCGGACATGCGTCGGTACCAACAGGGCATTGAACTTGCTATGTATCAATCATCTTTTCTGGACTCCCCAACAGTGACCTCATTACAGGCACTGGCGATCTTCTTGGTATGTGGATAGCCTATACTGGCCCCAAGTGTTGGTATCTGAGCCTTGCCTGCTAATAACGTACCCTACATAGACGTGCCTACGTTACAGCAATAGTGGTCGCTCTGGCTTTACTCTGCGCGGACTAGCCATTCGAGCAGCGCAATCAATCGGTCTTCACCGCGATGGGAAGCACTTTAAACTGTCTCCCCTAGAGTGCGAGATCCGCCGCCGACTATGGTGGATGCTAGCCACGACCGACTGCCGAATGGCGGAGGACCATGGCATTACAGTGACAGAACATGGCGGCGATGCCCAATTACCCGCCAACATTGACGACTTGAGCCTTAGCGAAACAGCCACAGAACCGATATCCTCACAGGCACAGTGGACAGAGATGACATTTTCCCTAATCATATCCGAAGTCAACAGAATGTGGCTTCCAATGGCCCGATCAACAATCGACTCAGAAGACGGCGCCCGTCCCGAGCAACTAATTGCCAAGTTTCACAATGCCCTACAAGAAAAGTATGTCCAGTACGGCGACCTTGACATCCCAATTCAGCGCATGGGCATCCTCCTCAGCCAGATCCTCGTCGCCAAAGCAGAGGTCCATCTCCGACAAAAAGGGCTCCAGACCGCACTCCCATCCTCATCAGCAGGAGACTCAGAAGAAACCCAAGAACTTCTCGGAATGGCCTGTAGAGCCCTAAATCTCGGCTTGCAAATGTATTCAGACGAGCTCCTACGCGGATTCCGTTGGTTAACATCAACGTACACCCAGTTCCACCTATTAACCTATATACTGTGGCACCTATGTGTGTTCCCGACAGGTCAATTTGTGGAGGAAGCCTGGCGCGGCGTGGAGACACATTTTGAGCTTGTGGCTCGAGATCCCTCGTGGCCTGATCCGGGTCCCAAGTGGCCCATGCTTGTGCAGCTGCGAGCGAAAGCGTTAAGGATTCGAAATGCGCACTCTGCTTCCGTTGCACAGAGGGAGCAGCAACGACAAGAGGAACAACAGCAGATGCAGTCTACTGAAATTCCTGTGTCTGTGGATGATGCGGCGTTGCAAAATCTCGGGGCGCCGTTTTGGGATTTGGATGATTTGGACTTCAATTGGTCCGAGTTTCCGGATTGGAATTATTTGGCGCAGAGCATTGGTTTGATGAATCCCGATGGGATGATTCAATAGATTCCCAATGGTTCAGTACTGAGTACTAGGCTATACATAGAAGCGCGAGAACACTGATTCTCACTGCTGAAGTAGATACCTACGCTCACTCAATTGTGATGTATCACGAACCGATTTTTGAACTTTCACAAATCAAATGAAGTGAAAAGGACCAATGTTTAGGTGTCATAATACAAAAGTGAGGTATTGAACTTGACTACAACTTCCTGTTTTGTTTTTCTTTATCCTTGTCAGTGGTGGAGAATCGATCCGCGACGCGGGTCATGCAAGACGCGAGTTGACGCGTCTCTCGGACCCGTCATGTCTCTATCCGATTCATCGTAAGAGACCAGTCTTGACTCGTTCTCTCTCTCTAGAAAAAGAATTTGAATGTTCAATCTTCAAGCATCAAAATGCCCGCCTCCAATACAATGGACGAAAACATCAAAATCGAAGATGATTGCCTCAATCATTGCATCGACACTGCATCGGACACATTATTACGGACACTCTTGAAGACTATCTGCGAGACAATTCCCGCCGCAAAAGAGAAGGTCGTTGAAAATCTACTTGTCGAAAAGAACAAGGTTCCAATTCCACCGAGTTCGGATTCGGATTCGGATCAAGAATCAAACGACGAGGGCTCAGATGAAGAGAAAGGCTCTGAAGATGATGAGACCGCAAGCGCAGAGAAACGTCCGGCTCAGGAAACTACTAGCAGTGCCAAGAGGCCTCGCTATGCAGAATGCGAAGTCTGTAATAAGCAATTTGACGTTCTGTTGAACTCGGAAACAGCCTGCAGATACCATGAAAGTAAGTAGAAATGAGAAAGATCAAAGTCGAAATTGTGAAATTGGAACAAACCTAATGATTTTATAGAAGAGGCCTGTGTGGAAGATGATTCGCCTTTGTTCTGGGACAATGACTTCTTCGGCCCTATGGAAGCGGAGACCGACCCGCACATCAGAGAAGAATATCCGGAGTACTTTAAATTCGAATGCTGCGGGGGCAACTTGATGGACAATCCCGATGGGTGCAAGACTGGCTGGCACAAAGAGGCATCCTCGTATCTTGTCGCCATGAGCGCGAAAAAGAGGCGCCTGATTTGAAATATCATATTATTGAAAGGGTGTTTGATGAAGTTTGGACGAATGTATTTCTTCCTACTACAATGTTCCTCTTAGGTGCTGGCTTTTCGGCCCAGACCTACAGGTGTTCAGTCACATTGTTCTATCCACTAAGCAGCTCGAGATCTCTCTTCCGAACACGGATTGCCAAGAGAAAGCAACCTTTGAGATACATGAATCGTGCATCATCAAAACTTAGCCTTCCACACTAGTCCCGTGTGATGAAGTCGAGCAGCTAGCACTAACACACTCCCAACTAGCAGGAAAACACCAGAGAATATCTTCATGCCCGTGTAAGAGCCACCGTCACGCTGCAAGATTGCACCTGCAATCGGGTTGGTTGTTAGACCACCAATTGACGAAAACAGAAACAGCAAGCCTGTCCGGTAACCTATCTCTGGGAATGGTGAGATCTTAACCACCAGCGCAGCAGCGAGGGACACGTAAGCCCCTGAAGCGAACCCAAAGGCGCAAGCAAAGACGATGATAGAGGCATTGCTCGCAGCAGGAATCCACAACGCCAAAACAAGCACACCGGCAAGAAAGCATGCGCTGACAAGAATGTTGTAGTGCCCAACCTTGTCAGAGAAAATACCAGCCAACATGCGGCCAAACAGGCTGTTGAGTATAGTAATTAGCAACACACCAAATCATGAAGAACAGAGTTCCAAGACTCACCTTGCAGCATTAAGCATGGAAACAAGATACTGGGCAAGATTAGAGCTCATTCCAGCACTCAGGGCCTGAACAACCACATAATCAATCGGAATGAAAACCCCAAACGTCAAAAACACAAATCCCAAAACAAGAAGCACCATCTTGACCTCCTTAAAAGGTCTGAGAAGCGTGTCTTTGTCCATCTTTCTCGGCCTCGGAGGCACCCTCGAACGCACAGTAAGAGCAGTAATCGCCAACAGAAACATGATAAGAAACGCAGCCACTCGCATCGCCCACCCATACCCGATCTCGGCAATCAACCGACTAACCATGATCGGGAATATCACGCCCCCAAGGCTCGAGCCCGTTGCGACAATTCCATAGGCGGCGCCCCGCTTCTTGTCGAACCAACTTGGGATAACGTTCATTGAGGGTTGAAAAATTGCGCATACTCCCATCGCGCTGCAGACGCCTTGGGAGAGGAGGAGTTGGTAATATTCTTTGGATATGGATGCCATCATCAGGCCCAAGATGTGGAGAAATGAGCCTCCGAGAATGATGTAGCGGGGTCCGAATCTGTCATACAGTTGTCCGATGATTGGTCCCTATTTCGATAGACCAGGTCGTCAATTTTTGAAAAATTAGAGGATCTTTTTGGGGGACTTTTACCATGGCAAACATGAAGAAAATCTGCAGAGAAGGAATCCAGGCAATTGTGCTGGAAGAGTATTGACGCAGCAGGGTAGTCTCATAGTAGTCCTGGAAGGTGCCCACACCTGATTCGATGTCAATGTAGATTAGCCCCGTGGAAGACCACAACGTATCGATTGAAAACCCGGAGAGTTAACGTACTATTGATCCAGCCAAATGTGCAAAATAAGGCACACCATGCGCCTAGCACAGCTAGCCAAGCAGTAAGGCCTCCATCAGGCGCATCATTTGTCCATGGTGGTTTGGGCGCCTCTACTTCGGCGAGCTTGGGCTCTGGAGTGGTTTCGTCAATGGTATGCTCTGGATCAACAAATGAATGCGCAGACTTGGCACCTTGGAGCGACATTTTGGTTGAAAGAGACACCTCGAAAGAAAAGGAAGAAAAGAAAGGTAAGGAAGAGAAGAAAAAGACGCGGCACAGGAGTAAAGAGAAGAAGAAAGGAAGGAAGGAAGGAGAAATCAGACCTCACATAGCCAAACCAAACACCCACGATTACTCCAAAAAGCGCGTGGAGGTTTGAAGTAAGCAGATAATTAAAACGCTCGGGGAAAAAGGACAATCTACTACTAAGTGAGAGAAGGTCGTCCTCGGGGTTGTCGAATGGCCGAGCCGAAGTGCAAATCTCCGAAGTCAAAGGCCGATTTTAAGCTAAGTCATTGTAGTCAATGGGGTAAGAGTAGATCAAAGAAAAGGACAAATTTTGATTCATTTTTTGCAAGGACCTTCGCCGCGCGATATTATTATTTTGAGTCATTAACATTAATATTCATGTCTTGTAAATGCAAGCCCAAACAGCTCCCAAATGCGAAAAAACGAGCAAACAAGAAGCAAGAGAAAAAGGAGAAAATGAGAATAGAAATAAAAACAAAACCCATGATCATGACCAAGACCGGAAAGGTGCAGATAGTAGTCATGGTAATACTTAGACCTCCACTTCACCCTCTTGAGGCGTCTGTATCCCACTCGACGACTTTCGCATCTCCATCTCCAGCAACCGCTGGCAAAATGGACTCCGTTTCCGAATCCAAGGCCCATAGTAAAGCAAAGCAAATGGAATCGGGATGCAAGCCAGACTAGCAAGTCCCAAAACCGAAGTAGCCCACGCAACACCAAGCTTTGAATACAGCGGGTCGGCAGCGAGCGGAAAGAGCGCACCGGCAACACTCCGCATGATAACTGATGCGGCGAGGGCACTGGCAGAGTAGATCTTGTATGCATCGGTGACGTATGTCAAAAGAGAGATAAAGGTTGTTTGGTAGCCCAGTCCGAATACTATGCCGGATAGGACTGGAACAATCCAAGGGATGCTGGTTTTTGCGGACCAAGCGAGCCAGAAGAGACTGATTGTTAGGCAGGGGGCGGAGATGCAAGATAGTGGGAGTCGCTGGGACTCTGGCCCGGATGCCCATCTTTTCCCGCATTTCTTGGCTTTGTTGTAGAGGCTGTCGTAGTAGAGCGCGAAGACGCAGGAGGATGCGGCGCCAAGGCCAACTGATGATTCGTTAGCTTGGGAAAAATCATACAGATGGCTGATTTGGGAGATTCCAACTTACTGGGAATGTATGTGAGAGATGTCTTTTCAACATTGAAGTTGTAAGTGCCTTGGTAAAGTCAGATTGGGCCCAGGAAGAATAGACGCGGAGAACATACCCTCGAAGATAATTGGATACGCCTGGAAATAAAAGAATACCATGCTCCATGCAAGAGAGATGTATATCGAGGTGAACAAGATGATGGGCTCAAAAACAAGCATTGTCAGAGGACGGGTGATCGTCTGCGTCAATGTGAAGGCCTCATAGGACTTCAGTCTCTGTGGAGAAAGATATCGGTCGGAACCGGACTCTTTTCTAAGCTTTGCTGCTTGCTTTTCGAGGAGCACAGGTGCGAATGTTTCTAAGGAAGGAAGAGTGAGCAAGGGAATAAGATTGGAAGACACGGAGCTGGTCAGTGTACTTACCAGAAAAGCCCCAAAGGCCAACCCAGCCAATGCCACATAGTATAACATCGATCCGGAACGTCCAACGCCAACCATACTGAACCGAGCAGCCAGAGATGATAGGCCCAATAATTGGCCCAAAACTTGAAGCCTGTAAGATGGGTCCTGTCAGCTATTTTGCAGCTTGAGTAGGAAGCACTTGAGTACTATAGACATCAGCTGTTGACTTACCGCCATATACAACGCCATAGCACGACCTCGGCTTCGCAAGTCAGAAAACAAATCGGCATAAACACCGCCAACAACAGTCTGCGGCGCAGCAGCCATCGTGCCACAGATAACGCGGAAGACCAATAGAGCCGGCCAATTGGGTGCGTAGGCACAAGCAAGTGTCCCCAAAACAAACACCGTGAATGACCAGAACAGAATCGGCTGACGTCCGATTGTTTCACTTAGAGGGCTGAAGACTAAAGGTCCGACGCAGTAGCCGACCAGGAAAATTGCTGTTGGCAGGACCTTCTGGCCGTCGCCGGATACATCGAAATCTTGCATGATGGTGGGGACTGCATTGCTAGGTAGAGAGGAGGAGATGCCGCTGTTCAGTACGATGAGTAGTCCCACCACTGCGTTGTACAATTTTTTATTCTAGAGCAAGTGTTAGTACGTACCATAATCTGGCTTTGTTTACTTATTGTAAACTCAGCCTCTGACAATATGATATTGATAGCTTACAAAAGACCAGTTGTTTGGATTTGCCAAAGAACCTTCTTGGAACTCCACCAGTGTTTCATGGGGTGACAGTTCAACCAGTGTATACTCCTCGCCATCCTGACTCTTCTCTTCAGAGCCCATTGTAGTGGCAGATTTTTGTTCGAAGCAAGGCTTCTTATCTAGACAGATTAAGGCAGTTAGAATACGAAAAAAAAGACTTTCGAATAGACAGAGCATAGTATAGACATCAATCGCACCTTTAGAAAAACTCCTCAAAACTCGAGCTATCGGAGAGTCACCTATAAGGCCCGACATTTTGTGCATTCAAGTTCGTACGTGAATCCAAACCCGAAGGATGCAAAAAAGTAAATAACAAATTAAAGAAAGAACCAACGATGCCTCTATCCAAACAATTCCATGACTCCAATGCGAACCCCGTTTCATTTAAAAGAATCTTCCATTGCCACTAGTGGACACTGAGAGCAAAATTTGAGCCAGAAAAACTTGACTCAGAGCTTCTAGGCCGTGTTCATGCATAGCGTTCCAAACTATTATGTTTGCGTATCTACAACAAACCAGTAAGATGCTCGCTACAGTTCGGGGCCGGTCCGGCGCCGCATTTGAGGGCCTCAGGCTCCGGCGCCGGGTAGGGACCGGATTTCCGACGGCAGTTCCCGACGCCTAGATTTTCTACGGATTTTACGTTTTCGGCCTCAGGTGCGCGTGGGTAGGATTTAGACTGCGTTATTTCATGTGACAGATGATGTGTAAATGGCATTGTGACCGAATTTGTCTTTTCTTGCAGTCAGTCTGGTCGTGGGATTTACCAACGTGGACCGGTACTGCAGATCGGAGAATATGGCACATATTTACGTTCTACTACCTTAGTTTGGCATCAATTGATTTTATCTGATTGAAAAGTTTGCATTTGCATCATAAAAACTATATACTTTGTGCCGGCCAAATATCTCACTGTGGCAAAGAAGGCATCATAGGCAAGAAATCGAAGATGTCGTTTTGCCCTTCCTCGAACAGACCAAATGAGTCCGCGATGGAATTAGACATGGTCCAGTTGGGGGCTTCCATTGTGTCGGGCAGCCGTGGAAGAGGAGGTCTGGCAGCTGCAGCTGCAGCTGCAGCATCGGGGTTTGCCATGGGTAGTAAGTTAGGATCTTTATCACTCGGCATAGCTGTGCCGGCCCTGTACCGCGGCCCATCCAAGGGCGCCAGATGCGGGGCATTGTCCACAGGGCTATCGGGGCCTGCGTATGAGGACATGGTGGCATCGCCTTGACTGGACAAGTTGGGACCGTCGCTATCGTGGCTTCCAGGGCGCTGACTTGCAATAAGAGCTCGTGCATAATTAACGAATATCGAGACAGTACGGTGGATATCTGGATATGGGGGCTGCTTCAAGAAGTCACACATCTTCTCCGCTCGTTCAAGAAGAAGGTCTTGATCAATAAGGTTTGGTTGCCACCGCGCGATGCGAAGTGCAAATGTGGCTGGTCGCGAGTTAGTATGCATGCGCATCGTCATGGGGCCTATGCAAGTACTATTACTTACTGACAAATGCCATGGTCAAAGCCGGGTAGGTCGGAGCCCAAGGTAACTGGCATCGATAGGATGGCTCATTAATCAGGAATGCGAGTTGATCCATAATGGTTGTGACTAAAGATTGCCACAGATTCATTACACTCTGATCAATGACTTCTGATTCGGAGTTGGAGCCAGTAGGCTGCAGTTTCTGTATGCGTGCCAACGAGGCACACAGTGCAAAGATTCTAGCGTATAGTAACATCAGTTTGAGGCTACTCCGTTGGAACGCTCCAGCATGAAAGCCATTGTCTTTGTACTCGTCAGCTATTGTATTTCAACATATTTGTATGCCTTGAAACAACCTTGAAACTTACTCATATGAATCTCGTCCCAAGTTGTCCACCAATTTTGAAACCTTGTCATGATGGCTGGAAGTTCCGTTAGTACTATATCACGGACTGTTCCTGCGTTCTCTAATATCATGCGCGAGTGACCTATCTTCCAATTAGCTAGCGAACGAAACAGAGTTGTAGATAGACGAACCTCGAAGTTGATGAATCTCGATAATACAAACAGTGCGCATATCACACGGTAAAGAGAGAGGATAGTCCAAGAATTTGCGCAGTTTTGTAATATCTACCTCCCCAATGCGCGATTTGCGACCGGTTCCCGAAGCCACGTCGAGTTCCAACGTGAAAGTAATGAGCCAGGTCCGTGTTTGCCACACTAATTGGCGATCGTCCATAGTCGCGGCAAGTGAGCTTCGAGGTATGTTTTCCTGTGAGAGCAATGTGTCCAACGACTTTTCGAGACCAGAATCTAAAGCCGTGCGCAGGATGAGTGCAGTTGAGAACCAGGTCTTCTCTGAGTAAGCAGCGAGGAGAATCATTCCCTGCACAGTTTCAAGTTTCGTGGGCCTTTCAAAGAAGCTGTCTTCCGCAAGCCGTTGTGCTTCGTCCTGAAGCACGCATTGCATATGGGTATCCCCACGTAGGTCTATGACTGCTCGACTGGCAAGATAGATTATGACCGTGAAGCAAAACAAGGATCGTGACCGGATAGAGTCGAATGTATCACGAATAGGATCAAAGAGAGGCAAGAAATTCTTACTCCCACCGGTAAATCTATGCCACGAGTGAGTCTTCATTCACGATGCTGTTTTTGGTCTCTGCTGATGGTCTGTCATGCTTACCTTTCATACATGACGCGAGCTCTTTCTTCGGTGACAATACCACGGGCGATGATATCGCCTCTTGGGTCACCATTTGTTGAGTTCTCCATAAATATCTTAAGAGTGGCTTCGTCAGAGAAGTCACGGTTTTCCTTGGTCATCCATATGTTGACTCACGTTGTTAGACCCAAGCAAGTTGACTGACATAGAATGGACTGCGGACTGCGGCGCAATCATATCATTCGGACTCAACTGCTGAGACTCGGGGCCGTTGTGATCGACCGTCACAGATCTGCGCAAGTCCCTCAATCCCGAAGAATCTGGAAGGGAGTCAATTGAAGCATCAAAGCTCACATCCTGTCCAGCGATCGGAGAAAATTCTTGCTCCCTGGAGGCCGGAGTATGGAAGCCACTGCGCTGGTCCAGCGGCGAAGCTCTTACCGAGCCACTATACGCCAATGAGTCAGCGTGCTGTTGTTTCAGTAGAGTAAACAATAGAACAGGATCTCACTGTGAAGGGGTAGCTTTTCGTCGGCGATCACTGCGCCGACGGCCATCTTCAATTGGATCTAAAATACAGTCCCGGCCGGTTGACCGACATCGAAAGCATGGTACCTGATGACGTGCATCGCATCGCATCTTCTGTCGGCGACACCACCGGCATGCTTTGAAGAACCGGATCGGCACGTTCTCCGCGCGAAACACAATCTCCGAGCCCCGCTCACTCATGTTTGTAGCAAGTCCCGCTTCGAAAATCCGTTCTGAGATATCAAGAGTTTGCAAGCCCCACTGGTGGTCTCCTTTCTAATAAAAAAAAACAAGCACCCATATGATGCCGTTGGTTGTTGGTGTTGCTTGTACTCAGATTCGGCGAAACAGTCACGATTCGGGAAATGGAATCCGGTCACGTGCAATATACTGCCGCCATTCTTCCTAAATAGGAAAGTGACTAAAGTAAGCTTCCAGTCTCAAGATAGTTTCTCTTTTTATCCAGAGCTTGGCCTTCTGGAATGAACCTCTTTTGAATTGTTTCTATGTGGCGCCTTTGTTCAGGATACTTCAGTCCTTTACATTCGACCCAAATTTTTTAAGCAGACAAAGTCTTGTTTTCAGTTGAGATTCTTGAGAAGAAGAAAGAGAAAAACACAAGAAAAAATAGTTGGAATTAGCGGTACTGACTTGTTATCCTGAGATCTTTCAGGGCATTCGATTTCAACATTCTGAAGTTTCCCGTAGGCGCAATGAATTCTCAGTTGCGACTCTCTTCCCTATTTGCTTCCTAAATCGAGTATACGAAATTTTGCGCAAGTACCCAACATTGAGGTAGTAAAGGGAAGGAAGGTTTCTGTAATTTATCTCGCATGCATACTAGGTGTGGTGACTGGGTTGAGGTGGCTTTGGGTCTTCCGCCGCCACAGCGGATTTGTAGATGAGTCCCGAGCGGAAGCTTCCCAGGTTCCGCCTCTGCGGAAGAGGCTAGCGGAAGCTTTTGGTGGAAGTAGAAATCAGAGAATCTATTTAAACCATAGTCAGTAACCACCTATATTTGTCTTCGTTCTCATGGCTCATCGCATCTTTAACACTTCCATCGGTTTCTCTTTACAAGCTGCTAAGAAATATTTTGTCAATCCTACCAAGCCCGCATCAATGGACCACCACCCCACTCCTCTTGGAAACTGGCTTGAAGGCCTCGTCAACAAGTTATTTTACCAGCCAGATGACGCACTGTGTGAAAAGATAATGAAACAAGAAGTGAGCCCTCAGTTCAAAATTTGGTAATTATTCTATCTGTTGGTTCCTGCCCTGGATTGTCAGTGAGTCTAACGCTATACAGTATCAATGGCCAGCATGTGTCCAAGGAGGGATATGATCATGTGATAACGGAGGCACGACGCACCTACAAGATCAGCCTGCAAAGTAGCCGTGAGCTGCTGGCCTCAGCTAATGCAACGGATGAAGGCATTGGTTCCGTCGCGCACATTCAAACCTTTACATTGGAGGATAAGAAGACAGGCACTCAACGCACGCAGACCAGCTTGACAATTTCTGTCATTGAGCAGAATGAAGGGGGGAAGCAGTTGATTGAGATGACGGAAATTTTACTGGACAATTGAGGTTTCCCAGCTTTGTGGATAGTTTCAAGGTCAGATTGCCTTTCTCAGGCGGATGAGCCAAGTTCGTTTAACGCGAGACCAAATTTTTGGAGTGCATCTTTTCCTAGCCAATGACGACAATAATCTATTCCCTTTATAAACCCCATCATTATCATCCCGAGCTCTTCCATGTCTCCTGGTTGCGCTTGATCAATGTCGTGCTCCCATGTCCGAAACCACACTGGCAGCAACAAGTGGTCCTGAAGAGCTGCTAGCCAGAAGTATTCGGATGGTGCAGTCCAGAGCGCCCGTTGTGCATAGAAACAAAGATCCACAAAATCATGGTGCGAAGCATCCCAACCGTGTTTGAGAAACGAGTAGAGCCCTTCAATGGAAAAGCCGACGATGAGGGTTCGTCGTATACATTCATCAGATACCCACGCCCGCCATGCATCGTGTGCAGACCCTGTGTTAGTCGCATGTTTTAATGAATCGCTGACCGGATTGGCTTGGCATTTGAGCTGTCGAAGCCATCGATCCAGGATAGGCCCTGCCTCTTCTGCCTGCGACCGTAACGCGATATCACCATCAAATAGTTGAACGATTTGGTAGATGCACAATGCCTGCACTGAGGCTAATTGTTCGGTGGGTGACATATTGCCCGTCTCGGAGTATTCCCTTATTAGTCGTCGCGCCGCTTCGCTGATGCACCGATTGACTAAGTGTTCGTTTTGACTATTTTTGTGGGTATAAAGGGAACACACTCCAAGAGCTTCTTGCATGACCAATGGTAGTTGGTGTGTGTATAACCGGGCGTGTATAAACGGGGTATGTCCACGCATTGCGAACATACTTGGCCAGGACTTGAATTGATTCACTGCTGAAATAATCCGCTCTTGATATATCTCACCTACCAAGACACTCCGGGTCGGCGCCGTGTTATCCATCCCAACTTGGTCCGGGACCGCGTAGCTATCGATATCTTTCATGATATCCTGCCAGTCCAAGTCAAAGTCCGGGAAAGGGGGGAAAGCCGACCCAGTTAAGGCCTGACCCGCGGGAGCATTATCATACACATCCAAGGGGCCGATAGCCGTATTTGCATCCGGAATTTCCGTAGCGTTGGCGCTACGAGTAGTGACACTTTGCGGCGAGACTGGCGTCATAAGATGTTCACCGTCTGTAATTTCAGCGACTGCTATAGGTCTCTTGTGTGGCGGTTTCTCATATGTACACGGCAAGGATCGAACACGGCAGCGATAGCACGGTGAATTTAAGTCACAGCGACGTTTCGCTTTAACGCAGTCTCGGCACGATCTCCGATAAGGTGAAGGCATTGTAAATGTGGCGGGCGAGAACAGAAAAAAAAAACAGGTTGTCTTCTGCCAGCAAGGAGAACCAGGAAGCGCGCATGATCGTGGAAGCTGTTTATTTGATGAGTCATCATCTATCCGCCCCGCGAACCAATGCCCAATCCTCCTATACAAAACCTATTTTCACCACGCTGTAAAATGACCGAGGTCGACTTTAGGAGAGTTGCAGCCAACCCGAGCACGCCTCGAACGTGGGTGCAAATCGTGGGATCAAGGTGAAGAGATAGTTCCCGCTATACAGCCAGCCCGTTTTGAGGACGTGATTTAGGCTGTCCACGGGCTGAGATGTGTCGCCTCATGTCAAAAACAGCCCGTGGAGGATGTGGAACTCATCACCTGCGCTTGGAGGCGATTTTTTGTTTTGTTCGCAACATTGAAGCAGTGGGTCGTTGGTGGCAGCGACATGGACCAACAGAGGCGAGCTCTGATTGAACGATGGACAACTATTGACCAAATTGTTAGCAAAACGGTAAACCTATAGCGTAGTTGTGAGGCGCTATGCATCTATTTTATTCTTGTATGCAGCGATAGTACTAAATTGATGTCTGGGATTGAACTTCGATTTGAGTTAGTTGTAAGGCTGGTAGTAGCAGAATCGTCAGGGAGGCACTTTCTCCAGCACTTGAGAATCGCAAAAAAAAAAACAAAAACAAAGAAAGCATACAAAAACTGAAAACACAACCAGTCCATTGATGGTTTTGTGGGAGTAAATATTGTATCTTTCATTTCTAGGTAGTACTATCTACCGCTAGATACCTTTTACCCCCTGAATCCCACGAGTCGCGCAGTGATCTGTATTAAGTGAGGGATTGAGTAGCTATTGATTAAGGTACTAGGTTCTACAGTCTGATTATTCACCTTCAAATTGCCTTCCCCTCCTACATACACTATCAACCCTCGTCTTCACCAGAGATATATTACTACTTAAGCTTCAACTTTGAACATTTTAGCCCACCGTGTTTTCTGTGGCTCCGGCAAAACACGCATGCACCAAGCCGACAACCCGCCGTCAAAAGTGAAATCCGCAGTTTCCCACTTTTTCGCAAGCCCATCCTTCCAGTCCTCAATCCAAATAGCATGCCTATCCCCATTTGAAGAGACCACCGGTACCATACCTTCCGGGACACGCTCTGCCGTTCGAAGAAGGCCACCCATATAGAAGAAATGATGTTCATCATCGCAAACACCAGGGCATTTATAAAGACCAAGGCTGTTGGAAATCCGCGGGTACGTGCTGGAGCACTCTCGACAGCAGGTCTTATACGGGCAAGAGCGACAATAGTACCAGCCATGGATACTTTTAATCTGCTGCGTGCATATCGAGCACATTGTCAGGGGATCGCATGTGAACCAAAAATTCAAATCATCAAGACTGTCGGCGTTATTCATGTCTTCGCTGTCGTCTTCCAAATTATCTTTGCCCAGCGAGCCCACTAGCCCCACCTCGTCTTTCGACTTCACAGCATCAGCTGTATCACGCTCCTCGTCGTCGTGTCTCTTGATCAACCGCTCATTATCTTGCTTGATCCAGTATAAAACTGCACCGATATCTTCCTCGCTACCGGGATCGATCATAAAGGTCTCAAAAAGAGAAATAAATGCACCATCATCATTTGTTGGATCGTCGTCCGATAGTAACGCAACGCATGCTTTAACGCGGCCGCGGAGAGCATGTCTAGCATTGCTGAGATCTCCATGGTTCCGAAGCCAGCTCGAAATGATTAAACAGGCACCACTCGACTCAGCCGCAGTGCCCAACGTGATTGGGAAACTATCAGAGGAAGGAATTTCAGCGTCGCTCAGGCATAATTCCACCAGGTGAGCCAGTGAGCGCTCGCGATAATCTTCGGTATCCCCATTGTTGCCAGTGGGACTATAGGCGGCGGTGAAAACCTGACACCAGCCTTGAATCCCCAGATCTAACTGTCCCTTGCCAAATAGCACAGTTGCAATGAGGTATTTAATTTGGGCGATGTTACGATGCTTTTTTGTCATGGTATCGATTTTCTTCATGGCCGTTACAAGATGATTTAGGTAACGCTGATCGTCCTTTTTCAAAGCAATCTGAAACACACTGTACATGGTGCGCGGATGATCGGTGAAAGTGTTAAAAACGTAGTATTCCAGATCCAGATGCTTCGGTCTTTCAGAATTCGTCTTTTCAAGATGCTTGGCAGCGTAGTCTAAAACGGTCTCAAGGAGGTGTAGCTGCCGCAACTCGAGAAAAATGTCGAAGAAGGAAGAGAAATCAGGATACCACCAGTTTTCCTGAGTTGCCAACAGCTCCTGCCAAGCTTCACTTGCTGTCGAAATTGCACCCTCTCTTTGCTTTGCACGATACTTCAATTGCGCCAAATTGAGCAATCGGCCCACTCGATCCTGGTCTGAATGATACTTGTCTCCCGATAGCCTTATCGTATCAGCGAGTTCCATATGGTTCAATGCTTCCTCGTGTCTTCCTATCTCGGTACATGCACGAGCCAAGTCTCTATGCACGACAGAGAGGTCTTGTTCATTAAGGGCATTTGCCATTTGATCATCATCGAGTATGACGCGAAATTGCTCGAGCGCTTCTTGATGCTGGTATTGCAAAAGCAGCGCCTGAGCGACTCTGGCATGCCACATCGCTGTGTGCTCAAACTTACGTAGCTCGGCGGCTTCAAAGATTACCCACACGGCGGTGTTGCCCCACCTCATCGGTAGTAGTTTTTTAATCCCCTCGTTTTCGTTCGATTCATCATCCACTGTCGCCATAACCGAGTATAATTTCAACAGACGTGGAAGGGCTGCAGGCCAGCCATCGTGCTCTGTGATTTCATCTGGGGTCAGCCAAAGACAGAACCAACTAGACACCATAAAGGAGAAGAGCACAGTAAATGGGCATGTGTCGCTTGCGTCTTCCGATGTACAAGCATTTTCCTCGAAGCGCCGTCTTGTCTCCGGGAGAAGCCAGTTCAGGACCAACTCCGCCCTCTTATTTGTAGTGCTCCGATTTTCGGCATACAGCCAGAACTCCGCGGTGTCTGAAATGTGAGACGAAGGATAGAAGCAGTACTTAGTAAAGTCCCTCATTTGTACAACGGTGACCAACCAGTTCATATATTTTTCTTGGATAAACAAGTCCTCAAAGAGGGTTGAAATGTCTTCACGTCGCTTGCCTGCGGCTTCAGGAGTCGCATGCATCAAATGCCATGCCAGGAATTTTTCAGCGTAGGGTCCGACCTCTCCCAGGTACAGCTCTTCAGGACCTATTTCAGACCTTGGCTTATATACCTCTCTGATCGTCTGAAGAATGACGTATAGAAAGTTGGCCTCGGTTTGTTTAACATCGACATGAATCGGCTCAGACTTCTGCGACGTCCTAAAATACTCGTAAAACGAGCTATGTCGCAGGATCACAACATCAGTCTCCCTGTTGTATTCGCCTACATCATGCCGTATTTGAAAGAGTGATGAGTATAAGCTGCGGATGTCATCCTCTAAGTTTAGTACCTCTTCTTTGAAGATGATCTGCAGCATGATTTCGAGCTGCCGGAATGTCAGCGGCTTTTGTGCGAGTGTCACAAAGGAGAGCAGGACATTCAATTGGTCAATCTGCGTCGCGGCTTCCTCGACGGAGTAATCGTCATTGGACGCTTCTCCCGATGGCGACAGCTCTCTGCTCAAGCGCTGCAGCTCTTGGCTTAACATCGCACTTATTCCCCGCGGGGTAGTCCTGATAATTTTCTGGATTTGCTCTTTGGTCCGACAGCGCAGGACAGCTTTAATGACAAGATTAGCCCATTCCCAGAGACCTTCGGCCTCCCGGCTGACCTCCTGGACGATCTCCTCTCGGAGGTCAGGCGCCGATCGAAACATTCTAGCCGTCCGTAGCTTTTGAGAGACATATTCGTGAAGATCATCTTTGTTCTCGTTATTTCCGACTTCAATTTCAGGGATCCAGTCCAGATAGTGTTCTTCAAAGACGGGGCGTACTGAGTCCCTGCTCAGCAGTACAATTCGGAAGAGTGGTCTTGTCTCTGGATCACCTTCTGAGAAAGTCTTCCCCAGTAGGCTAACAAGGACATCCAGTTCCTCCAGCTCCGCCTCATCGAGACCGTCGATGACGAGGCACGTCTCCACTGACGGAGTTTTAGCGAGGTGCTCGAGCAGCAGCTTTCTCCATAAGTCATAGGTATTTCCAGTGTCTTCTTTCAAACAGAACTCCTCCGCATGAGCTGCGAAGCTTGGGTTCTGTGTGGCAAGCTGCCATGCCAAGGTGCGCAAAGCCTTGTTGATGGAGCGAAGATCAACGTCATTGTTCCTGCAGAAGAAAGACGCCACTAAAGGGGCAGTGACAGAAAACTCTCCACTCGAAAGACCCGTGATAATTTTAGACGCGAGATGGGACTTGCCCACACCAGGACCCCCATGAAGCCAAAGAAGAGGCTGAGTTCCTTGCCACCATGTCCGAATCCTATCTTCTACCCAGCTCCCTGACCCAGGTATACGGTTCTCGTTGATGAATGAGAAAACTTGGCTTGACGCAGATACTGGCTGTAGGGCAGCCTTTATCTTTTCTAATTTCTCCTGATCACGCCTGTGATCATCCCTTTCAAGCAACTCCTCCGTATTTCGGAGCGCTTGATGGGTTATGTTCAGCCCATGCGCCGAAACCATCATATGCTCTTGGCTCGTCAGCTCCTCCAGCTCGCCCAGCAGCTGATTGACCTCCGTATCCTCCACGATTGCATTCTTCGCCCATTTTGTCAGTCTCGTTTTCAGAGAGCCCTTGCGGAACAATTTTTGTGACACCGCACAGACACGCAGGAAATTAACCAACACTTTAACGATAATCACTTTCATCCCCTCACTCAGCGGGACGCCCTTATACGAGTCCAGTCGCAGTGCAAAATGTCCCAGCTTGCGAAACAAATCCATAATCATGTCAAATGCATCGCTTACTTTCCTTGCAGCACGTACAAGTAGCAACATCGCCCCCATAATCGACGACGCGGGCGGGAATGCCGCTGCCGCAACACCCGCGACGAGATCGCCAAAGCTCTCAAAGGGAACGAGTATAGTCTGCATCGCGTGGAGGAGTGGGCGTCGCTTCACGCGAAAGTCCTCGAAATTGTTTTGCTCATTGTCTAGTTGTCGCGACAGGTCTTCAGGGCCACGGAGGCTCTGCAGTTCCTCATCGGCGAGTGTAGTCCCGGTTTCGTTGGCATAGTCAGTACAGGCGGCCTGCCAGAGAGAGGAGAGTTTGTCGTCTCTCTCGTTAGACAGGATAGCCATGGTGGGTGCCGTTGTCCGTGGACGTGGTATGGAGGAAGGGGCGATATTGGGATGTTGTGAAATGCCCCCACGACAACCCCTCAGTTTTGAGGCGTCTTAAAGTCTTACATTTGGCTTGACGTGGCGCCGCTCAAGCCACTCCGGTGTCCAGCTTATGTCTAGCTTTAGATCATCATTTTTATTGCTTCGCGCTTCGCAGATTCTATGCGTGGCTATAAAATCAGAACGTTGCGAATTCTGCTATGTCTGGACTGTGTGTCACGTTACAATCAGTTACGAGACAAACATCAAACCAGAGAAATAAAAACTAGTACATAGGGCTGGCCCAAGCGGCCAAGCCTGCCATCGAGGGGGCTGAACTGAGTATGTGTCACGTGGTACCACGTGGGGTCACCTGGTTTATTTGTGATTTTTTTTGGGTTACTAAGTATGGGTCACGTGCACGAATCCTTTAGATAACCTCACTTCGTTCAGCCATTATTCAGGGCGACGATTAAAGGATGCAGGGCAGGGCGCTCAGGTGAAGGGACTGAAGAGTAGGGCAGCAAGAGATGATTTCCGAACGAATCCCCCCCCTTAATTGAAAAAAAAAAAAACGCCCCCACACAACAGTTACCTTTTCCTTCCCTTTCCTCCTTTATTCTGTGACCTGTCCTAGCGCACACTAAGAACATTCGGCCCCCACGGTTGCCTAGTTGATGAGGTACGCGTAAGGGTAACGGAAACGGGCCGGCTCGGCTACCTGACCCACCACCCCTCCCCAATGTCTTCACTTCTACTACATACATCAGCACAATGAACGCATATAGTGATTTCAATGAATAATAGACGTCGTCAGAAAGTTGCTGACTTAACAAAATTAGATGAGGCTGAACATTTCACATTGAAATGGAAGAAGGCTGCATTCATGATGGAATAAATGAGGTCTATACAAAAATTTAGAACGAGGAATTGCCGATAAGGTGCATTCCAAGGTCGGTTAGGTCATGACGCAAGGACTGCGCCTAGTGAAATGAATGCTCAGCCGCACTCTCCGAGTAAGTGCCACGTGAAACCAGGGGGAAAGGGGAAAGATTTGACCGAGTCTATATTAGGATCAGCTTCGCCCCGGAAACTCTTATTATCGCAGCAAAAATCTTCAGTTGACACCATCATGTCTGATTCAAATACAGATGGAGAGGCCTTGAGCCAGCTTCAAGTCGAACAAGGCTGGCTTCTCGATAAGATTGATGAGTTACGCAATATTGGTATCAGCGGTCTTGTTGACCTGCCACAGCTGATCGTTTGTGGTAACCAATCTAGTGGAAAGAGTTCTGTTCTTGAAGCTATATCCCGTGTACGCTTTCCAGTCAAAAGCAACATCTGTACCCGATTCGCCACCGAGGTCAGCCTGCGACGCCATCCAGTAACTCGATTCAAGGTTTCCATTGAGCCTGGACCTTCGCGAAAGAGTGAGGTTGACCGACAAAAAGTTCGAGAGTTCGCTCCAGAGGCTTTTACCAACATCGACCAATTGCCAGCGTTGATCGAGCAAGCCAAAGACTGCATGGGTATTCAGAGCGAGAAAGGGGTCAGCGACGACGTTCTCAAGATTGAGATATCTGGTCCCGATAAACCGGAGCTCACGCTTGTGGATCTCCCTGGCCTTTATTACTCCAAAAGTGCCGACCAAGGAGCGGAAGGGATTGCTATCGCACGTGCGCTCACAGAACAGTACATGAAAAGCCCCCGCAGTATTATCTTGGCCACCGTGTCAGCCAAGGCTGACTATCACCTTCAAGAGGTTCTCGATATTGCGGCCAAATTTGACCCTTCCCGCGACAGAACTGTCGGCATCATCACGCATCCTGATAAGCTGGAAGAACATTCCGAGGAGGAAGATGTCTGGCTCCAGATTGCGAAAAATGAAAAAATAAGGCTGCGACTCGGATGGCATACGTTGCTGAACCGAACTTTTACAACTCAAGAGGCCTCCAATGAAGATAGAGACAAAAATGAAAAGAAATTCTTCAACCAAGGACGATGGAGCACAGTGGCAAGAGACTGTGTTGGAATTGATAGCTTGAGGCGTCGACTCAGCGGCATTCTGTTAAAACATATCCGTCATAGCCTGCCAGAACTGATCGAAGACATTGAAAAAAAGTTGCTCGACCGACAGACAAGGCTCTCAAAGATGGGTGCTCCTCGATCAACCCTTCAACAGCAGAAGGGATATCTGCTTGCCCTGAGCAGCAACTTCGAGCGTATCACCAATCAGGCTCTGAATGGAATGTATACGGATGAATTCTTTGGCGAGCTCAACAACTTCAATTTTTCCGCTAATCAGGAGACTCGCCGTCTTCGTGCTACCATTCGTCAAATGAATGAATATTTTGCGGAAGCCATGGAGTTAAACGGTTGCAAGATAAGTATTCTCGGGGTCAATGAAGGCAACATCTCTCTCTTCTCGTCCAATCCTTACGCCCAAATCAGAATACCGCCGAAAAAAACCCGTCAAGACGTTGAGAAAGAGGTAGATCGGCAAGCTCGTCAAAATCGGGGAATTGAACTACCAGGAAGTGCCAATCAGCTTTTGGTGGGCAGTCTTTTTCGAGATCAATCGCGGCCTTGGGAAGAAATTGCGCGATTTCACATGGTGAAGACGTGGGAGGCAGTGGATAAGTTTGTCAATTTGGTCTTGCAACACCTCACCGACGAACATACGTACCAGCAATTGATGGGCGCTATACTTGCCCCGGAACTTCAAAGAATGAAAGAAGGCCTGCTTTCAAAGCTTGATGAATTGACAGCCTACAATAAACGAGGACATCCTCTTCCTCTTGGAAAGAGCTTCTTCCGGCGAATTCACAAGTCCCGAGCTGATCGACAGGCCAAGGCATTTGAGAAAGTTCTGGAACAAAAAGTCTCAGCAAAGGATGGATCATATGCAATGAAAGATGTTAGGGCAGCTGTTAGCAACTTGGGCATAACTGAGGATCAATTCGCCGCGGCTGAGATTATCGACCAGATGCAAGCATACTACGATGTAAGCGAATGATGGCTGTAAATTCTGAAGCCAAGGAGACTAACTTGTTATAGACTGCGATTATAACATTCATTGATAATATTGCGACATTGGGCATTGAAAACTGTCTTCTTTGCCCCTTGGGTGGGATTTTTACAAGCCAGACGATCAACAACATGGAAGACAAACAAGTCAAAGACTTGGCTGCGGAAGCACCCTTCATCACGGAGGAGCGTGACCGTCTGATCCGAGAACAGGACAAGCTGCAAAACAGTTTGAATGTTCTCAATCATTGCAAGATACAAAGAATGCCCACTACTAAACCTTTGCCCGCTCAATCCGAACTTCCAAAATGGACCGCCGAAAACCACGGTCAAAATCCCTTTGCCCACGCCCACGCTTCCAATTTTACGGGTTGGTCCGGTGGAAATCTTTTTGGAAACGCAAACAAGACAGATGGGTCAGCCACGAATGGAGCAGGATTTTTCGCATCACCAGGTAGGGCTACCCCAAACGGGAACTCAAGTTAGAACCCTGGTATCGAAATATCGGGTGTGCAAACATTCCCCTGCCTACTGGTTCTCTCTTCACGCACTCCGGACAAAGCGTTGACATGGGTCTTGGGGTTTCAAATACGCAGAGCAGAGGGCTCTTCGGATGATATGCAAATTTGTAGGATATGTTCATACATGAAGTTTGAATGAGACGATGGTTTTGATCTGCTATATCTGGCTTGCGACTTCGTAGCCCTGTAAATGAACGCCGTTGCCTTTCACATCTGGTCCTGAGCTTGTATATAAGGCTGCTCGTTGCTTCTATACCTGAGTCCTGGACTATAGATGATGGTTGAAGAAGAAATTTATCTACCGGTGCTCTAATCACTGAAACGACATCGAAGAGTTCGGTCAATGAGTCGCAAAGACACTTCTTTAGGACTTCTGTCGGTAAATCATTGGACGATAGGAACATTTGAATGTAAACGAGATGATCCTGGCCAATCCCAACTCCGTAGTTCGTGTGCACGAATTAGGGATGTTGATGATCCAAAGAAGTTGACGGATCAAAAGCACTCGAGAATTTCTAGAGTATGGAGTTTTTTTTTTTTTTTTTTTTTTTTGATGTAAAGTCGATAAACTATATTGTAATTTGCTAAGACTGGCATTCAATTTGCTCAAAGTTGTTGATTTTACAAACAATGAAAAGGAAATTTTCCTTCTAGAGCAATCCATTCAAGTCGATAAAACGTTGTGACTGCCAGCACCTTGACTGAGTCGTGATGGGTGGTTGTTCAAAAGTTCATGATATGATCAGTTATGACCATCGTTGCTTATACTTGTACCTCAGCATCTTATTCTCTCGGTCTGTCAGGTCAGAAAACGCGTTGGTGAGATTCTCCTCTTCCATGGTCACACCCTCAAAATATTTGTCTCTGGCTTTATTTTCTCGAGAGTAAAGGAAGTATAGCAACGAAAACACCATGATGTTGATCGAAAATGCAGCCAAGCATGTAGTAATGCCAGTATGATAGTGCGGTGCTTCACGAGTCAAGAAGACCTGAGGAGAGATGATGTTGGACACGCAGTTGGATCCGAAGAAAAGAGCACCAGTAAAGACCTTTTTTGAATAGCCTGCCACGTTACTGGCAAGCAACGAGTACATAATCCCTGCCGCCACGGCCACAAAAGGAATGATGAAGACGGCGCCAAGGTGGGCATGCTTGGTATTGAAGGGAAGGCTAAAGAGCATCGCAGTCGAAATAATGCCTGGAATGTAGCAGAAAAAGATGAAAAAGATCCGTTTGCCCTCCACTCACTTGGCGGAGGTAGTGAAGCTGATGATGATCATTGCCACGCCCATAATGATGGATGGTGGGATGTTCAACAACACAGCTACCAATATTGAAGCACTCGTCCTGGACCATTTGCCAGAACAGATTTCGCAAAGCAAATTTGCAGAGCTACTTGCTGGATCTTTCACGAATGACGAGGTCGAGTAGTTCCGCTCCAAATTTGGATTCATCAAAGACCAGACATTCGAGGAATATCGCGATGCAGTACGTCTCTTCTTCAGTGCAGCAATGTTCCAATATCCCAACCTTGGGATCGCCCGTGCTGCAATTGAGACGCCTTCCAAGGGGCAGAATATCTATCTCTATCATTTTGAGGAGGTTTCTCCATTCCCTGGAGCAACTCATGGGCTCTCCTATCACGGTCTGTGTGCTTTGCTCATCTACCTCAATCAACTTGATGATTCTCCTGAGCCAACAAGGGTTGCCTCTCTAGAAGCCGCTTCCACCTTTACAGCCTTTGCAAACGGAAAGGAACCTTGGGAATCCCTTGGTGAGGCTGAAAGATTTATGCGCTTTGGGCCAGATGGAGTGAGTGAGATGCATAATTTCGAGTCTGATAAGACTAAAACCTATGAGCATATTGAGTGGATGGGTGCTCACTGGGAGAAGACTTTACTTTTTGTACGTCATCTTCTTTACTAGAAAGTCTTGATTTGTTTTGGGAAAAGGTTTTTGGCTCATTGATTTCAATGATGACTTCAAATGTTGAGGAGAGATCAATTTCGTCCATACCGTCTTCTTCCCCGTGCTTGAATATATATCAATTCCTCCTATGAATAGTTCGTTCTGTCAAGATCCTACCGCCAACTCCAGCATATGTAAACTAATTCCTACCTAATATTGATAGCAAGTAAAATTAAATAGACCTGCATAATGCAGCGCTGCACATGCATGTAATGGTGGAATTACTCGTGATTTACATAACTTTCCGCCGGTCGGAAAGTTGAAATTGGAATGTGTCATTGGGGTGGCGGTTATCGGCCGCCGCATCACGTCGGCTATTCCGGCCGCTAACTAATGTGCTACTGCGCTAAAATCCATCTCGCCCCACAGTTGACTCAGCCATCAGCTCAAGGGTCCTTGCTGAAGGTGGCTTGTTCTATTCATGCAAAATACGGTCACATTTCAAAGCACTTGGTGAATAACATCACTGCGCTCTACATCCCGGAAGTATTCCACGTGCGTATTCAGGCAGCCCGGGAAATCGGGAAAAGAGCAAATCCGCCCGGCGAAATACCATCATCTCATTATTCTCATACGTATCCCCCTAATAGTTATTTGAAATTTCCATCGCCGATCAAGTGCCGGGGTCGATAAAATTCAACATCTCTCAATTCAAATTCAGAAGTACCCAAATCTTACCGATCATCTTCTCGCAGATCCACTGCTCTTGGCGAGAGCTGCTCTAGGAGACAAGAGAATGATGCCCAATTCGCTAGTGCTCGTTTATTACTTTCTTATCGACGATAAAAGAACTAGGATACACAAAGGAGGATCTGGACAAAGCTTGTGATATAATCCTCGGTTCAAGCGCAAGAACCGCACCGGTGCCCCATTCATTTCCTAGACCCCATTTATTTCCTCGACAAGAGCCAGATGCACCAGTCCCGTCCAAAACCATTGCAATCAAAGCACCCCCGGGTCTCTACCGTATCACCCGCATGGGAGATGTCGTTGACTCTGCATTGGCCACATTGGGTCATTTTCTGGTAACGGTCGGAAAGAAAGGCTGGGACACGCGTCTAGTCCAGACCTCTTAACCATCTGGTGCAACGCAAAACCAGCTTTTATATTGAGATATACCAGTCAGACATTGCCATGTGTCCTCGTTGGACGCTATGATAGCAGTGGTACCCTTGCACCCATATTCCGCGAAAAAGAAACACGCGCAGTCATAGGGTCTGACCGACTGTTCTCCATTTGAGTACTGGCAACGCGCAACGTTCAAATGTGTAGACTTGGCAGGTACGGTGAGGGTATGGCAGTTTTCTTTTCTTTCGAGCATGACATGTGGTTCGATGTCATAGTATAAGACTTTCGTATCGACCCAGGAAGAACAGTCGTTGTTGTAGAAGTTGACTTCAACTGCTATCTCTCCATTTGCTTTGGCAAGATAGGCGAACTGAAGGAGTAGAACTATCGAAAGAACCGAGGTTGGCAAGAGCATGACGGAGGAGCAAAGTAACACTGAGGATTTTAATCTGTAATTGTTACCGGGGATTCTGTGTAATATCAAGAAATTATGGCATATGGTTGGCATACATACACTTTGAACAGTGGTTGAGGCCTGGTTACACCGGTGGTAAATGATTCAAGCCATAATAATATGCGCACTATTTATCTATAAATATTAGCATGAAATTCAATATGCACTATTGATATAATCATCCAGGAACACTTTTGGGATTCGCTTAGGATAATTAAGATGTGCGTGGGGCGATCTATAAATAACCTAAAATAAGCAAGATGAGCTATCAAAGCATAATGTCCTCAAGTCTAAAATCTGATCTCACCTAATACCGCCGGGCTTACTACTTTTCCAAGAAACCCCTAAACAATAAAAAAAAAAATAGGCGGTGGCTGTGCCCTTAATCTCCACTTCGTGAGCTTTTATCTCGGTTAGCAGTTTCAGCTACCAGACCACAACAGATACAACTTACATTCTGGAGCTCGTATAGAGTGATTGTGGCTTGTTAAGGCCACCTCTCAGCTGAAAGGCGTCACCATTAGCGGTCAGCCTTACGAGTTCCGATTAAGCTACAATTATTATTACACGGAGCTGCCCTAGCGAGGTCTTAAGAAGCCAGCTTGTTAAATATTCTGTGTCAGACACTGCGTATGAAAACTTCAATCATATCATCAATACCTAGCATACGCAGGGAAGATTTGAACCCAAACCATCAACAAGCACTCGATACCAGCGTTGGGAGCACGAAACCATGTTCTTCAAATCATGCAAAGCATATCTAGTGCTCATGGGAGCCTTCATTACAACCAGTCATGCCTCAATGGCTTATATATCCCTCTACAACTCCCCAGACACTGGTCAGGGTGGTGTGTGTCCTACCAATGCTGCTTCCTCACAGCTAGTGGTAAGCAGCCAGGAGCTAGGGTGCTTCAAGCTCCCAACTAGAATATCTAGTTACACGTTCGACACGATGACGTTCATGGACAATGTCGACGTCGAGCTCGAGATCGTGTTTTCGCCATATTCCAACTGCGCACCAACCTCCGAGTCTACATCAGTCATAGACACAAACAGTGTTGTCAGCTGGCGCTGTAAAAGCCTAGAGCAGGCAGCCACCCACTACCGTGTTTCAAAGGTTTCCAATGAAAAGCGGGATGTCGCAAAGCCGAGATCCGCCATTCTTGCACCAAGAGGGGTTCCGTTGACGGAATCCAATGCCAATGGTATGATCTACATTTTTGGAAATACGGTTTATCGGGTTTGCGGAGTCTATTGGAGATATCGGGGAATGTCTTCTATATTTCCACCTGTGACCCCGTTAATGGTTACCAGACTTGCTGTTGCCGTCTTCCTGAGATACAACCCTCAATTGTTGTATGGACAGGTAAATGATTTCGCAGCGGATGGATCATTATACGCGAGCACACAGTGGCACTCAACCGATTTTAGCTTCCATCCTATTGCAATGGCGGCGATCCTCTTGGATGTTGCGGCCGGAATTCCACTTGAAGACCCGCCGTACGACGTCGATGTCTTCGTTACGAACACAAACCTCAACACACCCGACGACAGCTCGATGCAATTCTTTTGGCTTTACGGTGGATAGCCATGTAATAGAAAGCTCTATCGCCTTGCTGGAAGCACTTGAGTGCTGCATCACTGTGGATATCTAAGATGGCCATCACCGGAACCGCATGTTGTTCTCAAACTGTGCTGTGTATATAACTATAACCAAGCCTTGATTTTATTGCTTAATACATGTATAGAGACATATATGTGCAACACATGGAGTATGTACTTGGGTACGCTAGTTGCCATGTGCACTGTGGATCGAGTCTTGTAGCTTATGTAGGAGTAATGAGTCGTGGCCTTTCCCACCACTTGGATAATACCTACTCAAGTGCTAGATATCTCACTAATATCGTGCTGATTGATTCTCAAGTGCTCGATTAATAACTCAAGCTTGTAATACGTGTCATACATATTCGGTCCCTTGCATGTAGTGCCTAATGTGCAAACCGTCTATGATCTAGCACTTGAGTGTAACAATCAGCTTCCCACCTATAGGAGTGAGGAACAGACCAAGATAAATGTGAAAATCAAACTTTGAAATCAGGACTCTTTTGATGAACACGTTATTTGTCCTGTTTTAGCAGATCTGCCTACACATCCAAGGCTGTAACTTATAATAACAAGTGTTGTCGCCGCGCGTGCGCGCGGCGATTGAATCTAAAGTCAATCAGAGACCCAGCTGTGGCATGTTTGGACCCACTTTGGGCCTCTCAGCCAATCAGGTGCTGCAAAAAAACACAGGTTCGCGCGTAGTAGAGGGCTTGACTTGACTTGATTGATTGACTTGATTTGACTCAAGATAGAAAACTTCTATTCTCCAGATTTCCTTAGACAGTAAATCAATTGTTTTATTCCGCGCTTCCATCCTCAATCAGACAAGAGCAAGTGATGCCGCAGTTTTATGAATCACAAACTTCAAATCAAAACAGTACCAAATATCTCTGTCATTTTCCACTTCGGGCATGTAGGAAGTCACGGTCTTCGCTTTGAAATGGTTCGTGCACGCTGCACTAAAAGAATCGCTATCACTTCCTTGAATCTGGACCGACGCTAGGGGATCGGAGTTCGCATTCAAGAAATTATTTTCTCTAATGGATCTCAACGCAAGCGAGTGAAAGGATGTCTTCCTGTTCGTCACAAAGACTTTAACAAGTTCCGTGGTTGCTGACGGGCCTCCATCTCTCATAATTTGGTCTGGTAATGAAAGACCAATGTCAAAGTTTAAGTGATCATCCAGTCTGTTCAAATTCATCAGACTGCTCAGGCGCTGACCGTTTTGTTTGGGATGAATCTGGGTAATTCCGAATGCACTGTCGAAGTGGACGAGATGAAGGTACAGTGGCTCGGGCCACATATGGCTGAATAGTATTGATATACAGTCCCCTGAAAGTATATGAAGACACCCGCCAGGCTTCATAGTTGGAATAATACCGCTCTGTTTGTGATCGATATTTTTATACTTTCTGGTGTACCCTCCCACTGTGTATATGTTGAGATGATCATCGATCACCGAGGGCGGGCTTTGAATTGCCACTCTTGATCGGTAAATTTGAGCGTGTTCATCAAGGTCCAACTTTGAAAATCCCCAAATGCACTGTGTATGTATTTTAGCAACTCCCTCTACTGAGATGGGCATGTCTGCTCGGGTTTCTGTGCGCAATATTAGTCTATGGGGGTTGACATCCAGCGACTTTCTGTCTACTTACCCATTTCAATAGTGACCGATGCGTCATTGAGCTCCGCGTGGCTAAAAAGCTGGTTCACATTGACAATTTTGAAAAACAATGTAGTGCTTCCACTGATTCCCTTTTCTCGCACTTCCCTCCTCAATGGAGTAAAACATCCCATTGCTCCTATAAAGAGCCCATGAACTTCCCCTCCCTCGATGATGAGCTTTGTCGGCTTCTTGCCAAGTACATCGAGAGTCCCTGAGAACCGCAGCAGCGAGTATGTCATCTGCTCCTTTTGGCCACAGAGAAAAAGCCGATCTGTTGATCCAGAGCTCCTCACAGTCGGGTTTCTATCACCTGTCTCCAACCCTATTTCCCAGACAATTTCATCCCAAGTCAACGGTGTGGTACTTCTCTTTATTATTAAAAGAAGGAAAGCAGTGAGAAACCCAAAATGTTTCTTCAAAGAGGCGTCGTAGACGGACTTTGCAGACTGACCCTGCCCGGACTTCAAAGACAGCACTGTATGGCTTAATGGCGAATCCTGGTTTTGGAGCCGGGCATTCTGATAGTTCCCCTCAAGACTAAAATGATCTAGCATTCCAGCGAGCTGGCAGTTGCTTAGTCTCGAGCCACGAAAATTGGGCGAGGTTTCAATGTCCCCGTTATCGCACGAGTCGATAGTCACGCAACAATCAATGCCCTTTTCCGCGAGCTTTTTGAAGATGAAGACAAGCTCTGACTCGTAAATATAAGATTTCTGTTCACTGTCATCCAGTATTCGGAGTCCTTTGTCTCTCTTAGGATATCCCCCCACCGCTTCTTGGTAAATCTTACAGGAAGGGCCTGAGAAGTGAAAATAAAAAATGTCGCTTTCATTTCCTTCCTTATGCATGAAGTCAAAGGCCTCTAGCAGATTGGAATATGTGGGGGGTTTTGCTTCATCTTGGAACTCTTCATGAGTGGGTGGATAGGAAATCAGCTTTTGAATGTTTTCCTGTTGAAAGCCACAGGCCTCTAGTAGGTGAGATTCTATTCCAAGCACATCATTTATACATCCCATGAACAGATCCCCACCTTCCAAATCTTCGTCAAGATCCTCCACATCTTCGTCAAGTCTCTCCTCGTTATCTGAAGATGGTAGGTATTCAATGGCGATCAAAAGAGCCTTTTTCATCATGATAAATGATAAGATAAATTCATGAACAAATAATGTTTCCGAGATTGAAGATTTTGATGGTGGTTTAAATGCGGGGTCAGATCCCTCACGTGGCTGAACGCGACTTTTGATGTTCTCAACATAAAGAGGGGCTGAATGCATCCATTTATCGAAATATCAATGATCTGTCAAGTCGACTTACACGGTCTCCGTCGCAAAGATGCCGGCTTATGTGGTAAGCCTTTGTACTCGGACAAGAGTTCAAATATTTTGAGGATTGACTAAGAATTCATCAGCGTGGCTCAAGCCACTGGCATGGATCGAACAACAATGCAACACCTGAAAAATTGTTCGTGCCCTATTCCGATGATGAGGGCCAATTTATGTCACACAGACTACATTCGGATTACACCACTCCATTTCGTGAGGAATACGAACAAGAAGTGATGGCTGCGTCAGTGACGGCAGTGAATAAACAAACTCCCTGGGTCTTTCCTCATCGCTTATTGGGACCCGACGGCCTGAGTATTGAAACACCACAAAAGTGCCCAGATTATGTCGTGATCTCCTACACATGGGGTCGCTGGAAGAAGCCCACTCGGGAATTCGACACACCTGTTCAAGGTGGGTATTGGGATGTGCCTTCCAACACCCTTTTTTCACGGGAAGATCTTGATTTTGCGATTCAAAACATTGCAAATGGGGACCATGCTTGGGTGGATGTGTTTTGCATACCCCAAATCGACTCAGACCCATTACACGCCCAGGAAATTGGCAACCAAAGTGCTATTTTTCGATCCGCTTCTCGGGCCGCAGTCTGGTTATGCTCAGGAGGTGGCGATATTTTGGCCGAAATTTGTTCGTGGGTGCCTGAAGGGCCGACATTCGTTGACCCTTCCACAGTGCAATTCCCGAGCTTTTACTCCATGCGAGAGGGCACCGCACAGTCGGAATTGGACGAGTCTCGACGCCGAACAGCTCTGATTGTTGCACTAGCTGAAGCTGTACCTTGGACAACATCACTTTGGACACTCCAAGAGGCGGCCCTTCGTCTAGATGCTATATTTTACCACAAGAGTGGAGAACCTATACTACACCAGTATAGTCAAAAGCCAATAACAGTCAGGCATCTGGTAAAGACGCTGCGATATGTCGCCGAAGCTCTTCAAAATAGGCAATCACATACAGAGTATACCGAATGGATACAGGCCGGAGGAATAGGGCGCATAAATATTCTCAATCCACCGACGGCTCTCGGTATTAATGAGAATGATGTAAAGGTGTGGCTAGAAGCAATCGATGCTGTGAACACAATAAATCTCCACAGACTGGAGTCAATGAATGCCAACGAGTTGCTTTTGGCCTCGACTCATCGGACTTGCAAACGTCCGCATGATAGGGTATATGGAATCATGGGCGCGATTGGAGTCAATGTGCCCGTCGATTATAAAATGAATCCCTCCGATCTAATGGATAAGTTCCTGATTGAACTGCACAACACCTTGCCAGCCGAGATGCAAGCTTTTCACTGCCACCGGTACATACGACCGAATATACGCCCATGGCTTGCTGACGAAGATTCGGTCCCGATGGGCATGATACGTCAACGAATCTTTACTCCAACGCGACCCTTCCAAATGATCAACCAGCTAGGCCACTTGAAGCTCAATACCCTTATCTTTGTCTCGGACAAGGGAGTCGACGAGTTAGTTTCACGGTTCTTGGGTGAATCTGCCGTCGCTTACTTCGATGGCCCTGCGTTGTGTCAAATCAGTGATGGCATGATTGTCAATAAGAGTCCACGATGGAATGTCGATGGAGGGCCACGAGTATTGACCTGCCTCGTGTTGCGACTCATTCACTCGCAGAGGAAAATGGCGCTTGTGTCACTAGGTCAGCTGGCGGGCCTTCAGACTCTAGGATGGCAGTTCATATATCTTCTTCTTGGAGACATTTATCCTTCCAGGGATTTATCTACCTTGCCAACGCAAAACTTCAGACGCCTCGCTGTTATCATGTTAAAGGAGGACATATGTGCTGACCAGTCTGTTCGGGGAGAATTCAGTTTCTACTAAGGACTTGAAACCTGACAATGAACTCAAGACTTCATTTTTGATTTCTTTCTTGGAAGAGTATCTGAATAATTGTTGAGGGACGTTGACCAGCACTTGATCGGCATCTTCCACTTCAATCACTCTCACTAGCTCTTTTCGTAATAGAGGCCTCCAAACCTATACACAAGTATAACAAGGAAGAAGACTCGCAGCTGAGTGAAATGCTTCCCAAGAGCGATGCAACTATTCCACCGCCGTCAGGACTCAGCCCCAAACCGCCGCTGGTAAGTCAATTGCAATACCAAGATAATGAGTGCCGTCGCTGACTACCACTGACAGCGGGAATCAACTTTATTAGACGTCTTGCTGACTGAGCCATTAATATTCATAAATAAAGCTCGAGGGGTTCGGGATTGAGATATTCTTGTTACTGTCTTGTATGTGATAAATACAATATGGGAGACAGGGCGGTGAAGCCAGAAATCCAAATTGGGTTATAACTTATGGCACAGGGGTGGCGGGTATCGGCCGCCGCAGACTGTATCCACACTAAAGTTACGCAATACAGGCTGCTTAACGCAGATCGAAAACCCTTCCGGTCTTTCCACCGAGAATGGGGTTCACAGCACGCGATGTTCAGTGTACATAGTAGTGACTACTTCCACTTTGAAGGCAGCCTTGAAAACTGCAGCCTCGATGTCATCCTAAATGAGTGGCCTTGCTAACAGTCCTACGCTCTTAGAACTGGAAATTACCACCATATTTCAACAAAGCCATTATCCTTTTCGCATGCCTGCTTGCTTTTCTCTGGATTCTTGTCACCCTGCGCTTTCAGCGCCCGAGGCCATTGACAGAGGTTTTCTGGAAGGCTACTGTGTCTCCGTCGCCGAGATATGCCTTTGCGACAATATTAACGGCTGAGGGGGATGTTGAATTCCCAGATGTCGAAGAGCCTTATTTCCGAGCTGTCAGACTTCTTACCTACCAGCTTCTCCACAACCCTCGAACCCATAACGTCAGTCACGAGACTCCATTCTTGGTCCTCGTCACGCCAGATGTTCCAGAGGGACACCGACAGGTCTTGATAAACGACGGACCCACCGTGTTGCCCGTTGAATCACTCGGACGCGACTGGATCCACCCAAAATGGGGCCGCTGGAGCGACGTGCTCGCCAAGCTGAATCTATGGAGACTGGAGGAATACGACAAAATTACATTCCTGGACGCCGATTTTCTTATCCTCAGTCCAATTGATGAGATCTTCGAACAACCCACAACCGAGATTCGCCCAACAGTAATGCCGTACCCAGATGAAACCATCAACTGCACCATTGTCGATAGGTTGCCCTCGGAGTACATGAATGTCGGCATTCACGATGCCTGGATGGAACAGTTCATGCCACCACCCGATGACTTGGTCTTCTACCAGAAAGGCAGCTACATGAATGCCGGGTTCTTCGTTCTCCACCCATCAAAGGCTGTCTTTGACTACTACAATGCCCTTCTCAATGTACCCGATCAGTTCGACTCCGCGTACCGCGAGCAAAATCTCCTCAACTGCGCACACCGGACGGATGGCCCAATGCCATGGCACTTTCCCTGCACATCTAGATAAAAATATAAAAAATCGTCGAGTGGCTTCCAATTTTAAGTTCTAAATTAATACTAATTTAGGCGTGATCAGCATTATTGCGTTGATTCAAGTTAACCCAACGTCAGACTGTGACTGGTACATAAAACATCAATTAATATAAGTTTAGGCTTCAGCTAATGTTCCAAAAGCAAAGATGGCACCTGGGCATCCAATCCGCACTTTGCCTTAGGCATTTCCAGCATCCATTGAATCTCGATATCATCCGCATGATATTTTTCCAGATATATGCAGATGGCTTGGCATTCCAACCGCGCTCGCCTGGCCATAAACCACATGGAGTCCGAGAAAAGCGCATACCAATACGCAAATATGAGTAGGGCTCGCGGGTCCTTACCGCGTAGCAAGTCGCGGAATTCCGGTTTCATGAAGCCCAAAAATCCGAGATGTCTCATGGCCGATTCTTGGGTGCAGCTGATAGGCCACAGGTCAGATATCGTAGAAGCTGCGGTATAGTAAGGATTTTCATTTGGAGTAAGTGGACCATCCAAGGAACATAATTGGGCCAACCCCGGCAGAATATCTTCTACCTCACGCAGATATGGCCGTTTCATGAGCTCCCCGTATTCATCTGCCATGCAATGAAAGATGCTGTCCGGTCGAAGGGGATCAGTGGCTCGCCAGATCGCTTTTTTGCCCACTGACATATTTAGCCAATCCAGGTCCGATGGATCATCTGGTTTGAGGGGCCATGCTTCTGCTGGCGTTGATGCTTCGATGGAAGTCATACAGGCAATACCTAACATTGCTGCGGAGGACCAGAGAGCATCGCGATCTTCATATAGAATTGGGCTTGAGAGCTTTTCACTCAAAAGTCCAGCACCCTGTGCGCCGTGATAGGCTTCAGCGAGTGATCGTCGGCCATTTTCTGGTGCTGGTAGCAAGAAGCGGTCATGAGTCGCCGTGACGGCCAGAATAATATGCATTAAGAAAGGATGCTTGAATAACGTTAGCTCAGATTAACGTTATTTCATCGAAAAGAAATCGGCATTTTACCTGCATTGCGAGTTTTATGACATCGGTTTGGTAAATATGACAGGCCATTTTGCTAGACAAGGAGAGAACGGTGCGGTTTAGGAAGCGATACAGACGAGCCAGGCATTCAGTGTCCAGTTCGAAGGAACCAGAGCCATGGCCCACTGTTATTGACGGAGTATATATGGTTCGAGTGGGCTTTGAATTAAAAACCAAGTGGCCAAATGGACTGACATTATTGCTGTTGTTCTTCACAGGCTGCAAATCTGAATCATGTTCCATTTTATAATTGCAGGTGACACTAAACGATAGGCAATTTTGACATTTAGGCTGCGTCTCATCACACTTTGTAATATCGTTAGCCCTAGTTACTAACTAAGCCTAAGCGGGGTGGGTTCAAGCGGCAGGTAATTGAACACGAAAGACTCACTTTGACCCTCCGTAGCTTACAGTTTCGGCAGCCCTTCCGCGATTTGGTGTGTGCCCGACGCCGTCGGGATTGATCCCCGACTCCAGATTGATTTGATGGCATTTTCTCTTATTTAGTGCAGAGATGCCAAACTTGTGGAGATGTCAAAGGGAGGAGAAGTGAAGTGACATGTTCATAGTGGGGATCGGTCTCGGCCCCGTAACTGTTAACTCCGGGAGTCCGGGATAAGCTTACGTGCGTACGGTTCCTGATTGGCCAGAATGGAGGTGGATACTATATGGCCCACATGGTTGAGGACAGCGCTACCTCATTGGTTCACGTTAAAAGCGCGCTAACCCGCGATCGTATTCCAAGTACAGAACTACAGATCTATCATCTTCGCTTCGTAGACTTTTCCAAAAAATTCCAAAGTTGAAGAACATGGACATAAAATCCATATCTCCGTCGGAATTTCGGTTTTAAAAGTCACCGGAATCGAGACATAAATCCTTCGACTTTCCCAATCTCGAATCACTATTCCTCCTTCACTGTTCAAATATTCACATCACTTGACTAGTATCTCTCCAACTAGTAGCCTTCTCCCATTCAAAACAACAAGAACAAGAGCAATATGCACGTGTTTGTCACCGGTGCGACCGGCTTCGTCGGTCAGGCCGTTATCCAAGAGCTCCTCCATGCCGGCCATACCGTCACCGGCCTTGCCCGTTCAGAGGCTTCGGCCAAAGCCCTGCAAGAGAAAGGCGTGACTGCAGTCCGCGGCTCTCTGCAAGACATCGAATGTCTGAAAAGCGCAGCATCAAAGTCAGACGGCGTCATCCACCTAGCTTTCGACCACGACTTCACCAAATTTGCCGAGAACGCCCATGCCGAACGCACAGCACTGCTCGCCATGATCGATGCACTCGCAGGATCCAACAAGCCGCTAGTCTTCACTTCAGGAACCATGAGTCTGCCAAAGGGGGAGGTTGGCACGGAAGACACTCCCCCAGAGACCAACACGCCATTTAGTGCTCGTACCGAGACAGAGCAAGAGGCTCTCGATCTTTCGTCCAAGGGCGTGCGTGTATCTTGTGTTCGCCTATCGCCTACAACACATGGCCATGGAGACAAAGGCTTTGTCTGGGCGATTGCTGAGCTCGCACGAGCCAATGGTCAGTCAGTCTATGTTGGCGATGGGCTTAACCGGTGGCCTGCTGTTCATCGGCGCGATGCGGCCCATTTGTTCCGTCTGGCCCTTGAGAATGGAGTTGCGGGTACCAGGTACCACGCTGTTGCTGAGGAGGGTGTATATATGAAAGATATTGCCGAGGCTGTTGGCAAGGCTTCGGGGCTTCCGACGGTTTCTCTGGACTTTGAGGCAGCTTCAAAGCATTTTAATGGCTTCATGGTTTATCCTGTTAGTGCCGATAATCCGGCTTCGAGCAAGAAGACGCAAGAGCAGCTTGGCTGGTCATGTTCTGAGCCGACTATTCTTGCAGATATCGAGGCAGGCGTGTATAATTGAGTTCTAAGAAATAATCTTCATTCGTCGTTACTTCGCTTAAAACTTGGAAGGTAGTGAAATTCACTGCTAGTTTAATCAATCTATCCCGTACCAACTTTATCTAACATTTGCAGTCTTATATTAAGTCTAGTCACCTTATGCCTGACGATTACCAGTCGAAATACCAGACTCCACAGCCTTAATCTGGAAAGCCAGGAACTTGGAGTAAATCCGACATAGAGCAAGATTGCCGCCAAAGTACCAGAATCCAGGGTGACCACTAGGTCGCCACATCTATAGATTAGTGGATCATTAGCATGAAAATTGACCAAAAATCCAACGATAACAGAGGAGAGTGAGAAACCTACCCCTCGAAGTTCTCCCTCATTATCCAAGTCCCAAACATCATGACAGCGATCGGCAATCTCATCACCCAGAACTTTCCGAACAGTCGTGCGCATATTATCGTACCCAGTAGCCAAGACAACCACATCAGCCGGCAGAGTAGTACCATCCTCCAAGCACAGTTCACGGGGCCCAAATCCAGTGATTCCACGAGGACTTTGCTTCACCTTGATCTTACCTTCGATGATAAGTTGGCTACAACCAACATCAATGTAGTAACCACCACCGCGTGTCATATACGCACGCGAAATACCAGCACCATCCACTCCGAAGTCGAGCTGGAAACCGGCACGTTGCAGACCATCTAAAGTCTCTTTTTCGGCCGCTGCAAAGCGCTTTGTCGCATGGACGCTCAGAGCAAATTGGACGGGGAATGGAAGACTTTCGGCGACCAGATCGCATTCTTCAGTTGGGGGGCTGTCATATTGAAGATCAGTAACAGCTCCACGATCGTAAAATAATCCTAAAGGAAAAGGCTTTCTACGAACCCGCCATCTTCATGTAAACCCTCGTGCATCATGAATACGCCCTTTTCGGCAGTTATCACATATGTTCCGCTTCGCTGGAGCATAGTCACCTCGGCGCCATTTTCATAGTAGTTTTGCGCAATGTCGTGCCCGCTGTTTCCTGTGCCGACGACAATAACCTTCTTCCCGCGCACATCGGAATCAGATGCATCGGTGTGTTGGCTGCCGTGGTACACAGTTCCCTGGAAGGATTCTTGGTTTGGGAAACTTGGAATCTTGGCCTCGCCCGAATGTCCGGTGCACCACACTAGATGGCGTGGGCGGAGTGTGCGCGTGGACCCGTCACCACGAGTGACATCTACCTTCCATTCGGCGGTGGTGTCATTATACTCGGCAGATGCCACGGATGTTTGGACCCAGACATTTAATTCCATGATGCTTGCGTACGCCTCGAACCAGTCACCAAGCTTATCTTTTGGCGTGAACTGAGGCCAGTTCTGGGGGAAAGGGAGGTATGCCATGTGAGTGAACTCGGCCGGATCGTGCGTGACTAGAGTCTGTGGCAACGAGGCAAGTATAGATTAGCATATGTCACACATCAAGAAATCAGCTAAGTTTAAATGGACGGAATGACTTACCCGATACCGCTTGCGCCAATTATCTCCAACTCGCTCATGCTTGTCAATGATCAGACAGGAAAGTCCAAGATTCTGCAGACGAGCACCCATGTTCAAGCCAGCCTGACCAGCCCCAACAACCAACACCGTAGGCTCCGCATCCAAAAATTCCTTTTGTCTTTCCCTGCGCTCGATCCACGTCCCGCCAGCCAAACCACCAGGCATGGACTCCGTGGTCCCCATTGTCCTTCGTTTCCCCACCGGCTCCTCGGTTCCAGTCATTTCCTGCAGCGACGTATACACCGCATACACTCTCCAGCACCCATCAGTACCCTGCGTCAATCGCACCATACCCGATCCATTCCCGATAGCAGTCTTGAAGAAGAACATGCTCGATATCCAGCTCAATCCATCAACAACCTGTTCCACCCTCGGCTTCCACTTTCCCTGATCTTGAAGCTTGAAGCTAGATAATTGGGCTTGGGCCTGGCGCCTGCGCAGGAAGCTCTGGATCTCGGCAGCTGTGTGGAGGGTCCGCATGTCCCAGTCCAGGGCAAGCATGTCACGCCACCACGACTCAGGGTGGAAGAGCTCTGTCAAGTCAATTGAGTTGGACTGCGAAAGCTGGGTTTGTAGGCCGTTGAACCATTGCTGGACGATTGCTTGGGGGTCACTGTCTCCGCCGTTATTGGGTGTTTGGGGGAGTTGAACAATATGTGGGTTTCCGCCCGTTAAAGTCGATGCCATTTTGAATCAATACAGGCATGTATGTTTTAAATATATGGTATAAAATGAGGGGTAAGGTAGGAATCAGCAGAGAAAAGAGTCCTCTGTCCTCCATTTATAGCTCACCCCTTCTCTTTGTGGAGCTCTTCTAGTTATGGAACAAAATAACTTGAACCTTTCACCCATTTTCCCCTTCCATTGTTCCGTCTTTCCATAGATGCCAGATGGCAACTCTGCCGACTATGGAGCATGAGGGGCAGACGTGGGGAAAATCGACGTCAGATACCCACGAAGTTCGATGATTTTTCTCCCCGACGCGGGGGGAAACAACACTCGGAGAAGTCGCCGATGGCAAGTTTGCCGAGCCCCGAATAGGCAAATTCAGACGCATATTCCAGTTCTCACGTTGTTTCTGGAAACTTCTGGGGTTTCTGGAACGTGGCTTGCAGTTCGTGCCTTTGCGGTTACTTTTATAGGCATATTTAGGCACTTTGGCCAGATTTGGTGAACTAATCCCGGTCCTATTGAGTGCCAAGTATTGAGTACTAGTAGAAACGGTATATGCTCCAAAGCGACCAAGGTCATCCATCAACTGGACTCGGAATGTTCTACAAGTATACATGTGCAGTATGTAACTTGTACGCCATTCGAAGGTTCCAACCTTGGTTGTAGGTAATAGGGTGGTGAATGAGTCAGTCGAAGGAGTTGGACCTTATTCACAACTTACCTACAGGCATCAAACAGCACTTGAGTAAAAGCTCAGTAAAAAAAAAAGCAATCATACTGGCCCTTGTCCATAAAACTTTTATTATGTCCAATAATCAGGTTCGCAAGCACCACCTCATAAGTACAAACAAGGTTTGGAACCCAGCATTAAAAAATAGATATGACAAGCCGGAATAAGATAATGAGCTAGTATGTACAACGAAGGCAAGAGACAAACAGAAGCAAAGAAGCGGGTCTTATTGCGACCGACGAGCCATAAAGTATGTAAGCAAGTTCAGCGATGCTGCTCCAGCAGGTGGTGTAACCTTTTGAACTCGATCCAGGCCGAATTTAAGACTCAGAAGCGTGGCAAGCTCAGTAGCCTGCTTGCGCACACCAGGCCAAGGGTGGTCAAGTTGTCGGCTAGCCATAGCACCGACACTGGCGAGGACCTCATCGGAAATCTCGACGGGCCCCTGTGATAGTGCTTGATGAATCGTAGAAAGACCCAGAATGATTGATCGATACGAGTTCTCGTTCAGGGCGCCCTCTCCGTTCAGACCTTGGAGCAATCCGTGGATGCAAATTGGAATGGGGACCAAACATGCAAGCTGTTCCGCCACTTCTTCCAAACAGGTCACGAAATGAGAGCTCGACTCGTAGTGCTGGCGGGCTCGGACAATCGCCGCAATGACGGGAGCGTCATATCGATGGAAGAGCTCGCTCGTGCGGAGGAGCATGGAGCGGATAGTAGCCAGAATTTGGGTCTTCACGTCATGATCTTTACGGCTGGTTGGAGCCAGTTCCAACTCATTGAGCAGAGCCTCAAGCACTGCGTAATAGTCTTGCTCGTGAGATACAAGCTCAGCGCCATGGTATTGGAATAGTCCTTGCAGCTTGCGGTAGCCCGAGATATCCATAGTCTTGGTGGTGATCCGGGTAACGGCTTTTGGGAGCATCTCCCTTGCGTTAGCAGGGTCCTTCGACCGAGGACTTGGGCTGCGATGGCGCTCGGCCCATTTACGAGTTCGGCGGAGACTTTCTTCGCTTATCGACGAGGCCATGGGCTCGACGGATCTGTATCTCATTTCTGAGCTCCTGAGGGCTGATTCGTTCAATGGTACCTCCTCTAGGGCACCAGGCTTTGCTGCAGATCGCGGGGTTCCAGGATATTCTGTGGGCTTAGCAACATGTTCAGTGACATTTTCATTGGTAGGGGCCCTTTCAAGACTACCCATGGTAGTCTCATGTGTCAAGATAGAGTCTCTGCCAAGGGCATTCTCAGAGGGTGTTGCCTGGGATCGGTTTCGAGACGGCGAAGGGCTGCCCCTGAGTGGCGTCCTCCGCACGGGGGATGGAAACTGGGGCTCGGTTGTGCCATCAGTAGAGAAGCCCTGGTAGGGCATCATTCCAGGAGGTGGGTTTATGATAGGAGTAGTAGATTCCACGGCTGCGACTGCAGCTGTCTCGTCACCCAGATCCGATCCAACAGTATGGCGAGGTGACTTGGTAGGGGTGAAATGCTCAACAGGATCAATCCGCGGTACCCCAGTCTCGGCTGCAACAGGAGTGGCAGGGTCCTCATATATGATCATTTCATCGGCCTGTACCTTGGTAGCAGACTCGGGAGTGTAAAATGGGTCTGCGTTACGCAAGGGTGTTGAAATATCCAGTTGATGGCGCGGGGAAACCGCAGGCGGAGGATCTTCAAGTGACATGGACTCTACATCTAACGCTGGCTCTTGCGCTAGTGCAGGCTGGGGTGCTCTTTTTGGCTCTGGGGTGGCAGTACGACGAGAACCCGTATGCAAGCTATGGTTGGGTTGAGGGTGTGTTGCAGAAAGCGGAGGGCTTTCTAGCACAATTTGCGCGGGGGAATTCGGCTCTCCATATACATTTTGGTCAGCTTGGCGGCTGTGCCCGGAAGACTGATTCGCTATGCTTTCATTGGAATCACTGCGGCCACGGCTTGCTGCTGCTGCCAGGTCTCCATGCGACTTTGATTTCGAAAGGTCAAGCTTCTTAGGCTTGCCTCTGGTGGTACTAGACTGTCCGGACTGTGCAGGCTGCCCAGACTCGTGTGGACGAAGACGAGGTGCATTGAGGGGTTTCGAAGAAGGTGTTGATGTTTTGGATCGCACTGATCGAGGAGAGCTGGTTGGCTGTCTGGCCGTCTGGGTTCTGGATTCAGGACGGCTGGGATCAGGACGACGAGCGTATGGGTCGGCAGTTGCAGGACGACTCAGTTCAGCTCGTCGGGGTTTCATAGCAGGCCTCATAGGTGCAGATGACATGGATGAAAGAGGTGCACCAGTGGGAACGGTCCTTACAGCCGGTCGGGGAGCAGGCTCTGGTGGCTGGCTGTCAGCAAATGCAGACTGGGCAGACTCCGGTCGCGAAGTCATTTGAGCTTGAGCCTTCTTACGAGCAGCAATGGCTTCTTTGAGCGCAGACCGTGGTGCCGGCTTGCTAGAAGATTTAGTCGCCAGCTGAGTCGCATTCGGGTTCGACGAGTCCTTTTCCAAAAGACCCCGTGATTTTGCATCTAGATCATCCATAATCCTGTGACATGTTAGTGATTGATTGATAGATAGATATGTACCGACGAAACCGCAACATACCCATTGGCTCGATCAGGCCACACGCCAAAGAAAGTCCAAAAGGTACCTCTACTGGCCTCACGTACTCCGGGATTGGCATCAGCTAATCCTTTCTTGATGGACTTTTCAATTAAATCCAAACCACCACCATGCTCAAGAGTACTCTTGTGGTGAGCCTGTCGGTTAATCAATGTCCGCAACCATCCAGCGGCAAAGAGACGTAATCCGACATTCTTGTCTTGTGATGCAAAATGAATATGTTGCAAAATCCGAATGTTGAATGTTACACATCCGATGACCGTGTCGACTGTCGCATTACCGTTCTGTGCCGCGATCTTTTTCAAGGCTGAGCATAGCTTGATCAGGTTTTGCATGATGATTTCAACCATAGGATCGATTTTGGGGCCGCAGGTTCGTGCGATGTCTTGGATCAAGAGACATCCGTTTGTACAAAGCGTGGTCCGCAACGAGCTCACTACTTTGAAGAATCCATCCAATAAAGTTTTGGTAGCCTGAAGAAAGCTTTGAGAGAATTCGTGGGGCGCATTTCCCCGGGTAAGTCTTCGGAAATGAATTACGTTCTTTTCACGTTTCAACCAGTTATCCTCGGACTCTCGACCTTCAAACCAAGGGAGCATATCGCGGACAAGCTCATCGATGTCTCTACTTGAGCTAACGAGAAGTGGCTCCACTCCGTCATCTGCCTGTGAGGACGTCTGAGGGGGCGGTTGCTCTGCGGGAGCGGGTGCGGGGGTTTTCGGTCTGGCGGGTGCATCAGTATAAGTAGAAGCGATGGGTCGATCGTGGTGATTTCTTGAGGCTGGTCGGCTTCGGGTGGGCTCCGGTTCTGAATTGTCGTTAGAGTTATTGCTGAAAGATGGAGGTGGCGAGTTATTGACAAACAGACCATCTTCATGCATGTCTACTGCATGTGAACGTGACGACATCACAGAGATGGGACGATCAGCACGAGAGATGGGCCGGACAGAGCTTTCGGGCTCGGCAGAGGCAAGTCCAATTCCCGATAAGATCGCATTGGCAATTGATTTCCTGACGCCACGAGCACCCAACTGCTTTTGTAAATCGGACTTGGCTCTGGAGGGAGCAGTTCTGAAACGAATGGTTAGCATTCTTACAGATCGTACTTGTATAATTTAGTGTAACTCTTCATACCGGAACAAGTCGATCACAACGACCTTTGCCGTATCTCGAACGGCACTGTCAGCACTTTCCAAGCATGCGACTATTGATGGAACATATTGGCGGAATAGCAGGCCATGGTTTCTCGTCATCTAAAATAATTTGTCAGAGTTTATGTCTTTTCTGCAGTCAATAATCAAACGCACATTTGATAGCCAAAGAAGACTCATTTCCTTGGCTCGGGGGTTTTTGCCCACCAGGGCATTCTCGAGAACATAGTATTCAACCTCCTGACCAGCCAGGGGCCACAATTCGGTGAAAATTGATGCAGATTGGGCTCTGATGCGTTCCTTATGATCTCCAAGCTTCTCGGTGAGAATTGGATAGAAGTTGCGCGCCTGTGAAACAATCCACTGCTGTTGGTCTTGGATTGCCAGACGCTTCAAGAAGTGGCCCAAAGTAGAAAAGGCACCACTAGCAACGGAGTAGTGTTGCGAAGTCAATGCAAGCCTGATTGTCTCGAATATTGTCGCAATGGCGCCTTCGGGTACATTTTTTTGTTTGATATCAGACTTGATACCAGTGAGGTGGGCGACTTTGGCGTCAACGGAGAGATTGGGGTTTTTAAAAGCTGCGAGCAGCTCTGAAGCCTTGGCTTCCATCTTTGACACTAATGAAGAGATCTTCTTCGTCGATTAGGTCATAGACGAGAGCACCAACGATGGTGCGAGATATGTGGTCGGAACTCTCCGGTGGGTTTTGCGGATGGGAATAGGATGCTGAAGGTAGGGATTCGAGTTGCCGTCTTTGAATAGTTCCACTATCTATGATATTAGTCCCATGTTACTACTTGCAGGTGTGCCACATCCACGGCGACCGAAGGAAAATATCTCGAGAAGACAGGTGACGTTGGCGCTTGCGGGCGCAAACACGAGCGTGAGATTATCCAGCCGAGATGGGGGCAGATGAACGGCGCATGGGGTAGAAGATCAAATAACCACGTACCAGGTCAATCGCGTGTTCAGGGGAGAGCGTGTGAACCGTGGATGGTGGGATGTTGACAACTCGGGAAAGTTGGACAAAACAAGGGGCGATAAGCGCGGATAAGCGCCTGCTGTTCTCCACTGATATGAACTCAAGGGGTTAAATGTGGCTTTGGATCAGCTCTAAGCATGGGATTGCATTGGTTTCGATTCTTCTACTCAATTGCTCTTTCCATTTTCCAGATATTTCCAAACACACCTTTATTGGTGGTTTATTATACCTCACGAGTTTAGTATTTCAGCCCAACGATGTTTTGTTTATCTGGGCCCCGCGTTGCAAAGGGCAACCACCAGATAAGTAGCAGTATGATCGCATCATTCAATGATCCAATCAGTCGGCTTCATAAACGCGCCGTTGAAGCCGAAAGTATGAAACATTTGAATGAGCTGCTGGGCCTTTTACGAGTGACGTTTTCTTTTCTTCAACTCCATTCGACAGACTCGGGCTCTTTTAGGGTAAAATGCTGGAAATAATTCAGGATTAAGGCTGGATATTTGAAGTCACATTCTATTCAATTCTAATTGATACTAGTAGTTGTATAGATGATGTAATACATACATACTGCTAGTTAACAAATATGTACTTGAGTAGTAAATCTGGTTTGTTCCCAGGTGAGCCGCGGTGCAAATGAGACATACAGAAAGCAGTGGAGCGCCCCCCACCTTTCAACGATCCTCGATCTACATATATGCTCTAATTCTGACCTGATCTCCACATCATATACATGCACTTTCATTGATAACCTTGAAAGCAGAGTCTCTTGGAAAATCTCCATTCCCGAGGTCCTTATCAGAACTAGGACTTATATAGACCGTCTAGATCAGTTCTCCACGAACACTCGAAACCTCGCGTGGCCGAGCTCGCGATGACACCAAACCCCGCTCCGTCGGCGATCCCCAATCCCAACGAGCTACAAAGCTCCAGGCGCAATGAACAAGACGAACAAGAAGACTCCAACCACAGAAATGTTCCACAACCTAAGCTACGTCTCCATGCGCAGGAGCTTCGGCACCCGGCAACCAAATCTTTTTTCCTCCTAATTCCAGATGTGTCCTTGGCCCTCGACACAGCCCTCCGCAACATCGTCAAATATCTATATACGGCAGGAGAATGGGGCCCTAATGATCAACGACCTAAAGGTGGGGTAAGACGGACAGGTCCGCAATTTGTTCCCTCCATCCCTCCAACCCGATCCGTCACTCTCTTTCTCAGGGACTTCGGCGGCGTGGCCTATACAACGGGCTCCGAGCTCGACGACGACCACAAGGAGATTCATTTTTCGTTGCCGTATATTCAACAGTGCACTTCTGGGCCATCTGCCAAAGCAGATCCACTCCATGAATTACTGGGTGTTCTGACACATGAGCTTGTACATTGTTATCAGCATACCGCACCTCCTCAATCCCAAACCGTCAAGGGTCGCGAGATCCCTCGTCCACCCGGCGGCTTGATTGAGGGAATTGCGGATTTCGTACGGCTCAAAGCGGGCTTAGAGCCACCCCATTGGAAGAAACCGAAGTCTGCAGCGGAGAGAGCAAAGAACTGGGATGCTGGATATCAGGAAACAGCGTACTTTTTGGCCTGGATTGAGGATGTTTGGGCCGAGAAGGGGGCTGTGGGAAGGTTAAATCATCGATTATTGGAGGTTGGATATCTTGGCGAGGGTAAGGATAAGGAGCAAGGGGAAGATGGGTTCTGGAAAGGTCTTTTTGGTCGTGAGGTTGATGATCTATGGGACGAGTATGGCCGGTGGCTGGATGGTGATTCTGGAGACGAGAAGAAGGCGCGTGGGAACTGGGAAGATGAGATTCTTAACCCCGAGTCTTAGGCGGGAGTGCCATGGTATATACTCATCCATGGATGAAACAATCAGATCAGGTATATAGTAGTACCTATTGTTGGAAAGGGTCACTTTGATAATATGATTTTATTGATGTAGTACATTTGGTGAGCACCTCTATACACCAGTGCCAAGACCAAGGCCAGTTGACCTCGGTCTCGTAGTTCGACCAATTTCTAGCTAGGGGAGTGAAGTGTAGCCAGATCAGCAAGACAGTGAAACAATGACGACAAAAGAAAATCCAAAATAAACAAAAGACACCAGATGAATCGAAGGAATCAAATGTCCCATACTATACAGTATCCAGTCATGCAAAAGACAGGAGAAACTCTTTTTTCCCGCGTACCTGCTTCCCATGCAAAACCACCGCACACCGGAAAAGGACTGGGAAATAAAGAACAATAAAAAAAAACATGGAAGAATATGGTACCGCGTCCCCAGCTATTGGGGGTGGCTATATCGCAGGTATTCATTAAGTGATAACCTCACCCAAGTCAACGTGAGCAGGCTTCCAGGGTGAGGCACCGTCCTCTTCCATGGAGCTGGGAACCCGCACATCCAGCGGGCTGTAAAGGTACCAGCCCTTCAGCGCAGCGAGAGCAGCACGCTCCCGAGCCTCAAGCAGACTGGCGCCAGCGCCCTCACCCAGCTGGTCCTGGCCAGAAAAGATACCAACCACGAAGACAGGGTGTCTGCTGAGGCGACCAGTCTCACTGACGATCTTGGCAACGGGCTTCTCAAAGTTCTCACGCGCGCACAGACGAGCCAGGTCACGAGCTGGCTGGGAGAAGTTGAAAAGATCTGAGATGTTCAAGCTTCGGGAAAGAATGTGTTGTTCGAAGAATCGCTTGGCAGCGGGACGACCGGCGTGTAAGTAGACGGAGCCCATTACAGCACGCACGAAAGTAGCGCTGGCCAGCTCGGCCGTGACACCATCGTCACGGGGTCCCTTGATCGGGTCGCCGAACTCGTCGTCATAGAAGATCTTTGAGGTAACAGTCTTCCTCCACTTGGCGGCGTTAGCATACGGGCGCGGTGTCTTGGCATCTGTAGCTGCGTTCACGTCGGTTCCGGGATCGAGCCTCCGGAATTGCAGGTAACCTGCGTCAACTTCTCCACCAGGAGCAGCGGCGAGGTCAACACCCCATTCCTTGGCCATCACAGCTAGGGTCTTGGGACCAACATAGGCGTACATCGCGGCGAAAATGACGGTCAAAGGCAGACGGGGGTATTTGCAAAGGAGATGTTCGGAGGTGTAGTATGTGAGGAGGTCGTGACCAAGGGTAGCCAGCGATTCGTTGTTGAAATCGGCATTGGGGTCTGCAGAGGCATCCACCAGGGTTCGCGCAAGTGTTTCAACGGGTAGTCGAGAAGGAAGGTATAGGCGAGCGTGAAGGGCGGCAAGTTTGGCGGATTTCGTTGCGGCTTCGACGGGTGGAGAGGGATATTGCAGCTGAGTCTTGCGTCTGTGAATACTTCGGACATGGCGCATCAACTCGGGATCCTGGAAGCTCGCATCCATGGAGACATCTTGGTCGGCCGATTCGGCTTGAAGGGGCGCGGCAGTCGATTGGTGCCGTAAACTGGCAGAGCAGAGATGTTGATGCAGTTTGTTACCAGCCTGAGCTCGCGGTGAAAGAACCGTACTGCTCCATCGTTGGAGTTGCAGCCGCTTCATCTGGGCGAAGGGTGTGTACAGGCACGGAAACAAGAAATCGAATTAAAAACAATTGGCCACGCTGCGTCAATGGGGGATGAGGATTCGGAGGCGTGCGGCCAATTCACGGGGAGAGAAAAGAGAAATTGTTGCCAAGTCACGGGATCGTTGGTCTGGTCGTGTGAGGCCACGCTAGTCCATATATGGCAATCGTGTCTTGGCATTCGACCTTCGAATTGAACGGCCCTCTCGGCTTCCACTGCGAGAAGAGTCCTCCCTCACCTCGTCCCTCTTTTAATTCCTCAACAACCCTTTCAATTCAGTTTTCACAATGGGTGGTGGCGGAAAGATCCCGTACGTTTCAAACGCTGGAATTATCAATGTTGGATACTCATGAATTATCGCTGCGCAGGTACCCCAAGGAAGTTTGGTCCCCTGCTGGTGGTTGGTACGCCCGCCCGGCCAACTGGAAGGCCAACACTGCGGTCATGGGTGCCTTTGTTATTGGCATTGCTGCTATGGCTTTCAGCCTCAGTGCCGAACGCGAGTACCGCGACAAGATGCCTGAGCCCGGCCGATTCTTCCCCAGCCGATAGTCAGTCCAACCCCCGACTTCTTGCCTTCATAGCACCGAAAGACATCCCCAATGCTAACCCTGGATATTCTTTACCACAATTTAGCTGGAGCCGACAGATCAGAGAACACGAGGCAGCACAGGCCACCAAGAACGAGTCATAGAGAACGGAACCGGAGTGCTATGGCAGCTATAGGAGGATTTCCAGCGCGACGGAACATTTCTTTATTGTGTTATTTTTTATTATCATTGCATCACTTTCCTGGCTGTACGAAAATAGAAGGGCGTTCCTCAATCAACTATTGATCAATTGGTCAACAGGTGTCTCTGGGGAGACTCTTCCAATGTCTTGAATAATCGCTGCGTGTATAGGCGGACTCGTTCCGTGAATTCAGTTTGATTCCACAGCTCCTTTCCATTGCCCACGGAAATTTGAGGTACCCCGATCTGCTCCACAACAAATCCGGCAGCGACAGTAGCGCATATGAGCGCTCCTAGCACGTTGCGACGCTGATCCCAGGAATCCAGGGCTCGTTTCCAGCTATCCGAGCGTGACAAGGTGGACTCGATGATGTCGAAAGGTTCACGGCCAGAAGTCACCATTCCCTGTGCCAATGCACCCAAAAATGAGTTACCCGCACCTGTTGGATCTAGCACAACTGTAGTACCCGAATAGTTGGGTTGGTGGTAGGCAGGGAGCCAGAGCTTCTGGGCCCTTGAATAGGCGTAGCTTCCTTCTTTACCCGCTCTAATGACTATGCATCCATCGCCATTTGGGCCAATTCCTGCATCAATAATCTTCTGGACTAACTTTTGGCTTTCTTCACTGTCCTCGGTCCATCCAGGTTGATCGAACATCATACCCAGCTCTAGATGGTTAGGGCTCACCACGTCAACGACTCGGTTAGCCTCGAGGAACGTTTCCTGCTCTTCGGGTGTACAGAGATCAGGTACTGGTTCCCAAACAAAAATGGGACGTTCAGAAGCATGCTTCGTAGAAGGTGCTTTGCCTGCTTGTCGCAGCTGCTCCCGTCGTTGGAGGATGTCATGTACAATAGACATGCAGCGGGCAGAGGAGCAGACCATGTGAAAAGTGCGTGACCACACCTGTGTATCTGAAAGCATGGATGGCTCCAGCCTCAGCTTTGGAGTGAGATACTTGAAATCTGCATCATGGATGAGTGATCTGCAGTCTATTCCAAACAAAGTATGACTTTACCTCGCTTCTCATTCGGGTGGTATCCATTCCAAGCTCTAGTTGTGAGTCTGGTATTATCTTCTCTGATAACACAGTCTGTTCCCCATGATTTGATCACTGCAAGGGTTTCTGGTGGAAAGTCGGATCCCACATCCACGATCCAGCTCACACCTCGTCCATGCTTGGATCCTGCGACTAAGCGGGCGCCGACAACTGCAAAAGAAGCAGCTCCTCCAAGTACGTTTTTGACATCGGGTCTGGATCCTCCGAATTCAATATCATCTATCCATGTAGGAATGAAACCGTAAGTATCTGGTTGGCGGGGTCCTGCGATAAGGGAACAATATGTATACCTATGATGAACATTCCCAAGGTGCAAAATTCAACCTCACCCGCCGGGGCATTAGATAGATCTGTTTTGGCCATAGTTGTTATGATATACTAGAGCAAAGCGAACTGCAGAAAAAAAGCAACGAGTCGTTAATCAGTGATATCGGGGAATGAGTTGAAAGTGGGCCAGATTGTACAATAGTGGAGTGTTTGTAATGTAATTACCAATATTACTTAGATTTATAGTGCTGGTGGAGACAGCGTTTAGGTATGTACGTTACCATTGCTGGGTTGAGCTGCGGGAAACCTCAGGAGAGCTCGGAGGCCTCTACATCATTCGTGTCCTGCAACTTCTACCTCCTAACACTACTTGGTGCTAGAGGATTTGGTCTTGCATAACTGCAACTCCATTGGCTTCACTTTTCTTGCCTCATTTCAATTTTCTCAGTCGCATCTTTGCGCCCCAGCTCATTTCCCCTCAGGAGAGAACAACGTGTTGCCTAACATGGCGAGCGGCAACCATATGCATAATTTCACCACCCTCATCAAGCGGTATGTGCCCTCGTCGCTGATGGACTGAATATCAATGAGCTGCTACAATCTAGCACAAGTCTCCTTCCCAGCCCTGGTATATCATACTCACTCCAGACCCAAATAGGCTCGAGGCGGCGACCTCACGCTTAGAGGACATGGCCCTGTCCTTGGACGATCCCAATGATCCAAAGAGCACCGGAACCCCTACTGCTGCCACGCCTGCAGTACCCGAGCCCCCGAAGCCCGCTCCTCCGCCACCAGCAGCGCCTGCAGCTGCACCACTTCCGCCCCAGCTCCAAGACTTCGATACCTTGATCAAAGGAGATGTACAGAAATTCGTGAACCTGGGTGAGAAAATTGGTGGATTGGTTGCAGAGCAGGTAGATCTCACGAGCTGGTCTTACGGCTGGGAATTGATTGCTGACTGGTGATATAGTCCAAAGCAGTTCTCCAGGCCTTCCAGGCTGAGCGTACCTACCTCGATGTCTCGACAAAGGCAAAGAAGCCCGTGCCTCAGCCTGCTGAGCTTATGACCGACCTCCACAGGGCTGTTGATAGCATCAACAACATTCGCGAATCGAACCGTGCCTCTCCGCTGTTCAACCACCTTAGCGCTGTTGCTGAGGGTATTGTGGCCCTTGGCTGGTTGTTTGAGAGCAAACCTGCGGAGTTTGTGGATGAAATGATTGGTGGTATTGAGTACTATGGCAATAAGGTACTGAAGGAGTATAAAGAGAAGTAAGTCCCAGTACTGGGCGGGACCCATGAGAGTACTAGCAATTAACATATCTAGGGACCGGACACACATCGACTACATCCAAGCCTACTACCAGAACTTCAAGGGTCTTTCTGCTTATCTTAAGAAGCACTACCCCAAGGGTTTGACATGGAACGACGCGTCTGGAGTCGAGGTTTCAGAGGCCTTGAAGCAGATCAAGAGCGGACCCGCCCCAACTGGTGCCGTTCCTCCTCCTCCTCCTCCCCCTCCCCCTCCCCCTGTCCCAACTCTCAACGTCCCCGGTGGAGGTGGCCCCCCACCGCCTCCCCCTCCCCCATCTGCTCCTGCTCCAGACATGGGTGCTGTGTTTGACCAGCTTAACCAGGGCGAAGAGATCACCTCTGGTCTCCGCAAAGTCGACAAGTCGCAGATGACGCACAAGAACCCTAGCCTACGCGCCGGCTCTACTGCGCCTGGAGGCTCTAGCGCCAACCGGGGCAAGTCTCCCGCACCCAGCAAGAAGCCCAAGCCCGAAAACATGCGCACAAAAAAGCCACCGCGTAAGGACCTGGAGGGCAACAAGTGGCTGGTTGAGAATTTTGAGGCGCCGGAAGATATTGTTGAGATCACCGCGGCACAGAACCAGTCTATTCTCATCTCGCGCTGTAACAAGACTATTGTCAAGGTTAACGGCAAGGCCAACGCTATCGCCATTGATAACTGCAATGGTCTATCCATCATTGTTGACTCCCTCGTTAGCTGCTTGGATATCATCAAGTCGCCTAAGTTTGCTCTGCAGATTGACGGCACAGTTCCCACTGTCATGCTCGACCAGGTTGACGGCGGTACTATCTACCTAGGCCAGCAGAGTCTTGCTACCGAAGTCTTCACCAGCAAGTGCAGTGCTATCAATATCACCCTCCCGCCCAAGGAGGGCACTGATGATGACACTAAGGAGTGCCCTGTTCCTGAACAGCTCAAGAGCTACATCAAGGATGGTGTCTTGGTGAATGAGATTGTCGAGCATGCTGGTTAAGCTGGTATAACTTGATTGAGAAGTTCCTGGTTTTTTGTTTATGTAACTGTCCAAGAACAAACATTTGAACTCTTGTCCATAGAAATAATAGCGCTTTGCTTGGTATTCATCTCGTTCAATGAATTCAGAATCTTCACAAATTCCAAGGTTCACTTTCAAGGTTGCAACTTTTTGATCATACTACCTAGTACCCATGCGCTAGGTATAACTCGATAGGTACTAGTATGTACTTTTTTGAAATAAAGCCATCAACATTGGAACTTTGAATGCATGGTCATATATTGCCTGGGGCTTAACATCCAGCAACAAAGGTTGTCTTAAAGAATCCCCTAGGTCATTATAGTTTTCATTCAAGGAATGCGTAATGTACTAATCAAGTTAATCTTCTAGTAGATAGGCAGTGCGCGCTTTTATCAGATGAAAATCCCTATACTAAACTAGTAGTTAGGCAGCGCGCGCTTTTTTTTTTTAGATGAAATCCCTTATACTACACTAGTAGTTAGGCAGCACGCGCTTTTATCAGATGAAAATCCCTATACTAAACTAGTAGTTAGGCAGCGCACGCTTTTTTTTTAGATGAAATCCCTTATACTACACTAGTAGTTAGTAGGTAGCGCGCGCTTTTATTAGATGAAAATCCCTATACTAAACTAGTAGTTAGGCAGCGCGCGCTTTTTTTTTTAGATGAAATCCCTTATACTACACTAGTAGTTAGGCAGCACGCGCTTTTATCAGATGAAAATCCCTATACTAAACTAGTAGTTAGGCAGCGCACGCTTTTTTTTTAGATGAAATCCCTTATACTACACTAGTAGTTAGTAGGTAGCGCGCGCTTTTATTAGATGAAAATCCCTATACTAAACTAGTAGTTAGGCAGCGCGCGCTTTTTTCAGATAAAAATCCCTATACTCTAGTTAGGCAGCGCGCACTTTTTTATCAGATGAAAATCCCTATACTAAACTAGTAGTTAGGCAGCGCGCGCTTTTTTTTTAGATGAAAATCCCTTATACTAAACTAGTAGTTAGGCAGCGCACGCTTTTTTTTTAGATGAAAATCCCTTATACTAAACTAGTAGTTAGGCAGCGCGCGCTTTTTTCAGATAAAAATCCCTATACTCTAGTTAGGCAGCGCGCACTTTTTTATCAGATGAAATCCTTATACTGAACTAGTAGTTAGGCAGCGCGCGCTTTTTTTTCAGATGAAAATCCTTATACTAAACTAGTAGTTAGGCAGTGCGCGCTTTTTTTTCAGACCAAATCCTAGTTTGCCCTTAGGTGATTACCCTCAGATAACTGATGTATCGGGTTTCAAATGCATACAGCAAAACGTGCAAATTTGGATCCTCTTATATAGCAATCATCTGTCAGTGTCTCCAATGCTCTACATGCTATGTACCAGTAGGTATGGGACCTTTGGAGCTTTGTAGGCAGTAACACTAACCTACACATCCACCTAATCAGGTATGTACCCGTAAGAGCAATAGGTCTAGCAGGGGAAAGGATTTGGATATGGTCAACTTCAATGAATTCAAGATATTGAATAACAAAGAACAGCATGAATATGAGTCCCAATTGCACCATGCTATGCAATGAGAGGAGAAAACGAAAAGGGTATATACATATTCAACTGCCCATGCGCCTGGGTTGTCCTGGTTGAAGTAGAAAAGAAATGACCGGGAAGAAGGACGTAGAAATAATGACCGACGGTATTGGAAACGGAACTTTGGGGCTTTGCGACAACCAGTGTTCGAGCAGAAGCTGTCATGTAAGTGACTGTGGTTAGTAGTATACTGAAGCGGTTGCAGATTGGCGCAGCCAAGGATGATGTTTATAGGTGGTTGAATGGTTTTTTTCTTTTCTTCCTCTTTTACCGGTAGCCTCAGCTGGGCTGGGTGCGCAGCGCAACGCATAACTGACAAGATATCTCGAGGAGTGGTGTGGTCGTGATGCAGGTGAAATTCAACTCATGCATGATCAAATGATTCTGGTTTGTGAACATCCAGGCCACGAAGTCTCTTTGCAAGTAAACTCTCACCCGTATCCGAACTACCCTGGCGAGAGGAAAGAAAGTTGCCCCCGTACTTGATATCGTTCTTATTGAGGTTGTTGTACAGAGCACCATCTGCCTGCTGAGTTTCTGATAACTCCATGAAGTCGGCTGACGTCCAATGCAACGCACCATCGCTTGAACCTTGACTTAGGAATGGGACCATGCCCTGGCCGGCACTCCGTCTGCGTGTGGCCTTCTCGATCGCCAACCGAGCACTGGCCGATGCTGAGAGGGTGGGCTCTCGGTTGGGTTTATATGGGCTATAACGAGGCTCTGGGAGTTGATTCTCATTCCGTAATTTTTCTTTACCATCTGGAACTCGGTTTGCAAAGACGACTCGAATGCTGGAATGGAGATAGAAGCGACCTCGGGAGGGACAGCAGATATTAAGGTGGATAAGATATCGGAGAGTTGGCTTATCGTGAGGGTTTTCTGTGGCGTTTAGAGAAGCCTCGGGGCGATCAGTGCCGTAGTTCTTCCGGGCGCTCAGTGGCATATCGATAATCGGACCAGCCGAATAGCTTCTTTGTCGAATGAAGGTCTTCGTTCCTGGTTCCATATCACTGAGATCGTAAGGCACAAGGAATAACTTCACGGCGGTCTTGTGGGGGTTCTTGATGATGATTTGCAGTTGACCCTGCTGAGGGATTCGATAGTATCCGCCTGGGGGACATTTCGGTGACTCCGCTCTGCGATTCTTCTTTTCCCGGCGACGTTTGACATCTGCACCCAGAGCCCGAGGAGTTCCTTTCTCACCTCCCGCTCCGTCTCCAGTGGCTATCGCAGGACTAAAGTGCCGTCTACGGCGCCGGGTTGTGCTTGGATCGTCCTTGGACAGCGAGTTTTCTAGATCAATTTGCCCCACATAAGGACTAGGGCTATCATCTGAGATAGAACGACCGCTACCCGACGTCGGGTAGCTATAAAATACCGCCGGAAAAGGAACAGTGATGTGCGGAGGGCATTTCAAATGTCCTTTGCATTTGCCTTTTCCTAGGACACCGATCTGTGCAGTAAAATCCAGAGGCTTGGACGGGTTCATCGACATCCGTCCTCGCAAGATGGATTCTTCGTAGGACCCAACCATCGGTGCATGAGCTGTGGGGCATAGATCAGAAGCAAGAGATGGTCTTCTTGCCTTATAAGTAGCGTTGTTGCACGTTGAGGCCAATTGGAGGCTGTATGCCGATGTCAATGTCCGTCGAGGAACATGGTTAGACTGACATTCAGCATCATTAGTAGGTGAATAAGGTGTCTGGATATCGATAGCTCGGATGCTACTAGGAGATGCTTGGAGGTGACGAAAAGACTCCGGTGGCAAGGTTCGTCGTCTGTTGGCTCTCTCCCCGGGTCCAGGCTCTTTCGGGTCGACTGGCGAAAAATCAAGATCCGTGTTGTTGGCTTGATACACAAGAGGGCTTGTGGGAACTTTCAGGACATAACTTGACGAGAAAGACCCAAGAGAGGGGGCCCTGGAACGGGTTTGCAGGCCAATCTCTGACTGCCGCTGTTCACCAAGGACATTGATATGCCCAGAAGCGGACGGAAAGGCGGATGCCCCAAACCATGGGGAAGTGGGGGATGTCCCTAGATGTGGAGATATAGAAAGGGGGCTAGGTTGTGTAAACCGAGGCCGAGGTGAGTCCGGGGGAGCAGTTGTTGCCCCCTCACGAAAATCACCTGAGTGGAGTGCAGATCGAGGTCTCTGGATATCGGCAGGCGATCCTAATTTGTCTGGATGATCTGGTGGGTTTGAATGACTTTGAGGTTGCTCTAAATTCCCCTCAATGATGCTATCTGTTTTCTGCTCCCCAGGGGTTTTGTGAGACATACAACACAGCCCATCGCCGTGGTCGCTATTCTGTAATATGATATAAAGCGTTAACTATTCATGTTCCGGTGTGAAGAGGATGCCGGGAGCTATTCTGGGGGAGAAAATAAAGGTACATAAAGGTAGTGCAACAAAGCATACCTTATACTGAAGCCTCCAGGGCGATGATTCTTTGATTCGTTGTATAAGTTCCTGGCGCTCGTCACAACTCCACAGCCTTGTTGGAGAGTGCTCTGGAGACGATGGCTGAAAGTTTTCCATTGTAAATGATCCGCTTTCAGGTTCATCAAGATGCTCTTCGTCTAACAGTTGCTCAGAGGACCTTTGGGCTGCTTGCCCAGCCTGGTACTGGGTGCGGTCACCAGACCACCCGGAATAATACCGGCGGTCTGGATCATGGAAAAGGGGCATGATGACGTGTCTGAGAGGGCTATAGGGCCTGAAACAATGGACTGGGCATTTCAGGAGACCACCTATGTGGCAAGCACAAAGGTAGAGCCGAGAGGTCGTGGTGGGGGTCGTTGGGATGCGGTGTGCGCTGGGGCGGATGTATGCCGTCAGAAGATGGCAGTGATTGGCAGGGAATAAAACGGTATTTGGTACAGTCTATGGAGATTAGGATATCAAAGAGAGTGTGTGCTTGAAGCGAATATGATTCGGAGGGGCAGTCCGAGAGAGTAATGTAGGAGAAACGTAGGAGAAATGTAGGTTAAACGGAGATCATGTCATGCCGTGGGTCCATTTCGCTTTCGGGATGAATCATCGTCATGGGGTTTCTTTCCCGATAAGAACTAGTGAACCGATTAGAAAAAAAAAAGTAAACTCTACTATGGAAGGATTATACTATGTATGAAGTCAAGAAAGTAGTAGGGAAGATGGGACAAGGTAAACTTGCTACTAATATTGGTCATTTATTTCTATAAAACCACTTAAGGTACAAGTAGGTACTGTAGAGCGGAAATCCAGACCGTTGGTCTGTAATCTCTGGGCGGAACCGCGATCGCCACCTTTTTTTTTCTTTCAAACTGCCCAGCAGGCCCACTCCAAATCCTACCCCAAAGCAAACTCAACTTGCTTTCAAACCACATACATTATGCCACCAACACGCACCCGCGATGCTGCAAAGGCATCCAAAGAGCACCGGACCGATTCCGCAATCAAGAAGCGCAAGGGTTTCAGCGTAGGCCCGGCCAATCTCCCCGATGGCACCTATCGGCGCAAGAGTGAGCACTCTTTTTCAAGATTCCTTGTGATACCGAATGCATAATTTCTAACCCCATGGTTCTCACTAGCCCAAAAAATTAAGGAGGACCTGATCCAAAAGGCCAAGGTGAAGAAAGCCTACGCCAAAATCAAAGCACAGGAACTCGCTGCCGGCGCACCAAAGTCTGTTTACGCCCTTGCCGATGAGGAGAAGGAAACCACACAGCCTCAGGAGGAGGCAGAGCCTGCCTCAACAGAACTCCACCCCGCCCGTATGGCTATGTTGAATGAGCCGGAGCCTGAGCCAGAACGCGCTCCTGCGCCCAGACAAGAACGGCGCCCACGGAAGGAAGGTGGACAGCAGAGGGAGCGAAAACAGAAACACTCGGCATTTGCGAAGGAGATAGAGATTGCAGAGCAGCGACGGAAAGCTTTCGAGGCCCGACAGAAGGAAGTTGAGGCCAAACAGAAAGAAAGGGAGTTGATGAACCGTGCTAAGAGGCCGGATCAGTTTGGCAAACGGAGATTGGGAAGAGAAAGCAATGCGCTTTTGAGTCGAATTCAGCGCATGGTTGGACAGCCATAAAACCTTGTCTTGTCTACAGGAGAACTACAGCATCTATTTATATTTTTCTCGTGATACCCGATGCGAAGAGCCAAAAAAAATTCATGAACGCTTGACTATGCTTTGACAGTTGCTAAATAAAAACATTATGCAGAAGGGTTCTTGTTTCCACTGCGAGGCTTGCGGAAACAGGCAAACTCGCCCTTTGTCCGGTCTCTCAGTCGTTTTAATACAACCCTCATCTCGCCCAGGTCGGCCTGCAATTTGGTGCGAGCTTCATTGGTCGTGCGATGATCCAACTCCACGTAGATCTGACTCTGGAGTCCAGATGCCTCTTCGGTCGAGTACTGGGAGAGGGTCTGCGCAATGAACTCGGTATCCAGGGTGGCTTGCATGAGAGCAGCAAGCGAGAAGCTGGATCGAGCACGGAAGGAATTGAGCAAGGCCGCGGAGATTTGCTCCAGTAGATGGGTGAGTACGGTGGTCAGTAATGACGAAGGGGAATTTGGCGGTGACCGGCTTGCACCCGGGGATACGGTGGATGGTACAGTGGTAGAGATCTCGGTATGCACCAAGACCAGAGTCAAAAGAGTATTGTAGACGTAAGGGCGAACCTGATCAGGTCGATCGGTCTTGGGTACCCAGTCTGGAGACTCGATGCCGGTAGAGATTGTCTTCTTCAACAAGGCGAGGGTCGGGCTTGTGTATGAGACAAACAGTCGATCTTCAATTTGCTTCAGGACATCCCGGACTGTCTTGGCCTCATCGGTCAACTTAACGGAGAAAGAAGTTTCGAAGTTGGAGATCAACTGGGGCACATATTCGGACTGAAGAGCTTTCAGGTTGGAAAGTGTAAGAAGGATTCTCACATTCTGTATGATTGGTCAGTAAACGTAAATGACATAGAAGGGGGGGAGCGAAGAGGACATACCCTGTCCTGTGAGTCCACAGAGTCAGCCGCCAGCACAGACAAAGCGGCATCAAGAGCCTGGCTTGACATGACTGGTCGGCTAATAACCCATTCGTTCCCTTCTTCTGAGGCTGCGACTCGCTCTGCGTTTTCAACCAACCCACTAAGTGCCTTATAGACACTGGACACAAATTGTGTGCGAACCATCTGGAGGAGCTTAGCAGGCGGTTGAGTGACGACATCAACTGTCCCAGATTTACTCATGGCTTCAGAGATGTACAGAATCTTCTGCATGCCACTCAGGATGGCACTCTCAAAGGCCACAAACAAGCCAGGCATTTTAGTCAAGTCTCGCTTTTCGGAATCCCTGGTCCAGTTCTCTAACATCTTGCAAGACTCCGCATCCTTACTCCATGCAGTGCATGCGACCCGAGCAGATCTGTCCCGGGCAACACTCACCAGGGATTTTAGGAGATCATGGGTTGATCCACTGTGGGTAACTGGGCGCAGGGCTGCCATCTCGCTGGCGGCTGTACCGATAATGATGAGAAATTTACTCAAGTAGTGAACGCCACTGAGTGAGTTGGAGAAGGGTGGCCAGAAGGCAAAGCCCTCCCAGTGCTCTCCTCGTTGAGGGGCAGGAATAGGCAGGTTCTTCGGATCCAATTTAAATCGGGACTCAGTAGGCGTGACGCCATGGGGTGCCGGACTTGTTGGAGTCTGTGGAATAGGGGAGGAGAGAAGGGAGATATCCTCGGTCGGGGGATCATTGAAGAGCGCAAGAACGTTTTCTCGGATCAAATTAACCAGTTCCACAGCACCCCTCTCAAGGTCCTCTACATTCGCAGGGGTAAGGCGATGATGTTTCCGGCTCTCACCTTCAAAGCCAACGGGGAGAAGTCGCTGGCGACTGCCATCAATGAATGCATGTGCTACTTCCCAGAAATCCAAGAGCTCGCCCAGCAAGCCACCCTGCGATGAGAGGAGCCGGGTGAGGAACGCTTGGACGCAGTCCCAGAGCTCAATGACGTGGTCTGTGTCAAGGTTTCCGTGGACATCGGCTGCACCGTCACGGGGTGCTAAACGAAGGTATGATGCTACGGCTTGAGCAGTTGGTTTGTCCTCGCTAGCAAGTCGACGTCTCAAAATCTCAATTTCCACCTTGCAGCGGTCACAGAATGAAGTGATCTTAGTCTTGAGGAACTCGTAGCGGCTGTGGAGCCACGTCCAAATAGGATTATCGTCGACACCCAACTCCAATAATGCCCCAATAAGCTCCATATGCTCTTCAACCGGACCCGATACAGTGCTTGTTGTGGAAGTCGTTGGAGCATCACCAAGTCGCCTCCAAAGATCACGCTTGAAAGCATGGATTTGCTCGTCCACGTCCATCCACATCCGCCCCATCGCCAAGATCGTATGCGCTTCATGATCGGATAGCTGCCGACGCGAGCTGGAGGCCTGCTCCACAATAGTTTTCGCCCGATTTGCCAGTGTCCTCGCCTTGGTGTATTCTTCAAACACGGAATCATAGTCACGCTGTTGGATGGACTTGGACAGATGACTTCCAATCTCGTATACATCGCGCTGTTTCTCCATAGTTTCAACGACGGATTTAAGTATCTGCTCCCGGTCACGACCTCCAAGGGCGGGCCCCCAAACTTCCTCAGCCTTGACGGACGCCTCCACGAGGGGAGTCCGAATGCCTTTCATTCCGTAGTCACTCTCCTTAACGAGCGCTGTCTTTTTAGGGACAACATGAGGTATAGCTGCGGGGGAAGGAGAGAGACCCCGTTGCCCTGACAAGCTTCGGAAGTGTCCTGATCTGCGGGGAGCCAGGTTCTGCTCCTTTGTCGCACCCTGATCTCGCATTTCGGTGTATACACTATCGATGGTTGCCTTGGCGCGAACAAAACGCTCGAAGTTTGCTTCCACCAGGACTTTCAGCGATGCCGACTTCTGGTCGATAGACTGAGACAGATGATTTAACCCCGCCATGAGTGATTCGATTGAGTCTGAGTGGTGGGCCTGAGACAGGAAGAGTGCGGGGGAGAAAGAGGTCGATGATAACAGAAACCGTGAGCGTTTACCCCCCTCTTCCTCAAGACGTAAGCCTTTTTGCTTCAAGATACGTAAGACACTATCCCCCCCTCCCAATGGGTCCGGCTCATCATTCTGCGCATTCTCTCTAGTATCCTTTCCGCGTCGTTGCGAGCCATAGCCACTCCGCCACTCGCTGGGGGTTCGTTCGAGAGCAAAGTAGCGCGATTTGCGGGGTCGGGACTTGGTTCGTTCCAGGGGCTCTTCATCCGATGCATCGCCCTCGTCTAACGCGGCGGGCCATTCTTCGGGGAATTCGGAAGGTAGGTTGTAGTGGCTGGCGACGTCCAGATCGGACATGATGCCAGCTATGGGTTAATGATTATTGGGAGTGGAGACAGGATGAATTGAATTGAGGTTAAAAGGCCACTTTGGGTATTCAATCGGCTGCGCCCGACGTCAGAGGTCTAAGCAGAGAGTCTTAACAAAATTGGGAGCCTCTCCTGCAAGTGCAGGTCAAAAAATAGAGATCTAAGAGATCTGATAGCAGCCGATAGCACTATGTCCATAAACTGGAGTAGTAAGTTGTCAGGAAGCTCCAGATTGGAAGGGTTCACCGAAGACCAATGGAGAGAGAGATTGTGGACTCGGGTTACCGGGGGAGAATCAAACCACCAATGCGGTCTGCGTCCCGGTCGGATCGGTGCGGCGCCGAGAAAGTCGATTCTTTCGCCGTCTCCCCTTCTTCCCCTTCCTCTCCCCACCATCCAATTCCAACCTTTTTTTGCTTTTAAGCCGATTGAAGTTGTTCACGATGCTTGCCGCCAGAAACTTCTCTGCTGCTCGTCAGTGCTTGCGGTCCGTCCGCATCACTCCCAGCTTCGTGAGCCCCGTGTCGCAGGTATCCACGAGACCCTTCCCCTCTCAGCAATATCAAAAAGAAACACATTGACTAACCATTTGCGCTTTTCCTAATTAGATCCGCGGTTACGCTGTCTCCGCCGATGATGCTGTCGCCAAGTTCAAGGGCCAGAAGGGCTCTGATGTACGTCGACATCCAGTCAACCCCGTTTTTTTCTTTTTTTCTTCCTTCATGCCGGCGCCAGCCGCGCAAAACCTCGTCGCGCACCAATCTGCCCACAACCATCGACCGTATTAAAAAAAAACACAACAACAACAAGCGAGCGCCTGTACTGACGAATTATCATTTTGGTTTTATAGGGCAAGTACACTGTTACTCTGATTGAGGGTGACGGTATCGGTCCTGAGATCTCACAGTCCGTGAAGGATATCTTCGAGGCTGCCAAGGTATGATTTACAGCACCTCCAACAGCGATTTTGAGGTGCAATCGGAATAACAAAGATATGTTTTTGAATATAGGCCCCCATTAAGTGGGAGCCCGTTGATGTTGGCCCCATCATCAAGGATGGAAAGACTGCCATCCCCGACGAGGCCATCCGCAGTGTGGAGAAGAACTACGTTGCGCTCAAGGGTCCTCTTGCTGTATGTTTTGATCCAGGCCCACCGTTTTTGGTTTATGCATTCGCGCCATACTAAACTTTCTCTTTCTTTTTTTTTTTAAGACCCCCGTTGGAAAGGGTCACGTCTCCCTGAACCTGACTCTGCGCCGTACCTTCAACCTGTTCGCCAACGTCCGTCCTTGCCGCTCCATTGCCGGTTTCAAGACCCCCTACGACGGTGTCGACACCGTTCTGATCCGTGAGAACACCGAGGGTGAATACTCCGGTATTGAGCACGTTGTTGTCGATGGTGTTGTCCAGAGCATCAAGCTCATCACCAAGGATGCCTCCGAGCGTGTCCTGCGCTTCGCTTTCCAGTACGCCGAGTCCATCAACAAGCGCAAGGTTCGCGTTGTGCACAAGGCCACCATCATGAAGATGTCCGACGGTCTCTTCCTCAACACTGCCCGTGACATCTCCAAGGACTTCCCTAACGTCGAGTTCGACGCTGAGCTGCTGGACAACTCTTGCTTGAAGATCGTCACTGACCCCACCCCCTACAACGACAAGGTCCTTGTCATGCCCAACCTGTACGGTGACATTCTTTCCGACATGTGCGCCGGTCTGATCGGTGGTCTTGGTCTCACCCCCTCCGGTAACATTGGTGACGAGTGCTCCATCTTCGAGGCCGTCCACGGTTCCGCTCCCGATATTGCTGGCAAGGGTCTTGCCAACCCCACTGCTCTGCTTCTGTCCAGTATCATGATGCTGCAGCACATGGGTCTCCACGACGAGGCTGGTCGCATCCAGAAGGCCACCTTCGACACCCTTGCTGAGGGCAAGGTTAGTTTTTACCCTTTCAAATCTCAGCTCCAATTATAACTCGATACTGACCATTGTTTTTTTTAATAGTTCCTCACTGGTGATCTTGGTGGTTCCGCCAAGACCCACGAGTACGCCGGTGCCATTATCTCGCGCCTGTAAACTTGTGGCCCCTCGCATTTCTGTACTATGACCATTTGATTTTTTTCTATGTGCCCCCCCCTCGAACGACATTAGACTTCCTATAGCGATCGAAATATACCTACTTGTGTAGTTACGAGATTATTTGCCGCGAATATACAGGAGAGTGTTGTATCCATGATTTGATTTCTTCTTTATGCTGGCAAATTCAAATGTAATGCTCCTGTAGGCCTCGGGTATACCCACATGGGGTACATAGTACTCCACATATAACCTTCCCCAGCATTTAGTACCTGCAGCGAGGATCTCAAGGTAGGCGGGATGTCTTACCCATATATGCTGTGTTGGCTATTTCAAGATGAAGGACCTAGGTCAGAATTTCTTCTGTATGACAATGTTGTGAGGAACTCGAGCATTGTTTTCTATCTCATTCAATGTTTTCAGACATATGGACCAGAATAGGTCATGTCATCCTTTTGAAGTGTTCTAGGCCACCTACATAGGTCCAGAGCTGCCGATCCCTATTGATTGTATGGCCCGATCGAAGAAAATGCCGTTATGCGACTGGTCCTGAAACCATGCAAGTCATTCTATTGTTTACATGCAGCTTCTACCAAGTAAGCTTTACACGACAAGGTACCGAGGCCCGGGTGCCAGGAATCAATCGATTGTAATAGAACTCCGTAGTAACGATCGATCGTACAGGGTGAGGGGTAAATGGAAGACGAAAGATACTCATCGATGAGGAAATAGTAAAATTCCAAAAAAAGACTTCATTACGTAGTAGATTAATGACATTGTGAGGGTTTTGGTTCATGCGACGGCATCGACCGAGGTTGTTGCGACTCGCGAGCTTGGAGAAGTGGATCTGTAAAGGGTGTTGGCGCTGTCATTGGCGTTTAGGGAATCCTGTTTCAAGTGTCAGCCTCATACCTCACTTGCGGCCGAAAGCCTTGGAAGAGCGAGATTGATGGGAAGAGATTGGTGTGGTCAACCAAGGAACTAGATCGGGGTCTATTTTGCAATGACGTCCACGGCGGAGAAATAAGGTTCGGACCAACTAAAAGTCGCAAAAAGTAGGAACAACTAAACCTGTGATGACGTTACCCCATCAATTCCAAAGAGCATAAATACCTTCAAACAACCACCACAAACTATCCTTCATCAATCACTCTACTCTACTCTTCCACAATCAATCACTTCTACCTTCAACCTTTCAACCTTCAATCTTTCAACCTTCAAAATGGAGACTGTCAAGGTTAGTTATCAACCGTTCCCTCTACTGCGACTACCAGTGGAACTTTACTGACTTCAAGCTAAATAGAACGCCGCCAACTACGTCTCTGAGACCATCCAGGGTGCTGGCTCTACTGCTTCCAAGGAGGCCAACAAGCACGTCGCCAAGGACTCCGATGCCAAGGTCACCACCCGCGCCCAGGCCGCAGTCGATGCTGTCGGTGACAAGGCCGATGAGAAGAAGCACGACGTCAAGGCTGATGTCCACAAGGGTAAGCCACTGTTTTATTCAACCACACAGGGAATAACTACTAACCCATTGAACAGAGGCCGCTCAGCACTAAAGAATTCACTTTCTGAACCGAACGTCCATGCTCATTAAGCATCTCTACTTCGCTCTGGCTATGAGCCTATGACTCTACGACTATTATCTACAATATGTATTAAACAATAACAATTACCAATCTACAATATGTTTTAAAAAAACACTCCTCTCCAATTCATTATGTACCATCACATTTGACATCTATACGTCTTGATGCTTGCAAGCAAAAGGAGCTCCATCCTGAGCCCCACTCCGAAGCATAAGCTCGATCTATAAGCATCCGGCCATCATCAGCATCTGTAAGACCCTACCAGGCAGGTCAACACCGTAAATTTGCAAATTCAACTTACCAATTCAAGATCAGCCAATGCTGCTTCGGGTTCCTGCTCGGGTACCACCTTCCCAGCCCTCAGGCTATCTCCCCACGCTCTAACTTCAGGGGGCACGCCCGTGCGCTCATTGGCGACGGTGATTGTCTGTATCTCTCCAGACTGGGAAATAGTCACCTGCTCATTCTCAATCTTGATCCACCCATTCTCACATGCAACAGTCCACTCACTCGCCCGCAACGACGTACCCCCTGAAATCTGCAGGACGCCAGTCACACCTGATCGCGTCCTCAGGATCATGTCGGCGGTATCGACCGGTGGCAGATGGGGTTGGATTTGATTGGTAAAGGCCGAGAGAGTCGCAATCTCGTTTCCAGGCTGCGCACCGAGCAAGAGTCGTAGTCCCGCGGCATAATGAACACCGCCGTCTAAAAGGTAGCCTCCTTGGTGGGTGGGCGTTCGTCGCCAGGGTGTGACTAAACTCGGAGATGATTCGGAGATTAGTGGGCTTCAAACAGGCGGGTGGGGATGGTTGTTGACCCACGATTGAATTTCCAGTTCAGCGCCAGAAAGCCCTGCTGACGTCCCTGGAAACCTGTGATTCTACCCATTCCCTTGATTTTCTCAGCGGCGTAGGCGTAGCTGTTCAGATACCGCCAGTTCTCCGCAACGGCCCAGGTTGGTGATCCCCTAAGCTCGGTGCGATACCACTTGATTAGGTCGACTGCATCCTGGAGATTCTCGGCTATGGGCTTTTCCGAGAGGACATGTTTTCCAGCCAAGAGAGCTGCCTTTATATAGCGGGGCTGACTTTCAATGGACAACCTGTAATGGATGTCTGATTAGCTAGCAACTCTGTTGGGAACTGAAGTCATCGTTCATGGCTAACTTACGCGATGATGACAGCTCCGATATCCGGGCGCTGTAGAAGCTCATCGAATGCCTCATCTAGATCTTCAGAGTAGAGATCAACTGAGTAGGAAACACTGTCGGCTAGGGATCTGGCGGATGCTGCGGAGCGTGAGTAAACAGCTTTGAGGACCAGGGTCTCTTTGATAGCGTCAATGGCAGGCTAGCGTCTTGAAGTTAGTGGTCATCTGATGATTTTGACGAAACAGAAACTTATTTGCTCACGGCATGCTCCTCTTTGGCCCAGATCCCTGCGTTGCCGAGCGTCAGCGGGCTCTTCGAAATTCAATCAAGTTTGAAAGGGTGGTTCAAATGTTTGGATTGATCCCGAAATATGTTACCCACTTACCTCCCCCAATAAGAGCGACTCCAATCGGTGTTGATTCAGCCATAAATTTTGAATGCTTCTCTAGGCTCTTATTGAAACCCCTGTAAGTATGTGTTCAATTTAGTCCAGGGACTTTCGACAGCATTTGAGCAATAAATTGCCTTTACAAAGCCACTTGTCAGACATTTGCCCCGCAAACAAGAGCTTCTTTGGCTGCGGGGTAAATGCCGAAACTTTCCAAATTTGGAAGCTTCCAAGGTTGCTTCAAGGCCCTCTCGGGATCGTGGACCTTTACCTAGTCGGTTCCTCCGGTTCGGTGTGTACCAGTCAATGTAAAGGGATCTGGTGTGACGTTGAGCACTAGGGGAGTTCATGGTCACAGACACTTGCGCTCGGAGACCTCGGGACAGGGCCTCAAAACAAATAACATTGGCTGGGCGAGTAGGTATTGGAAAGTAGATGATCAGCCTGCTTCTTCAATGTTGGTAGTTTCTGTTGATGGCATATGCGTCTAGGTGAAGCAGTCCATTGGCTGGGCACTTGCCAGCCCGTTCAAACGTGAAAATTGCGGTATGAAATGACTAAAAAAATACAATAGAAATACAAACTTTAGAAGGTTCATGATTAAAAGTCTCCACTATGCCCTGCCTCAAACGCCATTAATGATCCAGGTGATGGATAGGTAAACAAGTCGCAATCTTCAATCGAAAATGAACTGCGGGGCTCAGCGACGACGACCAGTCCTCCGAGTCCCTGTATTTGTGGAAGGCTTTGCATCCTTTTGCCTAGTTCGAAAGGTTTGCGCCCTTGTACTTCTTGAGCCTTTCTCATCGTCGGGCCCGTCTTCTTCATCTCCACTTTCCTTTTCATCGCTGCCCTCTTCTCCCTCTTCTTCATCTTCTTCATTTCCCCCAGTGTCTTCCTCGTCGGATAAGATATCTTCATCGGAAGTTTTCTGACTGCCGTTATTGATTTCCACATGGAGTCTCGTCGATCGAGTTTCCCGAGCGGTTTGGCGAGTGCCACGGGTGGACTTGCGCCCTCGAGATGGGGCGGGAGAGGAGCGCGGTTCTACAGAGAACAATTGCAATTAGTCGTGAGACCACACATGGCGGATAAGCTGTTTATAAATACCATCGGTATCTGCCACTGTGCTCCCTCGTCGAGAGTCTGCATGGCGACTCATGACTGGAGATAAGGAGCCTTCTGTAGCCAGTCGCCTCTCGAACATAAGGTCGCCGTATTCGTCGTAGGGAAGCTCAAACGGGCAATATCGCTCAATTATTCCCTCTTCGTCTTCATTGGAGTCCACAATCGCCGAATCCTCCTAATGCGCGAGTCTGATTAGCAAGGGAAGTTTCACCAGGCTCAGACACATAACGTTGCTTACCCGTTCATTGAGAGCTTCCAGGTTGTAAAGAGTACCCAACTTCTTCCATATCCCTGGAATAGTCAAGTGCTCTCCATTGGCAGGTCCATATCCTTGGTTTTTGAGGAACTCTGATATGGCAACCATTCGAAAATGTTTGTGCACGCCTAGAGGAATGCGATCAAACGAATTAGCTCCATTGTCCTCGCATTGCGCGCCACGTCGTGTATAATACCCACCAACAGGTTTCCATTTTATAATTGCTTTCAAAAGTGCAGTCTCCTGCTCATCAGTCCATGGATCAGTGAGTAGGTCATAGTCCGCCTCAGACTTCTCGACGCTGTCGGTGGAACCGGGAGTGTCTGCGCTCGATTGCGCTGTCTCAGCTTGCGGGGTGGTGGAATGGGCGCGCTTGGCCTTCTTGCGTGGAGGCATTGCGGATTTCGGTAGCTCCAGAAAATCAAAAAAACAAAACAAAAGAGGAGAGACGAGGAAGTTCTTAGAGGGAACGAGTGCGAAGTCGAATGTACATGGACATCGAAGGTCTCTCTTTCTGTTATCGCGATGGTCCGTGCACGATAACCCAGTTGCGCGGGCGGACTTTAATCAATCGTGCCTCAACGCGTCGGAATCACTGCACATCTGTTTATGCCCTATGGGGGGCAATGATGGATTTCAGTGAACAGGAACACGATCCATTCTCCAGTGCGAGTCTATGGAGACTGTCGAGATTTACAGCAGAGGCTCTACAACCTTTGGACGAATTACCGTGGAACACGGGCTTGCCTGGTACGTCACGCCCAAACACCAAATGTTATGCTTAAGTGGTAGAAACTAACTATTGTTCCACGTATAGATTTTTCAGAATCAAGCTTTGCAGCCTCTCTCCCTTCAATCGACAAGATCGACTCGATATGGAAATTGGACTTCTCAAATGACATTGAACCCCCGCAATCATCCACCGACTCGAGCCTCGATGCTTCCATAGACACCCAATCCGACACATCAACAGATGGTGTACAAAATACGGACGAAAAAAACGACATATGGGCATTACATGCGCTCCAAGTCGAGCCGGGATTTATAGCCCCTCTCAAGTCATGGGAGAAATTCCAGGCCCAGTCATTTAAAGAACCCGTATCGGCCTATTTCAGCGAGTCGGGGACGAGGGGCTTTGATGCGGCACTGGCAGACCAACTTCGCATCAAAGGACAGGAAAATCCCGCCCGACCGGTTCGAGAAGATTTTTTTGTACAATCTCTGCTACGTCTAGGTCTCGGTTGGAGTTCCCCGCTTTTTCGCTACAATCATCGAACCAAACAATTCGACAAATACCTGTCAGATGTCCGTGTATCTGGAGTAAGCCAGCCAGTCACTGACTCTATCATTGCAGACGTGCTGCGATGTGGTACAAACATGCAATATGCTCGGACCTTTGCAGGAAATCTACATACCAAGTTGAAGGACCTGGCGTCCGTCTTTGCCTTGCGTGATGCCATTGCTGTTAGCCTATACCATCTGGAGCGCCAAATCATCGGCCATTCAGATAACGTTGTCTCCCTCTTACAAGCGACCATATTGTTCAATCGCTGCGGAGACCTGATCGAGGCCTTGGCAGATATTGTAAGGGCAGTCGAAAAGGCCAACTCAGATGCCCAGGTCATTTCTATCACAATGGATCATGCAGCGTTCTTTGCCCAGAAGTATGGCTGGATGGAAAATCTAGTGCAAGAAATTGTTGTTCGGGTGACTGAACCTTGGCTAGCATTCATTGAAGGCTGGATTGGGCTTCGACCCGAGGAATCATCACTGAACGAACTGATAATTAACGGCAAAACGTTCCTTGAAGTCGAGCGACACGATGATCCGACCAAGTTCAAGACTGGTCGCTCAAGGGTTGAATACTCGTATCGTCAAGAACATATGCCGTCATTTATACCTGTTGATCAGGCGCAGCTGATTTTCGAGAGCGGCAGAAGTCTGCGATTGCTTAAAAAGTCACACCCGCATCACCCTATTGCTCGGCATGACGTTCTTGCACGGTCCGGTCATCTTCATTTGCACTGTGCGACTACCTGGACAGAGATTGAACAAATTCAAAAAAAGGCGCAAGATTATGAAGCGAAGCTTCGCGCCGAGATATTGAGATACCATAGGGGAGAATTGACAGAGACAACATTCTTCGAGCCCTCTGCCCAGGACCTTGAGATTAACAATGATGAAATCGTGGGAAACACTTTTGAACTCTTCGACATTGACGACAAGAAGCATGTATCGGACGTTGCGATGAATCAAACAACGCTATCGAACGACAGGGTCAGTGACATGCTCCAGAAAGCCAGGGGCGAGCTTGGTTTCAGTGATGCAGGAACACGTTTTGGGCCTGAGTTGGCATCCGAGCTCTATCTATCATTTGCTCCAGTAATCGCAACTCAAGCACAACTCATTGACTTCTCATGTCTACATCATATGTTCAAAGAACATAAGGTGCGACATCATTTGAACCTGCAGTGGCGTTTTCAGCTGCTAGGAGATGGTTCGTTTACATCACGCCTCTCAAATTCGCTCTTTGACCCCGAGATGGATAGTGGAGAGCGCAAGGCTGGCAAAGTACGCGGTGGTGTTCATACCGGCTTGCGGCTAGGAAGTCGTGATACCTGGCCACCTGCAAGTTCCGAGCTACGCCTCGTACTTATCGGCATACTTGGGGATTGTTACTTTTCCGAAACAGATCCTGGACAGCCCCAGCGGGATAACGAGCTTCCTGGTGGACTGAACTTTGCAATTCGCGAATTATCTGGCGACGAGATTGACCGATGTAAAGACCCCAACACGATAGAAGCGCTTGACTTTCTTCGACTCCAATACAAAGCACCGGAGACCCTGGAGACGCTTATCACGCCGCGGTCGTTGGGAAAATACGATCGTCTCTTCAAGCACTTGCTCCGCCTACTTCGCATGGTATCTGTTGTTAAAGGGCTATTCCGCGACTCTACCTTTCGTGACGCAAGAAACATATTCCAAAAATTCAGGTTCGACGCTCAGCACTTCGTCCTCGCTGTCAGCGACTATTTTTTCCACGTCGGGATAGGGTCAATTTGGAGTCGCTTCCAAAGCACGCTTGATAAGATCGAGCGTTGCCTTGATCGCGGCGATATAGATGGCACCCTCGAGGCGGCCCATTCCGTGCCCCGTCTCCGCGATTTACACGAAGACATTCTTGACCAAATGTTGTTTGCCTTCTTCCTGAGTAAACGACATGCAGCAGCCGCCAAGTTGCTCGAAGATATTTTCAGTACAATCCTGGCCTTTGGTCTATTGTCCCGGGCTGGGGGAAATGAAGGCACTGTCCATCATTTGCATTCTACTTTCCGGAAACAGGTGTCTGCCTTGGTTGCATACTTGCGTGGCTTGGACACAGGGAAGGGCGCATCTAAATCTATGGCGAAGTCGGCAGGCTTTTTCGGTTCCCGTAACGAGCCAACTAGTGTATTTGAACATCTCCGAGTGCGGTTGGAGGTGAAAGATTATTATTGATACGGCTGAAGATGGCTTGAAATAAATTTCTTGCTCCTCCAGGCGATGCTTCAAAAATCCTTTAATTTATTGGGCATACAAGCGAAGTACCTAAAGCTTGTATAGAGATAACCGAGACAATCAAAGTAATGTCCGAAAATGACATATCAGAAGAAATGGAGATCTGACTCTGCCCAGCCTTGATCTAGGAGAATCTTGCGAGCAGACTTCTCCATCGCCTCTGGCCCACAAATGATGGCCATACTATCCTCTCCAGGCGCCGCGTACTCTTTGATCAACTCTTCAGAGATACGCCCCCGGCGACCGACCCATTTGTCTGACGCCTTCGACAAAGTATGCACGACGGTGCATTTGCGGCTGTCAACAGCCACATACGCATCAAGCTCAGCTCGACAAAGGATATCTTCTTCTAATCTGTTGCCATCGAGGACAACACACGTAGTAGGATCCTGATGATCCAGCATGACGGCACGCAGAACCTGGAAAATGGGAGTGAGACCAGTCCCACCGCAGATCATCTTGAATGAGCGGACCTTGCGCTCTTTACCGCTGATCGTGACCCGGCCGTTTCCAAGATACTCGAACCGACCTGTGGGTCCTTTGCAGTCTATCTCGGCTCCTACGACCAACGCATCGAGTGCCATGGTCATCTTGCCGCCGGGGATATTTCCAGTCGGGAAATAGATTTTGACTAACAATTCCATCTTTCCTTTCACGTTTGTGTCGGAGATGGGGGTGTAGGATCGAATGATTGCTTCCTTGTTGGTTGGGTCTGGGACTTTGATCATCAAGTGTTGGCCTATTGGTAGGCCTAGGGATTGTCCGTCGTGCTCTAGGTCAAAGACGAAAATTTTGGTGTCCCATGATACGTTCTTTACCTCAGAAAGCTTCATTTTTGCCCATGAGCGTGACTGGAGGAAGATTGAGCGTGGTTCAGCTGAAACTGCCGTCGAGTCGCTGTTGAGAGATTCGAGGGAGGCTTTATCCAGCGTTCCAATATGATATTCGGGCATCATTAACTTGGCCGTTTCGCTGTCTAATATGGGAGTTAGCAAGGCCAGCTTTTGCAAATAATATCTTCGGCTCCAAGCTGTACTCACGGATAGCAAGGAAGTCCTCTGAAACATCCAACCCGGCCGAAGAAGTGATACTGATTGCTCCACCCGGATGGCCCTCGAGAAACCCTGTCCCATCATATACCTCCCCACTCACAACGAACCAAGGCTTTTCAGCACTGCTATTTGCCTTGAGCTCTTGTAAATCAATAACACGACTCAATCCCTCTTTCTTCATATTGATTTCTTTCACGGGCTCCGGCTCAACGGGAACTTCTCCCTCGATTTTCTCGCCCCAATTTCCATTTGTCAAATCACCACCTGCTTTCTTGGCCTTTTCCATCCAACCTCCAGCCCTTGCAGGATGAGTTGGGTGCTCAAACTTGAGGCGTTTGCCTTCTTTTGTGATTGTGACTCGGAACCAGGGGTTGTTCATCATACCCAGGACGGACCAGTACATGTCTCGGGGTTGCACCATCATTCCATCGTCCATGGCCCTGACAAGCAGCGCATCGCTGCTCTCCAGGTCGGAGACCGGTATTTCAAGAGACCAAAATGACCAGCAGAAACAACTTTCCCGTTTCCACATGTCCACCTTTCCACCAAAAAGATCGCCCTCGAAATCTCTGTACTTGTCTTCGGCGTACTCAATGTTGGCAAGTCGCCATGCTAGAAAAAAGCAACCAAGTTAGCATCGAAGAACTCGATAAGGAAAACCAACCAAAATTATTCCACTGAGCCTACATTTGCCTTTGTCAAGAGAGATGTCAACTCTTGTTATTCTTCGACCACCTCCCGCGTAGGCGTACCCTTTCGCCGTATATGTCGACCCGGCAGTTGTCAAGTCCAGTACTTCCTCATGCTCGGGGAAGGCCGCCACGGAGTTGACATTGAGATCATAAATGGCATACCGCTCATCAGTCCACCATTTGGTGTCCTGGGCCGCCATCTCCGGCGAAACCATTGTCCTAATTTCTGTCAGGACTTCTGAATGGTATCCAAACGCTCGTGGACAAAAATAATTACTTACGGTAACACCCGGTTATCGTAGATGTGATACCAATTTTCACTGGGCGCCTCAGTCACAATGAGCTTCTTAAGCCACTTGACACTCCGCCCACCAATCTGTCCAGGCACCACTGCTCTTAAAGGTCTACCATGATCTGGGCGCAAGTCCTCGCCATTCATCTTATGAGCCAACATGATCCCTCTGTTGAAGTCCATAGCCAAGTTTAATTTGACGGATGTGCCATAATACCCATTTGGCTGCAGAGGCAAGTTAGTGATTCGGCCTTTGGTTACTTCCTAGCGCTTGATGTTCTTGGAAAAAATCGGCTTGAGACCTACTAGCTTATCGGCTCCTTCCATGCACACGTACTTGGCTTTTCGGAGCGGCTTTGCACTGCGTAGGATATCGGCCATCATGGGGCCGGTCCATAGTGCCGTTGAAAGTCCAGCCGGGCCCCATGAGAACCCTTTGGACTTTCGGACTGTATTTTGTTCTTTTCGTCTGTTTCCGGCACAGACGAGTGTGATTGGTGTGGTGATTTGATCGTATTTTTGAAGGATATCTCGAAAGCTTAGCGTTATTGGGGTTTCCACTAGGCTAAACTATCTGTTAGCTGCTTCCAAGCTTCTAATCTTCAATTGTTTTCATATTTTCATTTTTCTTCCAGATGTCTGCTTCGATCATAACCTTGGAAGTATATGGGACCTTACCCTTCTATGCTCAGTTCCCAGTTGGGTATATCTTCATCTCGGACTTGCGGTACAGGGCCATGATTTCGAACGTAGAATAGTTCCGGTGATGTGAGGAAGCCTGAATAACTTGGCATTAGTCATATATGCTCAATGATCTACCCGTGGACGGCACGTACCTTCTTTGTATAACGCGCTAAGTGGTGGCTCAACGTTGAATGGATGAATACCAGTTAATCGGATAAGTCGTGGATCACGGGGAACATGGCTATCGGGCGTGCCTTTATCCACTTCTAGAATCTCGGTCGGGTTGACTGATGGAGGAGGGAGAGGGATGTCATACTCCTTGGGAGTCGGTAGATCATGAAACCGGGCCCCCTTCGTCGTGAATGAATCGTCCTTTTTGACGAGTGTCTCTGTAAATGTCGCCATTGTAAGAGCGAGACCGGTCAATCTTTGAAGACGTTGACGATATAATTTTTTCTTGCTAAATCCCACTGCCCCGTTCTGCTTATCTAATAGATTTGTATAGAAAAAAGTGGGCTTTGAGATGAGAAAAAGAAATTAAACATGCATTGTTTCTTTTTTCCCCAGTAATATGATACTCTGGAGTAATAGCTGGGGAAGATAACTGTCTATGTAACGTTTCTTCATGTCCGTCATAGATACTCTCTATCTCCGCGGATTTCCCAAGGTTTCCGGTCAGGAAGTGGCGAGGTGATCGTCTTATTTCTTAGTCAGAGAGACAACACATCAGAGAATAAGTGGAATCAGTGGAATAGATCCTAGAAAATAATAAAGTAAAAAGAATAAAACATTTCACCCGATTCATCTTATCAAAGGGTTCAACGGTGGCCAATCATGTCGTGGCTATAATCGATTATCGTATCTCCGCGGAGTCCAATGCTTATCATGTCTGGACTCTGGGATGTGACTTTGTACTACATGTTGAATTCACTGCTTTTTTTTGTTTCTCTTTTAAAACTTAGCCATGGCCGTAATTTATGTATTTAAAATTTCAAACTTATCTCAATTCCATCTTGCACCACAAGTATGCCGGTGCTGGATGGGCTTCGATATGGCGAGCCAGTTGATGGCAGCCCGAGCTTGAATGATCGCCCGAGACAGAAGATCGTAATCGTTGGATTGGGAATGGTGGCTATTTCCTTGATGTATGAGAAAGATTGATTTTGAAAATGAACCGACAATCTAGAAACTAACATCATCAGTGAAAAAATCATTAAACAAGACACAGACCAACGCTATGATATCCTCGTTATCGGAGAGGAGGCCCATGTCGCCTATAATCGTGTTGGTTTGTCCTCGTTTTTCGAACATCGCAAGATTGAAGATTTGTACTTGAACCCCAAGGAATGGGTACGTCTCCTCTCCCATGGATAGTGCATTAAGTCAAGAATGTCTGGGTCTAACAATTTATTATAGTACGACTCCATCAAAGAGCGGACCTTTGACCATCACATCAATACCACAGTGACCTCAATAAGCCCAAGCAACAAAACTGTCCAGACGTCCACCGGTGAAACAATCACCTACGACATCCTTGTCCTCGCAACCGGCTCCGATGCAGTTCTCCCCACCCGTACTCCAGGCCACGATGCCAAGGGTGTCTTTGTCTACCGCACTATCTCCGATCTGGAACGGCTGATTGACTTTGCATCTCAACATAAAGGCGAGACAGCAGTAACCGTCGGAGGCGGACTGTTGGGTCTCGAAGCCGCCAAGGCGATGACCGATCTGCAAGATTTTGGCAACGTGAAATTGATCGACCGAAACAAATGGGTATTGGCTCGTCAGTTGGATGGTGATGCCGGGTCATTGGTCTCTCGTAAGATCCAGGAGCTGGGACTTGATGTGCTGCACCAGAAACGGGTCTCAGTCGTCAATACCGACTCTGACAATAATGTTACCGGAATCACATTTGAAGATGGTGAACACATTGATTGTTGCTGTATTTGCTTTGCGGTAAGTCAAGTCCCCTTAATTCTTTATCCTTTGTTTTTTCCATGGAAAGATGCTTATCATATATGGATGGTACAGATTGGCGTCAAGCCCAGGGACGAGCTAGGAGCGTCAGCTGGTATTCTGTCCGCGTCACGAGGAGGGTTTGTTATCAATGAGAGGTTTGTTTGTCATCCCCGCAAAAGCTGGATCTCTATCTAATTTATCTAGCCTCGGAACTTCAGTACCAGATATTTATGCCGTGGGAGAATGCGCCAGCTGGGAGAATCAGACCTTTGGAATCATCGCGCCTGGAATTGAGATGGCCGACGTACTAGCCTATAATCTCACTAATGTGGACAAGAAGCCTAAGAGCTTTACACGACCGGACTTGAGCACCAAGCTCAAGCTCCTAGGAGTCGATGTTGCCTCATTTGGCGATTTCTTCGCCGACAGAGATGGACCCAAGTTCCTCCCGGGTGATCGACCTCTCATTGGCAGCAATGCTGGTGATATACCTCCCGTCAAAGCCTTGACATATAAGGATCCATTTGGTGGAGTCTATAAAAAGTATCTGTTTACCATGGACGGTAAATACTTGCTTGGTGGCATGATGATCGGGGATACCCGGGATTATCTCAAGTTGAATCAGATGGTTAAAGCGCAAAAAGAGTTGGAAGTTGCTCCCAGCCAGTTCATTCTTGGAGCGCAGAATGAAGGCGAGGAAAATGCAGATGACCTGTTTGTACACCCGTGTCGGTACTTCTACAATATTCGTACTGACAGACTTCACAGTGACGATAGTACTCAGATTTGCGCCTGTCACAATGTGACCAAGGGCGACGTGGTCGAGAATATCAAGAGTGGAACTTGTACGACAATCGGTGAAGTGAAGTCTTGCACAAAAGCAGGAACCGGATGTGGCGGGTGCATGCCCTTGGTGCAATCCATATTCAACAAAACTATGCTTGAGATGGGACAGGAGGTGTCCAATCACCGTGAGTACAAAAAGATTCCGAATCGCAGAGAACATGCTAACTAACAAAAATATAGTCTGCTCGCATATTCCCTACTCTCGTGCTGATCTTTACAACGTGATTGCGGTCAAGCAACTCAAGACATTTGTGGAGGTTATGCAAACGGCAGGAAACAAGCCTGATTCCCTCGGCTGTGAGACCTGCAAGCCTGCCATCGGATCTATTTTGTCGAGTTTATTCAACCCACACGTAATGGATAAAGGTTATAACGAATTACAAGACACCAACGACAAGTTTCTGGCCAATATACAGAGAAACGGAACTTTTTCTGTGGTGCCTCGGGTACCCGGTGGAGAAATTACAGCTGAAAAGCTCATTGCTATCGGCACAGTTGCCAAGAAATACGGGCTCTACTGCAAGATTACAGGTGCACAACGTATTGACATGTTCGGTGCCAAGAAGCAGGATCTATTGCCTATTTGGACTGAGCTGGTTGACGCTGGGATGGAGAGTGGCCATGCCTATGCGAAGGCGCTGCGAGCTATCAAGGTCAGTTATTCACAATCACACATTCTGTAACACAATGTTAACCTTCTTAATTGCAGAGCTGTGTGGGCTCTACATGGTGCCGGTTCGGTATTGGTGACAGTGTCGGCCTCGCAATCCGATTAGAAGAGCGCTACAAGAGTGTTCGTGCTCCGCATAAATTCAAGGGAGCAGTATCCGGCTGTGTACGTGAATGTGCGGAGGCACAAAACAAGGAGTACGTTTTAATTGCCCAGTTTTCGTACCTTGGAGTCCAAAGCTGATGACAAATTTCTATTAGTTTTGGCCTCATCGCCACAGACAAAGGCTTCAACATTTTCGTTGGAGGCAATGGTGGTGCAAACCCCCGCCATTCCGAGCTACTAGTCAAAGACGTCCCATCAGAGATGGTCATGCCCATCGTGGACCGATACCTGATTTTCTACATCCGCACCGCCGACAAGCTCCAAAGAACAGCCCGGTGGATCGAAAACCTCCCCGGCGGCATCGACTACCTACGAGAAGTGATCATCGACGACAAGCTCGGCATCTGCGCCGACATGGAGCGTCAAATGCAGGAGCTTGTCGACAGCTATTTCTGCGAATGGACCGAGACAGTGCGCGACCCCAAGCGACGCAAGAAGTTCCAGCAATTCGCAAACACAGACGAGACCGTTGACACGGTGGAAGTCATCCAAGAGCGCTCACAACAGCGTCCTACATACTGGCCCAAAGAGTCCGTCACCGAGGATTTCAGGAATCATCAGTGGTCGGGTCTCTCGTGGCAACCTGTTGTCAAAGCCGATCACTTTTCCGACGAGCCGCCCCAGGTTTCTTCTGCAAATGTCAAGCGTGGAGATACGCAGCTGGCCGTTTTTAAAATCAAGGGGAAGTTCTACGCGACGCAGCAGATGTGTCCGCACAAGCGCGCGTTCGTGCTGTCGGATGGCCTGGTCGGTGATGATGATGCGGGGAAGTACTGGGTTTCATGCCCGTATCATAAACGCAATTTCGATTTGAATGGTGAGCAGGCAGGCCGGTGCTCGAGTGATGAGAGTATGAACATTGCTACTTTCCCCGTGGAAGAGAGAGATGACGGATGGATCTATATTAAATTACCGCCGGTTGAGGAGTTGGATTCGGTTCTTGGGACGGAGAAATGGAAGGTCAGGAAGGGAGAAGCGCCTGATCCATTCCAGAAGATGGATAAAAATTATAAGGGGATGAGAGGGAAGAAGGTGGCCCATGGCGATGTAAGCCGGCCAACGGTCAAGCCAGCTCAAGGGATCGACTGGTGATTTTTTTGCATGAGGAGCTCGGACATTTCAAGCGCTGGTGTTATGGTGAAGATTCCAATGTTACCTGTTAGTCTTTTTACCCATTGGCGCAGAATGTACAATGCATTACTTGTTATCCATATAAACCATCATGTAGAATATTCGAAGATATTCTATCTCTAAACAAGTACATGTATGTATGACTCAAGCGCTATTCTGAGTGCGACCTATCAAGTCCAACAATTTACGCCACAAACGGTGCCTCGACTCGGACAATAATGTGTAGCCTGTAGGTACATGCAAAGCGGGCGTTGGTTCAGAAAGCAATGTACAGGTAAATTGAACTCCGAACTCCGTCATGACGACCAAGGCTTCATTTTCATTTTCATTCTCATTCATCTGAGTGTACTCCATGTTCTTTCTGCGCGTAATATTTACAACGAGAAAATCAACAGCGACACTCGTTACAACAAACTTAATGTAAGAGCTTGCGCTGTCGGGAGGTAACACGCAAAGCTAATTTTTTCTATCTTTCCAGATCCACCATGTCCCGCCAGCCAACGCCTACAGACCTCAGACACCACCTCTCAAAGCTAGTCACTTTGAAAAACGCCCAAGCCGCTATGCCCGCCGCAATGCGGAACCTGCCTGTGATGGCCATAGTAGCAGGTGGGATTATCGCGAAAGTGACGAATGGCGACAATGTCATTGAACGCCATTTGCTAGGCAAGCCATCTGTCGAAAAGGAGTTTATCGCCTTGCCCGAACCTACTACAAAAGATTCATGGGGCCAGCCGGCTACTGGGCTAGGGGGAGAACACGGCCAGGTGGCAAGCAACTCCTCTCATAAAAAGTAACCACTCTATTGTCCAGTCTTGGAAGGAATACTGGTCACAGCCCTAGGCAAATCTCCATTCTGGTACTGCAATTCATATACCACAGATGTACTATATCATGATTTATGCACAGACCTTCATGCCTACTAGTAGTAGTCTGTTTATTCTGGATCCAAGTGAGACACGACCATGTCGCAGAATCCGCGGAGATGAGCAGGGCCAGCTAGAAAGTCAAGAAGATCTAGATTGACATCTTGAACTCGTATATCCGAACTGACCGAGGGGGATTATGGGCAGTGTTCAAAGTTATGACCCGGAAGCAAATTCTAAAGGAAAATGCAATCGAGATCTGCTCTTAAAGTATTTCCGCGGAGCTCAGACCGATCCTCCAAGACCCACCAATGATTCACTGCCGGGTTCCTATCGTGACGTCCAATGAGAAGCGATACATTTATCAATGACCCTGGATGCGGGAGTTCCCAGAGTGGAACGAACCTTGGCATTTGCAGCCCCAGATTATGATTATACGGGGCATAGTTAGGGATTTCTTGATGACAATGGGTCCCGCGGAGTTGCTTCTTCCTATCATTGATTCAATTGTTCAATGCTTATTGTACAGTCCACTTTTCATGCCTTATCGGCACCTCTTTTTTCTTATCGCGTACATTCTTGGTACATGAACCTTACTTGAAGTTACGGGAAATATGGGCCACGACAAGCAATGTGTTTTCTTTTCTTTTTTTTTAACCAATTCACTAGTAAGTCTAGTATGGTCTAAGATGCCTTTGATACGGGGGATATCACTGATACGGTACATTTACAGTTCAAAAATACCAAGAAAAGAAATTTCCGTCAAATGAGATTCCTGTGATAACCCCCTGTGCTGGTGCTTTTGCTTGACTAATCTGCTATTTCACCCGATAACTATCCACTTGAGCTCCGATTATATTACGCGCCTGTCGATGCAGCACCGTCGCATTCACTTTGCTCCAAGGTTCTCTCCAAGATTGTCCATCTACCACATATATAGCAAATAGATGTCCTCTTCTGTACAAGTGCCGACCTTGGCTGAAGACATCAAGACACCAAGACCTAAACAAATTACATCTACTACTTTCCCAAAATTCCCATGATAGAAGTCGATTATTTACAAGGGAGCACCTAAGCACAACTCGATTGGGCCCCACAGATACCAAATCCATTTATCTCACGGTGTCGCCTACCCTATTCAAGACTCTCATTTCCAAGCAACCAGCCTATCACTCTAGTCGGCTATCGATATAATACTACTTGCCCGCAATGGCCACTACATTCTTCAAACTCCTCGTTTCTTCGCCCGAAATCGATTCTTCTACCCGCAAAGCCAAGTCCATCCCGGTGCTCAACCCATTCAACCAATATGGACGAGTATTCTTTTTCTCATGGCTGGGCTTCATGGTCGCATTCCTGTCCTGGTATGCCTTTCCGCCATTGGTAAGTCATGAAAATGCATCCAAATCTCCCAAATACGGCGAATCCAACGAACCAAAGCTAACATTTCTCCTCGCCAATCTTTAGTTGACCGTGACAATCAAAAAAGACCTGCATATGACCCAGACACAGGTGTCAAACTCAAACATTGTTGCACTGCTCGCAACGTGAGATTCCCAAAATCCAACCCCCCAGGTGCCCCCACCTGGGCATAAGAGTTTTCATCTTGCTAACAGAACCCACAGACTTCTTGTGCGGGTAATTGCTGGTCCACTTTGCGACCGATTTGGTCCACGCTTAGTTTTCGTCGGACTATTACTGGCTGGAGCCATTCCAACAGCTATGGCTGGCCTGGTTACCACTCCGAACGGTCTAATTGCTTTGCGGTTCTTTGTCGGCATCCTCGGCGGCACATTCGTTCCTTGCCAGGTATGGTGTACGGGATTCTTCGATAAGACCATTGTCGGAACGGCCAATTCTCTAGCTGGAGGGTGGGGCAATGCCGGTGGAGGAATTTCCTAGTAAGTGTCCTATGTTTTGAAGCAGGTAGACATTGATAACATACTTGCGTCCGTACCTACCAGTGCATATTGAAGTGTCTAACAAAAATCCCTCTAGTTTCCTCATGCCAGCCATCTACGACTCCCTGGTCACCTCCCAAGGTCTCACGGCCCACAAAGCCTGGCGCATCGCCTACATCGTCCCTTTTATAATCATCACAGCCGTCGCTCTGGGTATGCTATTCCTGTGCGAAGATACCCCAACCGGCAAATGGTCAGAACGCCACCTCTGGGCTAAGGAAATGGGCTCAAACATCCACGTCACAAATGGGGAGCCCCTTGACCTAAGCTCCGGAAGTCCCTCAGCCAATCCCTCTGGTCCCCCCTCAATCTATAACAGCAAAATAACCGCCGACGTGGAAAAGAAAGGCGGCGCAGAATCCCCGTCGCAAATATCCGACAAAGAAGCTCCAGCAAGGGGACAAATGTCCACTCTCAGTAGTGACATCATTATCGCGCCCTCGCGCAGAGAAGCTCTGAGCGTCGCGTTCAGTCCCTCGACGATGGCCGTCGCCGTCCCGTACGCATGCTCATTCGGCGCCGAGTTAGCTCTAGACGGATTCCTGGGTACGTACTACGCTGCGAATTTCCCGAAAATGGGACAGACGGAGTCGGGCCGGTGGGCGGCTATGTTTGGGCTGTTGAATATCGTCTTTCGTCCCGCGGGCGGTTATATGGCGGATATGGTATTCCGAGCTACGGGAAGCATTTGGTCGAAGAAGCTTCTGTTGACGTTTTTGGGTGTCATTATGGGGGCTTTCTTGTTGGCTATTGGGTTGACGGACCCGACTCATGAGGCTACTATGTTTGGTCTTGTTGCTGGTATGGCTTTCTTTTTGGAGGCGGCTAATGGGGCGAACTTTGGTCTTGTTCCTCATGTGCATCCTTATGCTAACGGTAAGTTTATTCTCTTCCTTCGCCTCCTCTCTTTTTTGATGGGTTGGTACTAATATGTCTGGATTCAGGAATCGTATCCGGCCTCGTTGGCGGGTTTGGAAACCTTGGTGGAATTATATTCGCGATTATATTCAGATACAATGAATCGCACTATGGTCGGTCCATCTGGATTATGGGCGTGATCTCGTTGGTGGGAAATGTGGCGGTTAGCTGGATTCGTCCGATTCCCAAGACTGCAGTGATTCAATAACGATATTAGTTGATGATGGTTATTTTTAATGAATCAATTTGAAGTTCGATCGAGCTATGTCATTGTTCAACGTGAATTTAGACTTTTAGTCTCGGCATCGCCAAGCAACCGGCATCGGCACGGGTAACGGGCTTCGGGTTAGTGCCCCCCGAACGTGGGTTAACGATGCGGCGAAGGCGGGGCATGTCAACGAGATTGGAACGCCTCCTTTTCTTAATCCTTACCTATCTTCTTGAACTTTGCCTTTAACCTTTGCTATCAAACCATCAATATGGCTCCAATTCGCCGTATTGCCCAGATTGTTCACCTCAAGCCTTCGGCCGTGGCAGCGTATAAAGAATGCCACGCGAACGTCTGGCCGGAGGTTCTGCAGCAGATCAAGGACTGCAATATCCAGGACTGTGGGTTTTGTCCTCCGCCCAAATATGAATTTCGATTGCTGATTAGCTCAATTGTTTGGCTTCAGATTCAATCTTTTTTGATAATGACCGCACCCTCTTTGCGACTTTCAAGTACGTCGGAACTGACTATGAGGGCGATATGGAGCTCATGCGAGCCAACCCGAAGGTGCGGGAGTGGTGGGCTATGACAGATGGAATGCAGGTAGGATCAAATCCCAAGGTACCGTGTCATATTATCCTGGGTTTAAAGACTAATACACTTGGCCTTTTCCCCAGGAGAGCCCCATTCCTGGTGCCGTTGGTAGTGCCGATGGGCCAGGATGGTGGAAGGTATTGGACGAAGTCTTCTATAACGAGTAAACTTGGCCATCCAATCATGTATATAACTTATTATGAAATATAGTATCAAGCTGATATGGATATCCGATGTTTAACGCTTGAAAAATTGGTCGATTCTCTTCTGGCGGGAATCATGTACGGCACTGCCAATTCCTCCACGAGTCCGGTGTAGACCCGCGAGATGCTCTTTACTATCAACCGCCATGATTTTCATAGCCCAGCCATTCAGGAGCGTATCAGTGCCCCGATCAGAATTACTCTGTTCTTTTGGGGCCGGGATTGGCTGAATTGATAATGTCATGAATCCTGTATTCGACCAACTGGGTGAGAAGAGAGCCGCTGGGCCATTGTCTCGGGAAGGATCGCCAGTCGCCAAAGATATATCCATTGGGTCGAAGAGTTCGACAAGTCGATTCCACAAGACTCGTAGAAAAACACCATGGGAAACGATGGCGACGTTGGCACCGGTCTCTGAATAGTCGAATAGTAAGGGTAACAAGTGCTCGTTCAGAAACGAGGTTGCTCGTTGTCTCATTGAGATCACGGTCTCTCTCTCTTTATATGTTGGATTCAGGCGATTGTCGGGCTGGGGATTCTGGGAGGGCGGGGCATTTCCCCGTTCAGGTCTAGTAGATGTAGACTGTATGCGTATACCTTCCAAGGAACCAAAGTCTCTTTCTCGCAAGTCCGATGTTAATATGGCTGCCAGTGGTCTGTCATGGTCTTGTGGCTGGCGAAGGCAAATGCCTGCAGCTGTGAGGTGGGCCCGGCTGAGATCCGATGCAAAGACTTGACCAAAGTGTATCGCGTTGGATGCGAAATGCTTCGCAAGAGATTCTATCTGGAGTGTGCCGTGGTTTGTGAGGGCCGAGTCAGTGGTGCCCGCCCTGTGGCCTGTCAGCAATTTGCAGCGAATACTGATCCTAAGATATTGGTTCTCACCATGCCTGGGCTACATTGTGCACTGTTTCTGCATGTCGGATGAGAAAAAGCTTCATGTTTTGGGAATCCTCCATCGCATCAAGACGGACTGGCTACTGTACATTTGATCAACTAATAGATTTCGCCACTTCTCACGTGACATATCCAAAAAAAATCTCACATCTGAATAGTTGACGATTTCTAATGACAGCCTTGTATGCACATGTGGATGACATCTGGAGTGAGCGAGATCATCGATCATACCCAGGTGGAAAACCCAATTGTTACTCTACTGGTCCCCATCTACGAAGTATATCCAGACCAATACCAAAGAAAGGAAGTGGGTGAGGGAACGATGAGATTGCATGGACATTGGAGCAGTTAGAACTGTGAACGAAATTGCCTTGAATGAAACACCGAACTAATTGCTCCGAAGATATCCCCCTAAAAAGTAACAAAAGTGGTATCCATGACCCATCAACATCACATCAGAAAATAAACGCCGAGTGGCCGAAGCCAGTCCCCTCATTGAATTGTGGTGGAACTTTTTAAGAATTTTGAGCGAACCGAAGAACTTGTCAGGAACAGTCGACATGTCGCTTATGCGGAAAGAGCACGGATCTTCTCCTGGACGCGGACCTTCTTCTGCTCGCGAGTGAGACGGACGACCTTGTACTTCTTGGACTCGGCCTTCCACTCCTCCTTGGTCTTCTTGGGCTCGGCATCCTCATCCTTCTTGAAGGGGTCCTCACGGATGGCGGCGTGAGCCTCAGTGTAGAGCTCCTCAAGGTCACCGGCATCAACCTCATCCTCGATGTACTTGGTGAACTGGGACTTGTAACGCTCCTCATCCTCATCGGCGAGGGTCTCCATGTACTCGGAGACGTGACCAGCCATGATGTAGTTGCGGAGGAGGTCAGCATCGAGCTCCTCGGTCTCGATGTCGTAACCGGGGAAACGGCGGTCGGAGTGGGGGATGAAGACACCACCGTCGGAGGCACCCTTCATGGCAGCGAAGACACGGTTACCGGTGGAGGTGCGGACAAGACCAACATCGAGGAAGGCCTTGAAGGGACGGCGCTCGCCATCCTCGGTCTCAACGGCCTCGACGAGAGAGTGCTCACCGGTGGCCTCATCGACACCCTTGAACTGCTCAGCGAGTCCGAGCTTGGTAAGAGCACGGCGGGCGAGGAGCAGACCAGTGGCGTAGGCAGCGGCGTAGTTGGTAAGACCCTGGTTGACACCGTAGGCCTTGAGCTCGTGGGCGTAAGCAGCGCACAGAACCTTGTCACCGGAGATCTCAGAGTAGACGATCTGAGTGATGATGTCGCGGTTGGTGAAGCGAACAACCATGCGGTACTTGGGGGCGTTGTACTTGTTCTTGGCCTGGGTGATCAGGCGCTTGCGAGCATAGTAGTCGGTCTTACCCTCGCGACGACGGCGGTACTTAGTCTGGAAGCGACTGGAGGGGTAAAAAAATCAGCACATAGTCAAACAATTGCGCATGCGACAAAAAAAAAACCTTTCGAATTCTTGTCGATGACAGGGGGAGTATAAAGACTTACCTGAAGTAGGCGTTGCTCTTGACTTGCTTGGAGAAAGGCTACAAGAAAAATCCGCGAGTCAGCAATTAGCGCTTCAGAATTTCGTCCGAAGCATCTTGCAAAGACCCTACTCCGGTCGAAACGGAGGGAAAGATAATATGGCAGAATGGTGTATTTCAACCATTTGCTGAGGCAAAAACACTCACCATGTTGACGGTTGCCGGTGCTGAAGCCTGTGGTCGACGGTTGGAGAGAAAAAAGAAAAAGTTGAAAGTGCGGCGATTCTTTGTGGGGGATTTCGCTTAGCGTGGGCTGCATCCCGCAACCCAAAAATGCGGTTGGCGACGACCGTCGACGACCACAACAAAAGTTCCGGCTTAAGGACCATTGCACTTTTGGCTTCAACCATTCAAACCAATAGAAAAAGATAGGGGAAAAAGGAAGCGGTCATCCAGGATATCTATTCTTTCTCTTAAATTGGTCTGGGATGCGCTCAGAAAATACTATAGATTTTGTTCTAAAAACACATTCCCCGCAGATAGTTGGGTCTCTATAGTCGAGCTTTATCACCCTCAAGCAATGCGAGTCCAGTAATCTTCTCCAATTCCTTCACTGCATCTTCAATCTTTCCCAGTGTGACTTTGACCGTGCGCATACCGGCGTTCTTTGCCGCCTTACAATTTTCGCCAATGTCGTCAAAGAAAACAATATCCGATGCCTGTACTGCAGGAAGCCCACGCTTCTGCGCCAACGCATTCATCTCTTGAGTGGCAACCTCGTAGATTCGGGGATCCGGTTTGCGAAGCCCTGTATGCGCAGACGAGATAAAAAAGTCGAACTGGGACCTCACTCCGGACACATCGTTATTGTATGGGTGGCCCTCGGGGAACTTGACGGTATTCGACAGAGCACCCATAAGGAATTTACCGGACTCGCGCAACTTTTGCAGTGCTGGAAACATGTATGGGTCAGGCGTGCGAGATATCCTCATCATCTCCCAGAACAGCCACTCGGCATCCACGGTCGGGAGCGGTGGGATTGTGGCGGGGCCATTTGCGCCTTTCTTCTTATGCAGGCCTTCGTGGAATTCCTTCCACAGAGTTGGATTGCGTAAATCCTGGTTGAAGCCGGCAAAGAAGTTGGCATCCATGGGGATATCGCCACGTTCTAACTGGTGCCAGCTGCCGTTAGGCTTGGTACGCGATATGCTGAAATTCACCCATCCCGGAGGGATATTTTGTGATAGTTCATAATCGAGAATTGCCTGGAATGGAGAAACGACCTGGAGAAATATTAGCGGTGATATTTCATGCGATGTGGTTCCAAGGTTGAGGCTAAGTTTCTGGACTTACACACACTCCACCGATGTCAAAAAGAAGACACACAGGGCGCTGGGTCACGGCCATCTTGAATATAAAGCCCGGATTGAACACAGTGTTATCCTACAGCTCAATATAGAAGAATCTATCAGCAGAGGGGTCGGCGAGGGTATACAGTGGTGATATTTGCGGAGAAGTAGTGACCCAATGCGGTCTTGGTCATTGCCGAGGCACAGACATGCGTTTTGGGGCCGAGGGCCTGTACATACTTCAACCACCACTGAATGTCTGAATGTTTGAGTCCCGCCTCGTTATATGTCAACAAGAACCTTGGTAACTTGAAAGTGGGTGTATTAATAGCTTCAAAGTTCCTTCAAAGTTCCTTCATTACTGTTGATTTAATTTATTAACGACTTCAGATGAGGATGAGATCGCTACCAGTACTTATTACTAATATCAGGAGAGGGGAGCAAAGAAGTCTAAAATTCAAAGTTGTACCACCCTAGTAAAATTGTGCTTTCAAAGCTCAAGGCCCAGAGCTAAAATTAACTACTTTAATCGGATAAATCTGCATATTCATAAACATAATCCTATATGGAAATGTCCAAATATTCATAATGGAGGTAAAATGGTAATTTGATGGCGGGGGTACACGTGATGTTATCGATAAGGGACGCGTTAAATGATATGATTATGGATGCAAGTCGCAATCTTACTCCAGATCTGATCTCCCGCGATGAAGCGATGGATTCCACGCGGACAATTTCTGAATTGAAATCTGCATTCATCTGGAGCCAGGTTCGCATTCTTTCTGAGAATCTCCAGCCACCAGAAGATTGGAGAAACTATGCAGTTGAGACTGAGGAGGATGTTCTACCGGATAGGGTGATTGAAGATGTATTGCATAAAGGTGATTTTCTGTCCATTATGCTACGATTCTTGGAATCACATCGTCACTTACTATTCTATTGATGTACTAATGGTTTTTTGTTGGATAGTGAACGCTGCAGCAAAACAACACAATCGCGTCGTTTACTCCTCCCAAGCGATCCATCATGTCGCGCACCAGATTGCCAGTCTCTACTGGGCCTCTGTTAGCCAGGACATAGAAAATCAAGCTGTGCTCAGAAAAGGTGTGGACAAGACAGTTGATCTTTCTAAACACATGTAACTTTCCTTCCCGCTTTACCAACATCTGTTCAAGAGTGTACTGACCGGACCTGAAGGAATATCCTCGGCCTGCCATTGGATCTGGAATCACAAGGTGCCAATGAGGAACAAAATGAGAGGTCAGTCTCCACATATACATCTGAGTTTCCACCGATTGAAGTTCCACCTGCCTAATTCCCGGCGTACAGATACCAGCGCATGCGGAAGCGACTAGTCAGTCTAGATCAGCAGCGCCAACAGAGACAGCGTCGAATCGATCAACTGCAGCATCTACGCTGCTTGCTGGAACCATTTCAGGAGCCTCAGGTGGACATCCAACCGAACCTGGTCACTCGCGATGGAGAATTGTCCCAGGAATTAGAGAGGATGCGTATGCTCATGGCGCGAGTGAGCGGCAGGATTTCCCAACAAAAACCCAAGCACATTCAAGAAGGTAGCGAGGAATATCTTCTCCCGGGGTCAGATCAACGGCTAGAAGCTTTAATGGACACGGAGGCATGACTTGAGGACATAAATTCTCCATGAAACGTTTTTCTCACTATCCCTTGCATTCCCAAGAACCCTGGTCCATGCGGTATTTTGATTTGCACCTGGCACTGCATTGTCTGTAAAATGCTATGTACTACTTGGATTGCCTGCCCTCATAGTAGATACTGGCTGTAGCTACTAGGGTGGCACAAATCCATTTCCTATAAGACTGAGCTAGTGTAATGAGATTCTAATTAAGCGGGGAAGGTGCTCAAGTGCTTTCACCATTACAACTGCAGGAGCTAAGTTGTCCATGGATTTGTAGCAGGTGCAAGTGAAGAGAGAAAGTTCGGCCGGTTCCTTGAAATCTTCTGCCCGTCATTGACTTCCATTCCACCCACCTCCGTTTCGTGATTTGCGTGGAAATGTCTCGCCAACACAGCTGCGAAGAATAAATCTTCAAATTATGACCAAAGCATCCACTGATACTTTTCCAAACGAAATTCGGAAAATTCTCACGCATCCGATGGGTACAATGAACAGAATGAAGAGCCTGGTCGGGTTGAACGGGCGGGCGACTAACCCGATTGGGAATGGTTCGGCCAACCACATCGATTACATCCACGACAGCCGCGCTGCACTCGAATTCGAGCAAGACGCGATTGAAGACCAACCCACCCAACTTAACGACTGCGCCGCCATCATCGAGGGCGACACTACTCCCTCCCCTTCCAAGGGACCTTCAGCACGTGGGCATCGCCGCCGTTCTACCCACGTCACTCGCCGTGACCTTGAGAAGTTTCAGAAGGAGGTCCTGGGCGTCGAAAACCACGCTTCCTTTTACGACGAGGAGAACGGCACCGCACAACCTATCGATCCCAACGATCCCGAGCTTGCAGAATTGAACCGTGCCTTTGACGCTTCCTTAATGTCGATGAATAGCGGTACAGGAATGGCCGGCAATCCGCCGGCTGGCATGTTCTCCGGTTACGTGGACAACTCTGCCGGAACCCCTAACATGGGCAACATCCCTCGACAATCCATCTCACCCGCACCCCTACACCCCGCAGCCCAAGTCAACGGAGGCGGCATGGCAGTGATGAATGGAAACGGTCCTATGAATGCGGGTCACCAGATGGATCTGCACCATCTCTACGATATGGTTCTGGAGCTGAGCGATGTTCTGAAGAATAACCGGGAGGTAACAAAGAACATCGTATCAAGTGCGGAAGAAATTATGGTATGTTGGGAATTTCAAATCTATGTGAAATTGGGGAGACCAAGCTAACAAGATTGAATAGAAGCATGGCTCCTCTGAAGGTGCTAGTGCAGTGATACAACAGCTTAATGGTGACATGGCAGGTACGTGTTGGAAAGATCATTCACTTCATCCCTTTGGTATTCGCCCGCTCTTAATCTCGATCAATGAACTAATGACGCGTCAAGCTGCCCGAATCGCCGAACTCGAACGCGCCCTCGTCAAAGAGAAACGACAGGTTGAAGATCTTAAGCGTGAACAAGTGGAAAACACCAAACTCATCGGGGACTACGAAGCCGGCGTTGGCACAATGGTGGAGCAGATTCGCAACTATTGTCAAAACAACAATATGCATTTCCTACACCAGAAGAGTCACTACAACAATCTCCTGCAGCTTGAGCGGGATTCCCATCTGGAGAGTCGACTGGATCGCGATTATTGGCATGCCCAAACGATGCGATGTGCAGAGATGATCCGGAAAGCCCACCAGTTACGATCGGAAGAGGACAAGTTACCCATACGGGTCATCGCGGGGCTCCAGAACGAGGTTCGCGCATACCGCCATGCACTTGGAATGGAGCCCGAGAAGCCCGAAGAGGAGTACGGGTGGGAGATCCTAAAGGATCTCTCTGTGGAATAAAAGGGAGCGGAATTGGGATGGATTCACGTCGTGATGACCTTTCTGTTTTGCTTTTTTTTTTCTCTCTACTTCTCCTTTTCTTTTGCATAGAGACTGGCGGGCGCATTTGTCTTTTTTTTGCTTTCTTAAGGTTATGTTCTTTCCCCTGGTTTATTTTTAGTGTCTTCAACCAAGGACATTCGGCGTTTTCTTATTACATAGGGGAGGGGCTGTATATGCCACATTGTTACCCAATACCCATTGTTTCTGCAAATCATTACATATTATTATTGTGTGGCGCTTCTTTAGAAATGATCGGTGTGTATTCAACTATGGGTCTACTCAGCCGTACCTAGGCCGGAATTGATGATGCGAAGACCAAATTTGTGGGTTCTTGGCGTCAAGGGGGTCATTTAGGTCCCTTGGGGACAATTGCCCTCTAACAATTGGCTCTGGTGCCCCATTGCAGTCCCGATCTTCGGCATTTCCCCACCTTTTCGCCTCTTTATCCACTTTATTTGGGACAAAGTTGTATTGATAACAGTGTTCGCCGGTCACGGAGGCCCTAGGTTGTATGCACCTTAGTATCCTCAACAAAGACTAGTAAATTTTAGTTTTTTAGGCTTTTCATTTTTTTGCAAATTTTCCAGCTTTTCATCTGGTATGTTACCTCACGTGCTATCGATTGCAAAAGTGGATACATGTTGTTTCTACTTGTAGTTTACTGTAGTTCACTGCTGAAGTGGACCACTACGGGGGAAAACCCGATTATGTCACCTTAGATCGTTGCTTCACCACATCCGGTCGCTTCCAATAACTTCATTTTCTTCTCTTCCCGTCGCTTACTTTCTCATTACTTTCTCACCTATCATTTCCCACCATGTTGTCCCTCAATCAGCGCATATTGGTGAACTCCGTGCCCCGTTACCTGTAGTGGCATACACATACGTGACATACCTAACACCAACTCGCCATCCCGGCTCCTCCACCTCGGCTATATACCTGCCGGATTCCTCTACCGCTTCGACCTGATCGTCCGTGACAGGGTTCATATTGGACATTGTTGTGGCATTGTCAGTCGTGAAAGGAACTTGAAAGTGGGGGGATCAGCCAACTATGCGTCATTCGAAATAAGGCATACCCCCCATCATTCGACCATAATCCCGCGCCACACTTTTTGGCCACTCTCGAGACGCAGGGTCCCAACCCCCAGGAACCTTCAACACTGGAAGTGATTTTTTTTGAGAACTATAAAAAAAGACAAATATGGACGGTGTTCAAAGTGTGGATGTGAGCTGGCTTCATCATTCGCAGAAAGGTGAGTTCCACTTTAGTAATGCGGCTGATCCGGGGTCACCCAATCTGGGGCAAAAAAGAAAAGAATGAGAGAAGAAAGAGGAGGAGCCGGAAGACCAACATGTTTTCGAGCGTGAGGCTAACTTGGTGAGCTTTGTTTACAGATCATCTTTCACGCACGAAATCCGTATCTTCAGGGGTCAGCGACAAATCGAGCGCCGAGAAGGACTCCGTAACGAACGCATCAAAACCTCACCGGCGATCCCGATCGAATAGTAGCCCGGCTCGTCCACCCTCATCAAGCGGCACAACTCCAAAACGCGAGTCGCCAGATCAAGTGATCCAGGAAGGAAAGTCCGCACCGGAACCAGAAATTGCTGTTGAGCAAAGACCATCCACTACCTCCCCGGCGACACAGAAAACAGCGCCCAAGGCAGTTACTGGGCGCAGGAATTCATGGATATCCAGTTTGAGCTCCAAGTTCTCCTCCGGATCTACACCACCCTCGCAGTCTAGTCTGAAGGGAAGCCCGGCGAGCCCCAAAGCCACTGGACCTCTTGATAACCATAATCCATTCGGTGCCGCTTTCTCTCCGAAAGATAAAGAAGAAGAAAAGAAGGATGATCCAAACCCGTTCACCTCCTCGTCGCCCAAGGGTCCCTCTTTCATCCATAGTGCACTCCGCAAGTTTTCGTCCAACTCAGGTGGATTGCCTAAGCTTCCGCCAAATGCCGCAACATGTCCTCGTCGAGTGATGAACCTTGACCAGGGCCGTGACCGGTGTAAGATTGCGGATCTCAACCAAGCTAAGCTAAACAGAGTCGCATTCTGCGTGGACGTTGAAATTGCCGGCGTGTCACATCGGGATTCGGACGAAGACGCTCCTCCGACAAATCAACTGCGACAGCCTTTGCCAGAGTCGAATCGACAAAAGGCAAAGAAAGCCGAAGTCAATCAGGATACCAAGGCAGAGGATAAGGAAAAAGGCAAAGAGGAGGCCGAGGCCCTGAAGCACCCGCAAACTGCGGTGACTGATAAAGAGGCACCAACAGCTCCAGCGGCTGCCTCTTCTTCGTCGCCCACTCAAACCAATGTCCCCTCGGAATCTCAAATATCCGCTACTGAACCCGTCGTTCCTACACCTACCGCCGACGGTGAACCAAATGGCGAAAAGAAAGATCCGACTCGCAAGCAAGAAAAGAAAAAACGGTCTGAAGAGGAACGAAAGGAGCGCAAAGAGCGTAAACGCAGACAAGCTGTAGCGAATGGTTCAATCCCACTCCAAATTGATGCAGAACATGACGACGAGGAGGATTGTCGTTCGTCAAAGTCTAGTGCCCTACGTTCTAAAACACAGAGCCATCCTACCACAGACCCCGCGCGCATCTATCGCCGTTGCTGTCAGCTGAGAGACTCCTGTTCTCAAGCGGGTGATTGATGAAATATCATCCCCGTCATCAACTCTAGCAGAATCACCGGGCACGGTTGCCGCTTTGGATCTCAGTAACTTCCCAATGACACCTCAGGATATTGTGACTCTGAGTGATTGGCTTGCCGTGGTGCCTGTTCGTAAACTTCTACTACAAAACTGTGCATTGAACGACGCTTCCGTACGGTCGATCCTTGCTGCATTACTCTCGACAAAGACGGTGGAGCAGATGCGCTATCGGCGAAAGCGAAATCGCAGATGTGAATCCCCCACTATCAAGTATGAACGGTGGGGTGTTGTGGAGAAGCTATCCCTCAAAGACAACCCCAAAATTGGACGGGAAGGATGGCGCCACATTGGCCTCTTCGTTCACCTTTCTAAGTCCCTGAGGGCGATTGATCTGTCCGGTATTCCTTTCCCCAAGCCACGGAACCCAAGTGACAATTCTACTCAGAGCACGGTCCCAGATGTATGCGATGTATTTGCGTGTGCTCTAGCGGAAAGGTTTCGCGGTGATCACCTCGAGGAATTGCTCATGAGCGAATGCAAACTTTCGGTTGAGCAGGTCAAGCGAATTTGCGAGGCATCCAGCAAGTTGGGATTACGAAGGCTAGGCATTGCAAATAACGATTTGACAAGAGAAGGTCTGGAACATGTGGTCGAGTACCTCAAAGCTGGGCAATGTGAAGGATTGGATTTGGGAGGAAACGATATCAAACACGACCTTGATCTTTTCACAGGTGCTATTGAACCCGAAATGCCCCTATATGCTCTCAGCTTGGCAGATTGCTCTTTGGATCCTTCCGTGATCTGTCCGTTGTTGCAAGCTCTAACCCAAATTCACAATCTTCGCTTCATCGATTTCTCTCATAACCCTGGTCTGTTTTCGACACAGCCCAGTGCACTTGGAGCATTCCGACGATTCTTGCCCAAGATGCCTTCTCTCAAGCGCATTCATCTTGCTGATGTTAATCTCTCTTCTGATCACGCCATCGGCCTTGCTGAAGTGCTAGCGGAGTGCCCTAGTCTTTGCCATTTGAATATACTGGAAAACCCGCACATTGCATCATTGGCCTCTGCCACGGACCCTGCTGTTCAGGAGGAGGCTTGTGCCCTCTATACTTCTATCATGACCGCTGTGCGCGTTTCTGGTTCAATCATCGCGGTGGATATTGAGGTTCCCACTGCTGAAAACAATGAAGTTGTGAAGGCACTGGCATCCCAGATCGTTGCCTACTCCCTTCGAAATCTGGAAGGTACAGCTATTGGAGAGGATCTGTCGGATGCTCTCGTGTCGCACGACGTTCCAATCCCAGAGATCCTACAGCACATTGTCGGGCACTCCACTATCATGGACGAGCCATGCTATGAAGAAGATGAGGCAGGCCCAGACGAGGATTATGTCATTGGCGGTACAGGTGTGGTCAAGGCACTAGGTGTCTGTCTCGGAAACCTTGATCAACATGGCAGTGATTTGCCAGGTGATTCAGCCCCTGGCAGTGGCACTACAACCCCTCGTCGTCGCAAGTCTAGAGTTGTTACTAAGAGGCCTCGGGACATGTCGAAAAATCTGTTGGAGTCCGCGCGCAATATTCGAGCTCGGATCCAGTCAGCTCTTATCCGCGAAGACCGAGCTGGTAACGACGCCAACTACAGTAAGCTTCCGACAATTTCACCATTTATTTCTAATCCAGCTACTAATTCCATTATAGGACGTCTCCAATTTCTGGACATTACATTGCATGGAATGATCCAGCGCTTTGAAGATGAGTATCCTGAAACTCGTCTACCTTCTCCACCTATTCCCATGTCTACTATTCCAGACACCGCATCGCAGCATTCCGGTGAGGATGGAATTAGTTCAAGTGCTATCATTGGTAACCTAAGCAGCAGCTTTGTAGACAATGAAACTGCCGTCGACGATGAAGAAGTCGATCAGGACGGTTTCAAACTTTCCCGGTCTAGCTCGATGACCTCGTTGCATGCTCGTGCCATGACATCAGAAGAAGGTCATGTCCATCGTCTAGGTCAAAACCTCCGCCGTGACTTCTTAAAGACACCCGATGGGCAAGGCGAGGACGACTCACATCTTGATGCTCTACGAGAGAAACTGGAGCGCCTACACGAAGAGCAGGCTCAGTCACCATTTGACACTGGAGAAGCCTTCGAGAAACTTGGGAACACTGTTGATGAGCTCTGGGCAGCCCAGCGTCAAGACGCTGAAGGTTTCGAGAGATTTAAACAATCTCAAATTGCTGCCCAGTTCAATAGTGGTCTACGCCGGGAATCATCTTCCTCTGAAAGCAAGTCACCTCCATCGTGAGGTGCTTGCTACAACTTTTATGTTCTACCCACATCCATCCGTACGTCCAGCTTTCGGTGCGCGCTTTACTTTGCTATTCTATTTTCAAGCGCATTCTTTGTACATAGTAGTCCTACTGTTTGTCATTTTCGTTTTGCGATTCCAGTCATACCCAATTTTTGTACTGTTTTTGCTATATCTGTCGCTTTCCACGTTCTCTTTCGATATGATGATCAGTGGTCTTGGGATTTGCATGTAACCTATGAGTTCCAATTGCAGGGCTGTGTGATGATCCACAGAGCGATGGACAATTTTCAATCAGAAATTCATGTTCGAGAATGAGATTTCCCACGGTTCTAGATTCTAACACTTTCCAAGTATCTTGTCCTTCCAGGTGCGAAGAATAAAATAATGCAATATAGAGTATCTATATCGTATCATACTTGCATCTGCTGCCAGTCGCCATCCCAAGCTTCGTCATCTAGGGGTTCAGGCAAAACGCGCTCTGGCCTAAAGATTTCTTCCACAAAGGCAAAATCTAATTTCATGAACTCCGCAGGCATCATATCTGCAAGATCCATTCTTATTAGTACGGGCCCAATATTCGTAGGATCTGAACAGCTCACCAGGACCATATACGTGACCAGTCAAATTCGGTTTCGGATGTCCAGATTCACCTTGATCCCCAAGAACATAATGCAGAGCAGACGCTGCCTTCCGAGCCTCTTGGGAGCTGTGGCTTTCCCGCAACCAGATAACCTGTGATAACCTCAACAACTGCTTGATCCTACCAGTCCAAGCATAATCATCAACTTCAACACCCGAGCTCTCCTCCTGTTCCATCACAGGCTGGCTCTGCAGATAGAAACAAAGCAAGCTAGTCGCCAGCAAAAAATCATGAATAAACGACGCAGTCACCCTCCACCTAGTTTGATATAACCGCCCATCCACCCTCGTCTCTTCATCAACCAAATGCTGCAACTCCAAAATCTTCATAGCAGCTTCCACACAAGTAGACCTAGAATACGGATACTTCCGCTCCTTCTCGCGCGCCTGTGACGCAACAAAAAATCTCTTATGCAATACAATCCTCAGCCGGTGAACACACACCTCCAGCCAAATCCTCTTAATAAGCACCTGCGCCGGAACAGAAAGCGAAGACTCAAGCCCATCCCACTTCATACTAGCCGGCAGCGCAGCCCGATACTCCGCAACCAGCCCATCCAGTTCCAATACACGCGCGTAAGAGCACATGCCCGGCTCCGTGGCTACGTCGGCAATCTGCGCGCCGACGACAATCAGCCTGGTCTTCGCGAGCGTGTACAGCGTCGGCGTGATTTCTGATTCAGGCCTGCTGGGCGGTAGTATGGGGGTGTTTTCGTCGAAATCGGAATCGAGCAGGTTCCGAGGCTCGGCGACGTCTGTCTGCGTGGACTTTATTATCCGGGCTAGTCCCATCTGCATGGAGATGTTGAAGTCGATCTGGACTATTACGGCCCAGGTTCGGCGGCGCATTTCGGCGGCGAAGGGGGTTATGTTTGGGAAGTGTTTTGCGTCGCGGTGGTAGCCCATTTGCGTTGCTATTGTTACTATTGTGCTTGCTAGGATGCGGAGGCCCGGTGCGGTGTCTTTTGAGGGGAAGACTTCGGTCATGAGGTATAGGGTTAGGGTTTCGAGGACGTGGGGTCCGCCTTCTGTGTAGTGGCCTAATAGTAGGCATTGGGTGATCTGTTCTCGGAAGATCTTGATTTGGTCTGGGGCTGTTGTTGTTGTGGACTTGTCGAGGGAGAGGTTCTGGACTTGGGTTGAGAGGCACATCATGCTGAGCAGCAAGCCGATCCATACGATTGGGGCATCGTGTGGGGATTTCCAGAATTCTTCGTACTGTTTGATGTTAGCCCCGAGCCGGACTATGGGGTATGGATGGGTATACCTCTCTGAGGAATTTGCCAGTGTGAGGAACGCCTGGAATCACGATCAGTTTATGTTGATAAGATCGGTTATGTACTACTCGAGTAGGGCCTACCCGATGACAAGTCCAATTCATTAAAATAGCGGGAAATCAACCTATCGACGACAGGTCGTGGTGGTATCGACTCAAGAATCGAATCGACGCTTATATGTGTACACCCACCACTATAAAACAGTTGCGGACTGGGCAAGGAGCTTGAATTATGATCATAGTATGTGACCATCTCATGCAGCTCATTATCCTGTTCAATATGATCCCTCAGTTCTGCAATATCATCAAGCACTGCTGCCCAATGCGAACTACTAATATAGCTGACGCCCGAATGCCGGATTCTCACACTCCCATAATCAGACGGGGACGGTGCAACTTCTGGTATCTTGTCTTCGCGAGGAATCTGAGAGGTGATTCCGGATGGTGTGTCTGGGGGATCATCTGCATTGCTTGTCGTTGGGGTAGATGCAAGGCCTGTACTTGAACCAGTCTGCTGCATCAATCCCATGACGAGGCCTTCTAGGTGATTGATTCGGTCTTGGACATGAGCTGCTGCCTTGGTTCCCCGGGGCCCTGTTGACTGGGGAATGTATACACAAGATGAGCTCATCCCTCTGCTTGAGCAGTTACTGCACGGATGGAGACGATCACAGCGGACTCTAAAAGGTATAATTAGCCAATAGAACATTTGAGTAGTATCTTTCAAAGAAACATGGCTCCAAGTCTTGAATATTCGGTTGAAAAACAAGGCTGCGATAATTCTGCTTTAATCAGTCACTTTCGGACTTGTGAAAAATCACTTACTTCCGTCTCCTGCAGGGTTTGCAGCTAAGTTGAGGCTTGTCTCGACGTCTGGCAACGGGCGGCTGTGAGGGCACTGAGGGGTCTGGAGAGGTCAACAACGGATTCTCGGTCAGCGACTGCTGCGGTATAGGAGTATGATCTGAATCATCTGTCATTGGCATGATGGTCAGCAAGTTTTGAAGGGAAAAAATGAATTAGAAAGATTCTTTATTGTCAGGCCTTAAATATTGAGAATGGGGGGTTGGCCCCCAAAATAACATTCAGAGGATCGGACATCCGCGGAGGGTGAAGGCCCTGAAGGGTGGGATAAGTTAAACCTCACACTTCCCCCCCCCGCAAAAAATGGCAAAACTCGCCCTCTTTGATTACAATTGTTTTAACAACTTTGTATGTAAAGATAATTTCTAAATCACTTATAATCTCAATAGGTGGTTTAAAATTGGTCTGTAAGATTGAAAATTTAATTAAATGCTTCCGTTAGGGTATTTTTCGGAATTTTTACTATAGGGATGCGGCCTATTTGCTACCAATTTTTAACCAATTTTCTCATCCTCAACTTTCAAGTCGTGCAACTTTGCCAGGGAAAATCATACCAGAGTTTCTGACTGTAGGAAGTACTTATTTACTAGTTGTTCATAACTTAGCAATAATCAGAAAAAAAAGTTCATATAGAAATTCATAGAGATGTTGGAGGTTTTTGCCATTGATTTTTGCGGGAAAAAAAAGTGTGCCAACACAGCACTGTGCTTGTCACCCTTTGAACATTTGAATATATAGTAGTATGCACTATGGAATGATTTGTGAAGATACTGCCTCAAGAAAAAAAAAAAAAAAAAAAACGTTCAATGTTTGAGGGCCTTCAAATGTTGACAATTTTCTAATTCTGTAGAGTCCAGATATCGACAGAAATATACATGTACTATGTTGCTAGCACCCAAGCTTGCTTTTCCAAACATTGAGCATTCAATGAAGTAAGATGCAACCGACATCTGGAGTTGAGAACCCTTCAAATTGATGTTAGTGCACATGATTCTAGTGGTCAACTTATATCACACCTGGACTAGATCTTCGAAGTCCACATCCAGATGTCTGAATCTGACTCAATGTTTACTTAGTACATACTACATGGTATAACCGAGGCTCTCAGAGTTTGATTCTTGGACCATCCGGGTGATCTTCATTGTTTAAGCTCCCATTTGGTATGGTCTCCTTTTTGGCTTGTTTGTTTTTGAAATATCCTGTTCCTTCTCGGTCATCTTCTCCTTTTCAAGCTTCTCAAATTGTGTCCCTTCCGAATCCGCATGGGCCTCACTGCTGACATGAAGACATGATGTATCCGTCAAGGGTCTGTCCTCAATTCCTCCTGGCTAGAGCCTAGACCCAACTCCACAAGAACTTGTCGGTCATGACTGGAAGACTAGACGTTGTAAACCATGAAGCAGTCGAAAAGGAAATGATGGCTCTCCCAGAGATGATCCCACATGGTCCGATCGTTGAAGCTGTTGCCTCCGGAGCAGTAGTAACAGAACCAGATGTGGTTAGGCGCCTCCAGGTTCCCAAGTCGCTGGATGAATTCCACATGGTACAGACAGATGTGATCAAGGATCTCGGCAGCATGCGTAAACACAAAGCCCTGGTGTGCCGGGCACATAGCGATTATCATTTTGCTGATTGGGAAGTCAATAAATAGTTGTTTCTTTCTGGTAACCCGAAGATAACTAACTTGACTTGTGAAAGACCAACACCTGATTGATCAGGTGACACCTTAGGCTGTATGTCTGCGCCCAAAATCTGCTTATTATAAGAATTTGTGATAACATGATAGTATGAAGGGGGGGGGGGGGGTTTACTGTTAGGGGGACACGTGGGTGTCTCAATACTGAGTGGACATGAGGGAAAGCGAGAAAAGGATTAAAAGTAAACGAGATAAGCGAGACAGAAAAAGGCAAGGTGAGCCAACGTTGCGTTTGGATTCCCCCTCAAATGTCAAACATTGACCTAAAGCGCGCGGCTGGATGTGATATCTAGTAACTCCGTTTGCCAGCAGACCTACTAGCAGGTATTAGCCAATGTTTATCAGATAAAAAGGCGGCTCTCTTTACCATTCTGATAGATTGCCACTCAATCACTCCCATCGGCCATACCCTCAACCTTCCAATACATGAGATTTTTATGATCAGATGTCAGGTGATCCCATATTTCCTTGCTTGTATAGCAATACATGCCAGGACATATTTCACAATGCCAATGCCTAGTATTGTCATTGGTGCGGAACGGAGGAAAGCACTCCATAATGGGTTGATGACGATGAACAGAAAGATGCTCAAGTGCACTGTCGACAGATTCGATTAACGCGTCCGGGTGTTGCAGGCACACTAGGAACAACATTCTCTTAGATTTCCATTAGCATTCTCGTCTTTTCTGATGTTTGGAAGGACAAAAAAAAAACAACCTTACCTCGAGGGGCATTTGCATTTAGCGATTTATGCTTGTTTTAAAGCGATCATCCGTGGTCGACAAAGACTTGAATGGTTGGAGCAGTGAGAGAATTGTACGTAAATGCAGCACTTTTCTTCCACGTTCATGGCGCCTGGTGGCAAACGACACCTCCCCCTTTGGAAGTAGCCAAATTGCGGTCATTTGAGGCCTTTAACCTCAAGTCTTTTTAGGTTGCAGGACTAGCCTTAGGATACTACCAATATCAAAAACAATTTTCGCTGTAAATGCAGCACATTTCTGGTATTTATACTCAATCCTGAATGGCTTCACGGGAGGGAGCTCTTCATTGGATATTACATGTGCGCGTATAATTCACTTGAGATAATACGAAAGGATCTCCAAGGCCGCGAATATTGAATGGTGCCTTACTCCGATGACCTTGGAATGGGTGGACGCCGAAAGCACAGTTGCTGGAAGCATCCAGACTTGGGGAGCGGCTCCCAGTCTTGCGTGCATTTGAATACTTTAACAGAAGAAAGTTCAATTGAACTGAGTTTTGGGTCAAAAGTTGAAACACGTTAATCAACTCCTGACAAGCTCAGCTTATCAGGGGGGGGCAGACTAAACTAGAAGTCCACTAGTACATGCACTAGTAGTATTTAGGACTCGGTGTCTTGCTTTAGTTGACGACTTGCCCTGAATCCTGACTCATCATTGGTTCAGCTGCTGTATGACTCATTGGACATTAAAAAACTGATATTTGGTAACCACTAGTACGACTGATCAGTGATAACACATATATTGAGCTGAAGTTTTCCTTTGAAAGTCTTCATTCGACGTCAATCACAATGACAGCAAAATGGCAAACCCAACGTCTCCTCCACGGAGTCCGCGCTATAGTTGGCGGTCAGGGCCCCCCTCTGGTTCTTATTCCAGGCTGGCCGCAAACAGCAGAGGCCTTTAGCGACATCTTCGAGCCTCTTTCAAAACATTATCAGTTCTTTGCTCTTGATCCCCCGGGCTTGGGTGACTCATCCCCTCCTCTCAACGGCTATGATACCGCGAATGTGAGCAAAATCATGGCAGAAGCTGTCCACGATGCCTTGAAAGAAAAGCAGTACCATCTCGTTGGCCACGACGTGGGAGGATGGATCTCTTATCCATGGGCTGCTCAGTTCCAATCCAGAATCAAATCGCTCAGCATACTGGACGCTTCCGTGCCGGGTTTCTTGCCTCCTTTCCAATTCCCGTTGCCCAACCAGACCAACATGCGTGTTTGGCAATTCTCATTCTTTGCGCTTCCTGAATTACCTGAGATCCTGATTAGCGGCCGGGAGAGGGAGCTGTTGACGTGGTTTTTCAACCTGAAGACGGTCCATCCAGATGGTATGCCCAAGGATCAATTCGAACGCTATATCCAAGCCTATTCAAGACCAGGGGCAATGAGTCGGGGATTCGAGTACTACCGAGCCTATGAAATAAGCGCCAAACAGAACTTGGAGTTTGCGAAAACGCCGCTCGATATACCTGTCTTGGCTTTAGGGGGAGCCAGTTCAGTGGGTTCAGGCATGGTTAACTTGGTCCAGAACTTCGCGACCAATGTTTCCGGAGGCGCGATTGATGATTGTGGACACTTTATTCCTGAAGAGCAACCATCTGCTGTCGCTGGTAGACTGCTGGAGTTTTTGGGAGCAAATTAGACAAAATGAGACCCTTCATGCGCCTTAAATAGACATATAGAAGATAGAAATCGGCAGGGAGAGCGAGGTGATGGAATAAATTGATTGGATTTGGTTGGGTTTGATTCATTTCCGTGTCTTTTGTCCTCTTTGCCAATATTTTTTTAATGCTGGGTTGTTAAAGCAGCATAGTAAACAACATTTGAATGAAAGTGGAGAAATCCAAGGTAAAGTCCTCGGTTCAACTTCCCCACGAGTCCGGGGTTATCACATGTTAGGGGAATTCCGTCATCTTGATCCCAGAACCTCCACATTCCCATACTCCCTCTTCAACGTCCACAGGCCATGCTTGTCTTGGATTCTGGGTGATTTTGTCGATTTGTCGATCAAGTCATCATGGCGATTCAATCTAAGCTATTACCCCCCGACCGCTCCATCAAGCAGATCCTCTCCAGCCTCACCTCCCTCTACCTCCGAAACCGCACGCGCATCTCCCGCGGTGTATATCTCGCCCTCTTTGCAGCCCTTGCAAAACGAATCCACAATGCCATTTCCGAACAAAAGGCCGCCTCTCAACAGGTGGAGCTGCGGAGACGCCCTGGCACTAGCAGTTTAGGCGACGATGAACAACCACGCAAGAAACGAGTGGAGATCAACCGGGAGTTCTTCAAGAGCTTGCTCCGTCTGTTGAAGATTGTCATACCAGGATGGCGCAGCAAGGAGCTAAGGCTTCTTGTAAGCCACAGCGTATTTCTCGTTTTGAGAACACTGCTGAGTCTCTACGTCGCCGAGCTCGACGGTAGACTCGTGAGCAACCTCGTGCGGGGAAAGGGCAAAGACTTCTTGCTTGGGCTTTTCTGGTGGATGATTGTGGCTGTTCCGGCAACATTTACAAACTCTATGGTGAGCCTCTGATCTATTTACTTGGTGTATTACACTTTCCTACCAAAAATGCTCTGTTGCGACCGTTGAAAGTCTGCTAATCTCACCGTTCTTCCTCTAGCTCTCCTACCACCAATGCAGACTCGCCCTCAGCTACCGCAAACGCTTGACCGACTACATCCATGATAAATACCTGTCGAATATGACCTTTTACGCCATCTCTGCCCTAGATGATCGAATTAAAAATCCTGATCAGCTTGTCACAGTTGACGTGTCGCGTTTCTCCGACAGCTTGGCAGAGCTGTACTCAAACTTGGCCAAGCCAATCCTCGATATGGCTATTTATAATTACTCTTTGTCAAAGAATGTCGGAGGCGAGGGCCTCTTCATTATGAGCTTGCTGGTCCAGCTCTCAGCTAACGTCATGCGCATGTTGACGCCGCCGTTTGGCAAATATGTCGCCGACGAAGCCCGACTAGAAGGCGAGTTCCGATTCCTTCACTCAAGGCTTATTGACTATAGCGAAGAGGTCGCTCTTTATCATGGCCATGAGGCTGAGAAGGATACCCTCGACAAGGGATACTTTACCTTGATTAAACATGTGAATCGCATTTTGCGTCGGCGCTTGTACCATGGATTTATGGAAGATTTCGTGATCAAATACTTCTGGGGCGCCCTCGGCTTGATCCTTTGCAGTGTGCCGGTATTCTTTAAGATCCCTGGTCAGATCGCCCAGACCATGGGAGACCGAACAGAAAGTAAGTCTGGCTATTTTCCCGGTCGGTATGCCTCCTTCTAACCCTATGGCAGACTTTGTCACCAATCGACGGATGCTGTTGTCTTCCTCTGATGCTTTCGGTCGTCTCATGTTCTCGTACAAGGAAATCTCGGAGCTGGCAGGTTACACAGCCCGCGTTTCATCCCTGCTCGAGGTGATGGATGACCTGGTTGCAGGTCACTTCGAGAAGAAGCTGGTGTCGTCGGCTTCGACCGAAGAGAATGCAGCAGTCCTATCCGGTCGCGGTGAAATTATGGAGAGCAGTTCTATCGAGTTCACCGATGTACCAATTGTCTCACCCAACGGAGACGTTCTGATCCGCAAGTTGTCCTTCACTGTTCACCCGGGCGATCACTTGTTGATTGTCGGACCCAATGGGTGCGGTAAATCCTCTCTATTCCGCATTTTGGGCGGGCTCTGGCCAGTCTATGGAGGATCGGTCAAGAAGCCTCCATTCCAAGACATTTTTTACATCCCACAACGTCCCTACCTATCTCGCGGGACTCTCCGACAGCAAGTCATTTACCCCGATGGCGTGCGTGAGATGCGCGCCAAGGGTGTCACTGATGCGGACCTGCATGAGGTCTTATCGGTGGTCGAAATCGCGTCAGTCGTCGATCGTCCTGGCGGCTGGGACGCCGAAGAAGAGTGGCGCGACGTATTGTCGGGTGGTCTGCAGCAGCGCATCGCGATGGCCAGACTCTTCTACCACCGGCCAAAGTTTGCCATTTTGGATGAATGCACATCGTCTGTCACTTTGGAAATTGAGAAAGTCATGTACGAAACGGCCAAAAAGCTTGGAATCACTTTGATGACAGTCTCGCATCGTCGCAGTCTGTGGAAATATCACAAAAAGATTCTGCAGTTCGATGGACAAGGCAGTTACATCTTTACTGGGCTGGATTGGGAGCGACGATTGAAATTGGAAGAGTAAGCCAATCCCTTGATGACTTGAAACTGTGCCTGTTGCTAACCTCGTCCAGTGAGAAAGAAGAACTTGACTTACAATTGCGAGCCGTCCCCGAGTTGGAGCGACGAGTTGCCGAACTAACCGCAATTTAGATTAGAGCGTTCTCTGTAATTTAGCAGTTTATTTCTATCTCATGACACAAGCGAATATGATCTTATAGTTCTACATCTTTCTTTTTGTTCCCTCTTGTCTCCACCGATACGACCAAATATGGAAATGTTCCTGTCTATGACCGCATTCTCCACTACTGGTATCGAACCCACCAATCCCATTGAACCGTCGGCATCGGAAGCCATTTTCTGTCGGGTTTTCGGGCCTGGAACGAAGCCATTCACCAATCACATCACACATCTTCGGCATTGTCTGTTCATCCGAATCCAGCACGTTCTGTCACCCCCACAAAGGCCAAAACTCACAGACCCCACTATAAGACTCCCTACGTCATCCAATGCCTTATCTTGTTCTGGTTCGCCACGAAAACCAGGAATGTGAAGCGCATCGTGGCTTTTTTTCACGTTGGAAACTTTTCAGACGTCCATATATCTATCCTAATCTTACCCTCCTGAACTTTCTCTTTCTTCATAACAATATCCTTTAAAACAATCATCTCGCGATTTCGCATTGATAGACGGCCAATTGACAATGACCAACGCCAACTTCAATCCCCATCCAGCTCCGGCTGCGAACAACAGTCAGAAGAGAAAGATCATTATCTTTTCCGGTAAGCATCCAGATTCCGACATGCTAAAATACATCTAGAGTCCAAGAAAAAAAAACTAACAATCTCTCCCTGGTATCTATAGACTTTGACGGTACAATCTGCATGCAAGATACAGGCCACATCCTGGTCGACAACCACGGCTGCGGCACCGAAGCCCGCGCCAAACTCGAGGAGGAATTAAAAAATGGCACACGAAGCTTCCGCGAAGTCTCAGAAGACATGTGGGCATCCCTGCACGTCCCCTTCGACGACGGCTTCGTCGTAATGGAAAAGACCATCGAAATGGACCCGGGCTTCCGTGAATTCCACCAATACTGCATCGCGAACGGATTCCCCTTCAACGTGATCAGCGCAGGACTCAAGCCTATTCTGCGCAGAGTATTGGATACGTATCTTGGTGAAGAGCAGGTACGTTCACTTCCTATTCCCACCCTTTTCCCAGCGAAAAGAACCCCTCCCCCCACCACAAAAATCATTCAAACTAACACCACCACCCTTTCCAGTCCTCCACAATCGACATCGTCGCAAACGACGCAACCATCAAACCCGACGGCTCAGAATGGAAGCCCATCTGGCGCCACGACACAGAACTAGGCCACGACAAGGCCCAATCCGTGAACGAAGCGCGAATCGCCGCGCAAGCCGAATGCGAGCCTAACGAAATGCCGCTCATCGTCTTCATCGGCGACGGCGTCTCGGACCTGGCGGCCGCGCGCGAGGCGGACGTTCTCTTCGCGCGCCGCGGTCTGCGGCTGGAAGAGTACTGCATTGAGCACGGCATTACGTACACGCCGTTCGACACTTTTGCGGATATCAAGCGCGATATTGAGAAGCTTAGCGCGGAGGATCAGGCGAAGACGGGCGGTGTTGGAAAGCCCGTGCGGTATAACCCGCGGGCTAATCTTTGGAGACGGATTTCGAGCAAGGAGGCGGTGCCGACGCTTATGGCTGCTGCTACGCCTTCGAATGAGGAGAAGATGTTCCTTTGGCCGGAGACTTTCTCGGAGTCCAAGCCTGGAACTATTGAGGAGGTGGTGGAGCCTGTTGCTGTATAGGGTCTCTTTCTCTTTCTCCGTCTCTTTTTCTTCTTTTTTCTCTCTTTGGGTGGATGATTTAATGGTGTACGAAAGTTTTTCTTTTTTTATGGGATAGAAGTCGTTATGGCGATAGATATTCAAATATTACACACATAGTTTGGTTATAATAAATTCACTCTACAAAGTCAATACATACCAAAAAATATGTGCAGTCTATACCTATCAACGGAAGCCCTCCAGGGCCGAGAAGAAAGCTTTGAAATTTGAACCTTGAAAATCAATTGCTGGTTTAAGAATGTTCTCGATTGAAAATGCAATGAACGCGACAACGATGAAAGCACATAGCACGTATGACAGGCACAGACTATTAATTAAAAATGAACACGAAAAGAAGCGCAGATGGGACTATTTCTCGACAACGAGAGGCTCAACGTTCCAGATACTATCTGCGTACTCGTTGATAACGCGATCCGTCGAGAAGAATCCCATGCGCGCGACGCTAGTGATGGACTTGGCAAGCCACTCATCCTGCTTCTGGAACGCCTCATCAACCATCTCGTGGGTGGTGATGTAGGAGTTGAAGTCGTCAGAGACAAGATAGTAGTCACCGTGTTCTTCGATGGATGAAGACAGGGCTGAGAAGTCCTTTGCATCACCGAACATGCCGCCCTTGATGGCGTCGAAGACCTTTGCAAGCTGAGGGTCAACCTGGAAGTCGCCGTAGACGTGGCGATGGCGGAGTTCTTCCACGTCTTCGGCAAGGTTTCCAAAGAGGAAAATGTTCTGCTCGCCAATCTCACGGGTGATTTCGATCTAGAAAGGGATTTAAAGATTAGTTTGCTTTTCTTCGATTAGCTTGATAGGTTGAACAACGACTCACATTGGCTCCATCGCAAGTGCCGATGATCAAACCTCCATTCATCACGAACTTCATGTTGCTTGTACCACTACCTTCCGTTCCGGCAGTGGAGATATGTTCGCTGATATCGGAGGCCGGGCAGATAATCTCCGCCTTGCTGACATTGTAGTCCTCAATAAAGATGACCTTCAACAGGTCTCCAATGTCCGGATCACGATTGACCACAGACGAAACCTTGTTCACAAGGTGAATAATTGTCTTGGCCATCCAGTAACCTGGAGCAGCCTTACCACCGATAATGGAAACACGAGGAACCACTTTCTTCTTCTCTTCAGGCGACATCGCTTTGATGCTCAAGTATCGGTGAATGATTCCAAAAATGTTGAGCTGCTGGCGCTTGTACTCGTGGATTCGCTTAACTTGAACGTCAAATAGAGAGTTGGGATTCACCTTATATCCAGTGGTCTCCTGGATGAACCTGGCTAGTCGCAGCTTGTTCTGAGATTTGATTTGGGACCACTCAGCTCGGAACTCCTTGTCATCGACAAAAGCTTCCAACTTGTCCAAAAGGGTCAAGTCTGTCAAGAACTCATGACCACCAAGCTTCTTTGCGATCAGGGCAGACAGGGCCGGGTTAGCCTGGTGCAACCAACGTCGAGGAGTGACGCCATTCGTGACATTTGTGAAACGATCAGGTCCGTAAATATCCACAAAATCTTTGAAAAGAGTCGACTTGAGGAGGTCGGAATGCAATTCAGCAACACCATTGACCTTGTGGGATCCAATGATGGCCAGGTATGCCATCCGCACCATCTGCGGGTGAGATTCCTCAATGATGGAGACTCTTGATAGTAGCTCACGATCATTGGGGAATTTCTTCTCGACTGTCTGCAAGAAGTAAAGGTTCACATCGTAGATAATCTGCAGATGTCTTGGGAGCAAATTTTGAAGTAAGGGAACAGACCACTTCTCCAAAGCTTCTGGCAGAACAGTGTGGTTGGTGTAGCCAAAGGTATTGGTTACAATACTCCAGCCTTCATCCCAGCTCAGACCCTCGATATCAATCAAGATGCGTTGCAACTCAACAATAGCAAGTGTAGGGTGAGTGTCATTGAGCTGGATGGCCACCTGATCGGGGAATTCGCTCCAAGCTCGCTTGGTCTTTTTGAATCGACGGACAATATCATGCAGAGATGCAGCGCACCAGAAGTACTGCTGCTTCAGACGAAGCTCTTTGCCTCGCTCCAGATTATCATTGGGGTAGAGAACAGCGGAGATAGTCTCGGCACGCTGTTGATCCGCCACGGCGCTTTCATAGTCACCGGCATTGAATTTCTGGAAATCAAACTCTCCAGAGCTGGCCTTGCTGGACCACAGTCGAAGATTGTTCGTTGTCTTGGTGCCATAGCCGGGAATTGGTACGTCGTACGCAACTGCTCGGACGATCTCTCCATCTTCCCAGGAGTGCTCTAACTTTCCACTTTCACCTTGGTACTTGCGGACGGTTCCGTAAAATTGGATGTCAACAGTGATTTCGTGTCGTGGGAATTCCCAGGGGTTGTTGTCAAGCCAATAGTCAGGAATCTCCACTTGGTATCCATCAACAATTTCCTGTTTGAAAATTCCGTAACGGTAGCGCAGTCCATATCCCCAAGCCGGATAGTTGAGTGTGGCCATACTATCCAGGAAGCAAGCCGCCAAGCGCCCAAGACCACCATTTCCCAGAGCCGCATCATGTTCCTGACTGATGACGTCTTCGACCCGGAAACCAAGATCCTTCAACCCCTCTGTCAAAGAGTCAGTGGCTTTCTCCATAGCAAGGTTTCAGCATCACGAACCTTGGGCGGCCTCTTTCTGGCCTACATTAAGCATAGCATTGTCCAAGGCACGGCCCATCAAAAACTCCAGAGAGAGATCTACCGCAAAGGTCAGTCATCATCACAAACCCCGATATGAGTACAATGCTTGGAAGCTTACAGTAAACTCTCTTCTGATCAGCCAGCGTCTGACGCTGCTGAGTTCGGTTCCACTCAATAATGAGTCGATCCCGAAATGCAAGGGCCGTTCCCGAGTACGCGGCACTGCCAACCAGACCCCAGTAAGCAATCCAAATCCCGAAAGTGGACCCCACGAATTACAAAGATACGTACTGTTCATCGCAATTGTACATGGAGCGAGCCAGCGTTGTCTCAATATGGCGCACGAGTTCTTTCTATAAGATATGTATGGTCAGTTTGGAATGCATCCAGCAACCAGCTCCTTCTTCGGGGGGACCCACCTGGAATTCCTCTTTGGTCGTGAACTCAGAAACGGACTGTTAAGGTATGTGAGCTTATATTCAATGACCTCACCACAAGCTGTAACTGTGTGAACTTACATTTTCGAGCCATCTTCACGCGAGAGAGCTCTCAAGTCAGCATCAGGGCAAGCTAATCACCACTAGAAGGAGAAACGACTCACGCCTCTCGTAGCGGCTCAGGAATACTGGCTTCCACACTCTTAATATCGGCGGCACCAAAGCCGGTAGGAGTACGCTTGTGCTTCGGGCGACTAAATCCCGGTCCAACAGGACCTTGGAGGTCTGCAATGGGCGCACCAACGGAAGGGCGACGTTCACGACGAGCTTCCGACATGATGAACAAGATGAAAAAAAGAAGAGGAAATTCCAAAATCAGGCAAGATTCAGGTAAAGGCCCCGATCAAGTTGAAGGTAAGAGAAAAAAAAGAGAGAAGAAAAAGAGAGGAAAGAGGGGAGTGCATGGTCACACCTTGGGTTTTGAGAGGGGTTGGGTTTCGGAAGTGCAGGATACGAAAAGTCGTCCGAGCGAACATCGCTCAATGCGGATTTTACCAGGGTCACTATAGTAACTCTTCTTTCTTGGCTTGGAAGGAACATGCACTCCGCAGTCGTAAGTTCTTTCCCCGCTGTAAATCGTGGGAGTTTATACGTCAGATGTATAGCTCTGGTGGGGAACCACTTGAGTCTGGATCCTATCAGGCTCGAGTACATCGCTCTTTCCTCGCGGTCCGTGCTGCTACTTTTGCCTTGCTTTCACAGTATGCACTTTAGTTAGTATGCATCCCGTCTCACATCATGCCACTCGTGTGCATTGGATGCTAAAATCAGCAGGTTTGAGGTTTGGCGTATTTTCGGGTCCTGGATATGAAAGAATCTATGACCCGTTGACGTGCTAGCTTCCTTTTCCGCGATGTGGTACTATTTGATAGGGCTGCATTTTACTTCCTGTTTCCTGATCCTTCGGTTATACTAGGTTGACAAATCTCCAAAAGTACCATTTTCCAAAGGTCTCCATTTGACAATCTCCCTTTCTTCTTACAACTTGGTTTGCATCCATATAGTTTTCATGCAAATTTTCAGGAGGATGGGGCTACTATCAATCGCAAGGGTTGAACAGTCATGTTATATAAGGCAACCACAATGTATCCAAGAGAACGAAGATCCCCATGTTTATTTCGAAAGATATGAAACGGTCCTTGAATAGTAGGTTCAATCCGCTTACCGCTGAAGCGACCAAAGGGTACATATAGTTCAGGTAGATAAAACATCATGCATCAAATCGCTCGAAGGCGTTGATTGCTGCAACGCATTGGAAATTTGAGCTCAGCAGACACAGCCAGGAGATAAAAAAAAAACAAAGATATGAAAAAGCCAATCCGCCATACTATGCATCAGGTAGGCTGGAAAAAAAACAGATGTGGCAATATCAAGATAGTGGATCACAGTATGTCAAATACTCATTTCGATCCCCAGGAACGGTTAAAAAAAGAATTGAATCAAGGGTCAGAAGTATGGCAGTGGCACTACCGAGAGGGGGTACGCCATTGACTTTTGGAGGCAAAAAAGACCCTTGTTCGGGGTTGAACTTGTAAAAAAAAAAAAAGAAAGATCCAAATCACAAAAGAATAATAAGTAACAGGAGAGAGGTTAAAAATAGCCTATTCCAGCGACGCCTGAGATCCTATAACCCACAGATCTGTCTCGAGGAAGAAAACCGAGAACCTCCTCGTAGATACCAAAATGGGGGTATCATTAATCAGCGCCTGGAATAATATCCTAGGATGAAGTTGCACCGTAAACGCCTGTAACTGAATCGAAGCCAAAAGCGAGAAAATGAAGGGTCGAATGTCGGGGGTATGGTTGATCGTAAGTATAGAAGATAAGATGAGAAGGCCGGTTGAGTAGAAATGTTCTTCCAGTTGTGGGAGAACTTGGGGGGAGATATGAAAGGCCGGGATGAATGTAGGTTGCATGTCAATTATAGAATACCTGAATCCTTCAGGGCATTCTGTAGAATTGTTTCCTTGACAGCCGCGAAAACCAGTCGGATATTGGTGGTGTCGGTTGCTTGGGTAAGGCTGGAATTGAGACTGGCATTAGAAAATGGTCTCCGATTGGGACAAGTTGGCTGGTAAACTCACTGTGGATATAGGTTGAGGTGTGCTCGATTCACTTGGTTGAATCGCCAAAGAAGATACTTCGCCGCACGATTCACATCATTTCCACCAGAATAGTCAGGGAAATAATTACTCAGGGGAGACCGGGGAAGTTTTTGCCGGAATAGATCGACTTTGTTCAGGAACAAAATGATACTTGTTCGCATGAACCATCGAGAGTTGACCACAGAGTCGAAGAGAACTAAGCTCTCCATCATGCGATTCTAAATATAGTGTCAGTACCATCGCGTATAAATATTGAATTCAGTTGTCTTACTTGATTGCTTTCTTCTAGCAACATCTGATCGTATTCACTCAAAGCGACACAGAAAATGATAGATGTGACATTCTCGAAGCAGTGAATCCACTTCTTGCGTTCGCTGCGCTGGCCACCCACATCGAACATGCTGCACGGGCCGTTAGCGATTGTGAAAGGGGGAGGGGGGAGCGATATCTAGCATTCACATACTGTATGCTTAATTGACCCATGGTAAATCTTGTCTCGTAGATACCTGTGGTCTTGGTTCTTGCTCGAAGGACATCTGATACGTCGGGGATGTAGTCCGGTGATGTTATCCGCTTCGCTTCGTCGAAAAAGCTAGATCTGGGTTAGCGTTTGAAATTTGAACGCAAAAGGCCAAGGTGAGAGCATACTATGGCGCCGAATCCATGAGATAAAACTCATTCTGGCGTTCCAAAACCGTTGACGTGCACGGATCATTCCATAGGTAAGCCACGGCGTCTCCACTTTAGAATCCAACGGCATATTGGGATCTGCGTCGACATGATATTCGTCCAGGAAGGTGAGGTAATCCTGAACCTTTTGGCTAGACGGTTCGAGGTTAAAGAGACGGTATCCCTCGATGAGAGCCTTGGCGCAATCGAGGAGATTCTTGTAGACGGTCAAGCGATACAGAGCCAGCTCCTCCACAGTGTAGCCATTCTGGTGAATAATTTTCATCTGCTTGACAATGGTGGATTTTCCACTCTCGCCAGAGCCTGTGATTCGAACGTCAGTCAATCCGATTGATTACATAGCTGGCCAACGAGTGATCACCTACCAAGCAAAAGGATCTTGCATTCCCTGCGTAACCGCCTGGAGTCTTCCTCGAGCTTCCGGTCGATCAACTGGCTTTTCTTCTTCTGTTCCGCGTCCCCCGCGACTTCGCCGCTAAAGCATGCACCCATGGTTACGAGTGGTTCTCACAATCCCAGACCAGCAGGGATGAGAAAGACCACGTACACCGCGCGCGGGAGCGATCGGTGTCAGCCGGGATGGCCGAAGCCTTGGGTTGGTTGGAGGAGAGTCCCGCCACAAACGGAAAGGGAGAGATGCAGCGCAGTCCTAAAACTGGTAGGAGAAGGCTCAGTGGCGATAAAGGGGGTTTCTTCGGCAGTGAAATTTGGTGAAGGTAGGTAAGGCGGGGGTTTTGAACGTTGAAAGGGTTTCGGTGGACTTGCGACAGACGAAAGTTTCGCGGTGAGCCAGCGAGTCCGAGATGTCGGTATATGGTTTGGGTGAGTGGTGGGGGAGAGGGGATCGGAATTGTCGATGGTTATTGTCTGGTGGCGTTGGTGTATATTGTCAGTAGGTCAAGGGTAAGTGAGAGGAGGTTATAGGGAAAGATGTCAAGTCAGTGCGACCATCGTCATGCTGGGGTGAGTGGAGATGCCAGGAGGGAATTATGGGGGTAAGAAACGTGAGTCTTACGCCGTTTTGCCCGTAATTACGCCCTCTTTTTTGAGTTTTCTTACCACTAAGATTACTTCTAATTCCTTTTTTTCCCGCTAATTCGTTGTAACTTGTACGCATAGAGTTTACTTGGGGCCAATGTAATTTTCAAACGTTTTCTCCTTTTCTTAGTGAAAATTTGATTGAAAAAAAAGGGAAAGAAAAAGCGGCTTTATTCTTTCACTGGGGGCCGTGTCAGGGTCACTTCACATACTGGACGAGGGGCGAGCTATGAACCAAATATTTTACAGATTTGAGGCTGACTGATTTTCATGCATGATGCATCTCAGAATAAGCTAGACTTGATTCTTGTATACAGGCAATTCAATTATAAAAAAATCAAAATATGTAAAAAGAAAATTGAACCAAAACTGATGGGATGTTGAGGCTCCGTTGTACTCCGTACTCGGTAATGTACTATGCCTCGTGGACAGCTCGTATCGAAAACCCACCGGAGCTTGGAGTGGAGAGTCGTGACGCACATGGGGGGAAAGCAAATCGGTATTAAGGTATCGCTCCAGTTACGTTGAGTAATTATGGCCTCAGGTGGATATCACGTGCACTGGCGCACGTTGCACTTGGCACGTTCTGACATGACAAGCATACATGGAACAATGACAAGAAAAGAAAGAATTAAAAAAAAAGCAAAGAGCTCAAAAGATGAGACATTTACAAAGGATAACATTGAGAGAGTCAAGAAGCATCTGAACATCTGAATCATTCAAGTCGATCCATATACTACTAGTACATAGTCAACATTTCAATACCGAATTAAACGGTCTCTAGGTTGCGGTGTAGGCGTGGTACCTACAGTAGCAGACGATCGTCGATATTTATGTCCGAGATCTCACTCGCCCTAAGCTCGCGAGATGCCCCCTCTTTTTGGGCATGAAACATTTCTCAAGTACAGCCCCATAAGAAATGCCTTTGTTTCGTGCAGTAGTGTGTTCTTGGTTTCACATGTCACCTCGACTGCTTGAAATCACCGTTGATTTTCTCGATTCAAATGTTTCCAAAATTTATTCTCGGAAACACATTTGAATTCTTTGATCATTTTAAACGCTGCTTTCCTGTTTTCAAGTTTTGATTATTGACTTTCTTTTCACCTAAGGTTATAACTTTAAAATTCAACTTTTTATCGAGATTAACGCTCCAGATGTCGGGTACTTAAATATATATAGGTGGCCACCAAGATATATATGGCACCTGGGCGCTATCTTTTGTCAAAAAAATTGCTTTTAGAATGTATCAATCAAATAGATTGATTCAAATGAACATACATGAAAATGCCCACTACATATACTCACTGTGCATTTGTACCCGTTACCCGTGGACGAACTACCCGAAGTCCACCCCAGGTGCCCAGATGTCGGGTCATTTATCTGAGACAACAAAAGTGATTCTCTTGAGCCCTCCAAGAGTGAAAGTGTCAACAATATTGTCCAGGATCTTGAACACATTGTTCCTGATCATTCTCAAGTGCTTCAAGTATGGAATCTGTCTAGATTGGATTAGGTGCTCGTCAATCTGCAACATATGCAACATTTCAATAGAGACTGAAGCTACTATGTGAAGATTGGCAGTACTGAAGTGTACTAAGCATATCTAATGAGGGGAAAGCCAACCTTGGAAAGGGGGCCCAAGCCTCAACAAAGATACCAAACGAATGGCAGCCGCACAACGCAGCAGGTGCTAAAGGACAAGGCTAAACGCGGCATTTCTTAAGAACCGTAAGCCGCTAAATTCGGGTTTCCAAAGATTATTAAAGAATGAAGATCTTGAATCTTTAACGGTCTTTTATTTTCAAATGTTATTTTTATTTTTATTTTTATTTATTTTTATTAATTTTTTTTTCTTGTTCCTCACCTTCTCATCTCATCAACCCCCATAGATCTACATCTCCACGGATTGTATATATAGCCTATAACCAAGCAGTCACTTATCAAAGGGAATTGAAATCACGGATCATTGGACCGGTCTGGCCCTGGCCGCGTGGTTGGTGGAGGAACAAATCTGGAAACAGGGAAACAGGGCACACAACCCTCCGTTGAAAAACCCAAGGTCCATAGAGCACTTCGTATTCAGGGACAGGATAAAATCGGGTAAAATAGGTATAAGTAGATTAAAAGGAATAAAGCTATACTTAGAACTATTATCCATCAGTAGATGATAAGTTCGAGGGGAAAAAAATCAAAAAAGCGTGTTTTCTCAAAGATCGGTGTTCCCCAGCTGAGTCAGCCACCAAGAAACCTGCCTGCCACCATCGCGAACGTCATCGGCCTTGTTTTCTGCTTCGCTGAAGGGCCCTTTCCCCACACCACTTTCTACCAGCCCACTACCGCCCCTTTCTCTTCTCGATCATCTTTTTTGCTTTTGTGCTGTTTCTGTCTCTCTTAAACTTCAAAATCTCTCTGTTTACTGTTTGAATCCCCTCCACCCGACAACATGGCGGAATTCGTGCGGTCCCAGATCTTTGGTACCACCTTTGAAATCACTAGCCGGTGGGCATCACCCAGGCCTGAGAGCCAAGAGAAATTCCATCGCGGTAGCTAATTTTCTTAGGTATACGGATTTGCAACCGGTGGGCATGGGAGCCTTCGGGCTGGTCTGGTACGTTCATCTTCTATATCATGCACTTTGCGCTGATCTCGTCGCTAATTTCAAATGTCTTCAAATAGCTCTGCGCGAGACCAATTGACCGACCAGCCTGTGGCAGTCAAGAAAATCATGAAGCCCTTCAGTACTCCCGTACTGTCCAAGCGCACCTACCGCGAGCTGAAGCTGCTCAAGCATCTCCGTCACGAGAATGTAGGCTGACCCCTCCCGACTCGCGGGGTTCCCGGAGCGCGCGCGTGCGTACTGACAATTCCCCATAGATTATCAGCCTGAGCGATATTTTTATCTCCCCACTCGAAGACATGTGCGTCTCCTAATTTCGATCATGTTACACCAGTATATCACAAAATTACTCCATACTAAACTATTACAGTTATTTCGTCACCGAGCTCTTGGGAACTGATCTGCACCGCCTTCTGACTTCTCGGCCCCTGAAAAGCAGTTCATCCAGTACTTCCTTTACCAGATTCTGGTAAGTTGCACTTTCTTGGTTTCCCCAAAAATTGTGCGCAACGCCACTAACGACTGGAAAAAGCGTGGCTTGAAATATGTCCACTCCGCCGGTGTGGTTCACCGAGACCTCAAGCCTAGCAACATTCTCATCAACGAAAACTGCGATCTGAAGATCTGCGACTTTGGTCTCGCGCGAATTCAGGACCCGCAGATGACTGGCTATGTCTCCACACGGTACTACCGAGCCCCCGAGATCATGCTCACCTGGCAGAAGTATGACGTTGAGGTGGACATTTGGAGCGCAGGCTGCATTTTCGCCGAAATGCTGGAGGGAAAGCCACTTTTCCCAGGAAAGGACCACGTCAACCAATTTTCCATTATCACCGAGCTGCTGGGCACTCCTCCGGATGATGTGATTCAAACCATTTGCAGCGAAAACGTGAGTTTATCCAAATTTGCCCTGCGACCAGAAAATTTGAGGATTTCTTTTGGCTAACGATTACAATGAACGTAGACCTTGCGCTTTGTCAAGTCCCTCCCGAAACGCGAGCGTCAAAATCTGGCCCTGAAGTTCCGGGGTGCCGATTCCGACGGTCCGTCTCCACCTCACTTTGCTCAACTTTTAAAATGTCGAATAACCACTAACATCATTCTACAGCCGTGGACTTGCTTGAGCGAATGTTGGTCTTTGACCCGAAGACACGAATCCGAGCTGGAGAAGCGCTGGCGCACGAATACCTTGCTCCCTACCATGACCCCACAGATGAGCCGGTCGCTCAAGAGAAGTTCGATTGGTCATTTAACGATGCGGACTTGCCCGTGGATACCTGGAAAATCATGATGTAGGTGGCGCGTCCAAAATTTCCATGCGTATATATTTTTGCTGACAGATGGGTTTAATAAACAGGTACTCCGAAATCCTCGATTTCCATAACATCGAACAAAACACCGAGGCGGGTCAGGCCCTCGTCGCTGGTGGAGTGCAGCCACCACCGCAGGCTTTCGCATAAGGGACTATTAAGGGGGGATACTCGTTTTCATCTTTGTTTCATCTATTCATTATGTTTTCTGTCTTGGGTTCTCATAGGCTTGAAGCCTGATCCATACACTTGGGATTTCTATGCAAATTTGGCGTGATTTTACTTTAATCTTTCTTGCTTTTTTCCGTTTCTTTTTCCTCGTGTGGCCTGCCATCAGTTTGGAAGCCATTGTCCATACCTACTTCGGCGTCATCAAGAACGGGTTGGTTGGTGATTAGGGAGGGGCGAAATCATGGGATGAATTAAGCGTTGTCCGACTGGTTGACTTGGAAAATACCTGTTTCAGTCGAGTCAAGTAATTGCACCTTTAATAAAGTATTACGATGTGAGACTACATCCAAGTAAATCAATATTGAGATAACTCTCAATCTACTATGATTCGCTTAGATGTCTAGCCTCAAACTTTGCACGGATTCAAATGTTGTATATGCAACACAACACCTGGGCATCTACCTGGGTAAATGCCAACCCCATTAGTGCAGGAATCTAGTATCTTAAAATCTTGGAAGTTTATATTGTCCCATCAATTGATGCCCTTAAGTTATACCAGGGATGAAGGATCAATTGACGCCCGCCATCCGACTTAATTGCTTTTATTGTATGTACATTAAGCTATGTCGAACAGCTACAAAACGTGGAAAATTTAAGCGTATCAGTGATATAGATCAATTGATCAGCTGGTTTGATCAATTAGGAGATAAATCGGCGCTCAGTCTCCACCATTCCTCTAGACTTCCACACTGCCATTGGCCCTGGCCCCTGGGTACAACAGCCGGCATACATAGATGATAGAAGTATTCAACTGAGTCTGCACCTTAACAGCCTCAAGCCTACTCGCTGTCGGCAGTCCTTGGGCTTCGGTAATTCCGGCAAAAGCTCCTGCACCCAGCGTATCGCCGCTGAACTCAAGCTCAATATTCCAAGCAACCACAAATGCAGTGCTGTGCGACGGGGATCCCGCATACTGCGACGGAACCGCCCTGTTCTCGCCAGGTACCCGTGCAGACTCTCGGGACCGCGCTGCGAAGCTGCTGGCTGTTTCTTTGCTGGCATTTGTCGACTCGGCCTGCGACTGCGAGACCCTAGCTGAGATGCGGGTCCAGGGCGAGGGCTTGGTGCAGCTGCCCTTTGTGGGGAAGAAAAAGGCCGGGGTTGTGCAGCAGCTCTTGCTCGTCGATTGTCTTTCCGTCGGCATCCAGTGCACTTGGGCCCGAGAATGCTCTGGATATCTTTTCCTGTATCATTTATTTGGGATCTTGGATATCCGTCTCCAAGCTGGTATGCTACACGCCTCTGCAGGAAGATGGTTGCTTGATTCCTCTTTCGTGGCGTTGCCCGTGATACCGTCAGTGTGTCTGTTAGACTCAGTCTGGTATTTCTCGTCGGCAGGCTTAGGGAACTTTATTGCGTCCTGGTATTTGTCTCGGATGACCTCCAGATGGGGGCCCAGGGATTTGTCCTGGTTCATAGGGATTTAGCCTGAGACTGGTTTCGTGACTGGAATGAGGCAGTCCAAAGCGGTAAGGTAGCAATAGCCTCACGCCTGGGTGATAGAAGACGCGGTGGCCATGGCGTTGAGCGCCTTTTGAGCCATCTCATCCGTATATTCACCCATCTTGAAGGCCTCAATGAACAAAAACGATTAGGCAAGATGGCCTAGAGAGCAAAGCGTATGACCGGGGAATTTTCGGGCTGGCACTTTGACTTCAACATTTGAAGTCACTGCTCCTTAATAATGGGGGCAGCGGAGCATATCTCCCTTCGCAACTGGAATCTGGGAGCATTATACCCGAGCTGAATGACGTTCTTGTTTTTCGGCTTCTCCGAAGTGAACATGGCCACCTGGACAGTTTGATTCCTGAGACAGCGGGACTCCTTGGAAAGTGAGTACGTACTGCGGGATTTGAACAGTAAGTTTAAGCGTTGGTTGATGGATTTTAAGGTAGGAGCTGGCAGAAGGGAGCCAAGAAATTCCAGCCGGGGTCGCCGGCTTGCTTAGCCGCTCATGCACCCCGCTGCAACATCAGTGAAAATAGCAACACTTGACAAATTGAATTTGTCAAGTGTTAGTTAAAAATACTACGGCTGACCGAGTATTTTCCGGTGGCACAACACTATTGACTTTTTTTGGGGGGGCAAAGGGGGGACTGCACATGGGTGGAACCGCCATTGAAGAAAGCAGCGTTTCGGGCCGAGCCTGGCTACCTAAGCCGAGGGCGGCCCCACCCTTGAGAGTCAAGATTTGAGTAAACCATCAATTTGCCCCTGTATCAACATTTGATTTTGAACATATGATTGATGTTGTTAGTCCCTGTGATGGAACTGTGAGTTCAAATAGTGATAGGCATTTCAAGGCCATAGTTGATAATAACATTTCTGTCATTATCCACTGATAGCTACGGACTAGGAACAACATTGAAGTTTGGGCATTGTGCTAGAAGACCTAGGCAGTTTCTTCAGTTCATCGAGAGTGGAGAAAAGCCAGTAAGCTCAATTTCTTACGATATTGCTCTACAACTTATGGTTTTTGCCAGCTGTCGCTTTGTTTTACCCTATAAAAGATGCTCAAAGTTAGGGGTTCCTAACTTCTTACACACCGGTGACCTTCTGCCCATTCAATCTGAAGCTCATTATACTACTTGGGGGAGGATATTGTCATCTTGAATTACACATCTATGAACTCTCGCCTGTCAGAGGCTCTATCCCGTTTCGACCTACATTTGGCCACTCTCAGTCTTGGAGTGACCGATTGGATGCCAAGTTGGATATCATTTATATTCCAATCTCATGAGTGGATACAATTTTAGACCTAGATCTTCAAATGGAATGCTCATTTAAAAGTCAAGGTACTCGTTGATTTAGTCTTGACCTTGGAGGACCACCTCAATCATGGATCTACAATTGACTGGTGAACTAGGCGGCAGCCTAAATTGATCAATCTGAAAGTTCTACTGCAGACAAATATAAGCTGAACAGTGAGATTAGATTTCTTATATTTGTTCTTTCATACATCGATCTGGTGTTACATAACTGGAATTTCCGGATGAAAGCCGCTGCGTGGATTGAAGTGGGCAGCTTCAAAGATGGATTTTTCTGGACGCACCAGGGATTACCTGCCCAATACGTCCGAGTGAAATCCCTGGATTTGCTATATTTCCCGTCCTTTCTGTTGAAGAATCAAGACAATGAAAAAGCGGAGCTATTTGTGGAGAGGACTCTGTTCGAACGGCTGGCCAAGAAGAACAAGAATCTAAACGAGAAAGCTTCAAGATGGACAATTGTGCTTGGAGGGTAAGAGTCCATCTCGAAGCATTCATTGAGGATGATGGGTCGAGGCTAAATTGGATATTTCTGAGAAACGGCCTCCCATATTACGACAAGCGCGCTGGACGCTCGATGAGACCGGCTCAGGAGCACGAGGTGGCTTAAAATTAGGACTCAGGCTCCCATGGCTGGAGTGTATGCCCGATCCATCGAAAAGAAAAAGGATCCCAAAGTGATATCCGATATCCTCTTTGCCCGCGCCGAAGATCCTAAATACCGGTGATGGTTCAGCGTTGGACCTCCCAGATAGATTCAAGAGAATTCTCAGCACTTGTCGACAAGGTTAGCCCCATGGTACATTCCATGCTGTATGGAGGAAGAAACGGAGATTCCTCACTGGAATACAAAAGCGAGTATGTTCTGTATGGAACGCCTGCTGTTCTTCAACCGTCCTTCCTTTCTTCCAATTGCTAAGTACACACATGTGCAGCTTTCGGAAAATCCACTGGGTCTTTTCGAGACATGGATTCGCAAAAAGGATTACCTCAAATACTTGACCCTTTATCCGGACGTCAATGATCCACTCCTGGAGGAAGTTGAGAGATCAAGGGAAGAATTTCTCCCCAATACTTGGAATGGCAGATCAAAGCATACGAG